AACCCTAACCCTAACCCTAACCCTAACCCTAACCCTAACCCTAACCCTAACCCTAACCCTAACCCTAACCCTAACCCTAACCCTAACCCTTCCATCTCTTGCCTGGTCACCCAAGCCGGTGGGCCAGGACCTGCTCCAGATATCGCGCGCAAGAACGGAAAACGGCATTTTATCGCTTTGCATATGCATGGAGCCAGTGGGGACCAAAGTGGCCCTCTCTGCAATCGCGCCGTATCGGTGATCGAGGATGCATTGGTGTCGCGCAGCCCGGAGCACTTCCTCGGCGTCAAATAGATGCCCGTACTAGTGCTTTAGCAAGCGCGTGCAGTACTTGAGGTCTTCAGCTGATACTGCGGGCTAGGAGTGGTTGTTTCTGCTTGCTCCTACACCAAAGACGGGGATGACGGCGAGTGGTTATCGCACGACCACTTTTCGCATCCAGGCAGACATTCATAGGCGCTAGGCTAGGGTGCTATGTCAATTGGGGCTATGGATTTGTGACCTGGGCGGTGGAGAAGGAGTGCACCAACGTCAACACGTTCAGTCCAGTGGGAAAAGACGACTCGAGCTCAGGATGGCGGGTCATGGTGCGGGACGATTGCGGTAGACAGGGTGTGCGCGGGTGGGATGTGGGGAGGCGGCCGTTGCGCTAGCTATGTAGAGAGGCCCACGACAGTTGATGGAGGCAACTTCAAACATGCAAAAGTGTTGATTAAAGCCAATTTTATGGCTATTGTTAACCCTGCATATACTCTGTAACGAGATGGTGTGTCTCTGCACTCGAGCACGCACATTGCAGCGAGTTTGATCGGGAGTTGCGAAGCTGCAGCTGCAGCTGCGGTATCGTTGCAATAGAGGATATTGTCGCGCGGATTGTGGGAATTGATCATGATAGGTAGTGCAAGCTGATTTGGCGATGCCAAGGACGGAAAGTCGCAAGTCTCATATACAGTGATAGGTACGATTCAGTGCGGGGTGTCTGCAGCAGATGCCTGAGTGCGATCATCGAGACCACAGACCGTGTCACAATGCACTGTTCGGCGACGTCCAACGAGGCGTCCAGCCTTCCCATCCAATGGCGTGTGCCAATCGATACTGCGCCACCACCGTTTTTGCGTCATTCGCGCAGCATAATAGCGCAAATCTAAGACCCTTGCATGCCCTTGAATTAAAAATAAAATCATAGACAATTCATCCATTTTCTTGATAGCGATGTCACTTCTGCTGTACCACGAATCTGACTTCAATCTTGTCACAGAAGTTTAATTGTCCAGATGTCGCCACCGTCCTCAGCCAATCATTCGGTCGGCCAAACCATACGATACACCGCAGTCCACCAGAACGACTCAAATCCTGCCAACATGCAGGAGTCAGCCAGTCTGCCTCTTCATCTAGCAGAAGACAGTACTGCTTTTGCTGAGGGGCAGAAGAATCAAGAGGCTGTGTCTGAGAACAAAATGTCGCTCGCAGCTTCATCCACGCGTTCGACTAAAGGGCAGCGCATTATGTTGGCAGGCTGAGATTGGATCTTGGAGTGTATATACCTTGTTTTGACAATTGGTGCACTTGCGGCCATGGTCAGTGTCCTCGCAACTGCGCGAGACGAACCCATCGGGCCCTGGCGAGACAGCCATCTTAACGTATCCATTAACACGGTCGTTGCCATTCTTTCTGCTATACTGACTGGCACATGCACGTTTATGGTAGGAGAAGGTACGACCATGTGCTCGCGCGGGTAAAAGTCCCGAGATATTAATAGCACTGATACATGGCAGTGACCGGTCAGACAAAGTGGCAGTGGTTTGAGAAACCTCGCAAACTTCGAGACTTCGCCTGGATCGATAGCGCTAGCAGAGGTCCATGGGGCTCTTTCCAGCTACTTTATCGAATTAGTATCCCGTAAGCATACCAATACTGACCTGTTGATGCATCACTAAACCAACGTATGCTGACGTGCGACGCATTCAAAGACAATCAGCTCGATTAGCGGCACTTACCACACTGGTTGGTGTAGCTGTCAATCCCTTTGCTCAAAACCTCATTGCCACGCGTAGCTGTCAGCCCGACCTCACCAATCAAACCGTCCTCATTCCAACAGCAGATTGGTACCATGTAAAACAGGGTGAGAAGCCAAGAAACACCATTCCTAGCCCTGGTGATTTCACGCTTTGGGGCATAGACAGATCCAATGCCGATCCAGCCCTAAAGGCCTCTGTCTACAGTGGTCTTTGGAGCAGCTCAACGACAGTCATCAATGCTTTCACAGCTGGTCTCAGCTGTCCAGGCGTCAACTGCACTTTTCCAATGTACACGACCTTGGGTGTTTGCCATCAGTGCGCTGATGTATCCTCTTCCATCGTGAAGAGTTGCGATGCAACATTGTCTGAGCAGTATGAGGGCGGATACCACCCACAATGCAAGTGGTCCTTACCCACCGGCCAACATCTGAATAATTGGATTCGGATAGACACGTCTTACAATCGAACCAGGGACAAGATCTCTATCAACTTCGCCGTCATGAACTCGACGGCCTCGACTATCATTCTTCCGCATGTCCCTGGAACCTTCACCAATGTTACGTTTCTAGCGAACACTACGACCGATCCAAATTGTGGCGTTGACTCGGGCAACAATTGCGGCGATATCATGGGAGCTCCTACCATGGAGCTCAAGCCGATGGCAGTAGAATGCTCACTTTTTCCATGCGCTCGAACCTATACAGCAGCCATTGTCGATGATAGAGTGGTAGAGACCAAGGTCAAACGTACGCTTGGCACAGGAAATTGGCATCGAGATCGGGGCGACTGGGCCCAAGGGCTTCTTCCAACCGACATCGCGATCGATCCAGATGAACCTTGCTCGTCTTGGTGGCCCTCGGGGCAAGAACCGCCTCCATGCACATATGAAGCCAGCGCCCCTCTCATCATAGCTCTTGGCGACTTCTTCTGGGGCTTCTGGAATGGAACGGTCACTGGGCTGACATGGGGTGGCGCCGCGCCTAACAACGATGTCCTAAACGTATTTTTCAGTATCGGTGTCACCAATTTCACGTATGTCGACAATATCCTACGCGGTATATCGAATTCTATGACTTCAGCTATACGAATCAAAGGTGGCGTCCGTGACTCATCGAGCTCTGGACCTCGAAGAGCAGCGGGCCCAATCACTGGTCAGGTGCTCAGAGCTGATACCTGCATACACATTCGCTGGGCTTGGATCACTCTTCCTGCGGCCATGGTCTTTCTCACGTCGCTATTGCTGACTTGGACTATCGTGTTGCATACATCGAGAAAGAGACGACCAGCTTGGAAATCATCGGCTCTTCCGGTCTTGTTTCACGGTCTCGAATGTGCAGATCGGATCGTCGAGAATAAGATTTTGACTGCCAGAGAGATGGAAAAGGAGGCAACTGGAATGTGGGTGAAGTTATCAGATGGGCCGACAGGCAGTGTGCAACTAGAACCTTGCGGACTTTAGTCAGAATCTACCTTAGATACGGTAGTAGGCATCTACGTAGATGTTACTCGGCCCTGGTGACTAAGTTTAAGGCGGTTTTGAAAGTCAGCGCGTCAACAACGGGGGCTGCAGTATAACCTGTATTCGCGTGTCGATAAAAGTCACTTGTGTGGCCGTTATCAGCGTCTGCCTATACCTAGACTTGTCCTCATTTGAGGTTCTGGGGCTCTCCAGCTGCTCGGCTAAGTGAAGAAGTACCATGGAAGCGTGTCGACTACCAAGGAAGCATAGCAGGCAGGTACCAAGGAAGTGCAGCTGCTGAGACCACATAAGCACACACTCGTAACCTCACAAAACCTTTCTTCACTGACACTGACACAGCAACACTCCCAACGCTGTGAATGACTAAGCAACAAAAATGCCTTGGACGAAGGAAATCATCGCAGCACGAAATGCACTCCTCAAGTCACACTACGGACGATTTAACAGCCTGGTCAAAGATGGGCCGGAGTGGACGAGACTTGCAGAGTCTGGAAGCGTCTGGGACTCAATCTACAATATCTGGAACAAGGAGCCGTGGATGGCGGCACAAGATAAATTGAAGAAAGAGTTACACAAATTGGACGATCTGCGCGAGAAAGTCCACCTAGATGGTAAGAAGAGATCTTCCTTGAACATCGGGCTGCATCATACAAGGTTTTGCAGCGACGTTCTTGCTACTTTCTCTTGGGAAAGCTGCATGATCGAGAATAACCCTCTTTCGTTAGCAACCGTAAGAAAGATCGAGGCGGGTATACCAAAGGTGATGCAAACGAGCAAGCACGTATTTGAAGAGGCGATGAAAACCCCCCTACCGTCCGCGGAAGAGTTGGTGTGGTTAGATGAAGGCGATGCCGTAAAGTCAGATCCATACCTTGAGTTGCGCAACAACATCGTTGCGACAGAAGCTGCATTGTCCAGCAAACATCTACAACGCGCAACAAAGTCCGAAGAGCTGCTCAAAGACATACGAACAATATCACGCATTCTCTTTCTTGACACAAAAGTTCACTTCAAGGCTGGCGAGCTACGCACCCTGCCAATCCAGGTTCATTTAGACCCGAAGGCCATCTTTCCCTATCCTCACGAACTGCGCCAAAACCTTGAACGGTGGTCAGACTTTGTTGGTGTCTGGAAAAATCATTCCGAGATCCACCCTTTGCTCAAAGCAGCTTGGGACAGTTTCTACTACGTGAGCATCTATCCGTTCCAAGATGGCAACGGAAGAACTTCGCGCATACTCTTCGCCACTCACCTCGCTAAGAACAAGATGCTTCCAGTTATATGCTCAGAGTGGCTTCCAAGGGAGCAATACCTGCGGTACATGTCCCTGACAAGATCTGGCAATCCATTCCCATGGTGCCAAGATCTCGTTCATTGCCAGATTGCCGCATTGGAGGGTATCAATGGTATATCGGGTGGACCTTGAACCCCCCAAAGACGAGCTGGCTCAGAGGTACTGCGCCTAGCAAGCGATAGCTCATGCCGATGATGGCCGTAGGCTCTGATGTCATGTCTGAGGCTAGTTCCACTTGAAAGAGACTTATTGTACCTAGTATCAATATATCAGGTGTGCTACATGCGATTTCAAAGATTGAGCAAGGAATACATGCACGGCCCCACCATGCTTGCTCTGGATGGTAATTTGGTAGGCGTGAGTGACTCGTCAAATAATCGTCATCTCAGCTTCTGAACCTGCTCATATAGAAAGCTACATCATTAACGGTGAAGACCAGACAACCACGTAGCTACAGAAGAAATTTCAAACGAGCTTCGACACAGACTCTTGAAGTTTGACTGGGACCAATTTTGACCTAGCCGCTATCAAGCGAATGAGCTCTTCGATGCTTCTGGACTCTCGAATCAAAAGGAGGGAGACGTCAGCAACGAGTATGACCACGATCCAGTTGCGCAATTCCACCGCTACTAGTGAGTCCACTCCGTATGACTCCAGAGTGCGATAAGGCAGGATACCCTCTACTGGAGTGACTGTCAGTTTGCTTAATTCGGCGAGCACTGCGTGTCCGATGGCGGTGACAGCTTCTTCTGCAGTATTGGCAGACCTGATCTGATCGACTTGCTCTGCGCTATCCCCACTGCCCCCGGATCGTCTTACACCTCCAGAATACTCAGAATCCTGGACGAGATGTGCAATGCGCCGTTGCTCTAGCCAGTCTGATATGCTTACACCGGCCTCCGGGACCAAGCCGATTGTGGCCTGGCATTCCGATCCGCTGTTAGTCAAGGCATAATCGAGAGCAGCAAGAAGCTCGACGACTGAGATGGGGGAAAAGCCTTGACGTTTCATGCTGGCGAGCACAGTAGGAGTCTCACTGACAAAGCCAGCATCACCAACGACACCAACATCGATCGCGAATCCCGACTGGCCTTGGTTTCGTCGATATTGCATGAAAGCATCTTGAAATGTGCATGCAGACGTGTAATTGACTTGCGCAGCATGCCCACTAATGCCAGCAACTGAAGATAAGGCAACGAAAAAGTCAATGTCCCTGGGCAGGACTTCATGGAGGTTCCAAGTTCCGGCGACCTTAGGGGCTAAGGACGCCTTCCATTGTTGGTGCGTCATCTGGTCATATAGTGCATCCTGATGAGTAGCGCGTCAGTCACGGGGCCAATCAGTCTTCTTGAGTGCATAGCAGGATTTACTTACCTCGAGCGCCATCGCGGCGTTAATAACACCTCGAATCGGGCCTGGCTTATCGACAACTTGTATATCTCTTATAACGGCTTCTAAGGTCGCTTTAGAGGAAATATCACAACTTCTAGCAATGACTTTGATGCCCATGCTGCGCATCTTTGCAACGCACGCGTTGGCAGCTGCAGACTTTTGTCCTGATCGTGATAGTACAACAATCGTCCTCGCGCCTCTCTCTCCGAGCCACCAGATAAGACGGATTCCCAGGCCACCAAAGCCACCAGCCAGGATATACGTGGCATCAGGCTGCAGCATGGGAAGGGTGCACGGTTCCGGAAGGGCCTACGGATGTCATCACGTTAGCATGTATACCTTTCCATCGTATGCTCGCAAAGTTCATGCGATTTGTACGCATCGGAACGGTTTCATCTTGATCCACCGTGAGGATCACTTTGCCCATATGTTTACCGGACGAGATCAAACGGAAAGCGGCTTCAATCTCGCCAAGCTTGTATGGCTGGATGGTCACCTGGGTTTTTAACCTTCCACTGGCGACCAGTTTGACTACGTCATTGAGCAAGCGGTATACGAGCTGTTTGTCTTCGGCCATCATCTGCACCAGATCGATGCATGCAAAGATGATGTTTCGGAGTAGAAACTTCGTTGGCATCAGCGAATTGTCCAGGAAGTCCCTTTTCCCGATCTCAACGAAGCGTCCGAAAGATGCGAGGCAGTCTAGAGATTCCCGAAACAGCTCACCAGCTAGAGAGTTGAGAATGACATCAACACCTTTGTTTGCGGTCGCTGCACGTAATGCAGGCCCAAATGCTGGAGACCGACTTGTGAAGATGTGAGTTTGAGGAACACCGATACTCTCAAGAAGATCGCGCTTCTCCTTTGATCCACATGTTGCATAAACAACAGCACCAAGATATTGGGCCAGAATGACAGCGGCTTGACCGACTGCTCCTGCAGCAGCATGGATCAAGATGGTTTCTCCTGCTTTGAGTTTAGCCACATTAACCAGTGAGTGGTAAGTGGTTGCCCAGACAATTGGAAGAGATGCTCCAAGTGAAAAAGAAACGCTGTCTGGAATTCGAGCCGCATGGTCTCCGTCAACGATTGGGTAGTTGTTATACGATTGCGCATAGTAGCTGCAAACTCGATCACCAACCACGTAGCGCGAACTCATCCGGCTGCCGACTTCGACCACTGTGCCGGCACAATCGTTCATCATAGTGGCAGATCCACCAAGCTCACCAGTGGCAATGAGGACGTCTCGAAAATTGATACTAGCTGCTCGACACTCGATGCGAATTTGATGCGGTTCCAGGATATGACCGTACTCGCGATCGTCTACCCATTGGAAGGTTTCTAGTAGTCCAGCTATGCCTAACTCCACCTTGAGTGGCCGCGAGCGGTTCAGAAAAGATGTCTGCTCGGGCTTGGATCTTGACGTTGAGCGTGCAATGCTTTGTTCGAGCTTGTCGTTCTGAAATAGTCGATTGACGTACAAATGTCCGTTCCGGTCGGCAAACTCGTAATCGACATCAGGTAGGCTGCGACTGAAGTCGAATGTCTCAGATATCAGAAGCTGGGTTATCAGGGAACTCGTACGCTCGTCATCGGATCCGTGCGGAGTGCTTGGATCGAGATCAAGCGTGATGTAGCGAATACCGGGTTGTTCCAGTCTCAGAGATCGAGCGAAGCCGAGAGCCAGCGCTCCATCAGGTGTGGTCGTATTCATAGCAGCGCCTCGCGTGATGAAGAGTAGGGCTTTACACGATAGGGCATAGCTCTGGAGCTTTTGCCACAATGAAGCATCCATCCCAGCGAGCGCTTCGCATATATCTGAGTCTACCATAAGTACAGTATCAGCAACGTTTTGAATGTTTTCAAGACCATTGGCGTTGATTTGGCGCAGATTGAGTTCAGGGCGTTGACGAAGAGTTCTAGCGATATTGTCAAGGTTACTTGTATAATTTCCAGGCAAACCACTTGCAAGATGGAGTGAGATCTCGCTCAGATTCGGCTTGAATTCCACAGGAGTCTTTGCGAAGATAACACTCATCGTACCACCTTCAGACTTTGCATAATCGGACAAAACTATTGGATCAGATTCGAAACCCTGATCTTGTAGCCTTCGCGTCCACTCAGCGTCGGAGAGAATAGGTGATTTTACTCGTCCTTCGCCGGCACCAGACCACCAGCCGGGAAGAGAGCCGAAGACAAGTTGGTACGAGGGCTCTGGTGTTGTGATCTCCATGAGTATCAATGTACCCCCGGGACGAATGAGCCGGCGAATATTATTCAGAGAAGACGCAATATTCGGAGTAGCATGTACAACGTTGCAGGCAATGACGACATCGTAGCTGGCAGATTCGAGACCTTGCGTGTCGGAAGGTTGCGCAAGATCGAAAGCCTTATAGTTGACATTGTGGCCACAATGTGCCAAAAGCTCTCGAGCAGCAGGAAAGAAGGCTGTAGACAGATCGGTGAAGTCATACTGTCCGATCAATGGCTGGCCATTCTGAAACATTGCTTGCAGCAAGGGTAGTGTAGCTGAAGCTGTACCACCGCCCACCTCAAGCATCCGGAGCGACGGATTGTGTAAACCAAGGGCCTTGCAATACATGTTGATTTGATGGTAGCATCGAGCATTTCGTTCCTCGGAGTACATCCTGCCGAGCAAATCATCCGGAGTCAGAAAGGACAGGGGATCTGCAGTGCCACGTAGGAGATCAACAAGGTTCTCTCCGATGCGATTTACTCCTTCAAACGCAGCACTGGTGTCTGAAGTCGTTGCCTTCTTGGCTTCCAGCACCTCTTCACGAGAATAGGGATCTGTGGCCACGAAGTCCTGCATCCATTCGTACCACAACTGCCGATAACCGGACGCAACCTCGTCGTTTTTGATCTGGTCGAGGGCCTGCTGCACGTGAGTGCGTACATTTGTGCTGACCGCAATATTTCGCAGACGCGAGCACCGAGCAGGAAGTGAGTTTCTGCAATGAGCAATGATTTGCTGCCGCGTCATACTAGGATAATGGAGTACCCACTCAGGGCTGTGTGCCAACTGTCGTGGCATCGCCGCCTTGATATCCCCAGGCAACTGAGCCATCTTCATACCATGAACGCTCGATACTAATTTTCCGTCCACCTCTATCTGAGCGCTCCAGGAAGACGCTTCATCTCCAGCCGAAGCATACGTGCGTAACTCGGTTCCTTCTGAGACCTCGAAAGCGGTTGAGATGGTAAGTTGTTCGATAAAGACCGGCACCATAGGAGTTCTGATTTCTTGTTCCACAAGGAGGCTAGCGCAGATTCCGTGAAATAGGGTAGAGTCGAGCAGTCCGGGATGCACTAGGTATGTCTGCGGTCCAAAAGGGTGTGCCGAACCCTGCACGTTGGGCATCTTGTTGGTGGTCACACAACAATCAGTCCTACCCTGCAGGTCCACAACATTATCAAATGGAGCATACCACTCTATCCCAACCTGACGTGCGGTGGCATAGAATCTATTCGGCGATATGTGGTGTGAGAAGGACGCGAGAGCTTTCTTCTTGATCTTCAGGTTATCGTATAGACGATCTGCTAACATGGAGTTGTCTGTGATGACGCGGATGCGGCCGCGACAATGCTCGTTCCATCCTTTGCCAGAGTTTGTGGAAAATATCCGGAATTCTTTCCAATCAGGCCACGAACCCTTCGCGCTTTGTACCTCAGGTCGCAGCGACAGACAGATCTCCGTTTCTGTGTCACCCTCCTTGAGCACCAGTGCCTTGGAAAAGCTACAATCGCTTAAAGTGTAGCCAATGACTGCTTTGGATCCATTCCTGGATACCATGAAGCGGCGCATCGCCTCCAGGGCCATGGCCAGATATCCAGCTGCTGGGAAAACAATTTGACCTTGCACAATGTGTTGCTGAAGCCAAGGCAATTCCTTGAGCCTCAGAAAACGACGCCATCTAGGCTCTGTATGATTCACGTCCGATGACAGGTTGCCCAACAGTTCATGCGGCAAGAATTGGCGGTGACTAAACTCGCGTGTGATACGGGTATCATGCCAATGACGCTGTTCGCGATTGAAGGCATATGGTGGCACGTCTATCAACCTATGTGGCAACTGTGCACGAAAACCGGCATTGGCGAGATGAAAGTCAACGGGGGTACCCAATGCGAAGAGGTCCGCGAGAGCGCGCATCATTGTCTCAATCGCTCCAGCCTTCCGTTTGAGACAAGGCAAATACCGGATGCGAGTCGAGAATCCTAGGGTCTTCAATGTCTCTTTGACCGCACCTTGCATCTGCGCGTGAGGGCCTACTTCCAGGATGATGTCGATTTCAGCCCTCACTCCTGGCCCTACACGCTTTTGGCCGAGGATGAGTCCTTTGAGAGCTGCGTCAAAAAGAACTGGAGAGATTAAATTTCGAGCCCAGTATTCCCCGTCGAGCAAAGTTCCAGCAGGCAACTCTTTTCCCCACAAGGAGGATATCATTCGCCCAGTAATCTGACGTGGCTGAATGTGCGCGATGGCAGATAGGTACTCGTCTTTGATTGAATGCATCATTTGAGAGTGATACGCAGCTCCTTGAGTCTTGAGCTTGCGATGGAAAACATCAGCTTCCTGTAGGAGGCGCGCTATCTCGTCGATGCCGTCGTTGCCGCCCGAAAGCGTCACACTGGTGGGGCTGTTGTAGCAAGCAACTTTGACCAAGGACGAGTCGGTAGTCTTAATCTGGTCAATGAACGTCTGCACGACTTCAGGTGTGGCGCCAACAGCAAGCATACTTCCGGATATACCAGTCGATATCAATTTAGACGTGAGTCGACCACGGTGATATGCTACAGTCAAGGCATCTTCGAAAGTGAGTGCGTCAACAGCGTAGGCCGCAGCAATTTCTCCGCTTGAGTGGCCCACGACAGTTGATGGACGCAAGTTCAGAAATGCAAGTGTGTCGACCAACGCCAATTGTATGGCTGTTGAAAGCGTTTGCCCATACTCTGGCTCGTCCACACGTGACATGTCGTGGCTCTCATGGCTCAGCTCAGTGAACAAATCCCACTGGCATCCCAAAGCCCGGAGGTAGGTGTTGGCGCGATACAGAGATTGACGAAAGATGGGCCAATCATTAATCAGATCTCGACCCATGTTATGATACTGGGCTCCTTGGCCTCCGAACACATACCCAACACGGGCTTCTCCTTTGAACGGCGCTCTCACAGAAACCGGCATCTGTTCCAACACCTTGAGCTCTGCCAGCAAATCGTCTTCGTCGTAAGCAACAACGGCAGTACTGTAGTCGTGGATAGTACGCTTGTTGACTGTCAGAGCCAGGCGGTCCAGAAATATCTCAACGTCCTCCAACGAATCAGCCAGGGTTCTGCTGATGTATTCAGCTAGACGCCATGCATTCCTGTAACAGGCTTGTTCCTCCGTGCCGCTCAGGATAAACACCCGAGGCGACTTTGTTGCGACGTCGGAGTCAATCTTGGTCTTTGGATTGACATGGTTGCTGCCGCTGAGAACAGAAGTATGCTTGGAGTTATCAAAACCATTGGCGCGGTCAACGTCGTTGATGCCACCTGTTTCTTCGATTCCGTTCCCACCGTTGATGCCATTGGCATACGTCGTGCCGCTCGAAACATTTTTACGTATCACCCCGTTGGCACCGTTCACTCCATTGGAACCGTTCGCTTCGTGGGCGCCATTGGCCATACTGTTGCAGTCGGGGTGGTTGAAGGCGCTGGGATGAACATGCTCATCAGCACGGTCAAGAATGACATGAGCATTGGTACCGCCATATCCAAAGCTTCAACAATCAGCAGCAGCTCGAAAATCCTAGATACGTGCATTCTTACCTGTTAATGGATATGCGACGAAGCGTTCTCTTCTCAAATGTGGTCGGGATCTGTGACAAGTAAGCTGAATAGCTCTACTGACCGATGAAGTATATCATGCATACTTTCAAATTCCAAATGTGTAGCGGAATCTTCGGATTAGGCTTTTCATAATTGACCTGAGGGGCCACGGCTTGGTTTTCGAGCATCAAAACGGACTTGATCAGGCCCGCGATACCAGCCGCGCTCTCCGTATGACCGATGTTCCCTTTGACGGATCCCATGATTAACGGCCCTTGAGTCGCTTCACGAGGACGAGCAAGTACGTTGGCAATAGCTTTAGCTTCTATGGGATCGCCGACGGCCGTGCCTGTTCCGTGGGCCTCGACATAATCCGTCTCGGCAGGAACAAGCCCAGCTTCCGCATATGCCCTTCGGATCAGCTCTTCTTGCGCTTCGCCATTTGGCACACTGATGCCTTGTGGTGTCCGGCCGTCCTGGTTGAGCGCCGAGTTGCGAATGACGGCTCGAATCGCGTTGCCGTCCTTGATGGCCAACGACAGTGGTTTCAAAACGACGCAGCCACATCCTTCGCCACGACCGTAGCCATTAGCCCGCTCATCAAACGAGAAGGAACGACCATCAGGCGAGAACATCTTCAGTTTACTCTGGTAAGTAAAGCGCTGAGGATCCAGTAATACGTTGACGCCGCCGACAAGGCTCATTGTGCTTTCCCCGCTACGCAAGCTCTGGACAGCGTTGTGTAGTGCCACCAAACTCGCAGAACAGCCAGTGTCAACGGTAAAACTGGGACCTCGCAGGTTGAAGAAGAAGGAGACACGATTCGAAGTTATGGCTGCACCAGTACCAAGTGTATGGTAGAGTTCCTGGTTTTCAGGGTCTCGCGCCATGATTTCGCTGTAGTCGGAACTCCACTGGCCAATGTATACGCCTGTAGAGGATCCCCAAATTTGGGAGACGGTGAAACCAGCATTCTCAAAGGCTTCGTACGCAAGCTCCAATGTAAGACGCTGTTGGGGATCCATGGCTCGAGCCTCAGTAGGCTTTATCTCAAAGAAGCTACAATCGAATGTGGCTACATCCGAGTCCAGGAAATGTCCTCCAGGAGTGTTCGTCGTGCTAGAGTGAGGATCTCCTTCGAGGTGAAATGCCTCCATGTTGAACCGGTCTTTGGGTACCTCACTCCATGCTGATTGTCCACTCGACAGGACATCCCAAAGACGAGCTGGCTCGGACGCGCCGCCTGGGAAGCGGCAGCTCATACCGATGATGGCGATAGGCTCTGATTTCATGCTGGAGGCCATTGCAAAGTGAATGAAAACTATAGTACGTAGTATCGAATGTTCAGGGTGTAACATGAGATACCAAAGGCTGAGCGAGAACGATTTTGATTCCAATATATTTACTTCTCTCGCTTCTGCCTCAGCCTCTGAGTTATTTTTTTGCCAACCATATGTGTATATACGGACGTCCAATAGCGATATTGATGTAGTAACAGTGAGTGGCTTATCGTCTGTATGTCGCCTGAGCCTCTGGAGCTGCCTACGACTTGCGCCCCACGCGCGAGGAGATAGAGGAGAATTATGCTTATTACTACACCACAGAGTGTAGTAATTCAGAGCTACACACCACTGTTCTCTCGTAGTGTAAAGTGAATAGTATTGCCTGTAACTACCTGTCACATGATAATTCGTCTCGCCTAAGACTAACAGTCTGGGCATAAGTCTCCCCACACGATCAACCCATGAAGCCGAGGTGGAGAGCCGGAGCTCCAATTACAGTCTGCTTTTGATCTTCGCGCTTGAAGACGACAGAAATAGCTGTTTTCACCGGACGCTGTCTACAGCTCATCCCTTGGCTTATCAGCCTCCTCTTGGCCTTGACTGAGATCCGGCATAGCCATAATCTTGACCACCAAACTCGTCCAGCCCGTAAAATGCTGCGTGCGCTGCCCTTTACCCGTCTCGGGGTTATATTGTTCCCACGCGAAGCCCGTCTCCTTCCAACTCTCATACACAGTATTGACCAAGTTATTGCGAAGTTCGGTGTAGATTTTAGTTGCGCGAGCACGATGGGGACCAGGTTGAGTCGCGACGTTCTAGAGATCAGTATAGTCAGTAAAGATGAGACAGCATGGGAAGACCTAGGAGGTAGTAAGGGAGCGACAGAAAGAAAGAGAGAGAGAAACTTACAAGTAACTGCTTAACAGCCAAATAATTAATCGGCATCCACACCGGCCCCCTCCAGTAATCCTCAGCCGTATGATAAAACTCATCGCTCTTGCTCAAACTCCTAATACCAAACGGACTCCACAACTCCTCCTCATACTCGATCAAATCGAGCACATGACCCATCTTCTCACTTTCCCTGTCCACGAGGCCAGTCAAAAAGGGAAACAGCGAGATATAGCCCTTGTGGCAAACAAGAGAATGTTCCTCGTAGTCATCAATAGTGGCGTCACAGTACGCCTTGTCCTTTTTACTCCAGTGCAAGTCATCAATATTGCGCACAATAGCTTCGTCGTAGCGCGCAAACTCGGCGGCGTCGTCTTGTTCGTCGAGGTAAATTGCAATGCGCTTGATTGCGCGCGTCATCATGCCCATCCAGCTGATGAGGTCAACGTGCAGCTCACCGGGGTGTGGCGGCTGCGCCCGAGGGTAATCGTCGAGACCAGAGGTGAGGATGTGCGAAGGTGTGCGTCCGCGCCAACGGTAGCCTTCCTTGGTGGAGAAGGCTTCGCGGTCGTAGCTCTTGATGTCGCCGGCCTGGGTCTTGCGGTACCAGAAGTAGTTGCGCTTGAGCAAGGGGTAGAGCGAGCGGAGGTACTCAAGGGCGGCTTCGCGGTTCGAGAGTTGCATCGAGTAGGATTTTTCTTGTTGTAGCTTCTCGCTGCTGGTGTCGGTCTTGATGGCGTCTAGTTTGTCGAGGAAGGACGTGATGACCATGAATAGTGTTGGTGGGTTAGCATAGTGAGGGTACTGGACTTGGAACTCCTCTGGTACTTTGCTGCGGGCTTCGGGGCCGAGAATCTGTTCGCGACCGATCCAGCCATCTTCGTCCATGAGGCTGAACCAACTCTTGATGATATCAAGAGTGAGATCGGCATCCCAGTCAATGACGGGGAGAAGATGGAAACCCTCATCCCACAGGAAACCGCGGGGAAAGAAGGGTCGCGATGGAATGGCGGTGAACAACTCTGACGGTCCTTCAAGCTGGGCTTGATTCTTGCTTCGCGCATCGGCAGCCTCCTCCCAAAAGCCTTCGCCATCTTCCTCGTACGCAGGGTCGTAGGATCGATCGACACGGGAGTCACCGAAGAAGTAGCCGATGCCACCGATGAGGTTCGAAAACAGCGACTTGCCAAACTCCTCGTAGCGTTCCTTTACGAAAGGTGGCTGAGGCTTGAAGATGTCGGTGAAGCGAGCCGAGAAGCCCGACGTGACGGAGTCGATCTGCTGCGTAAGATGCTCCGACGTAATCTTCTCCGGCACGGACCCAGACGAGAAGATGACGTCGAACTCAAAGGCACCTTCAAAGACCTTCTGCACCAGGTGCATGTTGCCCTTACCGGGAAGATGCTGTATTGTGTAGACCTGCTCTGGCGGTGGTGGGTTCTGCTCGCCGTACTTGGGCACCAGGACGTCGATCTGGCCCTTCATGTGTGCGAACATCATGGCCTTGACCTGCCATACGGCTTCCTCTGGTACCTGTCCGCTGTGCACAAGTGTCCGATCCAACGGCTTCTCGTCGTAGCTGGGGTGTTCATGAACAGGGTGCTTGCCCTTGCCATCCGTGACTGTGAGCTCAAACTCGCCTAGTTCTTTAGTCTGCCCCTTCAAAACCACATCGCCCTCCATGCCAGGCTCAGATGGGTCCGCATCTGCAACTTGCAAGTTTCCGAAACCCTCGAGCGTGTTGTACCAGACGATGGTTGTGCGCAGGTTGGGGCCAGCGTCTTCCCGTGGTGTGCCCTTGATCCTCGCACCCCAGCTACCGCCGTGCTCTCCGCCGGGAAACTTGATGAACTCGGTGGTGATGTCGATCTTGTTGGCGGGATCGTGGATGGTTTGTCGGCCGCCGCTGCGTACGTCGTATTCGTCCCAACCGTAGCCATCGAGCTCGTGCTGCTCGCAAGTGTGCCTGAAATCTGCCAAGTCAGCATTGGTGTTCATTGAGCTTCAGAGATGACAACCTACTGTGCTGCACGCTTTGGTAATCCTCAACCCGCGTCCACATCAACCCGCCCATCAGACTCTTTGGTATGCGTGGCCGGACGCCAAAGTAGAGGTTGGGGCGGTAGGGTCCCCAGAGCAAGCTCGCATTGGTTGCCTTTTCAACTTCTGCGACCTGCGCACCTGCAAAAGGCAATTGAAGGGCGAAAAGGCACGTCAGCCCTTTCCAAAGGGTGCCATGCCGAGATTCGCGCGTCATGGTGTTGTGTAGTGCCCAAGCTGGAGCTGTCTGGAGCTTTGCGGGGGCAGGTTCGGGACACATTTCGCGGAGGTCGGGGGTTATTGGCGCGCTGATTGGCCCGTGTGGGGGGCACCTTTCTGGGACATCGTTTCCACCGTCAAGCATACGCAACAAGACAGACTATATCCACCCAGCATGCGTGTGGAAAATTAATCGAGTGCATCACGGAGAGGCTATGGGACTGGTGTGTGGGATTGCGTGGTATCGTGGTCTTTCTCATGCTACCGCTCGAGTCCTTGCAAAGATTTCAAACTGATATAGCTACTGCATGCAGCTACGTCGCTCGCAGACGGAGCTCCTTCTGTTATGGTCAGACTAAAGAAGAAGTGTAGGAGGTTTGTAGGATGTGGAAAGGCGCCCTACCAGGAGCTGCTCCGCGGTGGATCTAGGTCGTGCTATGTCATCCCAACCCGCCTTATCCTGCATGTACCGATGTGACCGTCGTCCTGGTGAGGTATACGTCAGGAAACAGTGACGGACCTTTTCTGTCATCCCAGTATTACCCCCCTTGCGCGTATGCCCCCACGAATGTGCCTGTGGACCCTTCATCCCATGTGATGCGACGATAATCATAGTCATCCTGTGCCTTGAATTCCCTATCCCTTGCCTACATCCGACTGGGACTCAACGGCCTGTTGAATCCACCCTGTCTGTTCATATACTGCCTAGCCTGCAACTGCTTGTCCTTCCTCACGCCAAAATTCTTATCGTTGCCCGGAACCTTTGTATTCTTTGTGCTCTTGAACCCTCCGAATCCCATGACCTTGAGCATCTCCCACTCGTCGTCGTCCATGTCGTCAGGCTTCTGTCGTGTATCTGCCATCTCAACGTCCGGCTTGTCTTCGTCGGCTTCGGCCTCTTCCTTCTTGATAGCGTTGGGGGCAAAGGAGCGAGGGCCGGTAGGAGGGCGTGCGGCGTTGGGACCGTGGACGGGGGGTTTTCCGGGGTTACGAGGGCCTTTCGGGGGTGAGCGGTCGCGGTTGTCTCGGTGGGATGGGCGCTCTTCGTCTCGGCCTTCTCTGCCTCCAGCCCGCCTATCGTCGCGGCCCCGTCCGCGGTCGTGACCACGGCCTCGCCCTTGTCCTCCCCTGCTTCCGCTGTCGCGCTCGTCTTTGCGGAAAGGCGACCTTGAGCGGTAGCGCGCGTCGCGTCGACTGCCGCGCTCGTGGGGGCTGCGCGACCGGTTGCCTCGTCGCTCGGTGGGTGTGCCGCCTCGATCGCGAGCTTCGCGGGGCGCGCGGCGGGTGTCGCGCTCGAAAGGATCGCTGTAAGTCGCGCGGGGTCTCTCGTTGTCTGTCATGGTGTGCGGTGGCGCGTGTGGTGTGCGGGGAATGTTGGCGCAAAGGGAATGATATGGGTCGCGAATGTCGCTGAGTGAGTACGGACGCCAAGGCTGACCATTCAAACCCTAACCATGGGTACATACGCAACCTCCAAGCTCATGGCGAGACACACACACAATACAAAAGTTTAGGCATGATGTCGTGATTCCATTTTTCGCTCCATAGGCATCAGGGAAGGGACACGTGATAGGGCTTTGACTGTTTTCATCTATGTCTCAGCTCTACTGCGGAGGCAGCCATTCGCTCCAGCGGATATCCTACCAGAGATGAGGAGCTTCGAGAGCTTCATCAAGCTCCGTCGCATACGGTCAGTACTAATTTGATCTCTTTCGTTCTCCCATCGCCAAAACGTCCAGGGTATCTCGAAAATCCGCCTCAAATTCACGACCAACGCCAGTGAATGTTGAAGTCAATGCCTGCGAGCGGTACTCATATCTCATCTTCCTCTTCGTCAAAGTCGTCCTCACTGCCCATGTCATATAGAATCCTCCCGCCCTCACCAGCACCCTCACCCTTTTGCGCATCAAAGTAGGGCAGTACAACACCCTCCCTTGCCTGCTTTTGTTTCTCAGTCAGACCCAGGTTAAACGTACTCTCTACCTCCTGACCCGCCGCATCCACAGCATCAACAACGCCCTGATCGGCATACCCAGGTACCTGCTCAAGCAAAACGACGTACTCCGCCTTCAACGCTCCAGCAGGCAAACCAGGAACAGGCGCGTGGTAATCAGAGTGCCGAGGCGCACGCAGAAAGTACGTCTCACCCTCTGGACGACCAGACTTGCGTCGGAACTCTGCCTCGAGGACGATGCCGCGGTGGTCGTTGGCGTCAAGACACTGGACGATGCCTTCGGCGCCTTGGAGCAGACCCCACGTAGGCTCTGGCAAGCTGCGCTGTTTGGCGGCCTTGGCGGCGAGACAGTGCGCAAACGACTTGCATGTTATGATCGAGGTAGCCATGTACTTGACAAGTTCCAGTGGCTGCGGCGCATAGGGAGACTCTGGAGGGGCATCGAGCATATCGGTGTGGAACACGCCAACGAGTGTGGATGCGGACTTGTTGGCAACAAGGTCGAAAAGGCGGATCATCTCGATTCCTTTGTTGTTGATGAGCTCGTGCAGGTTGTCAACAACAACGAGCGATTCCTTGCAGTCGGACATGGCTTTGCTGAGGTCGCGTAGGATCTCTTCGCCGGTGAGACCGTAGCCTTGGACTGTGCGGATGGGGGCGATGGACGGTCGGGACTCGAACGTGACGAAGACGACATTGACGCTACGTGAGAGGGCTCGCCTGACTATCTCTGCGATGAAGAGATCGGAGCGCTGGTTGAGATCGTCGAGGATAAGTGTGAAGGGTGAGGCGTTGGTCCGTACATTCAGAACACGGGACATTAATTGTACAGCATGGCGCTGGTATTGCGCCAGCGAGAATGTCTTACTCATCGGGAATAGGAGAGGGACTTCAGTGACGCGCTTGCGACGGCCGGTGAAGCTGCGGTTGTCGCACTCGATTCAGCTCTGACGGTTGGCTGAATGGACCTTGACCTGACGCTGGTGACGAGCTTGACGGTCTTCAAACCCACGGAAGAAGGTTACCTCGTCGTTTGGAGTCCCCTGTCAATCAAGGTCTAACCCACACTCGGCAACGGAGATGACGGTAACTGAAAGGCTGGTATGTTGAGGGTAGAGGCGTACTGGACTGTCTGGCTCGAAGTTAGCCGCCTGGGCGGGACTCTAGCCAAGAAGACTCATGATGTAGGTTTTGGGTGCTTCTGCAAGGCAACAAAACGGAGTGGGATACGTGTAGATGGAGTGATTATTCCAGAACAGAATGAGACTGTGTAATTGGCCCGTAGAATAGAGAGCAAGTTGAAGATGAAGGTTTGCAAATGAAGAAATAGGGTTTTCATCAACAGAGCTGAATATAATCGAGAAGACGAGACATATATTGGAAGGAGAGAGGATGGGAGATCGCAGGCGCATGATCTTGAGTTGACATACCCGGAGTGAAGGTGAAAGAGAACTTTGGTAGGTTCCAAGGAGGCGAACTGAATTTTGACACCACAAGATTGAGCGAAACGACCAAAGACAGCCAAGAGATTCCAGAAGTGAGTCTTCAACGTAGTCTTAGAGCTGGTTCGTGGTAATCAACACTACCCCAAGTCTTGGCAAATCTCGAGATGGTGGTTGTGACTGCAATGTCATTTTCGTGCGCGCTAAGGTGGGGTGAGGGCTAGCGTCATTGCGGAGGCCCCCACTTGAGATGCACCGCGCATCCCCATCGCGTAGCATGTTCACACACCCGTCGCCATGAGGTATACACAGACAAGTCTACCCGCGACATGACGAGTAACGCGCAATCGGCATCGTCGACGAAACCGCCGCGACCAAGGTCTCCGCACTTTCCGCCCCACAATGCTCCTCGCGTCTGGTTCATCACAAGAGGCGCATCGCCCATTGCAATCGCGTTAGCACGGCAGGTGCTCGAGCATGGCGATTATGTTGTCGCGGGCGTTATGCCGATTGAGTTTGAGAAGAGAGAGGGCCAAAGTGAAGACTTTCGTACATTTCTCGAGGATGTGAAGGCGACGGACCGGTGGCGAGAGCATTTGAGAGTAGTTGGACTGGATAGCAGGTGAGCATGCAATGATTCCAACTAAAATCAGACGCCGTTGCGCTGCTAACAGTTTCTGTCGTGCAGGGTGGTTGGTCAATGTCAAGCAGCCGTCGCCGAGGCGGTAGAGGCGTTTGGGCGCATCGACGTGTTGTTGTGCGCAGCAAGTGAAGCCGTGATCGGTTCGGTTGAAGAGCTCGCGCAGACTATTCGGACAAGGAGTCTAGTGGATGAGATCTTCGAGATCAACTTCTTCGCCAACGTGAACATCATCAAAGCCGTGCTTCCCATCATGCGCGAACGGAAGAATGGACATATCATTGTCATAACTGGAATCACCGGCCATCTTGGAACCCCTGGCTTGGGCATGTACTGCTCATCGCAATGGGCAGTTGAAGGATACTGCGACAGCCTCGCCTACGAGATTGCTCCTTTCAACGTCAAGATGTCTCTAGTCCAAGCCAACATGGAAGTCAACGTTCTCACTAATCGCATAACCTCTGTACCGCCCATGTCCGAGTACCTGCAAGGCGAGAACCCTGCGCCTTTAGCTCGCGAGATCTTCTCCGGTCTGCTCGACAAGCTTGAGCGCATCGATAACCCCGCTGCTCATCCCTCATTTGACGAGAACGCCACCAAGTCCCCTGGGGAGGAAAGCATCGCATCGGATATGAATCCGGACGCCGAACCGACAATGGGCGATCTGTTAAGTTCGGATACCGTCACGAGTTTGTATGCCCCGTTGCCGATGCGAGTCAAGAGTGATTTGATTGCGGAGACCGTGCATGCGCTGACGGCAATCGGTGGCCATGATAATCCACCTGCACGGCACATAGTGGGCTCCGAAGGTGTTACGGCTGTGAAGGAGAAGCTGAAGACGACGAGCGAAGAGTTGGAAGACTTCATCGAGGTTAGTGGTGCCGTGGACATTGTGCAAAGAGAGGGTGACGCATCGATTGATATGACCATGGATCATGGGCTGATGTGATGTACGTAATGTATTGCGAAAGGAATAACAATGTACACCAGAATGCACCGCGTCGTGCGAATCTCCTCTACGAGATTTACCTGTATTGGTACTTATTGAGCTTCTTGAGCTTCCCGACTGTATGACTTATTTCAAATACAAGAGCTAGAAGCTGGCATCAACTTATGCTTCGCTACTCTGCTACGGCGAAAGTACGCAGATACCTTCAGAGCATATTGTGAGTAAGAACACTAGTGAAAATGAAACTTCATCAATTTGTTCTAACACTCCACGTTGGAATTGCTCCGGGCAGCAGCCTTGGCTTTCGAGTTTGCGTTGTCTTGTGGAGAGAGCCCTTCCAAGTTGTAAGCTTCTAGAGGAAGCTGAACTGGCTCTCGAAACGCTGTTTGAGGGCATTATGGTCTACGCCTCTATTATCACGCGTACCGTCGATCACGAGGCCTTTGAAGCTCTGTAGAATTGATAGCTGAGTTGCGTTTAGACCGTCCCTAGACAGATCGGCCCCTTGGATGAACGAAGCGGCAAATCTAACCTAAAGTTCGGTAGCGGCTCGGTAGGGCGTTGTGGGTCTAGCTGTCTCACCTGATCATGGCCATCTTACGCCCCAACAAGCGCTGCACAACGGCCTTAGTGGAGCGAGTTTAGAAGCTAAGCTGTTGCAACATTTGAGCCGTCAGAACATAAGGCAACAACGCTGTTAAGAAATCTGACGTGCATTGTTACGTTCAGCGGCTTCCACGATGGACAATGTACCTCCGCCTCCGCATCCACTTCCACCCCCATCCCGTCGAGAAAACAATATTTCGACACTAACTACAGTAATACCGCCTTCATCTCCACCGCCACCACCACCTCCACCTCCACCTCCACCTCCACCTCGACAGCTGTTCAAAACATCGAGATCGACGAGCATGTTGTAATGTATGAGTGATGGATTGAATCTATGGAGGATGCTGCCTATATAGTATGTACACTAAGGTGGTGGCAGGCACCAATAACAACATGAGATGGCTCTTTCCATCAGAGCACAGTACCCCCACCTCCTCCAATGCCTTCTGGAGCCTTTGAGCCCATAGACAAAGCACACTACTGGCAATTCCTCGAAGACACGAAAGCAAACATGCCTGGTGAACCCTTCCAACCCTTCCATATGTTCTTCTACGGTTCGCTCATGGATTCTGAGGTCCTCCAAGCAATCCTCGATCTCCCAGAACTCCCGACTACAAGGCCTGCCACCATTTCTGGTTTCAGTATCAAGATGTGGGGCATATATCCAACATTAATACCCTGCCACTCCGGAAGTGTCACTGGAACTGTGTGGGAGGTGACCTCGGAATCCCAATTCGACCGTTTGGCGGCTTACGAGACTGCCGCTTACAGATGGGACGAGTGTAATGCAGTCTTAGAAGATGGAGAGGTCATCAAGAACTGTCGGACGTTCTGCTGGGCAGGTGAACCTAACAGTAAGGAACTTGAAGACGGTAGTTTCGATCTGGAACGCTACCAGAAATACTTCAAGTCTTCTGTTACTAGGCGGCGGTCGCTAGTACCGTAAGCGACGGTTTGAAGCGGTCGAAGCAGGACTCTCCGACGATTGGTCCGTGAATAGCGCATGGGATTGTTTTTGCACGCGACGCAAAGTTGAGGAATGTAGCAAACATAAAAGTGTCAGACGTACATTAATACTTCCTACTGGAGCTATCTACACGATATGACTATGCGTCATCCGCGCTTGAAGATAGAGCTTTCTTCAAGCCTTTCCATCCGTCTCCTTTCTATCTAGAAGTCAGGTGTAAAGACGTACTTGTCAAACTCCGCACCCGGAGTGACATCATTCCACGCGCACTCCATCAGCGCCTCTTTATCTGCCACTGGAATATCATCAACATTGTAGTACTTGCCGCCAATGTGTACAGCATCCGGATCGGTAGAACCAGTGCATGTCCAGATGGGGTCGTCGTTGGCTTGACGCTTGACCTTGTCGTCAACATCATCCGCATCATCATCATCCATATCAAAGTCGTTCGAGTCATTGCCATCTGCACCGGGCTCAGTCCAAGAGAATCCATGGATAGAACCGGAGATGCAGGTCTCGCGCTCCTTGACAGCAACGTTCTTTGAGATGGTGCCGCATTGGAGGGGACCATCTGCGTTGGAGGCTGGGCCTTCGTCCCAGGCTAGGAAGTGCTTCTTGCCCGTCTCTTGAACCTCAAGCTTGCCGGATGCAACGGTCGTCAGACCTGGAAGGGATTAGATGTTGTCATATGCGTGTTGCACTTCGATGTTCTTACCCTTTGCAATCGCATCGGCCGTGGAGCTAGCATTGCCGGTGATAGACACGGCGCAGACGTTATGGTCGATGTCTTTGAAGAAGAAGGCAGGACCAGTGCAGCCAGGCTTGGTGTATGTGTAGATGTTGTCGGCCGCGGCGAGGGTAGTGAGCGCACCGAGGGCGAGAATGCTAGTGAGGGAAGGCATTGTGATTGTGGTATGATATGAGTTTATGATTTTAGTCTTGATCGTAGAGCCGTGCAATCTGTTGGGGAACTTGTCAGATGCTATACACTTGATGCGCGCGGTGCAGCGGCTTTTATGCCATGACAGCCAGGCAAAGTGTCTTCGATGATGCGGTGAAGTCAGTCGTGCCAGTCAATACCGTGCTGGCCGAAGTAAGCACCGGATTACGTCCTGTACTTGCTTTGACGCCGAACACGGTCTTGGTGATGCTGCGCAAGTACCTCAAAATGGCACCAGCGCATGATCTTCATGGTCTTTTGCACGCTGCACTTCTTCGCCGCCGAGCGGGATCGCGATGAAGGTCAGAGTTGGCAGCGTGTAAGGAAGAACAATGGTCATGGGGACACCTCATCGACTGACGATCAATCGTTTGGCATTCGTGTATGCTTCGCTGGGTCGATCTTGTTGAGGCGGAGATCCTGGCATTGGATGCGACGGAAGAGCTTCGATCAGGAGATGTTCGGTCCGCACACCAGGAACCTGTAAGCCGGAAGCGTAGTTTCGGTGGAAAAGTGACGTTGCGACTGCACGTACACTCATGATACACGTTGTGCCTTGCATGAAGTAGCTCCGACTCTGCGCGCGTTTTCGCTGCCGAGCACGATCCGATAAAATAGGAGCTTGGTACAATGCTCCGCCGCACATGCTCACGTACTTTTTTCTTCGCGATTCAAACAGCAAGGTCATACTTGATGAGGCGGAGTTCCAACGTTGATCGACATCGCCTTCCCGTCTGGGGAATGCTGTACCTGAGTGCATGCGCTCGCGATGCATGTTAACGGAACGGCTCGGCAATCGTACGTAGCAACATCTTACGACCTGTACGGTACACTTCGACATTCACACGCCGAGCAATAAATGGGTGCATGTCGTGCGTTGAGCTTGTCGATGCTACTGCGAGCCTGTGTGAGGCCAGAGATGATATACGCTGTAGCAGTGTCGATGAGATGACAATTCGAGCATGGGTTTGATGGGGAAAGGGCATGTCACCCGATCGGCTTACGACATGTTCCAGGCTTTGAATATTGTCTTCTACATGCTACACGGAACTCTGATCTTGCTGGTGCGAGTGTCAGCTCTCACTACCTCAGGATCTACACAGTACTTGGCTGCGTGCGTGCGTCGTCCTCGATGATCGAGATCAGGGTCTTGGTCATGCCTATTTTTAGAAGCCGAGTATCGGCATCAACTCACAACGCATAAATAATATGCAATGCTGTCTAGATCAACAATCGACCCTGAAATTAGCTAGCGGTCTGGGGGCTTTGGCACTCGCTGTGCAGAAAGAGAAAGAAACAATGTGGGGTACAGCGGCATTAGTTGTAGAACTAGAGGCCATGCGAAGAAGTCTTAAGAACACGATAGGTAAGTTGGAAGTAGAAGTAAGAATGCTGCCAGATCAATATGGGGGCCTGAACGGCTGCCTAATAAGCGAAGGCAATCTACCCGGTCATGAGGACGTGTAAAAACTCAGCATGCTCTCATCAACTGCTCTCGTAGACCATTACCCACAGTAACTTGCTTCTTCTTTCCTTCCTTGTATCCTTTGTACCGTACAGTCGTAGTTCAGAATGACAGCACGCGGTCGTGGTGGCCGGACAACGCCCGACATCCCAGGCGATCCCTCGCTCAGCTCCCGACCTGTACCTCTTCGTAGAGCCTTTGCCATTCAAGCCTTCGGCCCCGGATCAGCAGCCGATCTCCAAACTGAACGATACACGTGGGATAAAGCGGCCGCAGAGCGAAAGGCGAATATCGCTATAGGCCACGACCCCAGTAGCGCTATGTACACAGCTGGCGATGAGGACATGATAAAGCTATTGGCGGAGATAGATAAATGGTCTACTGTCGACTGGGATGAAGACATTCGCGCACCAAGGCCTTACGACGGGACGTGGGGTTACTACGTGTTTCTGACGAGCTATGACGATGCGACACTTGAGAAACTGGAGCAGGCGATGGGCAACTGGGTGCGAGTAGTCGAACGTCATCTTGAAGCTAGTGAGGGATCTGAAGACAGAAAAGAAGAGCTGCGCAAACGTTTCAAGCTGGAACTAGTCAAAGACGAGGAAGAACTGGCGGGTGCCAGCGACCATCGCGTGCGCGAGAACTTTCGCGCGTTAATGGGTGGCCTCGACTTACTATTACCCGGTCACTCGTCGCGGCCTCAATGCCGCTACAGTGTATGTCTTGTGATCGACGCGGTTGCGGTCAATATGTTGGCCGAGTTGCAATTCCAAACGGATGCACGCAAGCAAGACCGAACTCTGGAGGACCTGACCGTCAAGGCTATCGATGCGAACTGGGCCAGTGAGCATGGGAGATCGTCATATTGGGAATCTGGAGATATGTATCTCGGAGTTGGTCAATTGTCAATCAACTGCCTGCAAGAAATGTATCTGGTTATCACCCGTGACGCTTGTAGCGCTGCAATGTACGACCTTCATCCACTTAATGGATACCCTGGCCAGTAGAGACACCAGCACGAATGGGAAACTCAGAGAAGCGGTGCAGCTATGGCGACAGAGTTATTCCAATTATGAACACTTATAAACACATGCTCCTATCACCATCTTACTCAGAGCTCATTACTCAAAGTCGTTAGGACCAAGTGGGACGGACACCCGAGGCGTTCGGAAGAACCATTACGAGTAATACTCCAAGCTTTCCTAGCGAGCCTGCATCTAGGAGATCAAAATCCCGTTACGAATACTGTGACCCGAGATGGCAACGCCATTGAATCTCTCGGGAGTTGAGGATATCACCGGTGCTAGTGGACCAGAACGTCTGTTCAAGAATCGTGGTGTGCAAGAACATGTCAAAATCGTACTACGCTGTAGTCTGGTACATCATCCAAGCTCGACCAGAAATATGCGCTTCTTCTTTTCTTCTTTTCTCCGCTCTCGGTATCCTGTCATGGATCGGAAGCATAAGCGTCTGACACCGTGTTCTGGAGATCAGTCCCTTGCCGCCACTGGGTGTGCACCGGATCAGAACTCATCTCACGGCCATCATGAACTCGTCTCTTCAACACCACTTTGGTGTTCATACAGTCACCAGGTGCAATGATTTGCTCCATTTTGTGAGCGCTAATAGGATTGATAATCTCTCGTAAGTATTACTCGGTATTGTTCTGGTAGCGTGGGTCGATGCAAAACTTGTACGTCGAACACGGTGCCTTCAAGACGTAGTGCTGTCCCGAATAATGATCTGGGAGAGCTTCTCTGCTAGTGCATAAATGGTGCTTTGGGGATGGCCAGGCGGCAGAAACGGAAAGATACTGGCGTCCACAACACGAAGTCCATCTACCCCAAAGACCTTGGCTTCAGAGTCGACGACGTCCATCTCATCGACTCGCTCACGAACACCATCTTTAAGTACACTCTTGCCCATTCGGCAGGTTGCAGCGGCGTGCCATACTGTGACTGCGCTGTCTCGGATGACCGCAAGAATCTGTTCGTCGCTGTCATAGTCGAGCCCTGGGTACGCTTCAACACCAATTTCCTCAAGTTGTGATGCGACGTCTTTTGTCTTGAAGATTTCGCGCATCCTACGGTACCAGGCGATAGCGAGCTCCTGATCGGCTGGATCAGACAACCAGTTCGGGTTGATGGCTGGCGCAGCGAGTGGATCTGCTGATTTGAGTGTGATGTTGCCTCGCGACAGCGGTGCCACCATGGCTCCAAGGATACTGACATATTTCTTGCCGTTCAGGGGCTGTTGCGCCAAGGGATAACGAAAGTTCCCTGCGTACGCGTCGGCAGCGATGTACTCTACCTCGGGCCAGTCGTCGGGGAAGGTTTCCAGTGCATCGAGTGTGCTTTGACTAAGTGTGTCGCGATATCTTTCCACCTTCGATAGTTTTTCCCAGCCCAATATGTCGGCAGCATAAGTTAGTACACCCTTGGCGCTCGTTGTGTACTCAACAAGCGCATTGGCCAACTGTAGTGGATTGAGAAGCATGGAAGCTACAGTCTGAAACTTGACAGAGTATGAAGGACCAAACAGAACGTGATCCCACATGTTCTGACCAACACCTGGGGCTGAAACAATCTGGTCGATACCATGCTCCAGAAGCTCGTCAGTCGGGCCAATGCCCGAAAGCATGAGGAGTTGAGGAGACTGCAACGTTCCAGCACTCACTATCACCTCGCGACGAGCCCTGATGGTGTACTGTGCCAGCCCAACAAGGGCTGACACCTCGACTCCACTTGCCTTAGGCCTGGCGGAAGATTTGTCGAACAGTACTTTCCGTGCTTGTGTATGAGTAAACACTTTGAGATTGCTTGAGGCCACGGAGTTGGCCTGTACGGCGTGTATGTAAGCAACCGACGAGCTTCGAGTCTGATCGCTGGACCGAATGGTACTCTGCGAATAGTGGTATCCAAGCAACTTCCCGTTGTTGAAGTCTATGTTCTCCTGAATACCGAGAACCTCGAAGGCCTTCTTGAGGTATGATGCCCAGATCGAAATCCAGTATCCGTAGCCCACCTGCACAGGTCCACCGCTATTCGAAAAGCTGGATGCATCGTAAGCGGTCGTGACATTGTCAAGCGACCGTTCTCCAGGGGCTGTGAAGGTCACTGCTTGGTTGAAGAATGGCGTAAGGTTTCCTAGAGTATAGCTCTGGTCACCAACAGTATCTGCCCACTTCTGATAGCTTGCCGTGGTCCCGCGGTGGTAAACCATGAAGTTCAGGGCACTGCTTCCTCCCAAGCATTTACCACGGGCATAGTGAACTTTGCGATTGTTCAGATGCGGCTGTGGCTCCGTGACGAAAGCCCAGTCTGTCGTTGGTACAGTGTCGACAATGCTTGATCCAATTCCAAAGAAGGATCCTGCTGGTGTGGTGCCAAAGACCGGCTTCTCGATCTCGTAAAAGCCGCCAGCCTCAATTATAGCAACGCTGAACCCTGCCTCAGCTAGTCGCACGCCAACGCCTGCACCTGCAGTTCCACCTCCAACGACGACATAGTCGAAGGTTTGCTCGCCGCCCAGTATCCCGCCGATAGCACCGAGTGTACTATCAATCAATCCATCCCCCTGAAGAGTTGATCCAATGGTTTCGAGAATGGGGTCGAGGATCGGGTCGGCGATGCCTCTAGCCTCTGCAGGATTGGCGGTCGAATTGGCTAAAGAAGTTGGCGATTGTGCGACGGTTGATGCGACAAGCGAGAACAAGGCTGCACGCCATGTAAGAAGCCGGGAAAGCGGTAACATGGTGATGGATTGGAACAGCCCTCCGCGGACACAACGATCCATGGGGAAGACCAGTTTTTAACATTTTCATTGACAGTTGACGTGCGCCGTCTGCGTTCCCCAGTCGTCAGGCCGTGCACGAAAGTCAATATCCACCGCCAATCAGGCAAATCAGGTTGCTTTGCGGTCACTCTCGGCGCTGTGGGCAGCGAGTCACGCTGGTTCCCTCTGGACCCCTGTGTGAATCAGGGTCTGTTCCTAGCGCGTGCTTTATCTTATCTAGCGCCATACGAATGGAAGCCGGTGCTATGTTTATCGTTCGGAGAAATGCATGACTGTGAGAGAGATCTGTTCGTGGCAACACTGGACAGACCTGCATCAAGTAGGTGTCTAATGGCTCTTCATGAAGCAGTTTGTCATTATCACACGCGCTGCCGCCCTCATCGTTGGTCCACTCGATCGTTCAACGCCACGACATCTGTCGATTCAGTCAACACTGAGCATCGAATGGCATTGGCTACTAAAATTGCTCGCGAACGTAGATGACAAGATCGACCCCCAGGATCTAGCACGTGTGCATCCTTGATCATCGATTTCCGTCGATCTTTCTACGAAGTTGCCTCAGTCGGAACTACTAACACGCTACTAGCCTGAGATCTACATCATCGCGTAAACCTACCGGCGCTCGAGCCACCCAGTCATTGACGTCGAGTCGACTAGCTGTCGCTTGCCAGCTTCTCTTTTCGTCCTTGTGCTCGCCGACTATCTGATACAGACTATCCTTGGTCTGCTCGGTTCACTTACGGCTTGGACCTGTCTTGTCATCTCGCCATCGACCAAAAACAGCAGAGCGTCGACAGGTTCACACGGTGCTAATCCAATAAGTCGCCGGAGCTTTTCTGCCTATCGCCACAAGTCTAAAGTTACACTGCAACATGACTTCGGGTCTACGGACGAGAGCATCCCGGCTGTGTAGCGAATGTATTAAGGAGGTTGAAGTCTACCTTTGATTTGCTAGACAACGGGCAAGACCATGTTGTGGTGTTTGCTACTTCGGTTAAATCCTATCACCCCCATCACATCCATGTGCTGGAGCATTGCTGACTCAAAGATCCAAGCAAGAATCCCTCTCGTTTAAGTGCGTGCAGGCCCATATCGCCCGCATACGTAGATATATAATATGTACACGGAGAGGAATGCTGTAGTAATGATACCAACTGTTCGGAACGCAAAAACCGTACGTACTGCACGTCTAGGCTAACCTAGTACTCACTGTCTTGCCGCTGCAAGCGCGCATCATTGCAAGGCAATTTTTGACACTGTCACGCTGATATTGTATGAAAGAGTAACTGTCGCAGCTTACCTCAGAGAAGCGCAAAGTCTACGAAGACGAGTGGACGCTGTGTGGTTATCGAACCCTACAGTCGGAAGTAAACTAAAAGTCGCCCGAGACAGTTGAAGAATGCGTGGAAGTCCTTCATCAAGCGCTTGTTAACATTGTAGACCTCCTTGACACCCAATGATTAGGCATAAAGGCAAAGGTCTTCGAGTACTATCAAGGTTTCAAAGCACATACTACGAAGCTAGGAAAGCGCATTTATCGGGCCAAAGCCAAGCGCGCACCTTGTCGGGCTGATATACGCGCGAGGAAGGATGGAGCAAGCTAGAGCATTGGCAAACAATAGGCAGCGATTCTGAACGTTAAGCAGGGATCGGCATCGATTTCGTAACATTCTGACCTGGCGTAGAGGGGACGACGAGCAAGAAGCCGAAGAGAGCGCCATTCAAGAGCAAAGCAGACCAGGTGAGGATGGAATAAAAGGGCTAGTCAAGGAAGATGAACACGACAGCGCAATTGCAGCGGATGATAGGCAAGACGGCCGAGTTTCGTGGCGTGCAGAAGGAGGCTGTCTCAAGTCTATCACGTCACACCCAGAAACCTTGACTATCGTCATCATATGAGCTTACGGTGTCTTGCCAGAATACCAGCTTAACTCATCGCCTGTTACCCTCGCCCTAGGGACGTAGGGTACTTTTTCGATGTAGAATGCTATCTCAAGATTCACATGCCGATGCAGCAGAGGTACCATGCACCTCAGAGAATACCATCCTACCACTTCATCAAATGCACCAAGAACGCGCCTTATGTTGTTCAAACTATCAAGTGTTCGGATGACATCAAGAGGATAGAAGAGACGATTGGAAAGACTCCCGAAGAACCACTTAAGGATCTCTACGATAATATTCCTAGATGCACAGACAACAAGAACCTGTTCTCCATCAATAGCGAGCTTCAAGGCTGTTACATGGATGATGCATTGACAAAGGAAGTGTAGGTTGCGAACAGCAGGGGATTCGAGCCAAGAACAGTTCTGTAGGCGGCAGGATAAATAGCTACTCCAACAGAATACTCATGACCCTGACAATTCATCTACGGTACGCGTTGAGTGTTCGTAACAATCTTAAGGTTGTCGAATTCGTAGGATGGAAAAGCGTAGTATAGAGTCATTTACGACAACCCGAGTTTTTAAAGCCAAGGCAATGCCAATGATTATGTGAGATTAATACGACCCTGCCCAGAGATTATGGGTACTAGAAGAATAGTTATGACGCCACATCTCTCATCGTATTTCGTTAAAAGCAAATTGAATCCTTCAGGATCACGGCTAACCCTACGCGACGTTCCTCGGTAGGAACCTTTCCTTTTTGTATCACACAACAAAACGGCTCACAACTTCGAAGGGGAGGGTCATACCTTAGCTGGCCAGTGAAATGACCAATATAGATAACATCTCATCAAGACTAGAACACCGCGCAACAACGAGGAAACGGAGGCGCAATTCGTCTGAATGTTAGGCAGGACGCAAACTCATCGATATTATCTGATATCTCAGCGCGGCGAGCGAAAGCGACAGCTTACACGGAGTCCGCAACAGATGACCCATAAGAAGGTCGTGATACGCGTAGAGATGGGTCACGAAGAACTGGTTACTAGGTGGAAGACTGACAAACAACGCTGCGCAGGTAGCAAATTCAACACGGTCAAGACGATGGAATGAATTGCTGGAGGCGAGGATTGTAGTTATGAGAGCGTCGAGGGACTGCGAGGTATAGTGCGCATAGATACCAGGGTGGCCATGAGGACACGCTGCAACTGTTGCGGCGATGCCGGGCAAAAGTTCCCCACCTTTAAGGAAGAGACTGAGGGCGCAGATAGTCGTGAGACTTTTGGAAAGTGGTCCCTGATTACAGGTGTTCAAGTGCGCGGTTCAGTCTTGCGCGCGTTATTGAGTGCGCGCCCTGCTGGTGTTGCGAGGCCCTTCGGTTGGCCGCCTGCACCGCTCGGTAGGCTGCACTGCCCAGTTGGATGCCTTACTCGGGCGGCTGCATGTAGAGGTTTCGTATTCGCTTTGGTCGGAAGTCTTGCTCGGTTGAATGGTAATGTTATATAGACTTCCCCGTGTTCCCGTTTTTCGTGCCATGCACTGTTCTGCCCCTGGTTCTCCCTTCTTCCTGTTCTCAACCTTGAGAAGTGGCACACCCGACCAGACCAGAGGCTCCATCGCAGAATTCCGATCACCTTTCTAAGGTGTGTGGTGCTAGGAGGTCGCGCGTCAATTCATCGGCTCCAGCCTAGCGCTTGACCTCAGTCGCATCCTGCGAACGGTCGCAAACCACGCCACTCCAGCTTCTGGGTGAACATCATGAAGATTCGGTACGCCCTAGGGGTAATCTATGCCTCGACTTTATCGCTCTCAGGCGTATGCGCCATTGAGCTGGACGTCGATTCACCAGGTAGGTATTTTGACTAACGATGGCTCCATCGGATAGCGCTGATATTCATAGACTCGATCAAGAACGCTGCGAAAGCACTGTCGACGAACCTACGGAAGTATTACACTGGCGACAGGCTAGGCGACGTCCCTGGTAACCTTCCAGATCCGTATTATTGGTGGGAATGCGGTGCTATGTTCAACGCGCTCATCGATTACTGGTATTATACCGGAGACGACCAATACAATGCTATTACAGAGCAAGCGCTGCAGCATCAGATTGGGGACTATAATGCTTTTATGCCGCCAAATCAGACTAGAACCCTTGGAAACGATGATCAAGCATTCTGGGGCATGGCCGCCATGTCAGCCGCTGAGAACAAATTACCTGACGTCAAAGACGGACCTTCATGGCTCTCTCTCGCTCAGGCCGTGTTCCAGACTCAGCATAATCGATGGGATACAGGGAAATGCGCTGGCGGGCTCAAATGGCAGATCTTTTTCACGAATCCTGGATACACTTATAAAAACACGATCTCTAATGGATGCTTCTTCAATATCGCTGCGCGTCTATATAAGTATCTTGGGAACGATACGTACTCTGATTGGGCTGAAAAGACTTGGGAGTGGGAGCAGTCCATCGGACTCATAAGCTCAGATTTCCATTTCTTCGATGGCACCGGCGACTCTGAGAACTGCACTACTATCAAGAAAATTCAATGGACCTACAATGCCGGTGTGCACATCTCTGGTGCTGCTGCGATGTGGAATGTTGTACGTATACGACAGGCTTCGCTTACTGAAAAGGCGCACGTTTGCTAACATGGATCAGACTCAGAATAAGCTATGGAAGGATAGGGTTCAAGGCATCCTCGATGGACTTGACGTATTCTTCAAGGATGGTGTCATGACAGAAGTCGCATGTGAGAACAATGGCATGTGCAACGTCGACCAGCGCTCTTTTAAAGCATATCTCGCCCGCTGGTTAGGATACACGGCCATCGTCGCGCCATGGACGCGTGAGCAGGTCAGTCGCGACTATACTCAATGCACGTAAAACATACACTGACGTCGCATCTCCGCATCCATAGATAGATCCCTTGCTTAAGGCCTCAGCAAAGGCGGCTGCAGCACAGTGTAATGCTGGTGCAGACCAGGTGTCGTGCGGTCTCCGATGGACAAGAAATGGCATCAATGACGGCAGCTTTGGTGTCGGTGAACAGATGGCTGCGTTGGAAATAGTACAGGCACTGCTGTATCCCACTGTCGATGGTCCGGCTACTATTCAAAGAGGTGGTATCTCGCAGAGCAATCCAAATGCTGGAATCGAGGCGCCTAACGACGATGGTTCTACTCGTTTCGATTCTATCAGTACTACAGACCGGGTTGGCGCAAGTGTCTTGACTGTTCTTGTAGTGGGTGGTTCGCTCGTCGGTGCTTGGTGGATGATTTCGTAGTTAGTATGTATGCTCAGTGACCGCTCGCGCTATTACGATGTACGTATAGCGAACGCAGTATAAATCGAACCGCGAGGGGGGCTAGTTCTAGCAACGCTATTGGCTTGCTAAAAGAATAGTTGATCTGCTCTACGCTGTGAAGTGCACCATAGCCAGCCTGCGATGCTGTATAGGCATGTAAGTGCCTTCGCCGTCAACACCATGGTCTCTCGCATCGTGAATGCACAACTACGGGAGAACCATAGCCAACATGACTGGTAGTCAACTCGCAAGTATGTAGCCTTCTCGAGTAATGCGTGGATCAGATTGTGGAACAAAGTAGCGTGTAGATTCCCTATGGGCGGCATAAGAGTTGGTGCCTGCGAGAGATAGTGCACGAGTTCATGCAGCATTTAGAACTTTAGAAAAAACGAAAGAACTACGCAAGGGTCATATAATACAGTTTCGACACCTTGACGATCAAAAAGCAATATGCGTCGTTCTCTTCTAATGTCATCGCTATATTCCAGTACCAAGTGAAGTGAGCATTGGCAGCTCACCAGAATATTCCCCCTAACCAAAAGCCGTCCCAGGAGTAGACAGGGACATAGGGTCAATCAAAGGCTCGTACTCTCTCCGCCTTGTCTGAACCGTATACACAGGTTCATGAATGTCTCTCGTCCACCTTAAAGCAGCCTCATCATCTTCTGTGTCTGTTGTTCCATGTTCTGATCTATCGCATCGACATCCCTACCGTCGCAATCTGCTTTGCGTGCGATGCACGATTTCTTCGTCCATGGCTGTGGTATCCAAGAACGCTATTGCTCGTGCTTGTCGAGCTTCGAAGAGCACGCGATCAGTCATGCGGACGAAGTCGCGGCGCTCGCCAGGGTAAGGTGGTAGTAGTTCGTCGACTCGGTATGAAATCATGAATCCACTGAGCTTATCATAGACGTCACCGTATCGAACCGGCCAGAGAGCACTTCTCTGCTCCGCCGCATTTCGCAGAACATGTTGTTCCCATTCTGTTTGCATAAGTTGTGATGTCATGTCTGCAGCGATGGCGAATGCCCTGCGCCTATACTGGAGTTGCGCAAAAAACGGGTGGTCCCATAGCGGATGACGAGGAGGCGCTGCATCCGGACAGGCAGATGTCATAGCGAGATACATAGCCCTGGCGTTCGGATGGAGGTCGGCGAGAATTTGGTCGTTCCATACCTCACGTTGTTGTGGCGTTGCATCTGGTCTGGTATACAGTGTGGTGAAATGAGTAGCCCTGTTATAGATTCCGAGGCCTGCTAGGCTCGGTGAGTTCCATGCCGGCTGCGGAAGTTGTGTGATGTTTTGTATCATAGTGAGGGGGATGTTCGAATGACTTGTAGGATTCGTGCTCGGTTGTATCATGGAAGGTTGAGTGCTGCTGTCGTCTCGAGGTACGTATTGATCGGCGAATTCGACCGTCATAATCGTGCTGTGTCCAGCGACCGTAGGACCACTCGACACTGTTTGAGGTCCCGCCTGAGACAGGAGAGGAAGATTTGCCGAGGATAAATCCGTTGCTGTATCCCTGGGGTGGGAGTGTTGACCGCTAGTATCCATAGCATGTGGATTACTTGCAGGTGTACCATTCGAATGCTCTTGCGATTCCGCTCGACAAACTTCATATCCTTCTGGGGCTCCTCCTTGTGCTAACTCGGGAAGGATCGCGTTAAGTTGGCCGGGATGAGTTTGCTCCTGTTCAGTCGTACAAGGACTATCGGGTGTTGGTGAGGCCACACTTGGGGGCTGCGACAGCTGCTCGCTCTGATCAGTCACTGGTGGACCTTCTGGATCTTGTTGTGACTGCATCCTGAACGAATCAACTTCCAAAGCCTCAGCACTATCTTCGAGTGAACGTTCAGGGTGGCAAAGAGAGCTCGTAGTGTTCTCCTCCGCACGCCGCTGTAAGACGCTGTTGCTTGTATGGCTCAAGCTGGAACTGCGACAGCAAGTAAGCGAAAGATTGAAATGACGTGATATCGATAAAGGTGATAGTTGATGACTCGTCGTAGAGTAGCGATGTAAGAGTTGAGTGGTGCAGCGTTGGGATGTTGCAGCCTGGAGATGTTGTGTTGATGGCGCGGAAAGAGGCGCAGGTGGTTCTGAGAACATGCCACATGTCGAGGTAGGCGCCGTCGCATCGCGCATCCCATTCTCGCAACGGCAAGATAGGTTTACTTCACGTAGGAGCATCCTACTCCACCTGCGTTAGACCAGGTAAAGAAGGAGATTGGCAACGGCACATATGCACAGACTTGAAGATTAAACATCGATATCCAAGAAATTGTAATCAAACTAGTAAGGAAGAATTTAAGCACGATATCAAGAAAGTCAAAGCAGCTGTGGGATCTACAAAGCCCAAGCGGTAAGAGCAACGAGCATAGATGTTGCCATAGCGATTGAGTTGATCGACGACACAGAAGTAAAGGTCCCTGCACCAGTCGCAGTAGCATTATTCACGGCTGATACAACATCGATGGGAGCAGGGAATGAAGAGTTCGCGCTGCCTGCAGGGCAGGTGAGGTTCCAGCGAGGAGTGGTGCTTAGATCATCGGTGACGGCGAACTTGACTTCGTTCGCTGGATTGGCATCGCGAAGTGTGTACCAAAAGACGTTTTCTCTACCGAAGAGTCGGCAACCGATTTCTCGCCAATATGTAGCAGCGTTGTCGACAGTAGACTACAGAAAGGGTACCAAGTCAGTACATATGTCCCGTGTGTCTCGTATAGTCCCAACTCACCTCAGCATTAGCCCACGCTGGGCCACTATATGGCCAACCAGTTTCGGTGATCCAAACGTCTTTGTCGCCAACAGCACGCTCTGTGGCAGTCAAGGCGCCATTGAAAATAGCAGCTGCGTTCTCAATGCTGTTGTCGACAGAGTCCACATAGAAGGGAAAGATGTTGACGGAAACGAAATCGACCTCATCAATAACAGCAGCGTTGGAGCTGTTCACCCAGGCGTCCCAGGCGTCGACGTGAGTGTAAGGCTTGTCTGCGAGCGCCGTGTTGTTCAGACGCGCGCGAGCCTCCCTGATGAAGCGCACGATGGTATCCGGTTCGTTTCCGATTCCGGCGTCATTCCTCTCGCCAGATTTTGAGGCTCGATAAAGGTCCTCGCTACCGACAGAGATACCCACGACCAGATCCGCCAGATCCGAGCCATGCTCTTCGAGTGCTGCTTCAAGCGCATTGAGCTCGTTGTCAATGCTGTCCGTCCCCGAAGCCCAGATGCCTAGAAGAAGGCTTGTGTTCGTCGCAACTGCAGCCGATAATGCAGTGATTGGTGTGTCCTGGGTCTGCCACTGGACATTGGAATACAGGCGGATGGTGTTGATTCTATCAGGCGCACCTTCTAAATTCTGCGCAGTCCTGAACTCACGCTCGAAGTCCTCCTGTGTCTTAGGATTACCCTGATCGTCGGAGGCACCAGAGTTAAACCCCACGATGGGATTTTGAGCTGCTGCACAGCCCAATGTTGCTGCGATACTGAGTGCTGATGAGATACGCATGTTTGCAAAGAGTGAAATATAGTTGGTGACAGGCGCGAGAATGGAAGACAGGAACGTATAGCAGACTCAATATTGTGCCACGACAGCTGTTTAATGAGGCACAGTAGAGATTACTTATTGCCATGTTTTTCTACGATGGACGCCAAGTATAGCATGAGATATGGACCGCATCTCGGAGGTATTTGCGGATATTTGTGGTAGTTGTTGGTGATTCGATTGGACCCGTGCGACCTGGTCTGTCTAGGCAAGGCTCCGTGCCAACCCGCTAGGAAACTCTAACATTCGCGTACTGCCGCACTGGAATTAGCCTCACTAAGAATTGTAGCAGGATGTGGGGGGTGTGTGTATGTGGGGAGGCAGTGGGGTTTAGTCCGGTGCTGCGGAAACGAACCATTTAGAAGCGATCAAGATCTCGTATTCATTTACGGAATGATGTTTCAGATGCTGGACACACGTGACCTTTACTTACATGAGCAGAACAAATCCTCCCATCTAAGGACTGGTCCTATCCTGAATCTCGCAGTGTTGAGTTGGGCATCGTGATAGTTCCGTTGAGCAAATCTTGTGATTACTCATCCAAGCACTTGCGGCAGCACTATCGGGCCGGTCATCTTTAATTCCGACTCCGCATATCGTCTCAGCAGTGGTTACAACATGTTATCTTGCTCGGTATCAGATACGGCCGTAGGGGATGGCCATCCTCGTGCTGACAACAGCATTGGAGAGTTCCGTCCCGCGCCTCTATCTGATGTCAGTTGTATCGTTCTTTGATCTCCTGATTGTTATGTCTTGGCTGAGCGTATCGGCTGCCTCTACTCTGTGCTGCGACACGGACGGCGGATGTGGCGATTTGAGCTCACTAAGACGTGGAAAAGAATGACTCGAGTGCTCTGCTCAAGGTTCGGACTTCACCAATCGTGCATCGTTCACACGAATTAACTGATCACCATGGCATCGTCGTGATAGTACTGACTTGATTGAGACAGCTGCGTTCCTGATATTGACACATTAGTCACCGGTGGCGGAGAATCTTGGCTGTGTTGATGTCGAGCAATTCGATCGCGTGCCGCATCGCGCAGGCGGATGTTGCTTCCGTATGCCTTGTGACCGCCGCCCTAGGTATTGTAGTCGCGCATTCATTGATGTTCGTCAATGAGAAATGATCTCTTGTATAGAAGATTTTGTTGAAGTAAATGTAATAATAACTTTTTGATCTCATACCTTGGGCATGGGTTGGTTCCAGGGTGAAGCGATGCAGATTTCGGACAACAGTATGGCTCCAACTTGCTACGATGCGCAACTGTCTGGAGCGGAACGCTCGCGTCCATCAAGCTACCTGGGTATCGCAATCAATGCAACCGTAAAGGATTTCGACGAACAGGCATGTCCCATCACGCTTGTCTATGGTTTCGCAGCATGCATTGAGTTCGTGGTTTGGTGTTCTAGTCAGGACGCCAACGGTAACTACAAATGTCGCCCGAAGCTGCCCCACCATCCTTACGTCATCGATCTTTGCTCAGGCCCATGCGTGTGCTGCTCATGCATCCAACATGCCCTTCTTCGCCTTGACTCTTCGCAATAGTGTCTTCCATCCCATATAGCCATGTCCGCCCTTTTCCACTCCATCTATCAATCTTGCTTTTGCTTCTGTGTACCATACCCACCAGACTGATTAATGGCACACCATGTTAGTTTACCCGCCAGAAAGACCTGCATCAGAATTGCACTTACTGGTCAAGACCACTGCGGTCAAAGGAATTGAAATAACCCACATCAACCAGAAGTCGCGCGACACCGTAAGGCGATACGGTCGTTCATCCTGAAGTTTCATGAACTGGCTACCGAATATCGAAGCGACCGTGCCTAGCGGCATAAACACAAGCGTCATCACCGCAATAGTCTTCATACTCTGATTCTCCGACTGCATCAACTTGCTGTCACCCTGCGTGACGATGTTGAACGACATCTCGATAATGTTCGAAAGCCTCGCATTCAGACTTGCAAGCCGTCGCTGCGTCGACTCGAACAGGGTCTTTCTGTATTTGAGTGCCTGCCGAGTATGCCTTTGCGGCATCTCTAGACTTTCGCCTGTCGCTACCTTGTGATAGCTATAAAGATCGTTCAGGGTAGCCAAAGCTGCTTCGCAATTCTCACGCAGATACAATGTATGTTTCGTGAGGGTGTGCAGCTCCGTGAAGAAGTGTTTCGGCAATTCCTCAGCTGCTTTCCCCGGTTTGCTCGCGATTCCTGAGATTTGCTAACGGAACATTAGCATGAACGGTATTATATAGTGGACTGGTGGGATATAATATACCGTTTCCAAAGGTCCAAAGGTGTCTGCTATGGCCCAGGCAGTCCAATCTAGGATCTTATACATCTCCTCGAACACAATCTCCAGCAACACATATGGGTCGTTGAGTAATTCAGCGCACGTAGTTGACGCTGCAAGTGCTCGGATTCTATCATGCAGCGTGCTAGGGGCGCCAAAACATACCAGCTCTACCCTGGCTTTGACTGATATAGCGGCCAAGGTATCATCACTAGCTGATGTCGACGTTCGCACTGGCTTGGGTAATGTCGTTGATGGCTTTCTGATTCTCAGCACAATACCTGGCTTCAACCATGTGAAGTGTGTTCGACTCGGAGGTTGTATCGTCTTCCGACCTCCAGCTACCTCGGCGGGCGCGGTCGTGTTCCCGGGTATAGCAAGCGTATTACACAGGAGGTGAAACCATATGCACACTGAGCCATCCAGATCTTCTCGCGCAGCAAACGACTGCGAAACAGCTCGTAAGCTCTCATCGACGAACGCGCTTGGGATACTGCATGTCTCGAAAAGCTCAACCAGCGCTTCAGTTGTCCCTGGTGCAGGCATATCCCGGGGTGCAAAGCTAACATTGTCAGTAACTACGCTATGACTAACGGACATCCTCACATCACACGGACAGCTCCCTCGCTTTTCGACTCGAGCTCTTGCACGGACTTCAGATCAGACTCTTCTACACCCTGAGCGCCATTTTCGCGCCATTCGAACAGATCCAGTGTTATGCCAGTACTTGTCGCACCCCGCTGGGTCGCCGCGAATAATGAAGCTCTTCTTTCGAATTCATCCAAAGGCTTGCGATCGGCAGTCAAACTCCTGAAAGAGCTCATGTTTCGGCGTGTTCCGATTGAAGATGGTTTGCTGAATCGAGCGTGCGAACAGTCGGTCTGTGAGGATGGTTGGGAAGATGTTGCACGCTCACATTACAGCGATACTGTAGCGATAGCCACAGCTCGCAGGCTCGAAAGCCATCGCTCAACTCGAGCACTATTCAAGGCCACTGCTGCCTCGTCTTCCCTAGTCACCAAAAAGGTCGAGTCGAGCGCCACAAGTTTCGACCATAGCCGTGTACCATGTCAGGCGGAATTTTGGCTCGACAATTCGGGCCATGAGACCACAGGCCAGCGGTTCAGTGCTTGGCATTTTCCAGCTCTGGCCAAAAGTCGACATGAAATTTCGAGAGCTGAGAGAAAAAGTCCGAGCGGACCTATCGGGATGAGCCGTCAGCGTTACGCTTAATTGGTGGCGCAAGGCTGAAAATGCCAAGGTGGCAGCTGGCAAACATCGAACCCCTCCAAGTGGTACTGTACACGAGGTCGCGACCTGTCGCATCCGTCCAGCACCAGAACAGCATTCCCTCCACTACGCCGGGTGTATCCGCGCATGAATCCTGTGGCTTATCGATATCACCTTTCAAATACGAGTTACGTAGTGGTGTGGACGCGGCTTCATGTTGGTACAGCTAAACTCCTCAGAGAGCTGTCCAGACCAGCTTGCATCAATGCCGACGGCCAAAAGCACACGGTTGTATCGCTCGCTTTTCGCTTCATACTGTCACATGGAGAATCATTCCCTGCATGGCGCAGGCATGAAAGTCTCGCCGAACAATCTTAAATGACTAGGGTAGCCGAAGATACAGAACTACTGGAGGCGCATACTGCAGCAACGCTGCCAAGGTCAATAAATTGCAGATCACATGCCAAAACGGCCCCCAACGTTTCCCTTCGCCGCATGGCACTGGATGTTACATTGTCGTGGTCTCGACCCTTTCAATTCGTACCTTGTCCTACAGAGCCTGTCTCTAACGCCACAATGCCTCGATGGGAAGAGTGGAGTGATCAGGCAATACGAAGCGACGAATGGCAATGCTCTCTGCGCGGGCTGAAGTCGAGGGTACACCCAAAAGCAATTGCTGTAGATATCTGCGCATTCGAACGGGCGCTACACCCTCGTACAAATCGAGCATTAGTCCGAACAACAAGCTAAATATGAAAGTACCATACACTGTCGTCCGCCGAAGTTGGATTCGAAATTAGTCCCAGATTCACTGCGGCTGTATCTAGTAGAGAATCGAATGGTATAAAGACTCTACGACCTTTGGAACCTTTATTGGCTTCACTAACACCCATGAGGCTTACCCCTCCAATCTCTCTGGCAAACACGGCGGCGGCTTCGATCCTAACAATAACACTTCTATACAAGTACCCTCGTCGCAACAATTCTATCCAGTTAGTTCGCTATCAACCTTCTAGATCACTCTCTCGATCTGACAATTCTTATCAGACCCAGTTACACCACTGTGGTGGAGGTGCTTACGATCCAAACAATCCCACAAAGCCTGTCGTTGTAGTGCAGCATCAACCAGTATTACAACAACAGCCGACATTCTCACCCCAAGTACGTATCCTTCTTCCTCTTCTTAGTCATTACCCTGATAGAAGTAAAGACACAAGCCACAAACTACTACCAGCCTTATCAACAGTATCACCAACCTCCGCCGCAAGGCGCAAGTAACCAGCCGGGATTCATTACTCAGCTGTGTGCTTGTTTTAGGTGAATAGATCGACGATACCATCACCATGGTCGCGAATGACGCTCAAGCATCAGTTCGCGAGATCGCGCCATATGAACATGCTGCTCTGTACCAAGGTGACAACGGAGCAAACGAAAAACAACCAGGCGTCTCGTCTGTAGTGGTTAGTTGACCCATTGTCTTCCTTCATTCGTCGGCTGACATGACGCAGCGCAACGGCCCGATAGAGCTCAAAGGATATTCGTACATCTTCTCACCCATCACAACGGTGAAATGGGGATTCCCGAACTTCTATCGCAAGCCAGGACTTGGGTATCAGAAGCTTGGCCAACACCGTCACCGCGACTGCTTTGATCGCGAATGGACGGGCGATTATGATGATCGATACATCTCATCGTGGGATGGCAAGGTTTCTAAGCTCGTTGTACAAGCGGTCGACGATATCTTCGAAAACAACATGGGATCTACGTACCGGAGAACATTCATTCGTAACGTTGCGCCAGTTTACATGCGACTGGCTAACTGGCCCTTCAAACACATTGACTTTGCGCGGCTCAATGGGAAGATTCCTAGTGAAGACTACCCTATGCTTTGCCTCAAATGGTTCATCGCATCGTGTATCATCACGATATTTGCAAGTTGACTCTCTTCTTGGCTATGAGGCACGACTAATGGTAATTTAGATCTCTAGTCCAAGCCCTGCTGAGATACCTTCACGAAACGGGGGCAACTACGATCCCGTACCGTATCAGTACTTTGGGTACCCAAAAGTCGCCAAAAACGCGATCGAAATGCATAAATCCAAAGGTCTCGCGTCGAGTGAGGCCAACCCTATCGCTGAACGTGTCTTGCGTCCCAGATATCTCTGCTTCTTGCGCGAGCAAGGTAAGCCGGCGATGATCATAAAGGTCGAAGATTGGTAAGTCGACAAGGCACATGCCACTGGTAAGTCTCTGACATCTCCAGGCTGGCACAACAAAGCAGTCACAGCCTATCATATGTCTTTGTCGCATACACCGCCGAGCAGTTCAACACGCCCGATGACTTTAGGGTCTTGCATGAGATTGCCGACGCCGCGGCGCGCAACGCGGGTGTCATTGCATACTGGGTCGGGTGTTCTTGTATGCCTGACAACCAACTCGAGGAGGACGTGTATCGTATATGCGATGTCATTCGAGGCGCGCAGTCCCTCGTGATCGCAGTCGCAGCTCCCGCAAACAACAGGTACGAGATCAACACACCTGATCTCATGCTTCAACAATGGGGTAGCCGAGTGTGGACTTTTCCGGAAGTTCTCTTAGCTCCTGCTGGTGAGATGATCAAAGTCTATGTGCGTGACAGCGATCTATCGCAGCCAATTCTGGTCGCAAAGAATCAGTTCGCTGCTCAAGTCTGGCACGACGACGCTCATGTCGCCCGACAGCTTATCGACCACTACGAAGGAAATCTGATCTTGAGCCAGCTTGAGCTCGTCACGCTCGCTCTCGAGTGCCTGCACAAACGCCAGACTGGAGAGTATCTTCCTGGCGATCATAGCTACGCTTTGATGGGCTTGCTTCGTGTCAGGCCACAGATCGATCGTACTGACTCTGCGTTCCAAGCATTCGCGCGGTATGTAAGACAGCAATTGCATTCGCATATCCTATCACTAATACCCCATAGTCTCTCCCTTGCGAATGGTAGCGATCAGCTACTGGAGCGTCTAATATGCATGCTGCCGAAGACGCCGGACCAACCGTGGCACTCGATGGACGATGCCTACAATGCTAAGCTCTGGGACATATTGCCTCAAGATGTCGGTATTGCTGGTGTTGGTGAAGACGATAGCATCATCCTTGATGGCTGCCGTGCCGCAAATGTACGATGGAAGTCGTTCACACCTGTCGCTCACACTCGGCGCGACTCGTGGAAACGTATGATCGCGAAGTTGATGCTGCGTCTCAGCGGTGTCGTGTTCATCGTTGCTATTGCACTCCTCGCTATCCCTTTCGCTACCTCCATATTGCGCGCCATCGGCGCCTTTTTGCTCATCTACTCGCTGTTGATGATGGGCTTATCGCCATGGTTGCTTCGCTTGCTCTATCTTGGCAAGTTTTGGGAGCAACAATGCTGGTTCTTTGGCTTTGAGGGCTATATGGACCTGGAGACGATTGAGACCCAGATCTTTGGTGGTAGACTGGGGCGGATGAAGTGGACCGTACGTGCACTCTCATTCCATCCATCACGCTGTACTGATTCTGTTCTCGCACTTGTAGGCAGCGGCTAGTCCACTTTCCAGGCACGAGCGCAATGTTCATGGTGAATGTGTTCCTATCGATCCAACAACCGATCCTGCCGTCGCAGCTCTTGTACAACGAGCGAAATCAGCTGGGCCTGGAGAGCAGCGCCTCTTCACGCTCGTAGATACCGGTGAGTGCTGGTGGTAACATGAGCAGCGCGAAAAGGATACTAATGTGTCATAGGCAACATGACTGCGACTCTCTTCCTTGCCGAACGCCCACCCGTGTGTTTCCTCATGGCCGGCTCTGAGGGCGGTATGAAGCGCATCATTGGTTGCTCCTACGACTGGACCACGGCAACGATGTACCGAGAAACCGTGCTGCGAATAGGTACAGAGTTCGAGGACAAGATGTCGCGTGTTGGACGTGTCAAGATTGGCTTCAAGCGCAAGCAGCATCCCTTCGGCCCGTTGTCCCAGGTCGGCGAGGCAGAAGGTAAGCAGCTGTAGTGAATTACGCCCCGGAATGCGTTATGGTGTTTTGTTTTGCTATCGTACGAAGTTTGAACTGCGCATGAGTCTCAGTTAAGTTTTGTTGATGACGAATGGGAACTGCTGGAAGCCTGGCCCCTGTGTCCCACCATAGCGTTTGTGGGGATCTACACTAGTCCAGATAGGACGAGCCCGGTTATCTTAGTTTGGATCCGTGACGACAAAGGGCCGACTGTAGCGTAAGGTCAATTTATCTTGGTATCACACAGTCGATGCATTCGACACACCGCATTTCGTCCTCACGACATTCGCAAGAGAGATAACCGCGCCGTTCCATAGCACAAAACGTGTGTCTCTAAGCGACTGACCATGTATCATTTTGTTGACCCACTCTTCTTGGTCTCTTCGGAGGGCCAAGCGAACAGGACCGACCACCAGCTCAACAACATCGAAGCCGGGGCCACTAAGCAGCGCAGAAAAGTTCAGAATCGGAAGAACCAACGATCGCATCGTGAGTCTGGTCTTAAGCACCCTGCGCTTTGCTGAGCTGATCTCGATGAAGGGCTGCGAAAGAAGAAGCCAAACGCGGCTTCTGCTCAAGCCTCACGCCCATTTCATGTTGACCGCTGGCGTCTGGACGAACTGGACGACTTGCTCATCGATGCTGAGGAGTCTTCTACCAAGGAGCTCACTACCAGGCATGCGAATATCGTCAACTCGACAGCTACTCCCAGAAAGACTGTGGTATTCCGGGACTCACTCCTATGCGTTTCAACCGTAGTTCCAACCACGCTCAATCCCCCGCCCATGGTCTTCCCTCTTTCCACCGACCACCTCCTCCACCTAGTCCAATACAATGTTTTTCGAGCTTTCGTCTCCAACAAGCGTACCCTGAATGCGCTTCTCAAAGGTTGGTCATACGACAAGCCTTATACAGAATGTCCGGTTTGTCCTATCAGCCTTGCCTACACCGACGACACCAACGTATATCCTCTAAACCCCAACATACCTCCGTCACTATTCCCCACTCTCTTGCAGCAAGAGCGCAAACACTCGTCCTGGATCAATCTCTTTCCATTCCCTTCGCTACGAGACAATTTCATTAGGCACGAGGAACGACTCGATCACTGGGATCTGCTGGATGACCTTGTTGGGGAGCTTATGGGGAGTATACCGACCCAGGAGCGACGAGGTACGCCAGTCGCTGTCACCTTTTCTGATCCAAAGACTGCGCCGGAACAGCCAGTCGCAGCGGTAGACAACGATGACGATGGGGTCACAGCGGGCCGCAGAGGACTTATAGTCTGGGGAGAGCCTCATGTTAAACAGAACTGGGAGGCTACGCCAGAGTTTCTGAGGAAGTGGTCGTGGGCAGTGCAAGGATGCGACGATCTGCTTGCCTCTAGTAACCGTTGGAGGTTGGCGAGAGGGGAAGAGCCGCTGAGTCTTCCGGCCATGGAAGACTTGTCTTTGAATTAGAAACGTCCTAATGGGGTATAAGTAAAGTGGCCCCCAGAATGCGATGCTTCTCATTGCAAAGCCACGATTGGGGAGAAAGTAGGACATCTGAAGATTGGTCGCTAGTGTAGAGAGAGTTGTCGTCGCTATGTTATGAATAATTAGAAGGAACAATCAGATTTAATGTTTCTACAGAGATACTACTCGTCGTCCGGCAATCCTACAATCTTGAGCGAGTCTTTCCATAACCTCTGTGCCTTCTCTACATCATAAGCCCATGGGGCGTAGCCCGGTGCAGTGTACTTGTCATCGCCTTCCTTGTATGCCTCCGGTTCTGCGCAGTCAACCAAGTATCTGCCACCCCTGTTCTTCCAAGTCTCAGCAACGGCGGCCCACACCGTTGTCGCAGCACCCTGCTCGACACTCTTGATTGTAGGGTATATGTGATCCTGACCTTCGAAAGCGTCCGGAGGCAGATGCTGCATAAGTCCGGTCATGATAACGCCAGGATGGACGCTCGTGGCGTGAAGGTGGCGCGAGCCATGTCGACGCTCAATCTCATTAGCCAAGTAGATATTCGCCGTCTTGGACTGGCCATAGGCCATGGTAGGGTGATAGTCGCCCTTCTGGAAGTTGTAGTTGTCGGAATCATTGATACCGCAAATGTTGTGCGCTGAAGATGCGAGGCTGACGACGCGGGACGGGAGGCTAGGCGAGGCGGCTGCTAGAAGGGCGGGTTCTAGAAGCTTGTAGAAGAGGAAATGTGATAGATGGTTTGTGCCGAATTGAAGTTCGTGCCCATCAGCTGTGAAACGGAGATCTGGTATAGCCATGATTCCGGCATTGTTGACAAGGATATGGATCTTTGAAGTCTTGTTAAGGATAGTCTCAGCGGCGGCCCGGACAGACGAGAGTTTCTCCTGGTCCATCTCGACGATGGTCATGCGTGAAGGTTCTAAGATACCCTCGAGGGCGGATTGAGCCTTCGCTGTGTTTCGGGCGGTAAGAAAGAGGGTCGCGCCAGTGGCTGCTAGAGCACGAGTGGTTTCGATACCTATGCCAGACGATGTACCAGTAATGACAATGACCTCCCCCTCAAGTGTGTTCTCAGCCTTTTCGTCCTTGATGATTTGCATAGCTGTTGGACGCGCATCGCCTGGGCCTTTTGGCGAAACATGGGCCTGGGCATAAGGAGACATTATTTCAACGAGAATGAACTTGGATATAGAAGGTGGTCGTGGTTCGATTGTGATGAATTGGTGAGGTCTTGATTAATGGTGAAGTGTATCGATGGAAAGATGTTTCACAGGCTGGCAGGCTGACTACATATATAATGAAGGCACTGCACATAGTCACACATCGCCGGGCCGCCGCGGACTCGGCACTTACAAACCATCGCTCTCATAGGGACAGAACAGGACGAATGCTTACATCGCTGCTCCGTATGGGCATGTCTGCCATGTCAGGTACTAAGTGCTAAATGCTCGATATACCACTTGTAATGAGGCTCGGTACCTGGACACATGGGAATACTCGGACATCTAGCTGCGAACTAGGCTGGAGGAAGCGATAATGTCATCCGGTGGGGCCAAGCTAGACCGCAAGTATGGCCGGAAAGACCCCGAAGTCAAGACGGACTAGGCTGGAACGGGAGAAAATGTCATCTGCGCTAGTAGTACATAGCGTAACGAATTTCGCCAAGATCTCAAAAGTCTTTGACGGATGTCGCTTTACATAACGTTATGTGAACATGTTATGTTGGTAAAGCACCATGCCAAAACAGGGGTTAGGTGTAGAAAACAACATGTAGTACCGTAAAGCAGAGTTGTCGGAGAAGTAGACACTGTAACTCTGCAGGAGCTATAATCTGGCATCAATCGCAACTCAATGTGCAATCACTGCATCAACTTCCTGGCTAACAGCATCCTGAATAAGACCTTGAATACCCAACCCACAGCGACATACAACCTCGACATGGCTCTAGTTCCACCCACGACAAATCTCAGAGAGCAGGTGGAGATCACAGCCCGAGCCTTCTTGTCAGCATTCGAAGAGGGCGCAGCTTACAGCGACGCATCAGTCATCAATCGCGACCTTACATCCGACTGCACACGCCACTTCCTCCCGGCATCTGTTATGAAAGCTTTCGGACTTGCCACAAATACTTCTTTCGACACGACCGCTTTTCAGAGCATGTTCGGGAACGATATCAGAGTGCTGAGATTCAAGGATAACGTCATGTCCAATTTGACCATTGACATGGACGCGCGCCGCGCCGCTTTCACAGCTAAAGCTGATGTGTTTGTCAGGAGCAGTGGGAAGACGTATTCCTCCGAGGCTGCTTGGTTTTTGTACTTCAATGAGGATGGGTCCAAGGTCAAGAAGGTGGTTGAGTTCTGCGACAAGGATGCTCTGTTGGAGATGGCAAGCGATGTGGCCGCTGCATGGGGAGTGTAAAGATGAGTCGACTTTAAGCTAGCGAGCTAGGAAAGGCAAGAAACTAGCTAGAATCAGTAATTTAATGCTCCAGCAATGTATTTTCATGAACTTACATGACGTTGTGATCATGTTGTGCTGCAGATAACGTACCGCAACGCGAATGCCGAAAGCTGTTGATGCACCTTGGCTATACTCACTGAAGATATGAGCAAGCAAGTCAACGAGGGTTGAAAGTGTGATAAGCAGAAGCACGAGTGGGCTGAGAATAAGAACAAAAGTGGTGTAAAGCCAGCTCTTCGGTTTCCACCAATCCAAAGACATGACTGGCCATGTCGGATGCCGATGATTGAACTAACCAGAACGCAAAATGGTTGCGATTTCCGGCCCGCTAGATTTGAGAGATATATACATTTGTGTGCATGATATGTCAAGCTGCCGGCTTCACATTCACATAAATCCTCATCATGATTGCATCAACTATCCTCGAATGCTCCCAGAAGCAATCAAAAAGTACATCTTGTCCTTTGCAGTGAGTGATCGATTGCATAGGCGTGCAGTCATCAGCGGTGCCTGCTTGAAGTGGCTGCATCGTAACGGCGACCACCGGTACCCCATCGTGGCATGATAAAGCGCAGTATGCCTCAGGCAATGGCATGCATGCACAAGACGAATACCTCGTCTGGAATTACTGATCCAGGCGCTAGATCAGTAAATTACAACGCATTATACCTTGCCGCAGTGTGCCGATGATGCAAATTTGCTTGGTCTGTCGGACGAAGTAAGTTGCGCTCTGAGAGTAAAACTCAATCGGACTATGAAACTACTCGCACCAATCGCACACACCATTTCAGCTTGGAGAACAAGATCGAGATCAGGCGCAGGTTTGGAACTCAGGAGCCGCGCATCAATAGTAAAAAAGCTAAGAAGTCTCTTATTACCTACCGGGCTTAACAAATCCTAGGGTCCTGGCTTGACTACACGGTGCGACGAATAAGCGGCATGCAAATGGTCTCAGCCCGGGGTTATGGCTGCTTGAAATTTTACATTCCACTCCATTCGAATGCCGTATTGCGCGTGCGACAGGTATGCAGATAGGATCACCAATGTGGAATCGCGCTGCAGGCGATCTTCACTGCGTTTAGTGTGATAACAATGTGCGCATGAATAGTAGTTCAACAAATCCATGGCTCCGACAAGGAGGAGTCTGGGCGTCTGGGCCTAGGCCGACTGAACGGTGAAGTCGTGCACCGTCCCAGATACAGTTTGTTTCAGGAAAATGGTGTTGTTACGGTAGAGCTAGATATGCAGCTGCTAGATGATTGTATAGTGTTCATCAAACATAGCTAGGGGTGATACGCCCCTGCGAATTCCGGGTGGTGCTTTACAAGAATGCCTTTTGAAATGCTAGCAGTAGGCACTGCACGTAGCGTACAGAGTTATATATGCAAGGTTCGGCTGTGCAAAGGCGCGTTGCAACTACGCGCAATAGTGAGGTCACCCAGCCCAGCAGATGATGATCCGACGGGCGACGGTGGTCTATCGATGACGGAATGTGTGTGCAGGCAGACTCCCAGAATTCTGTCTTGCTTCGGTGATCGCCTTGGTCCAAGTCGGGACGGAAGCTCACATGCAAGTTGGTGTGGCTGCCAGCCACCAGAACTCTGGAATTACGTAAGAGATTCCTCAAGCATAGGCTCAGTCAAGGGACATAAGAACTCCCGCTGTAATTGAGTGCATTGCTACAATGTTGTCACCTCAGGGTATGAAGCACAGTATCGACCACCACTGTGGCCTACCAGGTAGGTAATAGTAACTGCCGGAGGGAAGTATACTTCCCTTGTTCCTGACGGTCATTCATAACAAGTGGAGCGGAGACACTTGTTTCTGATGCCCGGTTCTACCCGCCGGGCCGAGCCTGCGTTAGAATTCGGTAAGCCGCAGGAAGCTAAGGCAGTCTCGCTAGTCGTTGCGGTTACACCTGATGCAGATACGAACACCATTCCAGACAAAACCCATTGACCAGATGTAGTCAAGCGCTGGCTGTCATCTCCAACAAAAGCAAGATTCGGCGTCTAGATACTGGTAGCTCCTCTGCACTCACTGTCACAGTGTGGAGGCTGACCCACATGCAGTAGGGATTGTATACAACACCATGTGGCTGTATCGGCACGAAGTTTGACGACTGATTCGATAGCTTCGTTGTTATCATATTTTCTAACATTCACACCGACTTTAAAGATGCATAGTACGGTGGCCAAATGTGCAGCTTCGCTTAGATGCAAAGAAAGTTGCGTTCACGAAACGGGGTTGGAGTTGGTGTGAACGATTTCTCAATCTTCCACGATTATGCTATATATGCCGAATGAGAGAACTGCAAAATATCTCGACTACTGGTCAAGAGTGGAGCATATCACCCCTATCTCTCTTGTTGACGATATTGCACATCAAGCACACACGGCACTCACCATGAAGTTTCTTCTTACTATTAGACTTTCCTCCGTCTGTTCTGGGACATGCCATTCCAGCTATGCTATCTTCAAGGATACTAGCTCTGCTCTTTCTATTCCGTTTACCAGTGCAGAGGCATTCGACGTATGGATATGCGATGGCGAAGAGGTGACGGGTGACCTCATGGACAGCTGGCTCGACCAAGCTTGCCATATACCCAAGTCGATGCTAGTGCGAGATGCCACCAGCATTCCACGCCTAAAGAAATACGCCAACGGCCGTGTAGCTCAGATGGCCGAATTCTCCGAGCGAATGCCGAACGAACCAACGAAAGAATGGGAGGAATCAGTGCTCCGAGATGCAGAAATGCTCTATGCCCAAGTCCGCGCCAATCTCGGAAGTCAAAGAGTCCTTCGGAAGAAGATAGACACTCAGCCTGAGAAAGAAACTGTCCTGCTAGTCGGGGCGGGTATCATGAATCTGATAACCGCTCATTTCTTAGCTGTGCGAGGCTACTGGATTCGAGTCGTCGACCAAGGGCCAGACCCTCGCTTTTGCCAACCCAAGGATTGGGCGCGGCTCGGTGTTACAAGCGGCGGTCACAACGCTCGCATGTTCACGAACACTGAAGCCGACAATTACAATGAGCAAGGCAGCGATATATATCGGGACATGCAGCCCATATTCCGGAATACTGTCCGCAATGGCGGATGGAGCGTGAAGTCGCCAAGCGACTTTTCTAGCAAAGAGCAAGCTTGGGTCGACGCTTTTGAGCGCATTCCTGGTTGGATGGCGGGGGCTTTCAAGAAGAATATCCATGAAGTGAACTGTGAGTCCGGGAGGATCTGGATAGAACTTATGAACACCTATCCGGAGTTGTTCGATGACGTCGGCCTCCACAAGGACATTATACGCATGTATACGGAGCCAGTCGCCTTGGAGTCATCCGTCACACTAAATGGTAGACTTGGTGCGCTTCTCCACGCTCCTAGTCCAGAGAAATTCCTGGAGCAGTATCCCAGCTTCCGCCCCGCCGCCGAGACCAATCATCTTGCAGGGGGCATCATCGTGGACGGATTCACAGTGAATGTCCACCTATTCATGGCCAAGTTGATGCATCATATCGCTGCCCTGGGTGTGGAATTATTGTGGGATTGCGAAGTCCAGAGTATCCAGCGCAATTCTGGAGGCGAAGTCACTATGCTGAAGTCTAACAAGGGAGACTTGAAAGCTGATCACTTCGTCATAAGTCCTGGCACAACAAAGAATGAACTTTTGAACGGGACGGCCTCGGAGAATCTTGTCCATGGCGTTCTAGGGATCTGGTTGCAGATCCCTAATCTGAACCCGAAAATGCAGAATTCCATGAAAATTCATCGACGTGGCCACAGGGTAGAAGATATCAACATCACCGTAGCCAATGATGTAGAGACTGGTGAAGACATTCTCATCTTTGGAGGTGGGTACGGTTATGTCGGTCTAGATCGCCCAGCACCAGACTCACCAGAGATGGAGGCTCTTTACGCCGAGCTTGAGGAGGTTGCACGAATTTACTTTCCACAAAACTATGCTGCAGCAAGGAATCGCGGCCCTATGGCCTTCTACCCTGGCGGATACCGTAAGTTCTGCGTGCGGCCTTTCACACCTACAGGCCTTGGCCTTTTCGAAAGAGTTCCCACCGCTGGTGGTGGTCAGCTGATCATTACTGGTGGTAACAACACGGGTGGCTTCGCACAGGCTCCTGCTGTGGGGCGTGCAGTGTTGCGATCACTGATGGGCGAGGAAGATCCCATTCATGTGCTATTCCACCCTGACCGTGGAAGACTCCCCTTTGCCAAGGCCATTGATTTGCAAGTGCCATCCACCAGTTTGAGGCTCCAGGATGGTTTGAATACGAAGACGCGAGGCCCATTGAAACTCCTCGTGCTCTGCTCGGATGGTCCTCAGCACCGTTACCTCCGCTACCGTCTCGATCAAACCTTTCCTGGCTACCATTGCATCCAGGAAACAAGCTATGGGCAATTCCATCAGCTATTGAAGAAGCGCCGCATCGTTGACGCGTTCTGGCAGAAGTATCACGGGCTTCGCCGCCAGATCTTCGGTCATGACCGTCAGCGCAAGGCGTACTTCGATCGTCTGATACCGCAGGATCATGTATCGCCCGAACCGAACCTCGTTGTCGAGAGCGTCAACTGTCGTGACGTATGGGACGCAGTGGAGGAGTGGCAGCCCGAGCTGACCATTGTTTCGGGCACAAAGTATATCGGCAACAAGCTGACCGCGCGTGCGGGGCTAATGATCAATATGCACACAGGCCATCTTCCTGAGTACAAGGGAAACCACTGCATCTTCTTTGCACTCAACGATGGCGCAGTCGATAAGGTCGCATCAACGCTACATCAGCTCACATCGAGTTTGGATGGTGGTGACATCCTGGAGAAGGTCTTCCCGCCTATCTTGCCAGGAGATAATGAGGAAAGTCTGTACACGAGGTGCCTAGAGATGTCGATAGATCGTTGCATAGACCACGTCGGGCGCTTTTCGGAAGGACAGCAGCTGAGTTTCGTGCCACAGAAGGCGGAAGGGAGAACGTTTCGACATCGAGACCGTACCCCGATGAAGGAGTTGTGGTTATGGTGGAAAATGAACGTGAACGGCTTGCTTACTGGGATAGCTAGATCGAAGTTGGCTATCTCATAAAAGACGATATGTGAATCTGGAGTCGCGCCAAGAGCGGAGCGTTGGGGCTACTGTGTAGCGAGTGTCTCGAGACATCTGAATAGCATGCACATAGACCTCATGTTCGAGTATACATATATATAGGAACTCCCTGAGTCCAGTCGTTCTAAGTAGACTGTTGAAGGCCTCAGGTGACCTCAAAAGCTCTATGTGAGATAGTACCTAGATGCTTGCCTCCCTTTTCCTCGTTCAATAAGCCATACAGCATTTGATGCAATTGTGATAGTCATTCTTCCAAGGTTCAGCAGTTTCTATAGGCTTCATAACTATCATTCTTGAATTTATGCGGTAATGTTGGCTGGTCAGTTTCAGGGCGCTGTAGAGTCCTGCGACCGCATGGAAGCAACGATCAGGAAGAAATTTTCTAGTCAGATCGCCACCTATCGCCGGCTACCCGGAAGTTCTCCTGGCTGTAAGATCGCATGATTTGATTCGATGTGGGAGATGGGACAAGCTGAACAAGCTGGAGATACCGGACGACAAGTAGTTGTATTGCGTCATCATTGCTATGCAACACTATGACATGGGCATCGCATACGCTGCGACAAACGACCTGAACAACGCAGACGCCCAGCGTGAGATATTTCAGATGACTTTGGAACACGTGCCAAAAAGTCGATTAGATTCTCAGAACCGCATTGTGGACGTACTCAAAGTGGCCAGTTCCATGTTGAACGGCGAGATCGAATACCGGAAACAGAACTATGATTTCTCATTCTTCCCAATACGGGAAGCTATCAAGCATGAAGAAAATCTGACGTATATTGAGCCTTGGGGTTGGATGCTCCCGGCAAGACATCCATGTGGCGCTATATCACACAATTTCAACGCCCACACACGAAAGACCGAGAAAACGCTTGCCGTATCTGAAGACGACTTCCGTGCCGATTGCTGGCTGATTTAAGCAAGCCTTTACAATGGAACTATGGCATCACATGCATTACATAGGGCATGTATTCGTTGCGCGTTTCGTAACCTTACTACTTTCGAAACCGAGTGTGCATATGCCCAAGCTCTGTCTGCTTCGGTCACACGACGTTCGCGCTATCAATGACTTGCCATCAACGGCTAGTCTATGCAGACACTTTCCTTCCACGACTGGTTGTACCCAACAACCGAAATTACGAATGTTTCCACGTTCAGGTAATAAACATGCCATGTAGGAAATCTCATCTTATGCGATACAGATGGGGACTACCTTACAATGAATACACGTATTTCCCAATCTGGAAAGTCCGACGAGAACACCAGGTCATTCTCAAAATCTTCGTCCGATTCTTCTATAAATCTGCCACAATCCTTACTAAGATCATAGTGGTCAGCTTCGTCCTCTGGGGTTCGATGTAGCCCCTGGCGCATGTCATGCGTCATCTTTAGACCGACCATTAGGAGATCACCAGTAGAATCGAGCTCTTCAATGGCACATCCGTCCTCGTACCGGTCTCCATCCCAGTCTGGAATTTCGTCGAAGACCCGGAATATTGCTCTGGAAGATCTGCGCCCCAGCCATACCTCGAATAGTCCAGCCCTTTCATACATATCCTGGTTAGATGTAGGGCAAAGTATTAGGAAGCTAAGTCCGCAACGATCATCCCGCAAGGTCAAAGGACTATTGTGCGAGTCATTGGTCGAACCGATCAGTACAACGACGCAGTTCTCCCATTCCGTCTGTGTAAGATCATCCCGATCCAGACTTATTAAGCTTTCCTCATCCCTGAAGCGAAGTTGACCACCTGGCTTCTCAATCGTACATTCAGTCGATTTAACATACCGCGACGGGTCGACTGACTGCCTCCCCATGCGTACGCGGGGACACCAGCCTGAGATTCTTATCAAATGTGGATTGCCGTCAGCCCCATAGGGCCGAGTTTGAAGATCACTTCGATTGGAACATTCTGCGGTGGAAACCCATAGCTCCTCCGATGGTATAGTCTCCCGCTTTGAAGTAGCCTCCAAGTCGATATCGCTGGGCTTTTGTACGGAAACGGACGCTAGGGAATGTCTAGATGGGAACCAAATTATCGGACCCTTCCGACTGAGCCATGACCAAGTGAGAAATCCCTCTCTTCGCGGAGTCCGCATATCGTGATCGCCCCTCCAACAGAGTTCCAGTCCGTCTTCGTCAAATGGCACACCACATATATGGCCTACCGTATTAGAGGGCTCTGCTTTCGACCAAGAATTAAGGACTCCATGGATGGCGTTGTATACATCGCTGTCATACGATAAATTCTTCTTTGTGAATTCCTCAATGATATGGCGCTTGGTTGTCACCGGTATAAATGTGGTATGCTGTGACTGGCCTCTTTCAAACAAGAAGTAAGTATCCAAATTCTGTCGGTAACGTTGACGGCCACACTCATACTCGTCTGCAAAGCACCACTGAAGCAGAGCATTATCCCAGGTAACTCGTGGGAAAACGGTTTCGTTGCAGTAACCGTGTTTACATATGTATGTGACTTGGTAGTCGGTGAAGATGAGCTTTCGAGTTGCAAAGTACCCTTCTTGCAATGTCCTGACGAAGTTGTCATGTATCAGTCCAAGATCGACCTGTCACACTGTCAAAAGCTTACCATCCACGGCTCATCCATGTAGATGCCTCGATTTCATTGCATACTTCCGGAAATGTCTGTAGCAATGTACAGTTCCTTAACTTGATAGACTGCTGGGGTATGCGAGCCTGAGCACTCACTCCCGGTAGTCCGTATGTCGGATCATCGCCAGCTGCAGCTATAATAACCAATGACGCCTCAGAGTAGATGACGTCCATCTGGCTAATTTGAGCATGTTTATCTTCATGATTGTCTTGATCGATACACTGCCTCGTTGAGAACCTCTTCGGCAATTTTGAGCAGCCTCGTGGCACACTTACGTAGCGGTCGATCCCTGAACAATCCGAAGAAAGGCATGGTTAGCGTAATTCTCCCCAAATCATCTCGCGATTGAGCAAACGTACAGATATATTCAAATCCAAGTTTCAGGCAAACGCTGAAAGTATCTTCGATGGTCCGCGGGAAGCGCTGGCATTGCAATTTTTCTAGTGGGTTTTTGCCCCATACATAAGAGAGTGCGACATAGCGACACTCTTGTGAAGGCCTGGTGATCTCACGTGATCTGCAGTGGATCAAGCGGAATCCTCGCAGATAGGCCGTCTTTTGACGAGGCTGCGGTACCATGTCAGCGTTGAAACAGGACTGCAACCAGTGCTGTATTCGGTCGAAGTCAATAGAGCTTGGATTCAACAGACGCGACATAGGATCCAGGTGACTATCCTGTGTTGGACTTATCTCAAACACTGCTGTTTTCGTCGACCACAAATCGTAAAACACCACAGGCGCCGGAGACCACGAAGAGAGCCTGCCTATTACGCCAGAGTAGATCGAACCCATCCATTCGATGTGGATGTCTCCTCTACCATCCCAATTTGCTGTGAACATTGCGCACAATGCGCAAGCACCATCGTTCAGAGGGAAACCCGCAGAGTCCGTCCAAGGAGGCAACGCAATTCTGTTCATATCACGATCGGCTCGCATGAGTCGCATACGGGCAACGATACCCGGAAGATCCAAATTGTCGCATCCGGAGCAGAGAGGGGTTGATGTAGGGTCAGAATCACGCTGAGTGAGGACCGGAAGCTTATGAAACCAACTCTTGGATAGTTCTCCATCGCGCCTGATGTATCGACAGGGTCTGTGGCTTGGAAAAGACATGATTAAGACTGCTAGATAGCTTCTTTATGTTATTAGCGGGCAGCGCTTCACCATAAGAATGATTTTGAAACTCAGCTGAGTAGCTATTGCATTGCTGACTACGCCACAGCCCGCTGCACAACCCAGTAAGCGAAGCTCAGCCTCCTTTGCGCATCCAATCATGGTAGGCGCGTGGATATACATGACACGATTGTATCTTGTAAGGACCAAGCCGGTTAGGGGCGAATACGAAAGTCGACTAGACATGGATGAACTGGTGATAAGCATTGTTCGCCTCTTTGCCGACTATATGATGCAACCCCCAACTCGTAGTCTTTAGATACAGCTCTGTAAGGTCTTGATATCGTATTGTAGTGGCCGGCGATTCGTCACCATGATGCAACTATTCTAGGCAGCAGCCGAGGAACGCAGCCTCGTAGCTCTTATACCGACCACACCACACGCCTTGTACCCGCCCTGTACACTGGTACCGGAACAGAAGCTAGCGTCGAAAGAAGGCTGACCAGAGGGCCCGCTAGGTGCGGAAACGTGGAAGGAATAGCGGCATGCGGCGGCGCTGCAGATGCTAGAGAAGCTGGTAACGTCCCAGATCCAAGGGACTGCTGCTGCTGATGCGCCCGAGGCAAGCAGAGCAAGGGCGGAGATGCTGGACCGCATGTTGTTACAGTGAGGTGCGTGGATGAGGTGGGAGGTGCGAAGGCGTGCTACTTTGTTCGATGTTTTCTTGGGGACATGGCAGTAGGGTTTTATACAGCTTTGTTGATCGTATTCGATGCTACCGTCGTATTTCTATAGCTCTTGCAGCTTCGACGGCGACATAGCACATGACGTTGCAGGAACGAACGACACGTTGCAGCAGGGTATGAGGCAATGCGTGGGTCGAGGTCACTTCCGTGGCATGCTCCGCCATCCGTATCCGCGATACCATACTGCAAGGGCGCGTAACTCAGTGCTGCACGCCGGGTATGGCGTCGTAGCATCGAAATTGTCGACATTTCGCTTTGGGTGGGTTGATGATGCTGACTGCGTGTGACACGAGCAGCAAGCAGTGCCGAGAAAGGAAGCATGCAGAAGCAATGTCTGCAAATGAAGCGCGATATATCGATAACTTGTGTCTGATCCGCAACATGATCCGTCATAATTGCCTGCCATGCTGGGTGGACCAGCCCAGCATGCTCCAGTGGCGCAGTACCTCATTCCGGCACCCCTAGAGTCTCCCCTGTGCCAGTAACAACCTTCTTCTTACTCACGGGGCTCCCCGTGTACACATGGCTATCAGTCACAGCCCTCATCATCCCCGGCCTCCTCTGTGTACTCGGCAGATCAAACGGACTAGCATGGCCATGTGCAGACCCGAAGAGGCCAATTCTTGACTTGTCACCAGGCGTCGCCACTGATTCCACAGGAACCGGCACCGGTTCCGGTTCAGCGAGCGGATCGGAGAGGAAGAGCGTGAGTAGCTTTTCGACGACGTCGCGCATCTTATCGGGTGTGGCGTGAAGGGGGACAGTGGACATGTGTTTGCGCTGGACCTGGTTAGTTGTAGTCTCGAGACGTAGGTGTGGACAAGGAAGTGTGTAACATACCAATGCCAGTGAAGCGCCTTTGTAGGTCTGGTGGTAGATGAGTTTGTAGTCGTCGTCCTTCACAGCCTCCTCAGCCGCCGCCTCCTCGCTCAACTGTTGGCTTTCTTCTGCACCAGTTGCAGAGGCGCGACGCGATCTATTCTGCTTCCGTTGCTGCAGTCCATGCATTCGCATTGCGGCCATGACCACCTTCACAAGTGCATCCTTGTTCCGCGACTCTGTTGTCGGCTCTTCAGGCTGTATGGGGACTGTCGCGACCTGTGACAAATTGCTCCGTCTGGCATGAGATTCTGGCAATCCCTTGCGACTCAGCGGTCTTGTATCTGAAGAGATGCTGGGTGATCGAGAGATGCGGTGCGATGTAGGTCGGGACAAGTGGTCGGACGCAGACGGTGGTCTGGAGTCTGAATAGGACGAGGCTTTTGTGTCGATGGAGAGGGAGGATTTGCGGTGGGTGTATACGTTCTGGGATTCGCTGACTCGGGCTGCGGCTGCGGAGACTGCGCGTCCGCCTCGGCCCCGTGCTTTCTTGTACTGGATGGTGGCTTCTTCGAAGAGATCGCGGTTGCGTTTTGGTGATTTGGGGGCAACATGGGAGTTGTGTAGTGGTGGCAGAAATTGCGGTTCAGTAACGCCAGGAATGTCGATAGTTGTATGCAGCAAATCAGACGAAAGTGGTAGAGCGTGTACTCGGAGCTCAGGTAGGACCTCGCCGTGCGCATTGTCGACGTAAGGCGAAGAGGACGGTGGTGTTGGTAGCTCGCTTGTCGACGAAGCAGCAATAGTGCCGTAGAAAAGTATTTCAGTCACTCTTGGCCTATGCACATCTTCTTCCTCACCTCTTTGAACTTGTACAAGAATGCCAATTGGTGATTGCGAGCGCGCCAGGTCCCACCACTGTCTTACATCATGGCTGGTCGTTTTTCCCGGTGGGGGATTGTTCAACAATATCGACTCGAACCAAGCTTGAGTCGCTTCTTCTGTTGTCCACACATCTAGACTGGGCCCAGCAGCAAGATACAGCGGTATCTTGGAAGTATCGACGGTGGTGAGGAAGTGTAGAGACGTGGCGGGGAGGGTGGGTGAAGACGCGGGATTTTGCGACGCAAGGCTGATTTCTGGGGTTCGTTAGCCGCGGCAGGCTCTGAAGAGCGATTATATGTACCTCTGATGGCATTATTGTCTGGTAGCAGGATGTTACCACTCCAGATATCGGTCATCGCGATTATCTAAGTATACGTGTGGTTCATGTTCAAGATGCGGGACGGAACGCGACTGCTATGACGCGTCGTCCCGAAGTCGCGCTAAACACACGCGACTGCACGTGGAAGATCAAAGGCTCCAATTTCGTCATAGCAATCCATTCACATAGTCACTCGATGGACAATCTCTACAGACAGGTCATCATGTAGCGCACTTTTGTAGACACTCTTGAGAACCTTGCAGTCCATCATCTCAGCCCGCAAGCCTCAGGATGCCACTGCCGTCTCATCAACCCCTTCAACCCAGCATCCCCATCATAACCCCACCTAATCCAACCATCACACTCCCATACCCCCAGTGATTCCACTCCCCGCCTCCCGCTTCGTTTCTCACGACCCACCCATCCACGCCTGCACAAGCCCCTGCCGCGACTAGCAACAACCCCGCATTCCCTCGATTCCCAGCCCACGTCGCCGCTAAGATGGCAACACCCATGAACGCGTCCTTCGCGCCGTATACAACCATGATGCGCTCTACCAGCGCCCATTCTGGTAGCGACCAGGCAGCGGGTGTGTTGGGGGCGGTGCTGAAGCCGAAGAGTTGATAGCCGCGGCGGGGGTACAATATGTAGGTCAGGCCAATGGTCAGGAACATGCCACCAAAGGCGCCGGAGAGGAATGAGACATAGGGGTGGGTAGAGAGGGCGCGTGGTGGCATTGTGGTCTTGCTCTTGTGGTCTCGGTCTGTATGAGACGATTTCCAGGGCGATGGGCGTCCTCGTGTCGTACCTACTTGCTGTCTTTGTACTCGTAACTCGTGCGACGTGTGCACACGATATCACGGGATTCTCGCTTCCCGAGAACACCGGTGTTCCGGAAGCAAGCCACGAAGCGTAAGCCATCAAGGCGTCCTGCAGCGTCCTTCGGTTACACCATCTGTCAGGCGTACAATGTGTGAAAGGGCGCTGTTTCCTCCGCGCCACGGATTAGGACGCTCAACAAATGCACCTACATTGGCAAACAGCCTCTGAGCCCATCTACAAACTATGTTCCTGATGCGCCGGCTGCATACGTCAGCCACGCACTTCAAGAAGGCTCTGCAACTGACTTTGTTCTCGAGGGCACTAGGAAGCATATCCAATACAAGTGGATTCAGCAATTCGACCAATTTTGGGCCAGGCTGAGAGAAGATCCGGACGTCAAACGAAGTATGGGAGACCCAGTCTCTATGTGGAATACTTGGCCCGTGTCTCGTAGTCGGCAGTATGACATGCGAGGACGTTGAGATCAGTATGAACGCAGCGAAGACCTGAGGGCGCAAAGCGCAAGGCGAAATCTCAGTGGGTGAGATCCTTCTACCATCTGGTGGAGTAAATAATCTGGGGAAGGACGTGAACCCCAAGCTTGAAGCGAGATATTCACAGCATACAGCCACTCTGTTCACAGCCAACATGGGCGAAAGTAGCATCTTCGCAGTTGAGCTGAAGATAGTGACGACCGGTGTCATCCACCGAAAGCTCTTGCGGCTGAAGGACGAAGGGCCGAACGTCAGTGATGACCGTCTGACTGGCATGGACTCGGACGAAGACAGCGACGAGAAGGCATCTGTTGATGAAAACTTTATCTTGGCTGATCTAGACACAGATACAGTGAAAGATATAACACATGACTAGCGAGCGGATGTTTTGTTTTATGCACCTACCTTCTGTTCGGTTAGCCGACCAACCTATCATGTCGGATGTTTCGTCATCAAGAGATTTCTTATTACGCATAGATACGTGCTTTGCCAATGTCTCAAGAAGGGAGCAGAGATCGTATTTAACAAGAAGAAAAGGTTGGTGGTACGTTGAATCGGAATTCACGATGAGAGTTTCAGATCCTGTACACGAAGTCACGTGATAACGCATCTTGCGAAAACAAATAGCAAGTGAGCTGTTGCCTAATCTCTTCCGTGCCACCTGCAAGCCACAAACCTCAGGTCTTTCCCACTTCTGTCGCTCTGCATCCGCTGATAGGACGGATCTTGTCTACCCCGCTATCAGGCCGATCGCCACCTTGGCTGAATGACACTGCCAGCGTCGTAACATAAAAACCCAAGTAGGCTTGTCACGTTTAGCCTTGCTGCCACGATTTATACGGTACGAAAGGTGACACAACACACTCCCCAGTAGCCGCCAAAGACGGATGTGGATATTCACTACGACTCCAATCCACCCTACTTGTGCTTCACATCCCTCGAAATCGCCGGTTTCCGTACGTTGCGCTTTCTGATCCAATGTCGACAAGGCTGTAGTATGTCTGTCTCCGTAACCCCATCACTTTGTGATCGGTGCTCTTCCATGTTCCAAGGCTCTGTTCTTAGGAGACCGTTGCATCATCATACTTCCATTCAGATTCTCGAACAAGAAGCCAACAAGAACTGTATTATCTGTAGGGACGTCTGGAAGAATTTGGTAAAAAGACCGGACTTTGATCGCGAAAGTTGCCATGGTGACACCACAAAAGAAGGCTACGTCACAAGTCATGTTATGTTTAAGGATTCCATCCACGTTGATTTAGTTGGACGTCAACGTCAACTCAGATTGCATCTGCATTTTAGGTATGTGGAAACGCAACGTAAGTCTGCTTTTCGGCCATCTCGAGTGTGATCCCTGTGCACTAACGTCAAGCAGTAGAGCATCAAACCCAACATCATACCTCAAGCACCTGGGCCGGATCTACCTCGAACTTAGAGGCTCCGAAGAAATGGCTGTCGCAATGCCTTGGGGCACACCCAAGATGTCAGGCTGCAGAACTTTTGAGGTCGCGAAGGCCTAGAAAACCTTCTACAATGCGCCTTCTCCAAATTGAACAGGTGAATGAAGACCGGGTCCGCTTGTTGGTCAACCCGTTCTCAGATCCAGCATTTGCGCCTCGTTATGCAACATTAAGTCATTGTTGGGGACGGGATCCATTCTTCATGTTGACTAATCAGACAAAGGACCAGCTGACGAGCGGTATTCTGACGTCTATTCTTAGCCAAACGTTCCGGGATGCCATATCGGTGGCAAGGTCTCTGAAGATACAGTATATCTGGATAGATTCCCTGTGCATAATTCAAGACTCGAATCAAGATTGGGAAGAGCAGGCGCCTCTGATGGATGAAGTTTACCGTCATGCTTTTCTTTGCATTGCGGCGGCTGCTAGCGCCAAGAGCAGTTCTGGGTGTTTTCGCACACGTGAAGCCAGCTCCAGGGTAACTTGCGAGGTAACGTCGTCTTGGAACGATCGACCTAATAGCGTTTATCAGATCTATAATTCGAGAATCTGGCCCGACGCGTTTGAGGATCAACCTCTTAGGAGCAGAGCTTGGGTAGTTCAAGAGTTACAATTGTCACCAAGAGTCCTATACTTCAACTCTAACCAGATCTTTTGGCAGTGTTACGACAAACTTGCCTGCGAAGAACTTCCCATGCAGATTGAACCCGATTGGCTCACGGCCCATCATCAGGATAATAGTTTCAAATTCAGCACCTACGACTATCACCATCAGCCATTGGTCGGAGATCGAGCCCAGCCCATGATCCGTGGCAACGAGTATATGCATACCTGGCTCACAATCCTTGAGCAATACACTAAGTGCCGGCTTACATTCCCCAAAGACAAGCTAGTGGCAATATCGGGCATAGCAAGGCTCTTCTGTGAGCCTCTCGCCGATACATACTGCGCGGGGCTGTGGATCCGACGAATGCCAATCGAACTTCTCTGGAAAAGGGGCATCCGGGATATTCCAAAGCCTGCAGTTCCAAAATCAACGCAAGAATGTTATCGAGCCCCTTCCTGGTCCTGGGCAAGTGTGGATGGGCCTGTCACACCAGAGGCAAGCTACGATGCAAGTCAAGATACAGTCGTTATTCTTGTGGAAATCAAGAGTTGTCATGCAGATACCAAGACAGGTGATGCTTTCTCTGAGGTGTTAAACGGGATCATTCGGTTATCTGGGTTCTTATCAAAAATGCGACTCCGACCAGTCGCGGATTCGGAATCTGTTGCACACTGGAGTGCATTCGTCTATGAACTGTGGTTAGATCACGCTGATCGTTTGGGTCAGCCACGCATTGTATTGGATCACAAGCCTCTGGAGCCGCAAGAAATGTTTTGTTTGCCCATCGTGCTTTTCCATGGTCCTGACGATTGGGAACTCGAATGCCTTATCCTAGTTGCAATTGAAGGCAAGAAGGACACCTTCAAACGCTTTGGGAGATTGACTATTCCAGTCGACGAACTTTTGGTGGCAGATTATCGCAACCACGAACTTGGAGGCGAGGAGAGCGACATTGAACTTGGAGACGAAGACAGCGATTATGAACTTCAAGCTGAGGATAGCCATGTTAAAGTTCAGAGCAGAGATAGCGCTTGGCATTATTTCATACTCTCCTTGAGTAAGCACATCGAGACTGATATGGAACCTGACGATTCGCTGGACTGGAAAACGATAGCTGTTCCGGGGGCTGTCGAAATATCGATCGAGTAAAGGCGTGGGAATAAATCTTCTCACAGGATACACCAATCACATGGAAGGAATTCTTTGGTCGCTTCATTTTTGTTCGTGTATGTCGTTCCTGCTGTCGCTTCTAGGATTCGAGCCCTTCACATACTTCCATGCCCTTTCAGGTCCATCTTTGGCACTTGTTTCTAGAGTCTTGTTAATCTTGGCAGTTCGTAGTGCGGCGAGGAATGCGTTTCTGCGATCATATCACATCTTGACGACCAAAGCGCCGGACCTCGCGAGATTGCTCAAACTAGAAGCGCCTCCAGCAACAACTTTGTTTCGCGTATATTGCATATCTTTGTCTTGACATTGAGCGAAAGGGGAAAAGATCAGTTTGCTATATCATTATGACAGATACATCCAAGAATCCATCAGGCTCTTGGTAACTGTTGTTGGCTGTCAGAGCTAGGCCCCAACGTCCAACTGATCAGGGAAAGCAGACATATCCATCAGCGCAGCGTCCAACGCATCAGCTCAACACAGAAGTACCCTAGCGGAGGCGATTCATCCTGTGCCGTGCAGTATCGGGTCTTCTGACAGCTGTAACCCTCCCCTTACACAAAGCATCGACATGAAACTGACACCCCAACCCCAACACCTGTCCCAGCCGCCCCTCGCCCCTCCAAAACCTCTCTCGCACCACATTAGACGCCTCAGATAATCCCTCATCCTCACTATCAAACAGCGTAATCTCCCTAACCAAATCCCAATGCTCCGCCTTCTTCCACCTTAACAGCATCGGTTCCAACAGCCTCCCCGTAACATTTTTATTCCGGCACGTAGTAGCAAAATCCTGAATCTGGCCGTCAAACCAGGATAAACCGGGGTCTGCGGGCTGCCAGACGGACAGGGAACGGAAGGATGTTGGTGATGTTGACGTAGCGAAGTCGAGGAGGGAGAGCGCAGCTTGGAACATGTACGACACGTCCATGCGAGCATTCATTCGATACTGCGCCTCGTCTTTGCTCTCGGCGAACGTGAGACCGTGTGGTAAAATACTTTGATCCAGGGGGAAAGGAAGATGTGCGTGCGAGAGATCAGGGCGTAGTGTGAGGTGCTGCAGATTGGGCGGAAACAACGGGTAAATCTCCTTTGTGATGGAAAAATCGACGTCGCCTGTTAAAAAGGGGAGGGGCACTTCGAGCGTGTGCAGAGCGGTGAAGGCGGTGAGGTCGAGGTACCCATACAGCATCTCGCTGATGCGCGGTTGCTGGAAGAAGTAGAGCGAAGTGTCACTGTATTCTGCACTAAAGACCAAGACTTGTAGCGTAGAGGAAAAACGGCGGAGGTGTTCGCTCCAGGCGTCTAGCGAGAGCATCTGGTGGTGATACGAGGGGGGTAAGGGGCCGGGGAAGAAGAATTCGTAGGTAAAAGAGCGTAGTTTGGGCACGCATTGTAACAAGGAAAGTAGAGCCGGTGTGAATGCCCCGGAATGTCGAAAGACTAGTGTGGTGATGTTGGTGGCTCTCGTGCGATCTACTATGGGGTTCGTAAGGTGCGGGTGTGCTGTGTTCATGTGTTGCAAACCCACGGGCCACTTGAGATGGGAAAGTTCCAACGTCTCGATACTGGGAATGTTGAGGAGGTGATCAAGAGTCATGCGGCTGTTATCGCCCCGGTACGCAACTCCAGTTCTACTGTCGAACATGAGAGATACTTTTTTGATAGTCGATAATCGTGTCAACAAAATGCGCGAGGGGTACCGCTTATTCCAAGCAGTCTCCGGATCGAGGTTACGCAGGATAGTGTGCAGGTGGTGGAAGGTTACGGACTTGCAGTCTGCTACGTCCAGTCGACATAGATTGGGCAGGACAAGCAGGATCAAACTTGCGTAGGCGGAGTACTCGCGCAGACTAATTGCATCTATTAGATAGTCGTCTGTAGCTACCAACGTCTCGTCACCCAACACGGTCATGGCTTTCCGGAACATGACTTGGTCATCAAAGTTCTTGTCTGGTGGTAGCCAGTGCTGGCCTACCGAAAAGTCGCTGCTAGGCGATAGGCCGAGGCGTATTGACTCGACGTTATTGGCTTTGCGGGTGGAGTCTATGATGGCTAGGCAGAAGCGATCGATCCGGGGTAGTCTGTTGTTGGGCGAAATGAAGAGGTCAACATGACGGTACAAAAAAGGGATGGCGAGTTCCAAAAGATCCTTGTTGAGTTGGCATACAGCGTAGATGTCGTGCTGGGGAAGGTAGGATACAATGTATTCCACGAGCTCGGCGGGGAGAAGGGAGAACGATGCCATGACAGTGGGGATGATGAAAAGAGAGGCAACTAGTGTTGTGTGATGCTAGCTGTATGAGAAAACCGTGGAAAATTCATACCCTTCACGTTGAAGCATGAAAAAGTCAATGGCAGGTCTTGTGTTGTTGACAGTTGCGCCACTCGAAGTGATGCCTAGTGAGATAGAGGGGGCCGAGGTCCGTGCACAGCACTTACCGTAGAAGGCCATCAAACGTCTGTGTATGCAGACGTTGTCTAGAAGATGATCGGTTGCTGCCATATCATAGCATAGTCATATGCTGATCCCGCCGCCCATCTGCCGCCTGTGTTGGAGAAGGTGATACACAACCATACACATGGCTACGTCACAAGCGGCGGCTTCAAGATACTATGCCGATCATATGCGTCCGCACATGTGAGAAAAAACGTTTCCCAGCACCGGCGCCACGAAGAGCGCCGCATCAGCCTTTACATGTGCTACCTCAGCCCTAACGCGACGTTCTAATGCTGGGACTGCCCCGCGTTCAGGTGGGTATGGATAGACATGACGAGCGGCTAGTCCAGCCGCCGTGCGTCGTATGAGATGCGACATGTTACTAAGAGCATGGTATGCGCACGTTCCCCGGGTGTTCGGGACTGCTTGGGGCTGACTCGAGGTGTGTGAGCAAGGGAACGACGCGGATCTGCGAACAACAGATGGTAGCCGGGCAGACGGCATGTCATCGCGATCGCATCTCGAGCATGGCGGGTCGGTACTGGGCGTTTATCTGATGGCGCGCGATGATTTGCCTGGAGAAGCTGTGTAGTTCTAGCCTCGGTCAAGGCTCGGGAGGCGGTCGAATGACAATCAGCTGGTTCCGACTTATTCCTGGTTTCCAGTCGTCGACGAGCTTCACGGCACCAGCAACGGACCGATACGCCAAACCTGCCAGACGCCTGCGCTCTGCTGCCCCCGCCATCTCCTATAAACACGGCCATCGCCTACCCCGCTGGTTTTGACGGCACCGCATCCCGCTCTCATAGACGCTACGCCGAGCTGCAAGTCGCCTACGTCACACGCACATTCGCGCGTAGAATTACCCACCTTTGGTCGCGAACCCGCCTGGTTCTGCGGCGTCTCCCTCGCCATCTCGCTGAGCGCATGGAAACGACCGGGACGTAGTGTCCGAGCCCCACGGCGTAGTCGTAGTGCCTTGTTCACTGTCGTTGTTGTTGTTCGGTCGCGACACAAAACAACGTGTTGCGGAGCCGCCAACACCTCACCTCCACACCGCCGCTTGACTTGCTGCATTAATAGTGTCACGGATCGAACACGCAACCTCTACAAACAGCCCAAAACTACCATGACTACCAACAGGCCCTTCTTTGGCGGCTTCCTCGCCGCCTTCCGCGCGCAACAACCCAATCTACAAAAGACGACGGCCTCGCAAGCAGCGTCTGTAGCCTCGTACTCGCAAACCACGGCCTCGCAACAGAGCCAGACTCTCGACACAGCAGCAGCTTCCTCGCGCACAATCACCACCAAGACGCGCTCACCGTCGCCCGGTGCAACGACTGTCTCGGTGCAAGCAACAGGCCATTTCCAGCCAACCAGACAACACACCGCTCCCTACAACCGCTCCACCTCCCCCAAGGCCCAGGCCTTCCCAATACCAGGCGCGTCGCAACGAGGCAGACGGGGCTCGGACAGCTCGTCCGAAGGCTTCCACGAAGTCATGGGCGCCGAGAAGTGGTACATTGGCGGCCGAACAGCAACGGGGGAGGAGAAGTTCTACAAGCTGGGCATGGTCAAGCGACACAGAAGCGCCGACCGCTTGAGTCTCGACAAGCTCAGCATATGAGACGGTCGGGACGAGATTCCTTTGGTTGAAAAAGCGTAATTGCATCATCGGCGTTTGGGGGAACATGGACACGGCATCTCAAGGCAAGATCCAGGTTTGGGTATTTTTAGAAAGCCCCCGTCGTATATAACTTTGGGACCGGCTATAGGCTTACATATACACGTATATATCTGCGCTGCTCTTCGCTGAGCTCACTCGAGAGAAGGGCCGTATGTGTCGCGGATTTGCAGCATGCATGTGACGACGGTTGGCATGAGTCATGTGGCACGGAAAAGTCTTTGCAGGCACCTTATACCCGGACCGCACACTGCACCTCACGCAAACTCGACGAACCCAATGTACCCAACGACACTCCCAACTTGGACATTTGGTCGGTGAGCGATACTACATATCCATCGGCGGCAAAGTATCCGACCGGACATTTCTGCTCCGATGCCCATGTCGCGCTGCTCCACCCCTCGCGCTACTCCACTCGCCGGATACGCCAACGCCTCGAAGCGATGTACGCGAAAAACCCTGCACGGAAAAGACTCTGTTTGGACAATTCTTCGACGGAGTCTAGTACCCACCCGCGGATATGAAGCCGTAGGAAGACGCTAATGTAGCAAGATTGCAGAAAGATAGCCCAACATGCATCGTAGGGCACGCATATCTAACGTCTCGAGTCACTTGTTCCTCTTTCTCCAAACATTCTTCCTAACTTGTGGTTTCAAACATTCTTTCCTGACTTGAGTGGTACTGCAAGTCTTGTATCACAGCAGCACATGTCCTTGTAATCTTCTCCCGCAGGAGCATCATTCTTTCCAGGACTCGCCTTCTATGAGTACGCAAAATGGCACCCTCTTCCACATCCTCCTCAGCACCCGCTGGCCCACGGCAATCTTCCCACCCGGCCACCGAACCTGAACATCAAACAACCGAATCTGAGAAGAACACCGAATACGCCTCCATTATACCTGCACCACGGCCTGACGACGACCAACAAGGCCGCCTTCAACTCCAACGCACAGTCTCATCAGTCAGCCACCATGACATGGCCAATGTGCAATACGTCGCAACAGGTGACAACGACACCATCTACAACAAGTTCACCCCACGGCGAAAAATGATCATCGTCGCCGTCGTCTCCTTCTGCAGCTTCCTAGCCCCCATCTCCTCGACGACTGTCCTCTCCGCCGTTCCGGAAGTAGCAAAGACCTTTTCCACAGACGGCTCCATCATCAACGTCTCAAATGCCTTGTACATGCTCTTCATGGGCCTATCCCCCTGTTTCTACGGCCCTTACGGAAACATCTACGGCCGGAAGTGGGTGAGCGTAGCAAGTGCAGCGTTATTTACCGCATTCAGCATCGGCACGGCGCTAAGCCCCAACCTCGCTGCCTTCTTCGTCTTTAGGATCCTGACCGCGTTCCAAGGCACCGCCTTCCTCGTCATCGGATCAGCAGTCATAGGCGACATTTACAAGCCGACCGAGCGCGCAACAGCGCTAGGTTGGTTCCTCTCCGGCACGCTGATCGGGCCCGCGCTGGGCCCGTTCATCGGTGGCATCATCGTCACGTTCCGCTCGTGGCGCGACATCTTCTGGCTGCAGACGGCGCTCGCCGGTGCCGCGACGCTGTTTTGTGCCTTCCTCCAGCCCGAAACCATACACAAGAAGCGCGCCGACGAGCTCGCGGGTCTGCCTGCAAAGCAGCGCGCAAGCAAAATGTGGGCGTGGCTCAACCCCTTCCGCGTCGTGAGATTATATCGGTACCCGAATATTCTCCTCACGGCCCTCGCGTCCGCGAGCTTGGTTTGGAACATGTACAGCCTGCTCACGCCCATCCGGTACGTGCTCAATCCAAGGTTTGACCTGCAGTCTCCCTTGCAATCGGGACTCTTCTACATCGCGCCCGGCTGCGGATACCTCCTTGGCACCTTCTTCGGCGGCCGCTACGCAGACCACGTGGTGAAGAAGTATATTCGGAAGCGGGGCCACCGCGTGTCAGAAGACCGTCTGCGGTCTTGCGTCTTCTTCCTCGGGGGCGTCATACCCGCTTGTATGATTGTGTACGGGTGGAGTGTTGAAAAGCGCGTTGGCGGTGTTGCGCTCCCCGTCATCATGATGTTCCTCCAGGGCGTGGCGCAATTGTTTTGCTTTCCTAGTCTCAATACGTACTGCTTGGATGTTATGCAAGGGAGGAGCGCAGAGGTGGTTGCGGGGAATTACTTTATGCGCTACATGTTTGCGGCGGCGGGGTCGGCGGTGTGTCTGCCTGCTGTTAGGGCGATTGGCGTCGGTTGGTTTTCGACAATCAGTGCGGGGTTCCTGGTTGCTGGGGCGGGTATGACTTATGCGACGGCAGTATGGGGCAGGGAGTGGAGAGAGGGGATTGAGGAGAAGAAGGCGGCGAGGAAGGAGGGGGATGGCAAGGTGTAGATGATCAACGGGGTCTAAGAAACCACGTGAACGTAATTCACACTGGTAATGATGTTTGCTATTTAAACGGCTCTAATATCTACCCTAAACTGTCCTAGCTCGTTGTATTGTAACACAATACAATGTCAGGCTGCAAGCTGCAAGCTGAAGAGTGAAGTTCTAGAAGGTCATACGACAGCTACCGCTGCTACAGAAGAACAAAGGAAACCCCTCTAGCCCCAGAAAGCGCTTCGGCTTCTTATCTCCTCTCACATGACTCCTTTACTACACCACAGAATCTGTATCTATTCTAAGACAGACATTTCATCGTCATCCGGGTGGGTTGAGAAACTGAGGGATGGCAACAGGGTAAGAGTGGGGAGGTTAGTGGACGTTTCGCTTCGAGGAGATGTAGGCAGCGATGGCAGATCATCGACCGATGGCTGTCTCTCAGAAGCAAACATCTTGCTCCAAGCTCTCTTCAGACCAGATGATAACGTCGTGCGGTCCGACAAATCGGCCATAAGGATCGGACCTGACGCGCCTAGCTCAAGCTTAACATTTGTGGTGTCATCTTTCACGCTTTTGCGAGCCTCCTCGGACGAAGTGAGTCGTTGTAACTCGACTGCGGAGTCATCTGCAGCAGCCATATCGAGCAGCACAGATTCGGTTGCCGAGCTCTCGTGACACGGGCTTCTCTCGACGATGCCAATCAAGCCTCCCACGGTCTGTAAGGTGACGAGGTCTTCCTTGCTCACTGGGCCAATGGCTGGAAGTACGCCTTGGTGATCCAAACTTGCTCCTATACGGGCTATGGCCGTGGCATCCAGCTGATCTGACCCATGATGGGACGGGATATAGGTAATGAGCCAGGTAGCGTAGACCGAGTAGTTGAAGGCCTATCAAGACTGACATTGTGATGACGCTTGATCTTGACAGAACAGGTTTTGGCACGACAACACCAGGCGAAGTGTAGATTTGACGTCCAGTCAAACCGCTATCAGTAGAAACCAAGGTGAGGATGGCTCGATTTGCGACAAACATGGCGACCTCGAGCAGATTTTGGGTATCATTTAGTGTTTGGCTTAGTGTTTGGTGTAGTGCTTGGTTATTGTCGCTATTGAAGCCGGGTGCGAAGAAAGCGAACAACTACTAGGTGAGTTCGGACAGATCATGGGTCGTCGGCTTGATGTCATCAAAGATTCGCTGTTCAAGTTCGCCACACAAAGACACAAGCTTCCCAATAGCCCCGTTGTGGCCATAGTTTGGTGCCCAAAGATTTGACAAAGGCATTCCGCGCCTGAAGAGCGGCCATGTGAGGTCCTCGTTAGTGTAGTCACCATTTCTATGCGTACCATTATATGTAAGGTTTGATAAATACTCCGCCGCTGTGTTTAGCCAGGAGCCATTTCCAAACAGTGCGAGTGCACTTGTCATTAAAGGACCAGGTACTTTTCAGGTCTCAGTATCGGAAGAATCCTCGTCGTGCGAAGCCGAATCATGAACATTAAAACAAGTATCTCTGCTTTGAATCAGTACCTGTTCGTGTATTTCTCCATGTTACATACGTGTCAGAGGGTACAGTGTTTGGACATTGACTATAAGGATTAGTCCAGTCATTGAAACTCTCCTCCATCTCTGCTGGATCAGGCCAGTGTTCTAGAAGTGGCTCGTATGTGTTATGATTCCAATTATTACCCAGCTCAAAATAGCCCCTAGTTGTTGTTGCCTTGCAGCAGAAGGTAGAGCTTGTACTGCATAGCGGATTATCTGTGTTCCCGTCATTCCGACCGGTGCTCGTATCGTTAATTCCAATATATATCTCTTCGTCAAAATCCTGGCGATTGCGACTGAGTGACCATGGGAAAGCAGTATAATTTCCGGGAACGCATACACGCACTTCTGTGTCTAGGAAGTGTTCCCAGAACACGGTGAGAGGTCGGTCACCAGGACATGGTGATGGAAAGTCGCCAGCATCCACTTCTTCGCACGATACAGAGGAGTTGAGTCTCATTATGTGGTTGCGAAAAACTCCAGTCGTGGTTCTGGCCGGAAGACCAGCCACAAAGAAGTCTGGAATTGGTTCTATGTTGTAGTCGAGGATAGAGATATGGTTGCGCGCAAACACCCAATAGTTTAGTGAAGAAAATGGGACAGATTTCGCGTTGACACTCCATATATAGGACTGTGGCTCGTCGACAGAGATTGATGCTAGGTCCAAGGCCATTCGGGACCGGAGAACCGAATGTTTTGCGAGAGCCATTCTTGCAGGCTCGATATCTATCCCAAGTCTTTCATACAGGGGAAACAAGTAACAACCATCACCAGGGTGTGAATCCCAATAAGGGATATCGTGGCACGTGGTCACGGAAATTTTACTCACTTCAACCAGAATTTGATACAGAGGTTGTTGTGCGGCTCCGATAAGGATGAGACATGCTGCAGGAAGTAAGAAACTTACGCCTGATTTTCGACCCTGTATTTTCTGTCGGCTTCGGATCGAGTTCCAGATCAGAGGTGCATCTGCCCATCCACGATCTGCCAGTACAAACATATCTCGCAGGCTCAAAAACTCATTCGGCTTTTGCCTTTGACAGAATAGCACAGCCGCTTGAGCCAAAACCGCGGACAAAATTGGAACTAGATAGTCGTTTATGTGCTGAGCATGAGTAGCTGGTAGGGTCTCGTGCGGCATCGCTTACTTGTTATTAGCCCAGCGATCGAATTGAGCACGTCGACTGCATTTTTCCAATTGCGCATACTCGACACATCATGATCAGAAATGCCTCGTTATCGCATGTATGAGCCTGAGTTGAGTGGACGATGCGCAAGCACACAAGTCAACACCCATGGAATGAGGATAAGGAACATGTACAGACCAAGAAGCCACAGGGTCCTGGTGCGATATCGCAGCGGTCGTAATGCATGGTTATGGCTCCTCTCGCGGGTGATGTCCGGCTTGTTGCAAGAATGATTCATTCTGGTGGGATTTTTGTCTGAGAGATAGGAGCGTAGGACAGACGCAATAAAGAAGCAGATAACGAGATTCGTGAGCAGCACTCCTGCGGCGTGGCAGGTCATACCACTGAAGTATATAAGCCTCGGCGAGGCTGAGCTGGTAAAAGTCGATTTGCCAATTGGCTAAATGCTTGTCAATGCTTGCTTTATGCAACCAATGCAATATTTCAAGATAAGTGTAGCGCGACGCGCAATGTCTATCTCATACTTCTGCGAGGCGGAAACTAGCAACGGGATCAAATTAACGTATCCTTGCTTGCGAGCGGATGACTTCGCTTCAGAACGATCGACACCGAGGCTGTTGGGATTGGTGCTGAGCGGCGTGAGATACCATCTCTCCTTCAATATTGCCTCCTAGAGTTGTTAACATCTTCATGAGGGATAGTTGAATACGTAGCAATAACGACGCTTGCTCCGATGAGGTGTAAATGGGAAGGCTGCACGCAATCCCGGCAGATAACGACAGTAGGCATCGAACCCATTAGCTTTGCCTCTACAATGTCGTTGTAGTCCTGCGAAAATACACAGATGTCGTTGTTGGCCGATTCGTGCCTTGTTACCTATGTACTTGTCGGAGGGAAAGAGGCGTGACACTCTGGCAGTACGAGGTTTTCCCTCAGCCAACCCACCACTAGCCGGTCACCTATTGCGCAGTCACCCCACAAACATCATCGCGACACAGCAGCCATTGTAGTAAAAAGAAAACACGCCCATTCTCAGCATCGCACATGCGCGCGCATTGAACGTATGCTCCGACATCATTATGTAATCAACACCGTGCAGCATAGTCCGTCTTCGTTGAGGCGCATGCCGCTCCGCTGCATAAGCCCGCCTCGCGCCCGCCGATACCCGAGGCGCAAAACCCAGTCATACCCGGGCTCCCACCCATCAGATTTTCCTGCGCCATCCGTTCGTCGTACCACCCTATCAATTACCATTTATTGTTCATCGTCACAATGGACGATTCCAATCCGAGCACTGGCCAACAGGATGCTAATTCGAGCTCTGGGTCAAGCAAGAAGCGGACCCACCCCGAAGACTTCAAGCGCGCATACAAGGCTTGCATCAATTGCCGGCAGCGCAAGGCAAAATGCATCTTGGGTACCGGGCCAGATGGAGGCGAGCTAAAGCCGCCGTGTCAGAGATGCAAGCGCGAGATGCGCGAGTGCATTTTCAGGTCGGAGAGGAGTTGGGTCAAGAGGAGGAAACCGGGGGAAGCAGCAAGGGAGGGTGAGGATGAGGAGGAGGCTACCAGTGGCGGTGGTGGTACTACGTCGGCGTCTGCGACGCGCGATCGACCTCAGTCGAATCCCGCACCGCTGCCGTCACCGGGCCATAGATCGTCTATATCGACGCATGGGTTCACGCCGGGTACTAGTCCACATGTCAATGGCTCGAATCGTTCCGAGTTCCATTCTCCTCATGGACACCTACGGAGGATCTCGTCGTCCCATGGCCAGCCAGACCTTGCGCATTCGGTGATGCGAACGGTGGTATCGAGCGGGAGCGATGCACTGAATCTATTGTTTGAAGCCGCGCATCATCGCGATGCTATCGACAATCAAGAACAGTCGGGATCACAAGCATATGAAACACCCAGGTCAGGTCCATCAGGCTACGACAATGGCGTTCCGTCGTCGCCGTTCCACACCTTCAGAGCACAGCCGGTGCAGATGTCGACGCCGTCACCGGAGACGCTGAAGACGTGGACATCGTGTCGATTTGTGCAGATGGGCTGGTTCTCCGCACACGAGGCAGTGACATATGTCGATTTGTTCTTCAAGAACTGCTCGCCGTTGTCGCCAATACTAGGGGAGTTCTACGCGCATCACGAAAATCACTATACACTGATCGCGCTGGATCCTTTCCTGTGCACTACTATACTGATGATCTCGTCGAGGTACAATATCCTTCCTGGCGTGGGCGGCGCTTCGAGAGGCTACTTTGTGCATGATAGGCTTTGGGAGCAGTGTCAGCGCTTCATCATGAAGATCATGCTCGGACAGGTTAAGCCATCCAAAGCGCAGAGTAGGACCATTGGGTCGATAGAAGCTCTGCTCCTGCTATCGGAGTGGCATCCTCGAGCGCTACATTTCCCTACCGCCGCTGATGGCTGGGATTGTGAACTTATGATTGGCGCAAATAATACCACAGAAGAAGGCGCAAAGCTGTTAGAAGGGGATGTGACATCGAACAGATGGCTTGAAGATGTTATTGAGCCCGCGAAACGCTCAGACCGTATGTCATGGATGTTGATGGGTTGCGCATTATCATTAGCACAAGAGCTGGGACTATTCGAGGACAATGCGAGAATAGACAAGGACCAGGTGTCGTACCCAAAGTTCACCACGGAATACCTTATCCTCCGAAGGATCCGAGCTCGGAAGCTGCTATACGTGCTACTCGAACAACTTTCATGGAGACTAGGCTGCACATCGATGATACCACAGAGCTTAAACCATGCTTTAATGGAGAAGATACCTGTTGACTCTGCGACGGGCGCTGTAGAGCAATGGCAGTCCTTTATGAGCGCATGGGTCGAGCTCACCAAACTCGCCCGGTCAATCTCCGATACCATCTATCCAAATACAGCCACAACACGAAGCTTACTACGCACCGGTCGCTACATAGGCTTGCTCGAGCACTTCCAACCACTGCTAGTATCGTGGAGGAAAAAGTACCTCGACCCCTGCAAGCTCAAAGTTGGTCTGCACGATATGCTCCACATTGAATACCAATACGTTCGTATCTACACGAACTCGCTTGGCATGCAGGCAGTCGTCGAACGCACACTCGCGGAGACAGATCCCGATGTGCCACAGGAGGATAATCTGCCTTTTAACCTCGAACCGCGGGACTACGATTTCATCCAAGAGGTTGTGGATGGAAGTTGCCAGATACTACAAAAAGTCTGTCAGCTATCCGAGACAGGAGCGCTGCGTTACTCACCCGTACGAATCTTCCTCAGGATAACTACGAGTTCAATCTACCTAATCAAAGGCTTGAGTCTGGGATCAAGAAACGCAAAGTTGCAGAGTTGTCTGGATATCCTAGATGCGGCTATCCGGGCTCTTCGCGCAAGTAAGTCACTCCTCCACGTTCGACATCCTGTTACTAACAAGACGGTTCAGGCACCCTAGACGATATGCACCTAGCTTCCCGCTACGCAACCCTCCTCGACCTCCACGTCGCTCGCCTCCGCGAATCCTTTGTCGTCTCCTCTCGTCCCCCTCGCCTACCTTCGCGCGCCACATCAACCACCCACAACGCATCCTCCAACAATAGCAATCTCTCTTCCCACACTCCATCCGCTGCAACAGAGGGCATGGCCTTCTTGAATAACCACAATGCAGGCCAAAGCAGTTTATCAAGCTTAGCGGAAAATGTCACCGGGTTGATGCCGGATATGCCGGATGATGATTGGTTGGCGCTGCCTTTTGACCCGGCGATGGCGCCGTTCGGATTGGGGGATGGTGGAGTGGGGGGTAATGGAGGGTTTCAGGGATTTGACGATGGTACGCTGGACTTCATATGGAATTTGCCCATGTAGAGAAGTGTGAAAAGGGGTAATGTGATGGAATTGAGATTTAGCAAGGGTGATACGGTCTAGCTATGTAACTATACTACTAGGCATACTCTATCATGGTAGCTCAAAAAGCAGATTAGATTTGTAAATTCTAGCGGTTATCTACCCGTCTGTCCCTTCGATGTATTCCACGTTGCTGTTGTTGCTGGTTTCACCGATACCACAAGACCGTGCTCTCATCGTTTTAGGTTTGTTCAGTAGATCTATGAAGGCGCCCTGGGTCATGGAGTATATGTAAGGAATGATCAGCCAGGTGTCCAGGAAAGGTTGTAAAGAGTCATTTGATGTTCTACATGCACTTCACACGGGGAAGCTAACTACCAGTTGAGAACGGTCATACCTTGTTCCAGAGTTGTGGAGCTTGTTGTTGAGATCTAAAGAGTCGGACAACGATGGGTGGGAGTTGAGATGAATATGACATGTAATCCGATGAGTCTAGTAGCCATGTATGCACATCTTTCATCTGCTTCCTGAAACTTCAACGTAAGCTGCTTGTCAGGTATACGCCATCTCGGTACCACTAGTGCTATCGGAGGCCACCACGGCAGAGACGTGAAAAACTAACGAAACGGCGGCGAATGATACGAGCAGTGGAATAAGACCAGGTGTTTAAGGAAGTAGTTGGACACACCTCCGATGTTGCATTGCGAGTGGAGACTTGCGATGTACTTGCTAGGCGCTTCCCGGCATGATATAGCGACAAAGAAACGATTAAAACAATGTTCCTTACAGAAAACAAGCACCCACGTCTATGGTATATCATTTGATCGACTTCACATCTATTAGATCTGCTCCAGTCTCTCATTTTCAATCTCATCTCGTAGGGAAACACATCAAGTTCGTTACCAAGAATTCATTGCAAACCATTTACCGCAACATAGTATGACAGCATGTCCATCCGAACTGGGCTCTGTGTGGCTCTCACCTCACTCACCGCACACGCCCTACTGCTGCCTTCCATAGATCTTACAGAGCTGGTCGTGTGTGTTGTAAATGGCGTACAAGCTAGCTTACTCTGCAAATTCCTACCAAGCAAGCTACCAGAAGATACACGCATTCTTATCTCGCTAATAGCGACATGGATAGGAGCTATTTTAAGTTGGTTGGTCTGGATTTGGACGGCGATAGCGGACAACAGGAAGCGGCTGTGACGGTCCGTATCGAAGTCAGAGTAGAAGCTACAGAAAGGATTCATGACAGGGTGCAGACTCTTGTAGTCAAGACAGACTTCAGATGTAGAGGAAAGTTTAGGATGAATTAAAGGGTCTCTGACCAATACTGTAGAAGCTACAAAGAGTCCACGAGTCGCATGACAGACTTCCCGCATATGTGTATGGGATTTCTATAGAAATAGGTCATTTGTTCAACCCCATCTCCTCTCTCAACGCATCCCTGACGATGACTCCACACATCTTTTTATACGGATTCGTCCTAACGCTCATCTCCCTTGCAACCTCATCCCCATACCGCGCCGCAGCCGCAAAATCTTTACTTGCTGATTCTTCCAACTCAGATGTCGTCATCCCTTTCCACCGCGACCCTGACTCCACAGCTTTCAGATAAAGATACGCGCGGTGCGAATAGGCTGTCCGAAGGACCTTTGCGGCGTGAGGAGACACCGCTGGCGTGGAAGAGGACGTTGAGGAAAGATGGATCGCTTGCGCAAGATCTGAGAACACCGATTCGACATCTGATCCCAATGTCTCAGTCGTGTTTTGGAAGATGTTCTTCCCCGCTTTTAGGTTTGCTTCTAGCTTCATCCTCCTCACCATAGCTCGGTTCACCCAGGCGCCCGCATATTCTGGGTACTGCTCTGCCACCCTGTCCAACTCTTTTATTGCAGCATCTATCTCAGCGATGCTCGAGGTGCTGGGCGTGCGTGCTATGATGTCGCTTTGCTGGCGCTCCAGCGATGTGAGTTGTGATGCGGCTATACTGGGATGAGCGGGTAATGAAGGGTCGATTGACGATGAAGTTTCTTTTTGTTGGCCGACAGATGATGGAAGAGTTTCTGGGTCGAAGATTGCATTCAGAATCCTGGCATCGTTTGCGGATAAAGATGTATTGGGGAGAGTGACTGCCATAACTGTGTAATGTCTGGTGTGGTCCTCGTAGTGATGGGCTGCGGAGTGATGAATTTGGTCACGAAGATTAGAGACGGGTCAAAGTTCAACTCGGGGTTTTGCTATGCGTTAAGAGCAATGTACGGAGAGTTTCTAGCACTATTAGTTTGATCATTTTGACATATGCAGGTCACGTTTGTTCACTCGGCTTAGGCGGGAGTTCACGGCAAAGATTTAGGTCTGGTACGGAAGGCGGCTGGTGCAAGGCTGCCTGGGGTCTCGGCCTATGCGGGACCATGACACCCACCACAACGAATCTCAATACACGCTCGACCTATCAGGCACTTGAAGAGACAAAATTTGTAGAGCCGACCAAGCGCATCAGCACAAGATGAAGATTGTCGGATCATAGCATGTGATAATGGACTCGCGCGGTATTGAGCCGTGCTAGCGGAAATACAAAGCCTCGCCAGGCAATCGCCGGCTGACCCGCCACGACGCAATGAACACTCTTGACACAATGTCACGACTGCGCAGCCTCACAACCAGATCGCGCGTGGATCATTGCTAGCGTCATGTCTCCGACACGCTTTACATCGTTGGTCGTAAGCCTGCTCCAGCTACGCGGTTGAGACGCGTTGCATCCACGGCGGCTGCCGGCGGAACATCCATTGGCGGAAAGCGGCGGTACCAATATCTGCTTTCTTCTGGCGGCCACCACACGTGAGCTCGGCATAACCAACCTGATGACGCTACCAGGGTTGGATATGGCAATTGCTAGCAAAAGAGATCGGATAGCGGTTCGAGAAGGAAAGTGGATGCAGAGTGGTAGAAGATAAAGAATGGCTGCGCATCGGTGCCTAGTGTTGAGTTCACTACACTTCACAGTACTTGTACCGCATAAGCAAAGGCTTGGATACTTTCGGTTCTACTTACACATAGTCGTTGTTCGCTATCAACTACCCTATCATGGCGCCCGCTGCTATCTCTCCTCCTTCATCGCCACGGCCAGCCGCCGCTTCTCCTTCAGAAGTCTCGGCATACCAAGGCTACCACCATGTACACTGGTATGTCGGTAACGCCAAACAAGCAGCCTCCTTCTATGTATCGCGTATGGGCTTCGAGCGTGTCGCATACCGTGGCCTAGAGACTGGATCAAGAGCTACTGCCTCCCACGTTGTACGGAACGGCAACGTGACTTTCATCCTCACATCACCTTTGAGGTGTCTAGAGCAAGGCTCAAGGTTTAGCAAAGAGGACGAGCAGCTACTACGAGAGATCCACGAGCATCAAGAGCGCCACGGTGATGCCGTCAAAGGTAAGCGATAGCATCCCTTGTAACCATGGCGACCATTGCTGACTAGATTCCCAGATGTCGCATTCGAAGTCGACAACGTAGATGCCATATACTCCGCTGCCGTCTCATCAGGCGCAGCCACCGTCTCCGCTCCTCACGACATCTCCGACACCTACGGCTCAGTCCGCCTCGCTACCATCCGCACTTACGGCGACACAACGCACACGCTCATTCAAAAGAATGACTACACCGGCATCTTCCTGCCCGGCTACCGCCCAGAATCATCCGCCGCCGACCCCCTCCAAAAGTATCTGCCGCAGGTCAATCTCGAAGCAATCGATCACTGCGTCGGCAACCAAGACTGGGATGAGATGGAAAACGCATGCGAGTATTACGAAAAGGTGCTTGGTTTTCATCGCTTCTGGAGCGTCGATGACAAGGACATCTGCACTGAATACTCGGCGCTCAAGAGTATCGTCATGAGTTCGCCAAACGACGTCGTCAAGATGCCCATCAACGAGCCAGCCAAGGGCAAGAAGCAAAGCCAAATCGAAGAATACGTTGATTTCTATGGCGGTCCCGGTGTCCAGCATATCGCGCTACGAACGGATAACATTGTTCGCGACATTACCAACCTGAAAGCGCGAGGCGTGGAATTCATCAAGGTGCCCGAGACGTACTACGACTCTATGAAGATGCGACTCAAGAAATCTGGACTGACCCTCAACGAGGACTTTGAGGTGCTCAAGAGTTTGGACATTCTCATCGATTTTGATGAGGGCGGCTATCTGCTGCAGCTGTTTACGAAGCATTTGATGGATCGGCCGACGGTGTTTATTGAGATTATCCAGCGGAACAACTTTGACGGTTTCGGCGCAGGCAACTTCAAGAGCCTATTCGAGGCGATTGAGAGGGAGCAGGATGCGAGAGGAAACTTGGTTTGAGTGGGATCGTGACGTTGATCGTTCGGGTGTTGTCGCATTTTCCGGTGTTCATCTTGTTACCTAGCGAATCAGTCTCTGGCTTCCCTTCCGCACATTAGCACAGCTATTGTTAAATACGATACACATTAAGTCTATCGCAAAGTTCATACCTGATCTTTGGTATCTATCTCCAACATGACTAGTTCTTGTGTCCCCGTCTCAACCTGCAACGCCACCCCGAAACGCGTTTCATCCCCCTGCTTCAAGCGTCGTCAACACCAGCACCCTTTGAAACGCACATCCTCTCATATCACACCCAGCCAAGAATAAGTGACTCAAGGAAACTCACCCGAAAGGACGCTTATCCAAGCTTGTTCATACCGCACCGCGACGGCTTAACCCAGCCAAGCCACAACCGCATTGTGGACGAGCGATAGCATTTAGAATCCCGTGACGGGAGATCTTCCGGCCGCGTTCGCACCCGGTCGCGAATGTTGTCGGCATTTGTATTTCCATCGGTGGTTCAACATCCGTGATGCTTGTGGAGATTGCGTATAAAGCAGTCGTTGTCGCTCGGCCATGGTAGAGCACAACGAGAGTAGCGCCGACTTGTGCTTTCTGAAGCCAACAGCGAAGCTCTGCCAGATGAACGAATTTCCAAAGGAACCTCTGCTTCAGCACTTCTTATCGTTTGGAGGCGAACCTCTGCCGCTGTAGCTCATCGCGAGCTGAAAACTTCCCGGATCCGCTGGATTGTTCATCGTGGGTATTGGATCGTTCAGCGGTGACGAACCTGGGAATGTCATGACGAACGGGCAATGAATTTGTTGTGGCAATATGTCGTCTAGAGGATACTGGGCTTGAGGCTGCCATACATCACATATTTGCAAAGTTTTGAACAGTTTGGCATCTGGTCTAGTGTCATTACTTCGTCTAGTCTACAGTCTGATAGCACATGGAGATCCAAGTATAGTGATAGAGCGAGAGACAAAGACATGGTGATGATAGGCAACGGATGAACATGACATTATGCACTAACAGAAGAGATGACCACGTAAAGAATGAATGGCTGCCCCGTTTTATAAGAAATTCTTGTTTCAGTTTAACGTGTGCCGCCATCTACGTAATGACGGCCTATTGTGTTCCCATACTCGTACAGTTGATCGTTCTGCCAGGTTGTGGTGGCAGATCTTGTCTAGACATGAAAGAAAAGCGTTGCGTGTGATGTAGCTGAGTTCAGCAACGCCGCTGGTTGCTCAGAACAGCTGTGCCTGCGCGCGCTTAAGCAAAGGCTCCAACAATGGACATACCAGCTGCACCCATAAGGACGTAGCAGAATGCAGTAGTCTTAGTCTTGCCAGTCATCGTGTGTGAAGCCTCTTCAGAGAGGAAGTCCTCAGCCAACAGATCAACAAGTGCAGCGTAGATGAGCAGACCAGAGGAAATAGCGTTGAAGACTCCGACAATGATAAGTCCAAATGCCGAATTCGGATCGTAAGATCCACGAGTGACGAGTCCGATGGCTTGACCAATGGGCGCGGTGGTACCGAAAGCAACAACGAGAGCCCAGGGCTTCCAGCTGCCCTTGGGGTAAGGAACATCCGCGATACGTGTGCCGAGACCGAGGCCTTCGAACATTTGATGGAAGACGATGGCAGTGAGAAGGATGATGAAGCCCTCGGCTGTGATGGAGACGGTCATGCCAACGAAAACGGAGTGGAACAGGATACCACCTTCGATGAGCGTGATCTGCATAGACTGCTTCTTGAGAACGAGAGGATCGACAGCCTGCTCGACGTCGTCGTCAAAGTATGAGTTCTCCTGCGGCGCTGGAGCGGCCTGCTGCTGCTGGTAGTTGGGGAGAGCAGGCATGGCGCGGTTGATCGTGGCGAGCATCTCATCGCGCTGGCGCACATACTGCTCGTAGAAGACGATGAACCATGGTGGCATTTCAGACTTGGCCTCGAGCTCGTCGCTCTCGCTCTTGGGGAACGGGAAGTTGTCGACGGGGTAAGTTGACTCCTGAGTCCATCCTCGCTTCTCGTCCCGCATAGCCAGCATCGTCTTTTGCGAATCGTAGCTGTCGACGCGTCGGATGGGGTTATTGAACTGAGCCTGGATGCCGGTGGTGGAGTGTTGTGCGCCGTTGAATGCTTCGCCTGTTGCACCTCCGTGGCTGTGACCCCCAGTCTTCGAGTGAAGCCACATCTCAATCACGAAGAGAATGAAGAGAGAACCCATCATGATGACACCTGGTAGAGCGGGGTACTTTTCGGTGAATAGATCCGGTAGGCATGGGTCGTTGAGCGATGCGAAGGCGGTCGGCAGCAAATGGACAAAGGCAGTGGCAATGAGCACACCAGTACCAAAGTGCTTGCAGAAGAAGAAGACCTTTGGCGGGATCTTCATCCACTTGATCTTCTTTGCCACTACTGGGAAACCAGCACCGAAGATGGAAGCAATGAACACAATGACTTGGAACGTGTTAGTGATGTACCATCAGATTGCCTCGTATGTACTTACAAACTGCAGCAACGTGCAGAGGAAAGTCGTAAGCAGCAGCGTCTGCCTCACTGCCACACTGCGGTTTCTCCATATCGGCCATTGCGAATTACAAAATGGGTAAATGTGTAGTTCAAGGAATGTACGGAGTAATCCCAGACTTGCCAGCAGTCCCGTCGCCGGCGACGATGAACAAGAAAAAAAGAGATGAAGAAGAGAAAAGAGGAAAGAAAGCAACTCAACACACTCTCTCAAAGAGTAACAGAAACTCAAAATGCAACGAACTGATGTTGTGAGGTATGGGGCAATAGGCTCGGCATTGCAGACTATGTATTGCTTTGAGGGCCGGTAGGATAAGAGACACTAACCGCATCATGCTGATCAGCACAGTCTCCAGAACACCTGAAGACGAAAGTGGGACCTCCATACAGTGGCCTGTGCCTCAGATGGCGTCTCTAGTGATAGGTGCTTCACGCAGCAAACGCGGAGGTCCAGACGGTGCCAGGGCCAGCCAGCCTTGTGCCAAAGACAAAAGAAGCATTGCTATGAGGCAGCAAGGCTGGAATTGGAATTGCTGTTCGCCGAGACGACGAAGCTCATTGGAGACGGCTGTCATGCGCGTAGATGCTTGGCAGGCACGCTCGATCTGCGAAGGGGTGGGGATGTGATGCGGCTCAAGTCTCGTTTCCGTCGAGTGGGACAGCGAGTGGGCACTGAGTGGGCAGCGGGTGGGACAGCTGACGAAGTGTGGAGGTGCCAATCATTAGGGGTGAGGCTTGACTGCAACCATCTGTTGCAGCTGAGGTATCGAAGTGGCTCAGCACACAAATGAGGTTGGCCAATGGCACGTTTCGCGATTGCGTTGACGTGTATGGGCCAAGATCGGCATGGTATCGTGCCGGAGAGGAGAAGCTTGGCATCGTCCGACGTTATGAGTTTTGAAACTTAGAGAGACGTAAAAGAAAGCTTTGTGGGGTATAGATGGCGTTCGTAATGGACCCACACGTATAGCCGATGCAATCCATCCGTGACGATCACTGCGTTACGCGCTATTCCTGTTCGTTGTGTGACGACTTTAACCGTAGAGCGCAGGGGAAAGAATAGTCGGCCCTGAAGAACTTGCGACGTGGCCGAGTCATCACAACCGCCGCATCAACGACTCCACCAAACCCACTTGATCCATCGCGATGTATGCGGGGAAATACTCGTCTCTGGACAAGCTTTTTTGCGCGTCTTAGCACCTAAAATTTCCGGTCAGTTTAGATCGCGCTAGCATCGCACATCCAAAGCACACGCGTGCTCGTGAGCATCTTCAGCACGCCTCCGCGCATGCAGAGAGCCAAGCCATTTAAGGTATCAAGATTAGGCCAAGCTCTTCGAGCCTCTCCCTAATCGGGTGTTGCCCTAACCTCAGATGTAGTAGCGAGGCGTTGAGAAGGCTTAGCGAGTTTCATGCTCCGCGCCGAGCATTCCTACACCTGCACCAATGTGCAGCATTCACACAATCTGACAGGAAATTGGCAACGTGCAAACGATCTGGCCATTCTACCATGACTTCAGGGTTCAAAGAAAGAAACTCAAGCGGAGGTGAGCGGGAAGAGCGCCGCGGGTGGCGTTCGCAGTGTTCCTTTATTACACATGCTTGCCCGACACTGAGGCATATATCACCCACTTCGTAACCTCTTTGCACCACAAGATCCTAGAGATCGCCCATACACACATACACAAACGCATACGCGTCGCTCAGCTCATTTTCCGGACACTATGTCTTCCGACACTCACAGTACGTCTCAGGCAACCCAAAGCCGTGGTTCTCTTGTCTGACAGTCCGATTAGCTTCACCTAATGGCCCAGCACAAGACCAAGCTGCCGGGCAAACAAGCGCTCCAGTGATCGCCGGCCCTACAGCATCGTCAAACCAGGCCAATGTCGGCGCCGAGCATAGGTCAGATGTCATTGAGCGCCTGCCATCTGTAGACAATGCATCGTCGCGGGAGGCCAAGGACGATGTCACTATCGTCGTCAACAGCGACCCACTCGATCTTGGTAAACACCGTCGAGACGATGTCACCCAGAAACAGATGAAGGCAGACCATCCGCTCGCCAAGCCGAGACACATGAAGAAGTTTTACACACGACAGAATGCCTTGATCGACCAGTTCCTCCAGAGCGGCGATGAGGAGCGGTTAGCTGCTCTTGACCAGCTCGAGAATGGACCAAAGGTCCGGTTTGCAGTCAACGCTTCCTTTGTCGTCAACTTCTGTTTGTTCGTCATTCAGTTGTATGCTGCCATCTCGACAGGATCGCTGTCGCTGTTTGCGACAGCTGCGGACGCTTTCATGGACCTGGTCTCTTCGGTAGTCATGCTCATCACATCTCGCATGGCGGCACGGCCAAGCGTGTACAAGTACCCTGTGGGGAGGACCCGCATTGAGACGATTGGCATCATCATGTTCTGTTGTTTGATGACAACGGTCGCTATCCAACTAATCGTAAGTGCTTGTCTTGGGTAGATGAGGAGGCGGCTAACATGTAACAAGATCGAGTCTGGGCGTGCCTTGGGTGGCGGTGAAACTGATTCAGAGGAACTCCACATCATCCCCATTGCCTTTGTCGCGACAGCCATCTTCTGCAAAGGCTCACTTTGCATCTATTGCTTCATCTTCCGACGCTACCCAGCAGTCCATGTCTTCTTCATCGACCATCGCAACGACATCATCGTCAATGCTTTTGGTCTTGCCATGTCCATTGTCGGTAGCCGAGTCGTCTGGTATGTCGATCCTATCGGTGCCATTCTCATCGGTCTCTTGATTCTCGTTTCCTGGGCTGCCAACGCCTTCGACCACGTTTGGTTGCTCGTTGGAAAATCGGCACCAAAAGACTACATCAGCAAGTTGATCTATCTCGTCGTCACACACGACAGCAGAATCCAAAAGGTCGATACCTGCCGCGCATATCACGCTGGACAAAACTACTACGTCGAGGTAGACATTGTCATGGATGAAGGCCTACCACTAAAGGTCACCCATGACGTCTCGCAGACCCTGCAGAGGAAGCTCGAAGGCCTCGCCGATGTTGAGCGAGCCTACGTGCACGTCGACTACGAAAGCGAGCACGACATCTTCGAGGAGCACAAGCCCCTCTACGAAGTCACGCAGTCGAAGACGATCAAGGAGCGTGTTCAGGCTATGCGCTTCTTGTTCAAGAAGTCAGAGAAGGGTGCTTGAGCATCGGACGATGCGCGTTTTGTATATTACGGTGCTACGATCACCAAAAGTTCACGTTTTCTTTAGAGTCATTTATACCCCCGTGCAGCAATACACAAGACTGCAGAAACTACTGTTAATGCGAATGTTATTACCATCAAGACGAGATGTCTTAGTTCCGGGCTAAAAGTCTTTCCTTGCGTGTTTTCGCGATCCTTGTGTCTCACCATGACTGTTCTTTGTCTATGTGTCTCTGGTACACTGCTAGAAAATATGGCGCATTGATGGATCACAATCTTCTTTGTCTCTGCATCATGAGATGTTCTTTTAGTCGTGATTCCACCACCGCCGTTCGTAATGCGTCTTATCAATTCCATCACGTTATCCTCCATGCATCTCTCCAAACGTCTATTCACCGAAGCCGTAGGCGTTACTATCTCGCAATGTTCCAAGTTTATCCAGCACTGTCTACGCCCGTTTTCAGACTTGCCATCAACAAATCTTCTACTATCGCTCATCGCCCATCGTCACGATCACCATCACCAACGATAATCCGATCTGACCATTCCGATCTATCCATGCCACAATCTCTTGTTCAGGAAGGGAAATACGGGGATCCCCCGCGAACCGTATGTGAACTAGCTGCTTGGTTCGATGGAAAGACAAAGGGAAGGTTAAAACCAGAGGTTTTGACATGGGATGGGAAGATTGCAAAAGTACCCATGAACGAGTCGGGTGACATCTGGTAGGCAGACCCTACGTGGTGTGATAATTCAGAGGGGGAGAATATGGGGCTACAACTGGATCTAGCATATCATCATCATCATTGCCATATATCATAGCCACGGTCAGGGCTTGTGAGCTATACCACCAATGTAGCAGTTCCAAGTCGTGACCCGAAAACTCTATCTCTTTCCGTTCTCACCCACCCTAATCCTGTCACTAAGCACTAGCGTGCGTAGTTGACCGACCCAGAACCAACGGAACTACGTCGTCGTATCCTCCATTACAATAGCGACAGTCTACATATTCTCTTATTAGTCGTTCCGTCAACATCATTGATTGGACTCACGTTCCACTGCAAACGCATACCACCGTGGACCATGCTCCCCCACCATCTTTGAGGGGACACAACTTTCTCTGTCCCTCCTCTCTTGACCGTATCTCTTGAGATGACGGTCGTTCCAAGATGTCATGCACTATTTGTCATTGGCTGCAAGCATGCCGCATGGATGTTCGTTCTCAACAACGGGCCATTGTTTTTTCTGTGTAGATTCTTCAGTATATCTGTACTTCAATTTTTTCCGCACGTACACTAGAAGCTTACCAGATCATAATACTTGAGCGAGTAATCAGTCTGGTCTTTCACTACTAGCAACATAGCATGCATCTTCTGGACTCCTAAGAGACGAACTAAGTGTCCATCTCTCTCCTCGTCAGATAGCGATCGGGTCTGGCAGTTCATCCGTCCGCCATTCTCGACCTGTTGCTCGATCCACACCTTGGTCTGCCGCACGATGTCTTCTACAGCGGGGTGGCGCCGTATGTGAATCTCAGGGCTATCTGTAAAAAAGGCATCCTTTTGGAAGATGTATTTTTTCATATTTAGCGGTTGCAGGGAAGTGCTCTTCAAAAGTAGGTAGGGAGAAACAAAAGAAGATGAACAGTGACACCACGCAGCGCGACGCGTCTTATCTATCTACGCGTCTGCATGTCAGCACGAAGTCACGGGACCAACAAGAGGCATGGAACACCGTCGAAATCTGTGGAAGCCATATCCTCGTGACCAGTAATATGGGGAAGAAGATTCCAGGATCGTAAAGTACCTGAGCCAATCAACTGTACCTAGGTAACGCCGGTTAAATCCATCTACCGGACATAAGCATGCGGTACGATAACAAATACTTGGCTTGCAGATGAACCATAACCTAACACGGAGATAAGAAGAAATACAAGTTCAAGTGTGTGATAAGAAGAACGTAGAGTCAACGGAGTAGTAGTGCATCAGTGGTGCTGACAAACCGAGTTCGTTGAACGACAATAAGCGCATATCACGAAGCTTGGCTCTAGTAATGGTGGTGTTGTGATTTTGTTCTCCGTAATGTGTTTAGTTACAGGCTGTCTCAAAGCTAAAGCACCGTCTCCACCTTGATATCGGCAATCAGAGAGCATACATACATAGTCTTGTCCACTAAGTAGCAACAGCAGTCATCAACCTCATCTCTGCCCAATGGAGTCTCCAGATGTACCTCATCTTCTCCTCTTCAAAGTTCTGGAGTGACTGGACTTGTTTGATGTGGTCATTGCTCAAGCTCCCTGCCTCGAGTCCAGCGAATGTGATCCCTGATCACGTTTTCTCTTGAGTTGCGAGTGCCAGAGGTAGTCGCAACCTATAATTCCAAATTCTCTGGAACGAATGCAAGTATCTTTAAACCATCCCTGGTTGTGGTAGCATGTCGCAAACCATACTAGCTCCTTTTCTAGATCCACATAGACCTCTGGAGCCTCATCACCCAATGTATACCATGCACCTCCATCAACTTTGGCAGCCTCATAGCGAGCTTCACGGTTGACGGCGAAGAGAGTAGGGTACCCGCGTGTTGACAGAATACTAAACTGTTTCTTCCCATCCACTTCTTTATGCTCATGAATGATTACTGAGTTGCCATAACCAGTAACAACAGAGTCATAATCTGGTACTTGCTCTTTCTGATCCTCCAGTGCGATAGCCCATATTTTGGCGCGGAGCTCGGCGGGTAGTCGGCTGAAAAGATGAAATGCGGTTTTCTGCATAGTTTCCTCTACTTTTCCAGCTGTCATGGCCTTTGCGGATACGTCTGTGTTTCCTGAGTTCCGGACAAACCGTTCACGCCTGCCAGGAGCCATGCTATCGGATATGATATCGATGAGTAAGTATCGATAAAAAGGGCTGTAGATAGTCGAGTCCGTCCGCCTTCGAAGTGTCTGGTTGCTCTCTTGTCACATCGATGGTGTAAAGGGAAAATCGGGAGAGGTTAGGAAAATATGGTTTCATTTATGTACCGAGACTGTCCCTCGACCAAGCTGAATGTGAGAGCGATCGCTGGACAACGCAATGCCAAGCCTGCCCTGGTCGTCCCTTTCTGCCTTGTCAATCTGCAGTGCATCCTAAGCTATGGCAGTGGGAAAGACTACATCATCAGTATCAAAAGGAGGCAAACAAGTCGAGTAAGGTTAGCTTCAGGTAGTTGCCTGGAGTATCGTTTCTGTCATTCCAATCTTTCATTACGAGACTTGATCACTAGCAGAGGAAGAAAAGACAATTTAGGAAAGAGGCTGTGGCGTGAGCGTTCTCTCAATCTAACAAACCCAAGGATCGTAGTTCCGAGTCTGCATCGTATTATTTGCTTCTGTACAGACTGTCCATCGAATGCGTAAAGGACGAAAGAAACTGCCTTTAGCTACCTATTTCGCTCGTCACAGGGAATGGCGCATGAGTCCTGCTTCCATGTCACCACTCACGATTAAACCATCGAACAAACCCTACATGAAGGACTTCATTGCAAGGAGGTAGAAAAGGGACATGCACCACTCTTCTCAAACCATGAACAAACGTTGATGTTCCTCTCCCCGAACCGTCAAAAAACGCAGCCGCTGACGCCGCACCCGCAAAATCCCGCCTCACCTGATTCGCCCAACTTCCCAACTCCGCCAAGCCCAGCGATCCCGCGCTTTCTCTGCCGCCATCAACCTCACCTACCAAACCCACATCCACACCCACGCGCGACCGTACACCCCAACCCGACCGCCAAAGATGTCTGTCTCATCCTTCGGCCACCATGGCAAGACGCCCGCTGCCGTCGTAAGTGTTTACCCTCTCCGCGCGCGCAATTGGAGCGAGAAGAGGAATAAGGGAAAAAGGACGCTGGAAAGGCCGATGACGAAATGAAACAAGGAAAGGAAAATGGAAGCTAATCAACTTGGTCACAGAGCATGCGCAGCCCGTACAAGGCGTACAGGAGTCCTTTCGGCCCTCAGTAAGTTGGTTTTCCTTTCATGTTACGACACACGGCAATGGCGTGGGAGACGGGTGGTGGGCGGACTGCGGACGACAAGGTTGGAGGAATGTTGTCATTGGTACAAGGGAAAGCTGTGGGAAGAAGAGGAGGATACACAGCGATGATCTCGCACGAGCAATGGCATCAGCATTCAATGCTCTACACCGAAACCCATACGCCAAAGAAGGAGGAAGACGTCAACCCACTACACCCGTCCTTCACATACCAACCCCCTTCAACTGCGCTGAAGCTAACAGCATCGCTCCCCACAGATACACCATCCCCAAGAACTACCACGGCCTTACCCTCAACCAAGCCGCCAAGTACGGTGTCCTCGCCGCCGGTTTCGGCGGTGTAGCCGGCTTCTTCGCCCTCTTCTTCTTCGCCGAGGTCCCCAAGGTACGCGACGACATCATGAAGAAGATTCCCGTTCTCGACAAGTTCTTCACCCACGAGATACCGCCCGAGGATAACCCTTTCTGAGCTTTCTACTCTCTTACTTTGCTCGAGATACTGGGCAAAGGGGAATATGAGGAGAGAGAGAGGCAATGTTAAAGTCGGGACTGTATAATTACATGGGCATTGCGAAAAAAGGGAAATTTAGACCGCTTTTGTCTTTGTTCTGGGGTTGTTTCGTTGGTGCCCTTTATCATGATTTGAGACTGCTGTGATGATGATGATGATGATGATGATGATGATGATGATGATGATGATTGCGTTTATGACAAGATTGATTTGCACGACAGTTTGCCACTCGTAGGGTCCGAGACATGTTTGGTCATTGCTTCATTTTCACATCACCCAAGCACATGGCTCGAGATGCTATCATATGCCCATCTACCAGACTTCCTTCAGCCGGGGCCATCCATCTCTCAAGCTCCACCCCTGCGGCTATGCCCGCCCCCCCTTCCAGAGACCAAACTCAGACCTCTTGTCTAGTTTGTAGGCAGCCTTCCAACAACCTCGGCCATCTCCTCATCAGTGTAGATTCTGAATCCCTTGTCCTTGGTCACACTCGCCAACTGCACATTCTTGCTATCCAGCTTCTCCTCCATGACCTGCTTGAGCGTCTTGAGCGTAAGTACCTCGGCTTCAGGCAGGGTAAGCGACTTGTGGAATTCGTTCTGGAGTTCGGCCTGCGCGCCCTCGGATCCGGAGCCAATGGCTTTGGCGTCGTAGCGGTAGAATGTGCCCGAGGGCTCGGCGTGGTAGCTGTGACTACTATTAGTTTCTTCCTTGTAGACAGCACAGTAGGAGTGGAAGTGTGTTTGTCAAGGCGGGGCAAATGTTGTGTGCGTGACATACAGACTCGGCCCGTCCTCATCATATCCCGCAATCAAAAGCGCCACACCAAACGGCCTTGACATGATGCTCTCCTCGCCCTCGGCGCCCTCACCAAACCTCAGCGCCAGATCACATATCGCCTGCGTGCAGCTCTCGACGCGCAGCGGCTCCGCGTAGTTGAAAGCGTGGTTCTGGGATTCCACACGCGCGTGCTCAATCATGCTGCGGGCATCGGCCTGCAGACCCGACATGGCACAGCCAATGTGGCGGTCGATTTCGACAATCTTCTCCACGGAGGAGGTCTCGAGGAGGGTCGAGGTTACGCGCTTCTCTACGCCGAGGATTACGCCTTCGCCTGTTGCTACCTGTTGGGGATTGTGAGTTGGTTTTCGGGCTTAACGGCGGATTGTAGAGAGCAGGGTATGGATATGGGTATGGGTTTAGAGAAGACGCACGCCTATCGCTGTTGAGCCGAGCTTGATGGCTTCTAGTGAGTATTCGACTTGGAAGAGACGGCCTTCGGGCGAGAAGGTGCTGTGTGTTTGTGAGCGGGCGGGCTTGTTGTGGGAGACGAGGGGTGGACGAACTTGATACCACGGTCTGTCACACTTTGTTAGCACACGTCCTCTTGTTCAAAGCTGTTAGAGAGCTTACCATATTCGCTTCGTGCTATGAACTGGTCATGTTAGTACAAGAGCTCCAGCGGGGTTCAATCAAGCGTACCATGGCGGCGGTGTATGCGGAGAAGTCGAAGAAGGTTGCGGGTGGAGACTTGTGCTAAGTCGCAGGAAGAGAATTGTAAGTTGCAGGGGTGAAGGCGGTGGTGAGGTGTTGGCGACTTGTCGTTGGCGACTTGGATGTTTCTCTAGCTAGAGCTTCAGGCAACATGAGCCGCGAGGTCGCGCTAGGGCGGGATGCCAAGACCTTGAGCTAGTAATCCGAATGCGCGCTCCTCATCAACACCGTTGCTCCCACTGTTGGCAATTTCATTTTGCCTTGCAACTGCTACGTCGAGTCGTCCGTTCAAAGTCACGATCAAGGAGTCAAAGTAAAACTTCCAACATTACCTTCAGGCCTATTGTCGCTCTGCCAGGTACCTCACGACACCATCCATTGACAACAAGTGAAATTATGAGCCATGGCTTCCCACGGCTCTAAGAAATCGCTCACGACGTATCTTGATGGGAGCTTAACGTCCTGATATAATCGATGATTCCGTTGACTTGCTGGGTTTGCCGCCAAACTCCAACTGACGGTCGTTAGAATTGTCTTACAAATGAATGGCTCAAATATTTCGGGGCACTATATTGCAACCCTCATAATCGCATTACTGAGCTTGACAACGATGGTTGTGTCATTGCGCTGCCCTGAGGACTCATCCAGTGCTCGTAACGTGTTTCTGTGCCAGATCACGCTTCGATGTTAGGTGGTACGATAATTTGTTGCAAGTTCGCAGCCAAGGTCGGCTGGCTCTTTGGGCATTTCACGTAGCCTAGAGACGAGTCTCGGTAATGTCAGGCCATGACGTTCATAAAGGCGAACGGTCCATCCCTCATTACCGTGCCCGTGGCTGGACTCCCGGCGGAACAAAGGGGCATTCGCGAAGGATTTCACAGCCACGATACCCACACGCTACCTTCTAGATTTCTACATGTCGCAGAGTGCTCCAAGTGCCTGTTTGAGTGATCAAGCTTCCGTCTCCATACCAAACTTCTAATAGGGGTAAAAGCTTAGCGCTACCGAATCGCGACATTGGCGCATGTAGCGCCGGATCGAAACGCCAACCAAGAGACCAAACGGCTGGAGCAATGCTCCGCATCCTACTCTCTCTTTCCAGCATCGACTACGCGTCCCAATGTTGACATGGAGTTTTCGCCTCACCATCCGCGGATCGAAAGCCGATAATGCGCGTCATAGCTCGGATCGAATATCCCTGGCGTCCGCACCGTTTCTCCTGAGTTCGGACCAGCAGCGCTATCCACGTCACCACATTCTGGAATCTCGGCCATGAATGAACGACAGCCCCGATGCCGTCCTGTCTACAACGAATCACCAACCGTGGTAGTGCGCGACGTCAAGTGATGATGACACGAGGACATGTGTCGACTAGACACTCGTATGCTGCAGTCGCACTCGCTAGCAAGAAAACTATTGATCAGTACAGCCACTCAGGCATCGACGTATTTCGATAAATCTTGCATGTGCCATGTTGCACGCAGGATAATCGAGATGTGCAGCTCATCTCCCGCAGCGGGGATGTTGTCGATTGCGAGTTATTTTTATCCGGATACGACGTTATACCGGGGGCTTGACGTCGCTGCTAGGCTGTTGAGTATTGCCGTCTCCACATGGACCAATGATTAGCGAGGCCGGGGCAAAACAGTCGTTCCTTGTCTTGCCGCATCAGGCTTCCTACAAGGCTTGGAAGGCTTCTTCAATCGATATCGCGCCATGAAAGCAGTATTAAACGATGGGATGTAATGGGTGAACGCATGTAAGAAAAAGGATTGTCGTGGTGCATGCCAAGATTGCTTAACCAAGAACAAGGATGGGGATCACCGCCGGCATCCGCGTTCCTGCTTCTTCGAGATGGCACTAATTTGCTTTGACCGTGCGGCTAATGCACGTCCGATGAAAAGACCTACGACGGGAGCGACGTCTAGAAGCCGCAAGACGTCACTGGCAAATAAATACTTCGCTGTGCCCACCTTAACATCTCTCACGCACGCCTTTTTCTCCAACCTTTCTCCAGACTTCATTCTACACTTTTAATATCGTCTTCTTGTACCTAATACCACAATCATGCGCGTCTCCTCTACCATCCTCGCCACAGCCGGTCTTCTGACCTCGGCCAACGCTGCCATCAAGGGCTTCAACTACGGCGCAAACTTCAACAACAACCAGGCCAAGACGCGCGTCGACTTTGAATATGAATTCAACGCCGCCAAGCAGCTTCCTGGCACCAGTGGATGGAACAGCGCCCGTCTGTATACTATGATCCAGCACGGCACCCAGACCACTGTCATCGAGGCTATCCAGGCTGCTATCAACACCAAGACCAACCTCCTACTCGGCATGTGGGCCTCCGCCGGTCAGGCCAACTTCAACAACGAGATTACTGCTCTCAAGGCCGCCATTGCCCAGTACGGCACTGCCTTCACCGACCTGGTCGAGGGTATCTCCGTCGGCAGCGAGGACCTCTACCGTATCACTCCAACCGGTATCGAGAACAAGTCTGGCGCCGGTGCTCAGCCCCAGGAGCTCGTCAACTACATCAAGCAAACCCGTGCTGCTATCAAGGGTACTCCTCTCGAGGGCAAGCCCATCGGCCACGTCGACACCTGGACCGTCTACGTCAACGCCACCAACAACCCCGTCATCGACGCTGTTGACTTCATCGGCATGGACGCCTACCCCTACTTCCAGACCACCATGAACAACAACGTCGGGTCCGGCAGCCAGCTCTTCTTCGACGCCTACCACCAGGTTCAAGCCAAGGGTAAGCCCGTCTGGGTCACCGAGACCGGGTGGCCCGTTAGCGGCGAGACACTCAACCAGGGTGTCCCCAGTGCGGCTAATGCCCGCATCTACTGGGAGGATGTGACCTGCCAGCTCATCAAGGACAACGTTAACCTGTGGTACTACATCCTCCAGGATGTCCAGTACGGCAACCCCGTCCCCTCGTTCGGCATCAAGCCTGCAGGTGACCTCATGGCGGTCAAGCCTCTGTTCGACCTTTCTTGCCCTGCAACCTCCGGAGGCTCCACCTCGGCTCCTACCAAGAAGGTTTCTACTGATGGTACTTGCGGGTCTCAGGGAGGCGCTACTTGCACTGGCTCGACATTCGGTAACTGCTGCTCGCAGTACGGATGGTGCGGAAACACTGCCGGACACTGCGGTACCGGTTGTGAGAGCGGATCCGGTACTTGCAACAAGGTAAGCTAGTACCTTCCCATGCTCTTCTTGTCACCCATTCTGTTGTCGGTCCTGTATACCCCGTCTGTGCTCTTGTCGCTTTCTTGCCACTGCCTGTGCTCCGTTTCTGCTCCTTGCGGGGCTGCACGGACTAATGGGTATGCGAAGAAACCTTCAAGTAGCAGCAGTCGTATTGGGACACCAACAAATATTGGGTCAAGTAAGAGGGCTGAGGGACTCTTTACACTTGACAATCAGAAGCTAATATGTTACAGCGCAAGTAGACGCCCCGACATCCCAGCCCACAGTCGTCACCATCCCAGTAATCAGCTTTGATCGGCCAACTCCAACAATTCAGAGTTCAATCTTGATATCCTCGCTGGTCTCATCCACGCCTCTTCATCTTGAAAGTCTACCGCAACCAATATTTACCTCGCTCCAAGAACCATTCGAGTATCCGCACCAACTCATTCCTGTCGACAAGACGGACCCAACTAAAGTCTTTGGCAATGGATATACCGTCCAGCTATCGCCTACTATATCAACAGTCTTCGTCTACGACGTTCGTCCTGAGTTTGCTGGCAAAGCCTGTACGCTAGCTTTACACATACCGCCGCCCTTCCCCATGTCAGAAATGGCACCTGTACATATTCGATCTCCAGGGGGTGTCAGTGTATCGCGACTCATCAATCAGGTTCCCGATACTGTGTCTATGCAGAGTATCGGCAACACTAGTCTCATTGGTACTGTACCACTTGTTGAAATGGCGAGTCAGTACAACGTTGCTAGATTTCCTTGTGAGGCGGGACAGAAGGTGGGGTATCGGGTTGATTCTGTGGGCGGGTTCGAGGCGGATTGGTTCCAGTTGACTTATCCGGCGTTGGGATTGTTCTTGCTGGTCAGATAGATGAGAGGGGAGTTGGGGTTGTGGATGCCTGGGATGTCAACTGTATTATTACGTATCAAAAGTCGTAGGATCCTTTCAATGTAAATATTTGCACTATACAAACGACACAGTTGTTGCAGTACCCCTAGAACCCGTTGTTGTAGGCTAGAGCCTAGAGATTCTCGGCGATATCTCCATCATGTACCCAAACGCACAGGTCGCGACTATAAGCGTCTGTATAATGCTCAAATGACACCCTATCTCTGATTAGTATTCAGGCTAGTACAAACTAAGGAGCGACCTACTGGTATAAAGATATATGGGACTCTCTTTGTGTATGTCTCCCAAGCCTTGCCATACCTGTCATGGCATTTCGCATTGTCGCGTAATGCGCGGTGCATGATCATGACGGTGAAGAAAACAGGATAGAACCATAACAGTTAATAGTAGGTTACTATTGCAACAGACCCAAGTCAGGCGTTACATAACAGATGCTTTAGTCTAGTAGTGCTTCGTCTACGCTGAGGCCTTAGCGTTGCGTATCTCGTATTTCGTATTTCGTTCGCATGCTACTACGGGTAATACTTCAACTTAGCACGTAGATCGATCCGGCACATGCCGTTTCTCAACGTCTATATGACCTTAAAGTCCTGTTTGTACGGTTATGGTACGGACCTTTCGTGACCACCTACTCTCGTTAAACTCACACAATAACACCTTTAATTCGACCGGTACGATGCGCCTCTTCACACTTGCTCTAGGACTTAATGTGCTAGCTGGGTTGGGTCCTTCGTCTGCGGAGGGATTAGCCAGCGATCCAATAACTATCATTCTTGGTTCTAATAGTACCATCACCCTGAAAGGCAACTCATCTACATCTGAAGTAATCCTCGACTATGGCGCCAACGTTGAAGGCTTCCCAGCATTCGAGATTACTAGTGTTAGCGGCGACACGTCAAGGCTCCAGATTACTTATAGCGAATCTCTTGCTGTTTTGCTGAGTTCTCCTACTGTAAGACTTTCAAAAGCAAATACACGTGTACAACTAGCTGATTCTTGTAGAGCGATGGCCCGCTTGGACTGGCCGCTGCCATGGATACCTATCGAATTAATAACTACAACATTACCGAGCCAACGAACAAAACGAACAGACTCATCCAGGGAGGCTTTCGCTACCAAAAGTTGGCTCTCTTGACCCCAGGCGATATGGTATTAGCCAAAGTGGGCGTGAGACCATCGGTTTCCACAACGCCCATCACTTCGCTTCCTGGGTCCTTTCAGTGTTCCGATGACCGAATCAATCAGATTTGGAACGTGGGCGCAAGAACTATCCAAATGAACGAGATTCCTGCACGTTCCATTCCTGATTTCTGGGAAGTATCTTCCGAGGGATCGTTGGTGCACAGTTTAGCGCCACAAAGCCTGTCCGGTGTCGTTGCATCGTCACTCATGGAGTACGAGATCGAGTTCGACGTCAGACCTATCGCTGGTGGTTTCTCATTCTCTGCTCTCGCAAGTACGCTGAACGATGGTGTCTATATTTGGTGCAACATCGCCAATGGATCGATTAGCGCGAACTCGGGATCTTCAGAGAGTGTCGACTTCCTCGCGTTTGCTACTCTGCCAGCCAACATCACGGTCGGGGACTGGTACCATGTGAAGGCTGCTATCAACGCTGAGTCAATCTCCATCTACGTCGGCTCGATCAAGGTACTGGAATTTTCGCAGACCTACGCTTTTTACGGTTCCTCTGGACTAGGTGCTGCTCTTGGTCAGTCTGCAATGTTCCGTAATTTCACCTTGGCTAGCCCAGCAGTCAACTTTGAATACTCGACACAGCTGACCGACACCACGTTCCTTCCGGACTTTCTCATGGGCACTAATCCTCTCGCCGCCGCTGTGGATGGTTCGAAACGCGACCGTATTTCTTACGCTGGAGATCTTGATGTTGCTGTTGGCTCTACCATGGTTAGCACGGTCGGTGTTGAATACATCATGGGGACTCTAGAGCTATTGGGCTCCTCGCAGATGACACCCGGTTTCTTCAGTCCGACGGCAAAAATCCAGCAGGAGCCATATTCTAAGCCCCTCGAGAGCAATATCACTGGACTTATCGGCTACTCCTTCAACATGGTCACAGCAGTCGCCAATTTCTACCAGTATACAGGAAACACGAGCATTGCGAAGGAGTGGGCACCCAAAGTTGTTCGCATGCTAGACTGGGCAGATTCTCAGGTCCTTCCTGGTAACGGGCTGTTCAACATCTCTAATCCTGCTTTCGGTGGCGACTGGAACTATTACGACCCTTCACAAAGCGGCGTTGTGACCAAGTTCAACATGGTTTACGCCTATGCGCTCCAGTCCTCTCTCACCATGTTAGATGATGCGGGTGTCAATACAACTACATATCGGTCTCGTTTGGATGCACTCCGTGCAGCAATCAACACCCATCTCTGGAACAACGAACTTGGAGCCTTTTATATCTCTGAAGCTCTAACAAATAGCTTTGGACAAGACAGTAACGCCCTTGCCATCCTTGCAGGAGTAACGAACTCAAATCACACTTCGTCGCAAGTGTTGAGCACTTTGTCAGAACTTTCCACACCAAGCGGGCCTCTAGCATTCTCCAACGGTACCGTTGCTGCCGGTTTCCGAAAACTCATCAGCCCATATGCTTCAGCTTATCATCTCAGAGCAGCGTTTGCTGCAGGAGACGCAACGGTCGCCAACGAGCTGCTGCATTCTCTATGGTACCCGATGGCTGATCCCGCTGGTGCGAACTATACCGGATGCTTCTGGGAAACCCTCGACGCAAATGGCGGACCTGGATTAGGAGCAATCACCAGCCTTTGTCACGCATGGGCGTCTGGACCCACAGGCGAACTCAGTACCTACGTACTGGGTGCGACAGCTACTAAACCTGGTTTTCAGGAGTGGCGGGTTTCGCCAATGACTCTAGGATTGTCTTGGGCAGCTGGCACAATCCCTGTGCCAAATGGTGGTATCTACGTTGCGTGGAATGCGACTGAGGGGCAAATTATCCACCTAACGATCGAGAGCCCTGCTGATACCAAGGGTGTTGTTTCTCTACCCGCCTGCGGTGACGACCCGACCTGGAAATTGAATGGACAAGCTATTAGTACTAGTAACGGCACTTTTGCTGTTAACGGTGGGCAAAATCTTGTATTTTCGCTTTCTTAAGGATAATTTCAAAGTCCTGGATGTTTTCACTAGATAGTAAAGTCGCACATGGCTATAGCAGAGCGTTGATGTCTCTGTCATCTCAATTGTAATTAGATCAAAACCACGAATCAAAAGTCTAGAAATTAGAAGTTCCATTAGGATTTCAAGTGCATTGTTATGTACGAAAAGCCCTAAGGCTTTTCCAAAGTGATTTCTGCACCTTGGATGGCACTTGAGCGCATTTGATAAGTAGTGCGATGTGATGGTGGATGTGATCAATGAGAATACGGAACGCGGCATACGCGATTGTTTTTCCGTTACATGACTACACAGCAGTCCTTCAAGTCCAATGCGTTGATCGAATGAACCCTCCTCTCGCTCATTCCTGGCTCTTCATACGTGCTCTCCTCAGTCTCAGGCTTCTCTTCCATCTCTCCAATTCTAATCCTTCGTTGCCGGATACGCAGGCTTTTCTGGCGACCGTAAGCCGCAGTCGAGAGCATGCAACCCACGAGAAGCACAGCGAGAAGGTAGCATATTGTTGAATGAACGGCGTGCCAGCGCATCATGGTCGTGAAGAGATATGACGTCTGGACTTCTGCTTATAACGTGACTGTAATGCGATAAGCGGCGATGGTAGTCAAATAGAAAGGCGATGGCCGCGACTATTGGGCTTTGAGTCCTGACTTCTCTTTACCGGGTCGCTGAAATGGACTTTTGCGTGGTTGGAAGGCGATGAATAAGTTGTCGGTGAGCTAGACTTCAATGTTTGGTTGATGGGTGATGCGGTAAGTGCGCTTTAAGGGGACACGAGATAGAGCGATCATGCCCAAGCTGGTATCTGGCATTCAGGTCAAATTCTGCGCAGTCCAGACTGGTGGAAGATGGAGAACTGTTGGACAGGTGGGTGTCACGGTGGGGTTGGGTAAGCAAGAGTTTCCTTCGATTTCACCCCGCCCTTCCTATCACTTTCGTAAGCCTGATGGCTTGCGTTTTTTTTTTTTCGACGAAAAGTCTGCTAAAGTGTCGCTGGAGGTAGGCGGCGCGGTCCTGACCTTCTCGCTCGAGCGCCGGGCAGCCATTTTTCAGCGTTCCAAGATGCTCTTCGCCCTTTCTACCCACAGGCTCAGAGCATTCTCATCTTCATTGGAATACAGTGATCTAGACCAGACACATTTCTCTTAATCGATCAGGCCTTCACTATTGCAACAACGGATACTCGGTACTAAACTATGAGTATAGGCCCTCGCAGCTTGTTCATCTAGACCAGACACAGTGTGCGCATTTCCCAGCCGCCTTTTCGGTTGATACGATTGAACCAGGCGAGAGTACTTTCCCTATGCGAAACTCTCTTACGAGAGCATCGAAGCACACCGATCCGGCGCCATGTCGAATCGTCGACCTTCCTTACTACCAGTAACACTGCATCTATCCAGCTTTCATCGTCGGTGTCACTCAATGACGGGTCGCTTCCAAGGTATATCGCAGCCAGGCCGTAGACCTGTGAATGCCATGGACTATCTAGCATGATGGTATCCCTCGTCTTGAAACCCCAGGCCAAAGCCCCGTCATTCCCAAGTAGTTTTGTTTCACATGGGACCACCCAGCTCCTGATAGAAATCTTTGGCACAAGCTTTCTATCGTCTTCTTGGCCCAACGTCTTGATGTAATGGTTCAATTCTAAGCTCCTTCCGCTCTCGTCATGAATCCAAACTTGCAAACTTCCTTCGCAGGAAAATCTCACTAGTGGATCTTGCCAGGTAAGTCCACGAGAACTCATTCGAGCGCGATTGGCTTTGCAGCTAGCCCAGCTCCATGATGGAAAGAGAGTATCCGTGACACCACTATATCTTGTAACCTTGTTCAGCATCGCAGACCAGGTTAGACTATATGCGAAGGTTGAAGTTGGTGTGAAAACTGTAAGATTACACTTCTTCTCCGATGGCAAGCAGAAAGTAGGCGACGTCTGGTTATAGAATATCGGCAAGCCAAATACTTGAGTGGCACGTATTCGATCATTACCTTTTCCTAATTCGAAAGCATTTATGATGCCAGTGACAGCTTTGATGGAATCTTCGCGGAATGACAGGCGCCTGTCATAATATTCCTCAATCTGCAGATAGAGCGTCTGTACTGTGGACCTCATATCTAGATTTGGAAACGCTATGAGATCATCGTGACAAATTCCTGCCTCCAGGGAAGGATCAGGGCTGGGTGAGGCCGGGTGCCGTGAAGGTAGATTCTCCAAGCCATGCATGCTGTTGCATTGAAAGTACATCTGTGATCCTGTGAAGACTAACCGACGTCTTGATAGTACCAGCTCTTGAAATGTCCATCCACGAGTATTCCAGAACGAGTTCTGTATTTCAGTTCTGGGTACCTCCAGGCTGATAATCCGTTGACCTGATGTCCCTACTGCATGACTGTACTGCAGACGTCGAGGTGTTCCATTGATACCAGGAAGACCACTATGCGGACTTTCCCCTGCTGCAGCGATAATTGTGAGCGTTGCTCCTCCATACACGGCGCCCATATTCTTGATAAGGTGATGCTTCTCGGCATCGTTTCGTTGATCGATGCAATATCGATCGATCCATATATATGAATACCCTAATTGTAGCGTGACCCATATTGAATCCTCTATGGTCTTGGGCAGGCATCCCGAGAGGGCCGAAGAGATCTCATGGGCGACAGAAGCGTTGCCCCAGACATAACTCAAGCAGACATACGGTGTTCCAGGAGCAATTTCGCATAGCTTTCTTGAAGCACAATCGATCACCTTCAAGGGGTAACCAGAAGGACTGTCTTGACCACAATATTCCTCGTGCGATTGCGAGCATTTGAATATCCATCTTTTCGCAAGCATGATATCACCCAAACTTGTTGGCACTGATCGTAGGATACTGCTCTGAGCAAAATATGCATCCTTTGCCGAGGTGAAGATCGCGAAGCATGGAAAACTTGTTCCCTGGAACTCCAAAGAGGTCCAGTAGCTGCTTATATGCTTCTTTCTTAATCTTCTAGAATCGCCTGCGTCGTCTTCAGATCCGCTAGGGACCCCCATGTAAGCCATCAAACTGTTGCATAAGGCACATCCCTTCGGAACTTCATCCCAAGTGCCACGAAATAACAATTCACTGCCTCCAGATCGCATATCGCGGAGCGATGCCCAAGATTCGAAAAAAGATGAGGTGGGGATGCTGCTGCATTCCCAACAAATGCCTGTGTCCGGAGGAGGCGAGTGAGGGTTAGAGTCAACCATGACGAACAAGATGGGATAGAAGCTTGAGAACAATTTCAGTGATTTGTGGTTTTGGAAGGCTGGCGCAGTGGCTAAAGAGCTGTATGTTTTATCATCTAGGCTGCCGTACTGAGGCTGAGCAAAATGCGCTAGCACGGGCTGTGCAGACTTGCATATGCAGCATGGCTGCAAGGCTGGAAGGTAACATGGGGGCCTGATTTTGGCAGTATTGAACACCTACCCACCCATAGCGGAAACGTCTTGTCGCACATATCAGAAGTTTTTGCATGTTTTGAATCCTACCTATGTCATCACTCAACTTTGCGCCTTCCCTGTCTGGCCTTTCGTGCTAGTCGATACTTTGGTGCACTCGGACAGCAACTGGCCGACGAGTACATCGAGGCAATCCGAATTATTATGCAGCACTTCGCTACAGAGATACTGTCCTATATGAGCGCCTTAGGCTCGAAAGTAGAATTCTAGGGTATGATGCCGAATGCCGTGGATCAGAATGAGAATGAGTCAAGTGTGAACGCGAACGGGCACCACCGGCCGAGGTACTACAATATGCGCAGGCGAGTCAGTATCGATGAAGTGTTAGAAGGCCAGGAGAATACAAAAGTAGTTGCCGCGCCGACGACGCTAGATGATGGTTCTATGGAGGATACCGTGTTTACGCAGGTGTTCGATACCACTTGGAGCAGTGCCTACGGGCAGGAACGCCGGTTCTTAGGTCACACGCGGAGCAAAGAACCACCCCTTCTAAAATATGATGGTGAGGAGCAAACTTCGGCTGTTAGAGGTCGTATGCAGCGAACATGACATCAGTAGTAAACACCTATAAGCAGATGACACCAATAAAACTGCAACAAAAAGCGTCCTTTTCATTGAAAAAATTGTCCGCACAGCGTCCATATATACAAGAAATCAGCTATCAAAATATTTACACTTGAAGCCGTTAAAACACCCTTTTCTCCATCCTCATTCACATATCCCTGGATTTGATTTTCCAAAATCCTAAAGATCACATCCCTTCTAGCGCATACCCTATAATACACACTCACTCTCCATCGCTTAGAACTTGAGGGTAACACCAGCAGTGCCAACAACAGCAGCCTTGACAGCAGCCGCCTCAAGGAGCTCAGGAACCTCGTACGGGACCTTGGACAGGGAGCCCTTAGGAGCAGTGTTCTCGCTGTCACCAAAGTCGTTGCCCTCGGCAACAGCGTTGCCACCGTCGGTGCTGTAGAGCGCCTTCTTGGCCTTGACCCAGACGTTGTTCTGGACGAGGAGCTGGGCACCCTGGCGCGTGTTGATGCCATCGGAGACGTTCTCGTAGTAGTTGTTGTAGAGGTGGCCAGTTCCGAAGCGGAAAGAAGGGCCGCGAGAGTTGATGTTGAGCCAGTAGTTGTTGTTGTAGGTGACGGTCAAGTGGCCCTTGTCTTCGCTGCCGTTGCTGTCAGAGTGGCCGACTAGAGAGCACTTCCAGTGGTCGTGCATGAAGCTGTTGGAGATGGTGACGTAGTCAGCGGCGTGTGTAACGTCGAGGAGACCGTCGTAGTAGTCCTTGTCGTGATCGCGGTCGGAAGAGAGGTCGACGTGGTCCACCCAGACGTTCTGGGCTTCCTGGATGGCAATGGCATCGCCGCCGACGACCTTCTCCACGGCAAAGTTGCGGAGGATGACGTTCTTGACTGCCTTGACTGTGAGGGTGAAGTCGGTCAGGACGACGGAAGAGTCCTTTCCGATGACGGACTTGTTGCTGCCAATCTTGACGTTCTCTCCGCTTCCCTTGATCGGAGCGGTGATGAGAACGATAGCGGCATCCTCGCCCTTGACAGCAGACTCCAACTCGCTAAGGGAGCTGACCTCGATGGTCTTGCCTCCCTTTCCTCCAGAGGTACCTCCGTTCTGGGTAGCGAAACCGGTAGTGGCGACATCCTCCAGGGATGCGGCGCGCTTGGTGAGACCGTCACGCCTGGGTGCGATCTGAGATGGCATAGGTGCTGCCAGAGCAGAGACGGCCATGAGGCCGAGAGACATGATTGAGAACTTCATTGTCGAAAAAGATTTTGTTGGTGAACTTGGAAAATGAACGTGAAGGGAAAAAGTGAAGGACTGGAGTCGTTGGTGTAGAAAAGAATGGAAGAGCTTTGCTGCCAAAAACTCCAAGGGAAGGATACACAGGACCTTATATATAACTCAGCGTCTGTCCACATCGGGTGCTGGTCGTTAGTAGTAGCCCCGCCGCCGTGGTCAAGCCTTTGCCGGCGTCCGAAGGCATACGCGCTGGGGGCACATTGTTTCAAGCTCTTCGCACCAATCCTCTCCGCTGGGCGACCCACCACAGCGGAAGACATGGGCTGTCACTCACGATCTTGGGTGAGCACTCTTCCCTAGCCAGGTACCGTGTGACGGGCAAACGTCGCGAACATGTCAAGAGTTCTTGGCAATCATGCGGAAGGATTCTGTTTGAAACGACTAACCAAAACGGGTTCGAAACGGCGGCGGATAACTCCACTTCTCAAGATATAAAATTGCAAAGGATGTCGTTCGAAACAAGTGCGTACTCGGGCATCGTAACTGTGCACATGCAGGAATGTCTTGGCTATAGAATCTGTGGAGACATGGCGGGCGCTTGCTGCTATCGTGACCGATCGACTGGTGGATGGGGCGGCTTGAGTCGTGAATGATCAGTAAACAACATGTATGAAATATACGGAGACGTTCCCAATGCATGTATTCAATCTTGATAATATGGATCTGGTGTACCACACCATTCGATATGGCGTGGGTTGCCGGATGCGGATGCAGGGCTGACCGATGTGAAAGGCAGGCGTCTGACAACATACGATCCTTTGAATTGTAGGAACACTGGGCTGATTTATCGAGACGTGGGTAGTTGTGTGCACAACTTTTCCTTTTTTTTTCTTCCTTGAGATTGTAGGAAAATCTTTGTCTTTACAGAAGCGTCTGGACTTGTTGATCGTTATCGCGATCGGCCCTTTACTTGTTCCAGCTCCTGAACACGGCGTTGCAGACAATGATGCTGCTGCCCGATGCCATGGTAATGAATAGAGTCAACTTGAGAATTCCCTGCAGCATGAAAGGAAAGGATCGAGGAAGGGACGAAACGGATGCGAAGCTTTTCTTGGACTTCTCGGCGACGTTTTGACTGCGCCGAACAACCGTTCCCTGGAGCGCGGCACAGCCACTTATTGAATGAATGGGATAAAGGAGAAGTAGGAAAGAGGTATGGTTCTACTCATATCAGATTGCGTGATCTCTCATACAGATAAAGCCCGGGAGAGCCAAGTGTCAGCACATACAGCTTGTTGTCAGGTTGTACACATGTCACAATCATACTGTGAGACAAGCGCAAAGAAACCAAAGCTCGACCGGCCAGATGAACGCCAGGTGCATCACATTGAAAAAGACGGTGTTTAGTGATATTGAAAGCCTGGCTGCAGACGTCTAAAGAAGGTTTCACGGATGAGAGAACCCAATAAGGTTTCACGTGCCAGAGTGACATCATCGCCCAAAGCAGCAACCACCTCGAACAGCTGAACCAAATAGCACGCCAGAGAGAGGATAGCAGAACATAGCACAAGGCAGCAACAAACAACTCTCACAACGTGTTCACAAATCTAGACTAGCTACTCAACAAACTCTGCCCTCGACGAACACCCTCGCAAGTCATCATCTCGTCACCACGAATCACTACGCCGTCATACTCACCCATTCTGACGCACAGCGTACGTTTCTACATGAGCAAAAGCCGCCATCAACTCCCTCCGCGAGCAAATCTATAAAAGCCAACCCAAACATGCCCCCGATCCCCATCCACAAAAACGCCCCAATCGCACCCACCTCGACGACCGCCGCCGCCAAAGCAGACGGTATAACTCCTTCGACAGCCTCGTCCAACGACACTTCTCACAACAATCCACTACCCACACGCACAACACCCGCCTACGCCCCAGCAACAACAACACAACATGTCTCCTCCCAGCCGCCTGCTCCCCAACCCGGCGCCCGCCCCGCCGCACCAACAGGCACAGGAATGAGCGAGAACTATAGTGACGGCAGTACACCAGCAGCGCCCCAACCCGGTGCGACTGCCATGCCAACAGCAACAGTCATCACAACGGAGACGCGACAAGCACCACCACCACAATTCAGTCACCCCCCTCCTTCAGATTCCATGCTAGCCGGCCGCTCAACTACAACTTCCACCACTCCCTCGGCGTCGGCGGCGGCCAGTAAACCAGGCCCTACGGTCCTTAACTACGGTCCGGCAGCGAGCCCGTTCCAGACAGCTGATACAGCGCAAGCACAACCTACGAGGACGAGCTTGGAACACCCGCCGGGGTATGTTCAGGCGCCGGATAATGCGCCGTACACGGCTGGAGGAGGCATTGGTGGCCCGAGTGGAGCCGGCGGGGATGGCGAGGGTGAAGGTGTTGGGGCGCAGGCGTGGAGTATGTTGAATAAAGCGGGTGAGGCGCTGAAGAAGGGCGAGGAGAGTGTTTGGAGGGCGGTCAAGGGGAAGAATGGCGGGGGATTCTGAGTGTGTGCTTGGGTAGATGAGGGGTGGCACAAGCAGGGGCAGCAGATGGAGCAGTGCGGCACTGCTCCTATATCACAACTCGTATTAAACGTCACTCAATAGTGGAGATAGGTTTTGCGTACAAAGAAACCCATGACTTTCTATAGACCACTATTTTCCCCATTGCACCAAGCGATGAAAAGAGGAAGTACAGGCAAGAGACAAAAGCATTGCAAGCCGGATATGACGTGTGAATGTATAAAGTACAAGAGTGTTTTACCACCCCGGGATCGTGCTTTTCGTTACCAAGAACAACCTTCCGCCCGCAGGGCTTCTTGTCGTTCTCATACACGTACACCCCATCCCCATCTCTCACGTCGCGATTAGCTGCTTCCACCACATAAACGCAGGTTGGGGGTATCGAAGAGGGAAGAAAGGCGCTTAACCGGATCCACCCTTGAACTTCTTGCCGAAGAGGATGAGCTGGGCCTGGTCGTAGATGGACAGGACACCGGCACCAGCAACACCACGGAGAATGTTGGCACCAGCACCCTTGAAGAGAGACTTGACACCCTCGGCGGCGACGATCTGGCGGGCGGCATCCATGGTACCCTTGTACTTGACGGCCTCACCAGAGGTCATCATCATGCGGCGACGGATGGTGTCAAGGGGGTAAGAGGCGATACCGGCACCAGTGGTGACGGCCCAACCAAGAGCGAAAGAGGCCAAGAAGTTACCCTCGAGGGCACCGGTGAGGAGGACAGGCTTGATCGAGTCGTACATACCGAAGTACAGACCACGGTAGACAACGATACCAGCAACGGAGGGCATGAAACCACGGTAGAGACCGCCGATACCGTCGGAAGCGAGGGTCTTCTTGTAGACGTCTACGAGACCGTTGAACTGGCGCTCACCACCCTTCTTGGCGGACTTGGCGTCGTTGGCAAGACGGGTACGGGCGTAGTCGAGGGAGTAGACGAAGAGGAGGGAAGTGGCACCGGCAGCCTGTTGTTGTTAGATTGTGTGCTGACAAGCATTGAGCGAGTATACTTACACCACCGGAGGCCAAGTTACCAGCCATCCACTTGGCGTAACCGTCACGCTCCTTCTTGTAGGCGAACATGGACTTGTAGGTGTCGCGGAAAGCGAAGTTGAGCGCCTGGGTGGGGAAGTAACGGATGACGTTGGCGGTGTTACCACGCCAGAGGGAGAGGACACCCTCGTTCTTAGCGGTACGGCTGAAGCACTCGGTAATGCCGTCGTACTTGCGGTCGAGACGACCGGACTTAAGCATCTCATCCTGCGGGGTGGATTAGACATTGTTGATGTGCGGGGTCCTGTTGGAAGAACTCACCTGGTTCTGGATGAGGAGCTTAACACGCTCGATGGGAGCGGCGGCGGTCTTCGAGACGGCGGCGGAAACACCACCCACTGATAAGCTGTTAGTATCTGTCACGGACGCAGAAAATCGTCGATGGTGCTCGCATCATGTCCAAATGCCAATGGCACTCGTGCTGATGGAGTTGTCGATGGTGATGGAACGTACTCAGGAAGTCGACCACGAAGCCCTGATTTGATCGTTAGCCCAAGTTCCAAGTAATTGACGCACTCCAACCACACAGCCCAGCCAACGCGCGCAGAGCCAGCAAAGTTGAGTCCATCTCATGACATTGCCAATTTGCTGGAGAAAACCCCATTGATGCAATTGAGATAGATCTGCAACTATTGCTGGCTCCACGGTTGTCGAACTGAACAGCTGGCCGAGTCCGAGGGCGGGTTACGTACGGGCATCCCCATGATGCTCTTGTCTTGCTGCTTTCCCGACATCTTGAAGACGTGTAGAGGGGAGATTGGTTGAAAAAGGTGAGGTTGCAGATGCTGGTGCTGCGTTGAGGGAGGAAAGGTGTATTTGTAGCGAAGCTGCGACAAATTCTGCCAGCTGCGCTAAGTCGCACTAGACCCATCACGTGCTAGTTCCCTTGCCCGCTATCCCGAGCGCTCCCTCATCAACACCTCGGAAACGCGGAGTGTGGGAGAAAGTGAATACGATAGGGTCGTCATGATAAGTTTTGTGATTCACTTGATTCTGAACATGTTCAGATCGCTGCCGGTAGAACTACCTGACAAGAACAACAATGTAACTACCTCTCTCACGTTTCCCAACGGACACCCACAAGCGTTGCCGTAGCAGCCACAAAATGAATAGTCTTTGACGGAACCGCGTCTACTGGCAGCCCGCAGCCGTCAATTCAACATGGAAAATCCACTGTGGGGATGTACAAGTGTTCACATGCCTCTTCCAGCCCAAGTCTCCCACGCCTCTCCTTTCTGCGAGCCACCATTGTCAGGGTCCGCCATTTTTAGGTCGGGTAATCTCGGGGACGGAACCTGGCTCGGGCCAACAACTAGCGGCGAGGGCTTCAACGAGCGTGGGGCCCGGACTCCAGAGCGGCGAATTTTCCATCGCCCTGCCCGCTATTGGAAGACGTGCCGTAGTTCGCGAAGCCTCAATGGCTTCTAGGGCTGTCGAGAGCTGGATGCGTGACGTTGGTGTTGCAGTCTTGTTCGGACCGCTTCGTGAAGATGTGTAACATCGCACGTCGCGTGTCGGTTGTCGCTGTTTGACAAACCTCAGTACCCCTCCGATAACAACCGTCAGGCTGACCGCCACTACAAGTTACCCGCTCATGTCGGGTTGGCTCAATATCGTTTCGCCAGCGAACGGATACCAAGTCAAGACTTCAATTTCAGTCGTCAACGCGGCGATATCTCATCTTCTCACCGCAGTCAGATTGCGTCATGTCTGGTGGTCATGGTCCAGCGAAGCCGATGAGCTCAATATGAGGCCGAGTACATCTTATGATTTTTCTGGTCCATAATTTCACCCACCGGGTATCAACGTATACTGAAAAGGAAAGTTACATACCAATGCTATGAGATGGTGGGGTGCCGAAATCCATTCACCAACACCACCCCTCATTAGCATAGTCTGCATCTCACTTCCAGTGTACCATATTCACATGTAACTTCACCATTTACAACAATCTCCCCTCTGCACGTCGATCAGACTTTGCCGTAGATTTTTGTTACGCAACTACTTGGGTTCTACCAGCAAGCAGTGTTGCGACGTAATATCTTGCTCGAGGATAGGCGAGTTGACTTTAATAGGTATAGCAGATGCTAAATAGCATTGCGCGTTGCACCTTCCCGTACTCCTGCATCCTTGTTACAACTACGCTATTATGTACACTCCAACCTCGACAGTGCAAGAGGTTCACTAAAGACTAGTATATTCTAGAGATAGTCTAAATTTTCACCACAACCAAAAAGTAAGTGATCGAGAGAGTGGAGGTTTTGTAGACAATTACCTTGATGGTGTTTGCAAAGTTGGAGTTGGAAAATCATATGGTTCTATCATGCCCAGTTCTAGTATCATGATTCGGAGCGATGACGTCGGTTTCGTAAACTAGAGATTTTGTCTACTTGCGGTTCTTTTGGAATACCATTGTTGCTAAGTTATTGGAATACATTCCCGCGTCGAATCGTTGTGTAACAAACCAGTATCGATAACACGCAGTAAATGGCCGCGGTTGTGCTAAAAACACAGACCAGAATCAACTGATCATCCAGAAAGAGAGATCTGAAACAACCAGCAAAACTGAGAAGAAAAAGAAGTACTCTACAACTCTGGATTGCTCTTTGGCGTGTCACTCCTGCAAAGGATTCCCATACATTCTGCTGCGCACAACCAATATCCTCGATCAGTAGAGAAAACATGATGAACATCCAGATAGATAGAGTTATATAGAAGGGAGGGTATGAGAAGAAATTTCGAGATTCCAGTTTTGCAACTAATTCTGTAGGGATAAGTATGGAGATCAACTGGGTATTGGGCCGACTACTAAACCACAGAAGCAGCACTGTAGCGGCGATGGCAAAAGTGACCATAAGGTAGATCAATGAGTTGCTCCAGTTGGATTCCTGGTAGCAATCGTGATCTGGATGATCGCGTGCCTCGAGCGGCGTATCTGACGAGATATCTCCATGATCAAACTGGGAATAGCCTGTGTGAAAATGCACAAGCGCTGTCGAAAGTGTGTTCTTGGGTTGTTGGGCTATGGCAGTCAGTCTCATGTCCACTGACCAGAAAAGAGAAAGATATACCTTTGAAGAAAGACTCAAATATGATAATTAAGGGGGCTGCAAGGAGGACGAGAGGAACGACCTGCCCGAAAGACCAATCCCTAGAACCTCCGCTTTCTACTTGAACTGTTTTCAGCAATTTGATGAGACCCCAGGAAAAGCTTCCTGACATCCAGAGTACCTGCTTGATAGATCAGTATCAATCATGCCTGTTCAAGTGCTTCATACCTCGATGAACATAGAGTTCCAAAGATCTAACAAGGCTCGGGCAGTAAGAAAAAGTGCCAGAAGCGGTCGATAAAGGAACATTCGCTTGAATATCAAGCCTGAGGTCTCCAGACCCATCTTTGTATAAAGTAGACGAAGGCTATAGCGAGCTCTTTCACTGCAGATTGTTCTTCCACGGCCGATGATGAGAACAGACAACGATCTATGCAGCCGAATGACTCGGTAAATAAAGCCTAGGGCCAAAAGAATAACAGATATCAGCATTGTCGAAAACGTAAGGGTAGCTACCACATCATATGAGCTCGGGATAGTTCGCAACCAGCAAATCGCATAGTCTGCAGGCAAAGGACCCTCGAGGGTGTTATAGCCACCCGTCGGTATCGTAGCGACAATCAGCATTAACAACATCAGACCCATGCCAAACAACCTCCACGCTCGTTCCGTGGGCCTGTTATATAGATAGTTGCGGAGGAAAGTGAGGCAAGAGAGATGAGTTATGCTCGAGAACCAAGCCAGCAAGACGATAATTTGCCAGTGGAATACCGAGATACCGCATGATAGCTGTACGTAAGCACTAATAAGAATCGATGTACCGGTAAGAATCTGAATGTCGCTCATTGATTGGACACACTTTGTCCTCTTAGCGCAAGTATGAAATTTGAAAGAGGGAAAAGCATACATTGGTAAAAGCTGCTTCTAAACGAGGATACGATTTTGATTTCGGTAGAGTTTGGCGTGGCCTCAGCCGTGCTCGGGCTCTGGATGAAAGACTGAGATATGCGACATCTACCGGGTTTGGCCGTGGGTTACGAGGTCCAGAAGCGCCCTCTTCGCGAAAAGGGTCCTTTGTCGGGTCATGTGCGAGATGGTAATGGAATACTAGAATCAAGACGACTATTCCAGCAGTAGCTGTATATCCAATGAGAACCTAGAAGTCATTAGCACAATCTACGTGACCCTGGCCTTTTGCAGACTTACACCAATTCCAGAGATGTCAGGGTTAGGACACGGATCACGGGGCGTCTGCGTGCAGTCGAAGAAACAATCGCTGTTGCACGCCATGTTTACCAAAACTGCGTACTGTGGCAAGGCTAGGATATATACCTTCGAAAGAACCACAAGCCAAGGCAGGGACGCGCAAGGCTGAGACAAGAATCACTTTTAGCCATCTCGATCCTATATGACACAGCCACTCCTTTGGTCACAGCCTGTTGTCGCATCGTTCAAGCAGTGGTAATTAATAATCAGCAGTATGAAAACCGGTGAGCCTAACCAAAGGCGCATTCTGCATCCTCGCGGCACAGACTGAAACACTTTGACGATTGGGTCGTGGATACTGGCCCCCAACTTTCGCCGCTATACGCGAAGGAACAATGATCGGTGTCGCACTGTCAGCCTGGGTCGGGGTAGATGCAGTAGTAGTTACGGGCACTCACCACAAGAATTGCCCTGATCGTTTCACGTGTCTTCGTGCCCAAGCGTCGCGCCTTCCCGCGCTCCCGTCGCGACTGCCCCACATACGTCATTCACCACGAACCAGCATCAACATACAGCCATGCACACACAATGGCTTCACCATCGCCAGTCTTACCCACAAGCCGTACTTTCATAACTCGACTCTTTGACTCGCTATCAACACTACCAAGTGACCAAGGCGCCGCTACCAACGATCATGCCAAAACCAATATCAACCCGCTGAACAACTTATCCGACGCGACGAGGAAACATTTACTGAGCTTCCAAGTAGTTTTCCCGACGGAGTTCGTACCAGCCTTGGATTTGTTAGATCGGCGTCTTGTAACACGTTTCCATATCCGCAATGAGGAGCAAATGGCCGAGCTGAAGACGGTCGTTGATGCGGGAGACCAACAGCAAGATGTGCACATGATGCAAGACACAACGGTAGAGATGACGGACAAAGACAAGACAAATGACTTGAACAACAACAACAATAACACGATATACTACGTCCGCTCCGCGCAACAACAACGCTCCTCACGCTTCGCCACATCCTACGACACAACAACATACTACCAAGTCCGCCTCCGCGCCTGGAACTGCTCTTGTCCCGCATTCGCCTTTTCCGCTTTCCCTGCTACTACTGTTACGACGAGGCATGCTGAGAATGAAGAAACAGCAGCAGCAGTCCACACCCCATTACACAACAATCCAACAACACACCAGGAATTGGATAATAGTAAGGATAGCAACAACAGTGATGATGACAATGCGGATAACAAGTGGATATTCGGGGGAATTAGTCTCGTCGGGAAAGAAACGATGCCGCCCGTGTGTAAACACCTCCTCGCATGCGTGTTTGTGGAAAGATGCAAGGGGTTGTTTGGGGGGTTTGTAGAGGACAGAGAGGTTAGCGTTGAGGAGGCGGCGGGATGGGCTGCTGGTTGGGGTGATTGATTGATTGGTATTCTGGCTTGAAAATAGTATAAACCATGGTTTGTTGTTGCCATCTGAGGGACGGTCGTACACACACACACACACACACACACACACACACAGACTGTTAATACCCTCGGTAAATGCACTACACCACAAGCGTAAAAAGAAGACGGGACATGCCGTTCACAACTCGATATCCCGAACAGCCAGGTTGCATCAACAGCTTAGAATAAACGGCAAGAGAAAGAAGAAGAGGAAGGAAAAAAAAGATCAAGAGAAGGATCGAGCTCATATCATGCTTTCTTGAGTCATATCATTTCCATCATGCTATTATGTCGTAACATAACACGGGGAAACCCAGGTCAAGCAGAAACAAGTCTGCTTCAAACCATGGGTATTCTAACGTGGGGGCGGGCTCCAAGAGTCTGGGGGTCTGTATATAATACACATAACCTATGCGCCAAACGGCATCATGAGGCACAAACTATCCTCGGCTCTCCAGCTCTCCAGCTCTCCCGCGTCATCATCATCATCCACCTACCTAGCGCTTTATTTCTTCGACTCATCCTTCTTCTCTTTACTCTTATCCCCCTCCTTGACCTCACCATTTGTCGTCTTGTCGCCACCGCCCTCCTTCTTCTCACCCTCTTTGCCCTCCTCCTTAATCTTCTCCTTGTCCTCTGCCTGCTGCTTGTTCTGTATCTTATTCTCAATCAAGTCATGGAACGCAGTAATCGCCCTAATCAGACTAGACAGGTAAATCGTCATGAGCTGGTCGTTCGTCTTGACACTCATTGCGCGCGCAAGCTCGCCATTGTCACCGCCATCTGCACCGTTTGTTGCCGCAGTACCACCAATGGGCGTCGGCTTGGGTGTAGAGAGGTTGGGGAGTAGGTTGAAGACGTCTTGGAGGTTGCCGAGGATGGCGTGGTTGACGGGGAGGTCTTCGTCGAGGACTTTTTGGAGGTATTGGCCAATGTCTCGTAACCGTAGGTGGAGGCCTTGGAGGGATTGGAGTTGTGAGGTTATGCGTGTGGAGAGGGTGCCGACGGCGACGTCGCGGATATCACGGAGGAGATGTTCGACTCCAATCTCCTCGGCCTCTTCGGCTTCGATTATTGAGGGCGTGTGGACAAAGGTCTTGGAGGTGGTTGTGCCGTCCTGGGTAACCGTGTTAGCATTCACCCTGGGAAGCAACATGGTGGATGTTGCAATGTTGACTTACATCCTTGATCTCCTCCACCGCAAAGTATGCATCCGTCGGTACACCGACCTCCTTTGGCTGTACGTCGATGATGACGAGTAGCGGATTCGGCGTGTACCGCTTGAACAGCTCGTTGACCTCTAGATCTGATGCCCGCAGCTTAGGCCCTGTGTGATACCAGCCGATGAGCTTCTCCCGCGCGTTGACCTTCTTGAACATGTCGTTCATCGACTCGACATAGTTGTGATCTAGAAACCATACCGACGGGTCCTTTTCATCTTCCTCGAATGGTACTGTGCGTGTGTCAGTCAGCTCGCCAAAGGTGGCTGTCCAGGCGGCAAACTGGACAATGGAGGGGCGGAGGGACTACATACCCGCAAAGCTGTTGGATACTCGCACGTTCTTGCCGTCGTTTTGTCCGAGAAGAACACCGACTACTCTCCTCTTTGTTCCTTTTGCTTGGCGGCCGTAGTGGTCTGCTGCGGAGAGGAGGACGAGCGGCGCGACGGAGACGTTGCGGGTCACGAGCGACAGCGTCTCGGCTGTTGTGGCGGGCATGTTGGTGATGTGGACTCGGTATCGCCGGGAAAGAGGTGTTGAGAGGGTGACGGCGACGTTGGTCGAGTTTGTTGGGGAAGGGCCGTGGTCGTGGTTGTTGATGCGGCTCTGCGGTGTCCAAAAGCTTCGGAACTGCTATGGTGATAGTGGGTCAGAGCTCCGCGCTAGTCATTCAGCAGTGCGTCAGTGAGCGGCATGGATGGACTCTCGTTTGTTCAGCGCGTCTGACTACGGTACATGACACATGTCATTCAGAACTCCGCGTGTGAGGAAAGAAGTCGAATATTTGGTATCTGAAGAAAGGATAATGTACACAAAATGCTCAATGTAAATGACAGAACCCAACTCCCCGATCAATCCAGCGATCTTAGATCATCCCATAGTCGAGATCAAACATTATCGCATCAGTCCAGAAATTGCGTGATTAGGATAGTATCATAGTGTGGCTGTCGGGAAGTAGTATTGATCCCACAGGAATTCATAGTCCTCAATAACACCGCCAACCATATCGAGCAGAGGCTTGCCCTTCAACTTTCCAGTGATGCTGTGGATCCAAGCCCTATCCGTTGTTAGTCGCCAATCTAAAGCAGATAGGCACCAGACTTACTTGGTAATGTTCTCGTAGAAAGCACCGCGCATTGCCCACCATCCCAGGGACCAGCCCCGCTTGCGCAACTCTTCCTTCTCCAGTCCAGTCAAGCCCCTCAGACCTCCGGCTAGTCGCTCCTGGAAGTCTTTCTTGGCGAGTTGTCTGGCGCCGTACTCCATGCTGACACCGATCAACCACGGCCTCCAGCTCTTTCTGTCGCCGCTGAAGTGTTGCATCGCCAGCGCGTAGACAACCGGTCGGAGAATGTACAGTGCTTCGGCCAGCTCGCCCTTCCCGCTGACTCGATGGAGCAGTGCCTTTGGGGGTTTGATGTCGTCTGCAGTCAGTACCTTGGAGAGAAGGTAGCTTGAGATATCCGACGAGTCTGGTAGGCTCGGCATGGACAGGCCAGTCCTAGGCATGGCCCAGTTCTCTGCCTCGACCGAACGCTCGCTCGGTGGTGTGTCCATGCCGTCTGCCGATGCCGACGACTCTTCGAGTGAGCTTGGGTCAATCTCTCGTTGTGGGAGTGGCGGCGACAGGAGTGGCCGCGAGTTGGTCAATCGAAGCAGCAGCAACCTGCATACTGCTTTGACAATCTCCAACAATACCACCACGCGCCATCGCACCTTCTCGCCCTTCCGCTTCGCCGCCATCTCCCATAGCAGCTCTGTATATTGAATCATCTGGAGCACCAGCGCGATGCGCTTGTACGTGGGCGAGTTCTGCGTCCAGAACTTGGTATAGCGATGATGCGGGGTGAGGGGCTGCCGTCGCGTTCCGGGCATTTGTGCCATGGCTTTTGAGAGGAGCGAGTCATGATATAGGGAGAGCACTTGGACGCCGCTGTGTACTGTGGCTTTGTTAGTCGTCGTGACGGACGCGCGACGGCCGGGCGCAACCTACAAGATTCGGATGCGATTTCAGACTCTCGGAAGCGGCCTATTCATGATTAGCAAGATGCATCCATGTGCACGTGGAGTTACTGTACCGGGGATAATGTATGTCAGTGACCGCAGCGCTGATTCTATCTGCGTTACGGCGCTGCTGTTCTTGGTGATGAAGTCCGAGTACATGCCCAGCCACTGCGACGGCATGGACAGCACCTCGCCCGTCTTCTGCGTCGCTTGCCTGTACATGTCTTGCAGTCGCACTCAGCAAACCGCGCCGAGATGGAGCGATTGCGCGACGTCGATGTGGTGGATGCCGAGGTATGCACGTGTAGATAGGAGTGATGGACGAGGGTGAAGTCATGGATCCATTATCGCGTGCGCTACTGAGTACCGAGGCAGGTGCGGCTCAGCTACCCCGGATGTTGCTCTCCACTCCCAACGAGCACGCTGCTCCCCTTTTCCACCTACTCGTAGCACCTGACGCACGCCATGTTTTCCTGACAACGTCTGCCTTCAATTGTAGTATGCTAGTGTTGCGAGACGTGTCTATAGCCTTTGATGGCGTGGAAAAGGGCGCTACCTGGTCCTAAAAGGAAGGGCGTTAGACATGTGACTCCGCGTACGCAGAAAAACGCGTTACAAGTCCACGTACAATCTTTTCTCAAGTACACAAACACTCTTCCTTGGAGTGTCACGAAATCAATACTGTTACTGACATCTTCTCAATTCACACTTCCTCTCCCGACCATCATCTTCATTATCTCCAATACGTGTTTGGCAGAGCTTGCAGCATGGAGAACAAGACATCAGACCGTCTTCCCGTGCCACAACTTCCCCTCAGAGAAAGCGATAAACCACTCTTCGCCTCAATCAACGCTTTTGTCTACAACTATATGTCAAAGTACGACAACTCCCACGACTACAACCACATCCTGCGCGTCCTTTCCAACGCCCATTACATTCAAACGTATGAACGCGTTAGCAACCCCTCCGTCGAGTATGACACAACAGCCCTCTACCTAGCCGTCCTTCTGCACGATGTAGGCGACCACAAATACGCACAGCCTGGTGAAGATATCGAGAACCAGATAAGAGACACCCTTTTAGCCCACGGCGCAAACCCCCAGCTGGCCGACAAGGTTCAGACGATTGCAAAGCACGTCTCGTACACGCATGAAGTCCGCGACCCTGATGCCGTCAACGAGGTACTCAAGGTACATCCTGAGCTAGGCATCGTACAGGATGCAGATCGAATCGATGCTATCGGCGCAGTGGGCATAGGCCGGTGTTTTTCATTTGGAGCGGCCAAGATGCCCGATCAACCTATGGAGAGGGCGGTGAGCCATTTTGAGGAGAAATTGTTCAAGTTGGCGGGGATGATGAAGACGGGAAAGGGGAGAGAGATGGCACGGGAGAGACATGCAGTGCTAGAAGGGTTTGCCAGGCAGTGGAAAGAAGAGACAAGGTTGGCTTTCAAAATGGAGTAATTAGGGGTAGGGCACTAAAGTGTTGTGGTAGATGTGTGTAGGATGAACGGGGTCTATATTTGTTTTGCTCAAGACACGGTGGGTACCTGGATAGGGTTTTCAATGCGTATTCCAAGTGAACTTCCATGGTACATTTGTGGATATCACTGCATTACCTCGGAAAATTCGACATAGTTTTAGAAAGCTAAAACATCCGGTCTCGCTGCAGCATGTGTACCAAGAACCAAGCATTCTCAATCGACGGAGAGACGAAAATTTTTCTTCTAGTTTCGTTCTCAGTTCGTTCTTGTCATGTGGACATTTGGACGAGGTTTCGGGATGGGCTCCGATGGGGAGCGGTCGGTTGGCAAGTTTGTGAACAATTACCCCAAAATGTCTGAGTGGTGTGTGAGGGTACCAGAACATGTCCTGTCGGCGCTGCGCGTTAACGCAATAACTGTATACGGTCGGACGAACAGGAGGTTCTTAGCGTGTCATGGAGATGATGGAGCCTCGACAGTCATAAGGACGCAAGTTCAAGCACCGAACAAATGACTTGCAACAAAGAGACGTCGAACGGTCAATCTCCGAATCATGACGACTTCGATCTAAAAGATGCGTGGTAGCGGTCTGCTAAGGACTTTTTCACTGTACTATGTGATTTGCTGCGACTGAGCGGCCTTTTTGGCCGATCAGCATACCTAGATGTACGGCCCGAATAGAGTCGTGTTCGGTCTAAACGCACGCTACAAGTGGAATACAGTGCAACGTCCAGATATCTCCACTTCATCTTCGGCTGCTCAACCGACCTATCGTGCTACTAGTATCGAGAAATAGCGAGACCATGGTTGGTAATTGCGACCGTCGAGTCTCTCAAATATGACATGTAAAGAGAGACTGCGGCATCAATGATTAATGTTGGTGATATCAGAGTGTGCCATGAACATGTGAATCGGGGTCTGCGGAACAAAATCCCAGCCAATAGGTGCTGTGCAGCGTGCGTCTACAGGCTTACCAACTTCCATCTAGAGCGCGTGTGCGCATATGCTTTGTTGCTGGACCATCCCACTGTTTGCCGCACACACCCCGTCTACACCGTACGCGTACCCACTACAACCCATTGAAGTGTATGTGGGTGGCTATGCTAATGCAGCCAATTTCCTCGTTGGTAGCATATCTGATGAAGAATCTGTCTGACATACACCCATCACGCCACCAACGCACACCCCATCCAAATGTTGAGATGCGGAAGGCCAGGAGCACGTAGCCCGAGGAAGCCAGGTTCGTGCTACCGAACAGAATAAGATCTCGAAATTGCGGAAACGGCCCCTGCCGTTTCCATAGTTGAGGCAGATGTATCTTCTGCCCATGTAAATTCAGTGGCGAAAAGTCCGATGCGGCTAACCGGAGTCAATGCCATGCTCAAGAAAACGCAATTGGTCCGCTCCTATAGCAAAATGTAGAACAGCGATCTGTCATGCGACACACCATCAGAGTCCGTTCGTCGTGTGGGATTCGCGTCCCATTCGTCGGGACCTGATCCCATCTTGTGCCGCCTGCCATTACAGATGTGAGCGCTGCAAAAGAAATCCACAACGTGTGAGCAATGCCAGAAACCACGACGGGAGTTACGGCACGCGAGGACAACACGGTCATGTTCAGCATGCGCGCAGCAAAAGAGGAGTTGCGTGTGTGCCTCCGATTGGCGCGCCAGTGGGTCGTGTTGCAATGAATATCGACATCTTCGAGAACCGGGCTTCTTAGCATCGATATTCTAGAACCTCCATCCCAAATCATCCATGTGCACCTGATTATCTCCGGAACCCAGAAAAGAAACCATCTACATCGTTAAATTCTCCCCTTTTCGCCGTCTTTCGTGTAATAAAAAAACTTGGAACCCCACCGTTTTTTTTTTCTTCTCTGTTTTGTCCTGCAAAGAAGTGACAGCCATGGTTCCTCCTCTCAGACCCCTCCGTCCTGCAGCCGCTCGTCCGCGCAACGAGCCGCCCCCTACCCAACCCCGTGATCGCGTCCCCTCCGCGTGCGATCAATGCCGAACCCGGAAGATAAAATGCAACGGCGAAAGGCCTGCATGTGTCGAATGCACCAAGCGCTCCACATCCTGCCATTACGCCACGCGATCGGCGGAGACACAATACCAGGCTCTGAAGCGCAAGTTCAAAGTGCTACAAGCTGAGAACGAGGCATACGCTGAGCTCTTCGAGTTGATTAAGACGAGTTCGGATAGTGATAGCCGCGAGTTGATGCGCAGAGTTAAGATGGGAGGTGAGGCTGAGGATGTGTTGAAGAGAATCAAAGACGCGGATTTACCTGTTCAGTTGTATCCAAGAGTGGACGACGGAAGTAAAGTGCAGTATACATTGCCAAGTTTGGCGAGTGTGGTACCGGACAAGCGCATGTTCATGCCTGATAATCCTTACTTCACTTTGTCGTCGCGGTCTCAGGCGGAGTCATATCATGGGAAGGGCTCTGGGTCTAGCGATACAGCGGCGCAGTATCCAAGTCCGCCTGTATAATCCCCGTATGACGGTGATTCTTATTGAAATCATTACAGAGAATCGGGAGAGTTCAGTGTGCGTCAGGCGTCCACAAGAGGCCCGAATACCAAGTTTCTTCGGATATACGCGCTTAACTCCCGGAAATGGTTCTTCCACCACCGCATGTTGCGAACATTTAGCCGCTCGACATTACCGGTCGACATCAAACTGCCTGGTAAATCTGTCGTGGAGTAATAGGAAAGCCGCTCGTTCCGTAGGTCTTGTTGTGTTAAGTTTTGGATCGACTAACACTTTCAGCACTCTCACAAGAAGCAGGGCTGCTCAGCGAGAATCTAGTGTTGTACTGAGATACCCCGTATGCACAGAAGAGTGTTATTGCATATGACATATTATTCCTAGCTGATACAAGCTTGTCCTTAGAAGGCAGTGGGTAGACTGGAGAAGTGGAAGGACTTCTCATTGTTGATACCCGAATCACAACCTCACGTTGGAGTGCTATGAGCATCGAATCTACTGAAGAGCTTTTGGCCTCCGTTCAGCTATAGGAAACACATCTCCATCATGTAGACTCGTCTTCCTTGCCTTCGCTTGTATCACGCCTCTTCGTTTTTCAACCGATTACTCGACTCTTTAGCCGCTTTCCCCGCGCACTGCAGGATCACGCCAGCATCAAGGCAGCAATCAAAGCAGATTGCATGTTTGTCGGAGCAGCGTTATTGGGACAACGCGTACAGTTTGAGAACCTAGCGATATGAACGACATGGGGGCGTCTCTGGCCGTCCGGGATGTCTCAGCAACATCCAAATTTGGCTCTCCGACCATGTGCGTGGCTACAACACATCGTATTTCTTCCAGCACAATCATGGTGTCTCCTTGGCCTTCTCCCCCCCATCGTCGTTCTTCCAGGTCCCCGCATAATGATGTGTCACCAGTTGCGGCGGCAGCAATTTCTCTTCCTCTGGCTGATACGTGTTTGCAGACGCCGCAAACGACCTCCCCGGCATCACCAAAACATCCCCAACCAATCTTGGTCGTACAAGCTCTTTCATGTCGTATGCGTCGACGGTTCTATTAAGCACACTTCCCAAACTCGTATACACACTGCGCGTCAGACGCCGCGGACCGGTGAAGTCGACCGTGTCGCCCATCATGTCCATTGTGATGTTATTGATCGAGACGGCAAATTCTGAGGTCTTCTCCTGCAATGTCTGGAGGATATCCTCGATGACCTGCATCATGTGTGGCGAGCGCGGTTTGGCCATTATAGTCCAGCTTTCGAATTGCCGCTCATATTTGCCCGGCCAACCCTGATCAAACTCCCATCCTACCACGAGCGCAGCCTTGTCCTTGTAAATCTCCGGTACCCACTCATCAATTCGCACATCTTCTTCGCACGAGACGTCCAGATCGGACCAGACCCCGCCTTCGTTCCAAAGCAGGACGTAGCGCAGAAAGTCGGCTTTGTAAATGGGTATGGGTAATGCGAGGTAGGTGTCGACGATATCTGGGCGGGATTCTGCAAACGTCTTGCGGATGTAATCATCGCCGTTGTCCTCCGTTAAGAAGCGTGCTTCATAGTCGGGGTTGCTCTTGACGCAGCTGTCGGTCCACGCTTGTGTCTCTTCAGAAAGACCGTTGGGGCCTAACTTGTACCAAATAAGTTTGGGGATGCTGTCAGGTTGTGGCTGCTGCGCGATCGCGGGCGCTCCCGGCGCACGGATGATGAAGCGAGCCTGGACGAAAAGGAAATAGTAGACCAGTACTATTGTACATATCGCGATAAACAGGTAGTAATTGGGCGCCTTGGGTAGCTGTAGTGATCGCGATAGCATGGCAGAGGCTTAAATGAAGGACTAGAGAAAAGAAAAGGAGAGAGTGAATCCGGAGAACCAATGTAAGATGTTTGCTTACCTTTCTCCAGTAAAGGGAGATCCTTATAAGACCGATAGCGAAGCGCCGCAATATCTCCGACACGGCGGTACCTGCATGTTTCACTCACTTCGGATGCAGTCGTTCTATTAATTCCCCGTTGGTGGCGCTTAGGTGTTCGCATCACCCTTCCCTAGATGTGGCACGGCGCCATGAACCAGGGTCGACAAGATAACCCTGAATCACGACTAGTTCCGGGAAAATATTCACCGGCTGTATTTAGTGAGTCGGCTCTCGCACTCCGAACGCGCTTCTCTTCCCATTTCAATCATTGGATTGGCGATGCTTCAACCCAACAGCTCTTACTTGAATGCTTCTTCCTAACAGAGAATGCGGACTGATTGCGGACCTTACAAAAAGCCTCACCATCATCTCGAGGGCAGGGAAGGTCAATACTAGAGGCCAGTGGCAGAAGTACGAGCTCTGGGTGAGATGTATTCGATCTTTCCCACCTAGTCAACTTCCGGGTTCATGACCGCAATAGGTATATCCTGAGGTTTCAGCCAGCGACACGAAAAGTACAAAGGAATTCCGTTTCATAAGCCACATCATGGGAATGCGCTATAACCACTTCATGATCTGTTACACTGTGGGATTAGCTAGCATGTACGAGGACTCAAGTACATTTACTCATACCCAAAGTCACTTTCTTATCCAGCTTCTGGCTTATGATTTCGTCAAATGTTTCCTTTCCTTTGCCGATCGTTCATCGGTTGTTATTATGTTTGAGTGCATTCACTCTGATACTGAGGCCAACCCGTTTTGCCATGGCTCGTCCGGCCGCACATGCTTTGCTCACTACGGTCTTTGCACGTGCGATTAGTGCCAGTTTGGAATTCGTCAGTCCACAACCTTACAATCCAGACGACAACCTTAGCGACTTTCGAACATACAAGAAAGGTCAAAGTATGATGGTATTATGGTCTGGAGGCGACCCATTGGAGAATGTGTCGATATCACTTGTTCAACAAGACTTTCATAACTTAGTGTATCCAGAAGCGCTGCGGGGTATACATTTCTCAGCTCGATGGTAGATGGAACACCAGCTGACTTTTGGTATCAGTGAACTTGGCAGGTGTGTCAGGATTTGAATGGGTCGTAGACACGGACAGAAATCTTACAGATTCGAACTTATTCTCACTCGCTATTACTGAAGGAAGAACTCAGAGCTCAGCCAGCCAATACTTTTTTATCGAGGAGGATTCTGGTGAAGGGAGCGATTCTGACTTGTCGTCGTCTTCGGCGATATCTCCTTCAACAACGTCAAACGGCGCATCAACTGCAACAAGGACGGCAGCCTCAAACTCAGCATTCGAGTCAACACTAGAATCGACGTGGATCTCAACACTATACGAAACAGTGTCGACATTACACAAGACACAGTCCACGACGAGAATTGCAATATCAACAAGCTCAGATTTGCCGACCATTGAAACAAACGGACCTAACCTCCCCACCGAATGGATCACAAACAACGGCTTTCCGCTAGGAGCGAAGCTCAGCCTCGGCATAGGGATACCCGTAGCCATTGTCCTCGGGCTTTCAGCTGGATGGTTGATCTTCCGTCGTCAAAAGAGAGATATTGCGGCGCACCAGCTACCTACTAGCGCGAATGAACAACTTGAGCCCGAAAGAGGTCATCACAATTGTAGCATAGACAGGCATGAAGCGCCAGATCTAGATCTTCACGAGGCGGCAGCTACTCATGTCCACGAAGCACCCCCAAACCAACTCCTAGAGATAGGACAGTCAGAAGAGCATGATTCTACGCTTGAGTCGGTACGGTATGAGATGGATGCCGGCTCTCCCATTGAAGCTTACAACCAAAATGTCAACCAAGGCAGATAGTTTGCTAAGACTGATGTTTGACGTAACAATCTTGTAAGATCAAGCAATGAAAGCGATCAGTGTAGTCTTCGAGTACACACCACGTTTACAAAACTACGCTTCACTTCTTCTGACCGAAAGTGTCGATCCTGAGTCAACTCCGTCATCATACTTTGCAACAGTAACGTCCACGATCCTCCCGATGTCCCGTTGCTTTGAGATTCTCTCTAGGGTTCAGCAGTGAATCATTTGTTATGTGCGCCAGCCGGTGATTGGAAGGGCTTGTAAAAGATCATCGCGTGGCTGGCTGGATGGTGGTTTCACACCGATCGCACATCCCGAGCCGAATCCGCATCGATACTAAGCCACAAGCAGACTAGCTCAGCATATCCTAGGTCACAGCTGTATGGGAAATGGCTAGCTGAGGGGTATCTTTCGTCGTTGGCTGAATTTGTCGCGCTAAGAGGCAAACATCACAGGTCGGCTGATGATACTGACATATAAATCGGGGTCGAATGAACGAGCTCACGCCCATAGTGCTTTAGCAGTCCCTGGAAGCTCTTCATAAGGTGTCTGGTGGCTAGCTGATTGTCAATGGCTGAGTGATGAGGTTCTCATGGCTGTCTGAACATCAATGGACTGCAGATTGGGACGCAAAGATCACACCCTCTTTCGAGAGATCATCCAAGACCAGATGCAGCCAGATGCAGCCAGATGCAGCCAGATGCAGTTGGGGCATCGATGGCGGGCTCAAAGTGTGCTGATATGCTGGTATGAGACCTGGACTCCGCACCAAAGGCCAAGGGCTGTTGGAATGTAGGTGCGGAATGCCTTGACCGGCAGATGTCCTCAACAAGCACAGTGCACATTCCTATAGCAGGGCCAACGAGACATTGGACTTTTATGGCCTCTACTCTTCTCCTCGTGAATATATAAATCCTCGTCTGATCCTAAAATTCTGTTTCCTTTCATCGAAATTTAGCAGGCTTAAGAAGTCCAGCACTTTCAGCGATTCTCCAAGCTTCAATCGAAGAATTGAACCATCATGACTCACTCACAGGAAAGCAAGAACTTTCACAAGGATAACGTGGCGAACGACGTCTTTCCACCTTCGTCTTGGCTTGGATACGGCATTGATCTTACAGCCGTGGGTCCCAACGACATCAATGCTGTAAGTCTAAACGCACATGTCCGTTGAAAGAACTTACAAAGTTGTCATAGTTGACCGAAGCAATCCTCACCGCCTACGCTATCATTCCCACGTCTCCGACAACTTCAGTGGTTGACGTGGCCGATGTCAAATGGAGCAAACCTGACAATGTGAACGTCGCTGTTGACGTTGCATCCAGTTCCTGTAAGACTCTTCAAACTATAATTGGACCTTGCTGACATTGATCTCTCACACAGCTTCGCTCAACTCTTGGAAGGACGGAACCTCGACAGCAGAGGCTCTCAAGGCTGATGCTTCATTGTCTGCGCAGTACATGGCCATCTCGGGTGACGCATCGATCAGTTACTCTGTCGATCAATCCTTTGAGGAGAATCGATCTTACTCTTTGTTCAGCTACAACCAAACTGTTGCAGATGTCAAGTTCAAGTCTTATGGACAATCTATTGATAAGACCACTCTTGCCAACGCCATCTCTGGCCTCAATCTGCAACCTTGGGATCCTGCCAACAAAGATGTGGTCAATTCTTACAAGACGTTATTCAATGTTCTTGGCAGTCATATCGTTGTTGGTGCTACGTACGGAGGTAGATTCCAAATGGTACGTGGTTGTCCGTCTACCAGCAGGGCCGCGCAGCTGACATGAATCCAGACCATCTATGCCTCAAACTCGGAATCTTCTTACGAAAATGAAGTGACTGCAGATCTTAGCGTCGCTTACAACGGTCTCGTGACTTCTGGCAAGATCGACGCTTCCGTGAAATCGGAAGACCAGTACAAATCATATTCCGAGGAGGTCATGCAACAAGTCTCATGCCAGGGTGGTAATCCCAGCCTGTCCGCCAAGTTGAATTCTAGCTATCAAGCAGATGACATCTACTCAACTTTCCAACAATGGGCCCAGGGTTCAGCTCTCAATCCTGGCGTCATGAACCTCCAAGCGTCGCCTCTGTGGACGGTTATGGCTGCCACTTTTGACCCGGATCTTCTTAAGCACTCAAACGATGTCAAGAACGCATTCTACTGGATTTTGGAGAATCCAGCACCGCATTGGACTAAAGGTGTCGTCACTATCAATTCAGATTGGGGCGAGTTCGGTATCACCAGTCCCAGTGGATATATCATCCAAGATCCTGATCAGCCTCCAACCGTTGACAATCTCATTTTCAGCGGCACCAAGATCCAATGGGGCAAAGAACATTCTCATGCTTTCCAGCGAGATGTCACAATCCAGTGAGTTCGAGGCTTTCGCTGGAAAAACTTTGCTAATAGATCTAGCTTCATTATCGTCAATGATGGTTCTGGCCTGAATTTCGAACTTTCCCATGGATCAGATGGCGCTTCTTCAGGTAGCGGTCGTATCGATGTCACTTTCAACGATGTGAGTTTAGCTCGTCTACTCTATAACCTTGCATCGCTAATCTGGTAGAAAACCTATACTGCTTCGACAGTCACGGATGACAACTGGAACACTCAATTCTTCTTCAACGAGCCAGTCAATCAGAATGAACACACCTTGACCCAGGACACCGTCTCCACAGGCGGCTTCTCAGGCACCAATTGGGACAAGAAGTTCATCTACGATACTACAGACAGACAGAGACCACAAGGCCTGACTGGAGAGGAACCATACAACAAGCATGAAGCTCATGATGCGAAGTAATGGCATTCAGATGGTCTTTAGTGTTATCTAACAGGATAATCTCTCCTTGTTAACCTATTTGTACCTTTTGTTGCTGGAGCTCTATTCTTGGATTTGAAGACAGTCTCTATCTCTTGCTGCAAGCCAGTCTTTCTATACCTAGCTATTCAAGAGCTCAAGTATTTGCTCTTTGCTCTCTTTGCTCTTCCCTTGCTCTCTGGTCTTGACTATCTCTTCCTCATACAAAGCGCTAGCGGCTGGAGATGTCTCGGTGTTCCAGAATCCCCATGTAGTGCCGTCCGGGAACTTTATGATATGCCTCAAAACCCTTAAAGATTGAAAGCTGTGTCCTCAAAACTGCAGCCTGTGACATGGCTGGGAGCTTCAGCTGATGGATTTTCGGAGTCTGCCGTGCCGCACTTGCATATTAGGGCCCGTGCCGTCAGGACTGGGCTTCCAGGTTACCACATCCCGCGATGCGCGTGGCCTAGAAGCGTTCACCGATGCAGCAGTAGATGGCTACTTTTAGTACTTACATCACACTAGCTTACTATAACGCTTAAGCTCAACACAGGTCCCTACCACATTCTGTAAGGTCTTGTTGTTGAAAAATGACGCGGCTTGAGATGATCTAGATGCCATGTGGCATGACAACGAGTGATGAAGCCGCACCTCCAAGTACGATTGGTTGCCGCACCATCTCAGCTGGCGGCTGCTCACAAACCTGGCAACGCCAATTGGCTTAGTACTATGCATGAGTGTTGGCGATCACGCATTATGCACTCTGGCTTGCCGCACCACAATTCGTGAACTCCCAATAGAATCGATACACGATAACATCAAGACGAATCGAGACCTCATCATTGCACGCCACCGACATCTCAGCTTAGCCAAAATAACTCAGCTTCAATATCCTTTTCTTTGCTGGGTTCATGGCTTGGTAGTGGCGCGAGAATGACAATCCGGGCCTGCGAAGATTATGAAGAGTCATAAGACCATCTCGAGACGATTCTAATATGGCTGGATCTGATCTCCCTACACTTCAATACCTCGCAGTGACATTTCATTCCGGCGCAACCGTCAATCTCGCCTACTCTTTAAGCTTTCATAATCATCCTCTAGTAAAGACTTACCAGCATGCCCGAGAACGTACTCAATGAGATCCGCCAATGGACGAAAGACAATTTTACCCCGGCCAACAAGATCCAGCAGATCTACCTCCAGAAAGGCGGATGGGAGGGCTGGGCCCAGGTCGAGCTCGCCCTCCACTTTACTGCGATAGGCGGCTGGAACTGCCAGCGGGAGATCCAAGTCTACCACGGCAGCCAGAAGCGAGCAGACCTCCTCCTGACGGCGGAAGACGGCCCTCCCAACACCACCATAATCGAACTCAAGACCGAGGCGCTTTGGCGGGATGACGATGGGGCTGACAAGTTCGTCAAGTCAATGAAGGAGGATCTGTATAAGATCGACCACAACAACATTGATCCAAAGTACCTACCTGCCCGCCTTATCGTTTTTGGCTGCACTTTCGTCCCCGCTGTTAGTGAGTACGCGACGAACCCGGATAATTGGGGGCAGTACGCCCAGTACGTCACAGGGATGAAGCTTTTGGGCAGGCCAGATGATTTTGTTGGGCTCTATTCGTGGTCCCTGGATATTGAAGTTCTTGCTGATGGCAAGGTTGAGTTATCTACCTCCAGGGTACACTATGGAGGGATGGAGGTCGAAGGGCAAACGCTCAGTAGCCAACTGTCTTGAGCCTGCCAACGCTTGGTTTGGCTTTGGGCGGGTAAGATCTTTCTGTAGGTAATAGTTACTTTTAATAGCTTTACCACTTAAGTGATCTTGAAGTCGTTTAGTGATATCTTCTACTGCTTCTCTCGTACCACCAAAACTAGGAAAACAAAAACATTTTTCCCAGCCATAAACCCAATCATGGCACCCATCGTCATCGGCAACCTCTCGGATACAAGTTGGCATTGCCTCAGCCTGCAGAATCTATCCCAACCAACTCAGCTGAGTCCTGACATAATTAAGGTCTATCCCCAAAAACCACATCGTTATTCTCAGACCATTACTATCGCAATAAGAATAGCTACAGCAGGCGATGCATCGGCTGGGAATCGAACTGCGGTTGACATTGACTGAGCCCCGCCCACACGTGACGTCCGCGCATTTTTTGCAAAAAAAAAAATCAAACTCCCTACTCAACACCACCGCAATCGCAACACTAACGACGACCTGTGCAACAGCAAAAATGCATCGGCCGGGAATCGAACCCGGGGCTAGCCGAAACTGTCCTGTGAAGGATGGCAACGGCTAATTTTACCACTAAACCACCGATGCGAGAGATGCTAGGTGTGATGGAAGTTTTGGCCTAGCCAGGGATCTACATACCCTTGACGCACCACACAACTACCAACTTGTGTCGAATGCAGCCTACATCCACCCGCAGGAGAGGGAGCACCGCCAATGGGCGATGGGATTTGATCCCGTCGTGCTCTGGGTGACTGGCACGTCGCATGATATCGGCAACGCAAAATACCAGGCTAGTTAATGATAGCGCGGCCAACGCCACCAGTTGATCCAGTTCCTCATGTCCTAGTTTGCCGATCTTATATGTGACGACAGGATACATATCTCGTTTACCAGGGAGATGATCAATGAAGCATATACCGGGGTCTTCGCGGATCATATCCTGCCTTGCGCATCGTACAGGACGCAGATTGTCTCGACGATCCCGGAGCTGTGGGCATGAGTCGCCTGTTCGTCCATGGAGGTGTGGATCAAGTTCGGAGGAATGGTTCCAACGCCAGCGGCGTCAAGCTTATCGAGGTGAGGTTCAGCGAGTATCAGAGGCTTATGGAGACGAAGACTGCGAGAGAGGTTGCAAAAGAGCAGTATAAGTGGATGAAGGAGCACGTCATTCGTAAGTGGACGGTAGAGGCTGATACGTGTACGTACTGGTTAGGTAGCCAGTATGGGCATCAACGATCGCGTCCAGGACAAACTCGTGAGACTTGAAGATAAACGTGTACACTCGAAGAGGCAGCACTACTGCTCTTTCAACGGGGCGAGGCATTCCCGACTTTCTGTAATGTTCAGCGGTTCCTGCGCTTTCGATTGTCCAGATGGCCTGCGCTTGATCAACCGCATAGCCTGCTCGAACAAACCCAACTTCTTTCCTTTCCTTGCCCCACGCTTGAATGTGCCTTTCGGCGTCGCACCATGTAACTTAAGTAGCCTTATCACCTCCTTCTTATGTCCAGGCGTAAAGGTATCTTCCAAATGCTCAACAGCATCCAAAGCTGGGATATATATCCACCTCCCCTCATCAGCCTCATGCCCCAGCTCCTCCAAACAAAACCTCAACAATGCTACATCACCCTGCGTTGCAGCGATGCCTACCATATTCCCAGCATGGTTGCAATCCCAATGTTCGGTTTGCGGGAAATGCTCTACGAAGGTTTTGAACACTGGGAGGCCGGATATGGCGGCCTTGTCGTGTGGGTACGCGAGATGTCGTTCGTTGGGAGGCCAATCAGGGTTAGAGCGTAGGATGCGAGTGAGTTCCGCATCGTTTTTGTTAAGGATAGCAGATATGATGGTGTCGTCTATAGAAGGCTGTTCGATCTGGCGTGGGGGAGTTGTCATACTGCGTGCTTAGATGAGAGAGAGGGTGGTCGAGTGTGTATTTGTGATGAAGCCAACATTCCTAGTCTGGTTTGTATGTCCGGATGAGCGCTGTACTACACCAGACTACTGCCTGACATTGTTGACTGAGTACTTCATGTGAGTAGTTTGGGTGCTTTCAGCTGCTAGAATAATGCCAGTCGGCGTTCCGAGCTACGTTCTCACAGCGAGATCAATCTCAATGACACCTGGGCAAGCCACATCTGTGTCAGACCCCGCACTTTGTCAAGGATAATCTAACGATATAGCGTACACGACTTTGCAGAGGTACTGCAGCACGAATAGAGTCACGCTGAGGACGTCTAGGACAATGGCATGAGGAGTCTACGGATGCATTACAACGCAGTCAGCAACACATTGGGTTGTCGGATTCATCGCATTTGCCTTACTCGGATCTCGCGTTGTACCAAAAATAGGCGTGCAGGGGTTATGATCGCTTCCAGCCGATAGGGTCACCATGCTAACTCCTCTAGGCCTACGGGACTCCACATCAAATGACAACAGATTCATGCCTGGAAGGCCTAACCCAGCGCACGACTTGTAAGATTACCGGAAACGCGCTCGTATCATTAGCAGCTAATGAGTAGTGCCGTAGAAGCTAGGGATGGAGATGGGCGAGATACGAAAGTGACAGGCACACAGACGTCATTTCCCCGTGCCAACAAAGAAGCTTCAGGCTGCCCTTCCGACGCCACTAAAACGCCGTCGAGTTTTCCACTGCAACTTCCCCACCCGGCCTTCCATCAGCGCCCGCATTTACCATGTAACGCTATCGTGCACCGGGGTGCTCGCACGAGAATTGATCGTTGGCACGTTAGCAGGAGATGGAGATTTGCTTTTCGCCGCGAGCGCAAGGGTTACCGGTCTTTGCATGGTAAGCTCGTGTTAGGACCAAAGTGGCCCACCAGCAGGGGATCGACACAGGGTGTCCTGCCCCGAATCCCGGGTGGATCTAGGGCAGATGAGTTTTCGTTCGTGTTGAGTGGATCGAGGGAGTATTTATGTGTAGGACGTGCGGCTGATGCAGGTACGGGAGTGATGGATGCAGTCAGGGAGGCAAATGTCTCGTATTGGTCGTGGTCTTAAGAAGATAATCTTCCCTGTGTACGACATTTATCTACCTACCTTGGCAAGTCTTTGATCGTTCCTGCCGTTCAGTCAGCAGGCGCTATTACATCCGGTCGTTGCCTATCTACGACCACCTCCCCTGGTCAACTTGAGACGGAAGTGACATCTCACTCTATACACTCACCATGAAGTTTCTCGTTTCCCTCACAGCCGGTCTGCTGTCCATCGGCCTGGCCTCCGCCTCACCAGCTGCACCGCTCAACAAGAGAGCTGTATCGACTGATGGAAGCTGCGGAGGAACAAAAGGCTTCACTTGCAAGGGTTCTTCGTTCGGAAACTGCTGTTCGCAGTACGGATGGTGCGGAAGCTCGGTCGATCACTGCGGTGCCAACTGTAACTCAGCATTTGGCACATGTACTGGCACTACTACATCAAAAGCAACTTCAGTAACGGTCAAGCCCTCTTCGACAAAGGTTGCTCCAGCTCCTTCCTCCGCGCCCACCAAGAAAGTATCACCAGATGCAACATGTGGTGGCGCCAATGGCTACACATGTCTGGGTTTCGCCGAAGGCAACTGCTGTAGTGCGAACGGATGGTGTGGTTCAACATCCGCATACGTGAGTATTCGATACGCACACCACAACTGAACGTATACTGACTCTGACAGTGTGGAAGCGGTTGCCAATCTGGCTTTGGAAACTGCGGCAGTAACACCGGCTCAGGATCCAGCACAACCAAGAGCAGCGCTAGCAAGACTTCCTCAACAACCCCATCATCAACAGCATCTGGATCTGCTCTCCAATGCTTGAATGGAAAGAATGTTCCTTACAAGATGACCTCAGATGCCGAGTACTCTGAGCTTTCAGAGCCTTACAACCTGCGCGTTCCCTTCAAGCCAGCTGTCATTGTTCTTCCAACCACCAACCAGCACGTTCAGGATGCAGTTGTATGCGGTGCCCAAGCCGGTCTCAAGATCCAGGCCAAGTCAGGTGGACACTCTTATGCAAGCTTTAGCTCTGGTGGTAAGGATGGCGCTATGCAGATCAACCTCCAGTCTTTCCAGACTATCGAGCTTGACAAGAGCTCTGGCGTTGCCACAGTTGGCGGAGGAGTTCGTCTCGGCAACCTCGGTGACGGCATCTACACCCAAGGCAATGCTGCTGTAGCCCAGGGTACCTGCCCTGGTGTTGGTATTGGAGGCCACTACACACACGGAGGTTATGGCCATACATCGCGCAACTGGGGACTGGCCATGGACCAGGTCATTGGAGCCGACATCGTTCTCGCCAACGGAACCCTCATCAAAGCCTCTTCAACACAATCCCCCGACATCTTCTGGGCTATCAAGGGCGCAGCCGAGTCCTTTGGCGTCGTGACAAAGTTCTACCTCCAGACACGCGCCGCGCCCGCGAGCATCACATACTTCCAGTTCGCCTTCACTGGAATCCAAGACTCTAAGAGCGTCTGGACCAACACCTTCATGCACATCCAGGATGTCGCGAAGAATGCTTCCGTCGTCGACAACCGCGTCTCCTTCGGCATCTACCTCGACAACTACGGCTCCTACAGCCTGTCTGGCGCCTTTTTCGGATCGGTCTCGGAATTCAACACCAAGGTTAGACCTGAGTTGCTCCGCACCCTACCTACCGCCGAAGCAACCGTCGAGTCCATGGCCTGGTATGACTACATGGTCAAAGTGTCTGGCAAAACCAGTATCAAAGAACCCCTCACCGGCTACGACGAGCACGAAGACTTCTTCGCCAAGTCAGTCACAGTCCCTGAATCTAGCGGCCTGACATCAAACGCCCTCAACGCTCTGTACGATTACCTCAAGACAGCCGGCTCGACAGAATACTACATCATCATCAACCTGTACGGCGGTCCCGGATCAGCCATTAACAGCAAAAACACTGATTTCGCGGCTTACGTCGACCGCGATAGTCTGTGGGTGCTACAGAACTACGGTTACGGAGGCGCGTCGATGAACTTTATCAACGGCATCAACAGTGCTATTATCAATGCGCAGCCACAGACGAGCTTTGGCGCGTACTTGAACTATGTAGACCCGAGTTACGATGCAGCGACTGCGCATAAATTGTACTACGGCGATGCGGTGTACAGCAGGTTGGCCGCGTTGAAGCAAAAGGTTGATCCGGCACAAGTGTTCTGGAACCCGCAGGCTATTGGTGCGTGAATGGAAATTCGGGGGAACTCGGGATAAGAATATCTGGTGTTAATGGCGTTCTGACATTGGTGGAAGAGCTCCTCATGTATATGTCGATGAATTTATAATGCACGTCTCTCTGTCTGAAGAGAAATTTAATTTGCTAAGATATGATTTTTCTCAACATATCCCATGTGAAGAGAACGCCTTGTGCAACATATTCTAACAAAGCAGCTGGTCGGATATGTCATCGAGAGTGTCCAATAAAGAGTGTGTTGTGGCTCCTTCAATCTGTTCCAGCTCACCGGTGCGGGGCTTCTCATGTGTATCAGGGGAGGCTACAAGTATAAAATCGTGCGGCTTCACGAACCCGAACCCTTCTAATTGAGATCTACCGAAGATTGCACAAGGCGACTTCTATCGAAGTGCTCTGTTTAGGTTCGGAATGTCGTCAACTGATAAGCTACATACAAACTGAATCCTTTATAGTGCATTTGCCTTGGCCTGTGAGACACCATCCACCTCAACTCGCACCAAATATGAGTTGGAAGAAACAGAAAGTGATAAGGCATTGTGAGAGCTGTGATGCAAGAATATCCCAGGTGGATATTCACAGAGTCCCGGTACCGCCAGTACAAGGATCGACTACAGTATGTAACGGTGGACAAAAAAATTGTCGCTGCATCGGAAACCTCCCTAGACGCATTGCAAGAGAAGGAACAGGAGAATGTGATGTCTGCGATCCTACCTTGGGGTCACCTCAAATGGGGAATCACAATAACGACGTAGCCAGTTGGCCAGATGAAGGATACAGTGAAAGTCTCTAGACGTGTTGCAATATAAAGCTTAAGCTGCATTCAATTCTTCGGTAACAATACCACCTAGACATCATTCTGGGCTGGTTAGCTCTTTCTCATCATGTTAGTAGAGTTTAGATGCATACTTTTGGTAGACCTTCAGACAATGCTATTGCCACATTGATGCTAGTATTGCAAGGCGCAGATCAGGCTGATCCACAATCGGTTTCTGTGACCATGTATTGCTACTTTGCTCGATTGGAAAACAGGCTGCACTGTGGGAATCGGCCGTCAATCATCCTCCAGCGAGACCCAAGCTCAGCAAGAGAAGGGAATGCAATCGACAAGGGCATTCAATCACCATTCCAGACGGGTGTTGTATTCACACATGGCCGCCTGTCACTTTGACTACTGGGCCGCGAGTTTTGACCACCTCAAGGTCTGCAACTTGCATGCCCAGCCGAGCTGTGATATCTTTACCATGGCTCGGCGTCTCCCTGCGCATAGCCTGTGGAGGGTATATATCCTCTTGCACACCGATACACGCGTCGTGACCTGGACTCTTGGCACAATGCTGTGCTCTTCGTGGTTTGTATAACAAATCGCGAACGGAACACATGGTCACCCACCCGCCGTCTTACTCCTCTCACCACCTTCAACCAGCTCTTCCTCTCCCCGCAATTCTGCCCCCTCTTCGCTACCACCCACGCCCACACCCACACCCTCTACTCCCTCCTCTTCTCCATCCTCTCCCTCTTTCCCCTCTGCAAGCTTCCTATACTTCCTCCTCGCCTTCTTAGCACTACTAGCCTTCTTCTTACTCTTCTCCCTCGCCTTGACCCTCGTCCGCGCACCCTCGCCCAATTCCATCTCCTCAATCCTATCCTGCAGTATCCTCCTCGCCATCTTCCTGTTGACCTCTCTGGACCGGGTGTCCTGGTATTTGACTACGATGCCAGTGGGTATGTGTTTGAGTTGGACAGCAGAAGACGTCTTGTTGATCTTTTGGCCGCCGGGGCCTGAGCCTTTGAGGAAGTTTTCGATGAGGTCGGTGTCGAGGAGGGGCGTGCGTGGGGGTAGGGATTTGCCGTTGAGGAGAGTGGTGGTGGTGGAGAGGTAGGCGCGTTGAATGGGGATGGTGGTGCTGGGGAGACGTGTGGTGGTGGTGGTGGTGAGGCGGGTGAGGGCCGTGATGGAGAGGAGGCGCATCGTGGAGTTTGGTTAAACTAGGGTTGCAGACGAGTTGGGTGCTGCGCCATTCGCGATGGAATTAGCATTGGGATTGTCCGTTGGTACAAAGTGGGTTGTTGGAAACTTCGAGTAGTGTTTCGTTGGTTATCGATTCGCGCGTCATAAGGCTCTCGTCCGGAGCAATGCAATTGATCGCAATCCCTGCTCCGAATCCACCGGTCCCTGAACTCCTCATCTCCCCCCGGCATCATCCACACCGCGCGCGCGCCCAAATCATCATTACACGACTCTACAGCGGCAATACACTCATACAAGCTTTTTTTCTGCGCACAAAAATTATTCTTCTACGGATTCCCAAGTCTATGCTTGATACTACAGTCTTCTTGGCCGCTTTCCTCTTAGCCAGCGCATTCACGCTCCTCCTCGCCGCAATGCTTTACCCATCCGCCCTCCTCCGCTGGTTCCAGCGCAAGAGGTACCAATACGAAGTCACATTCTCACTATACATGTTGACTTCGACCGAAAAGTTCATCTTCAGTACGTTGGCCCCGTTGACTTGTTGTCGCATGCAAAACCGCATCTTGTCTTGTTTTCTCGGATGCGGAGATTCACCGCCCCTATCCTCTCTCTGAACGTCACACTGCCTCTACACACATACACACGTGCCCTGCCTTTAGTACATGCTTGCAGATTTGAAAAACTAACAATTTCGACAGACTCGGTACTCTTTCTCCTCCTCTCCCTCCTCATAATCGCCGCGTCGCTGTACCTCCCCGAACACCTGACTATCATCGCGAACCGCATGTCTTACTACCTTTCTGGCAACCGCGACGCGCTTGCAAATTCCACGCCGAAAGATGTCGGGATGCCGAATGCGCCGTTGGGCGCGGGTGCTATGGGGAATGGGAGGGGCATGATGGAGTTGTAAGGATGCAATGGCTACAGGGGGAGTTGGGAGAACGCGCTGACATGTTGTTCTGAGGGAGGAATGGCAGGGCAGGGATATGGGCTTGGGGCATCGATTCTCAAACGTTGAGCATATGTGCATAGTGACGGGGCGCAAAGAGGCGTTATATCTGCTTTTCGTCGGACGAGCAAGGGCATGAATCATAGACGTACGAGAAGTATAGTAATGTTAATAACTATATTATAAGGTTCTTTCTCATTCTTCTTAACCCTCATGTGTCGCAGCCATGTCTCGTCATCCTGACAGGTCTATACGGAGGCATGCGCATTAACAATATGAGCACGTTGTTGAAAGCATCGAGGCGTGTATGCAGTGACCGTCTCACATGGGCGGCTAGCATTTGAACGGTGAGGTTGGAAGATGCCTGTGAGTCATGCTTCTGGCCTCCAGGTCCAAGGTTCTCTGGAATGGTGTGAAGCTGTGTTGAGACTGAATAGTAGTAAGGGTGTCCCATAAGTCTGCAGGTGTAACGATGTTTGCAGTTGATGCTGGATTGGACATAAGCCAGTACGTACGCGATTAGAGTAAGACAGAAGTGCACTATCAAAGTGATATCCATGAGCGAAATTGGATCCGATAGGGAAACAGTATACCATGCCGATTGCAACGCGAACATAGTGTAAAGTGATCAAGGACCAGCGCCGAAAAGATAGAAGAATGTGATTGTATGTTCCACCCAGTAGTCATGGTATCTTTCGAAGCTGAAGGTAAATACCCGCCAGATAAAAGGATTGTCCCTCCCAAATCGTGCTCCTTGAATTAGAAGCGGACGTGTACAGGGTTGCCGCAGTATAAATGTCAGCTGTGATTTGGCATGGTACCAGGGCTGTGATGCCGTTCAGTTGCCAAACAAAACGCGTACCACATTCATGAGCGCCGCAGTAGTATAATCGCTGACCGTAACGACAGCGGGGAAGCTATCCACCGCATTAACATATCCTTGGGCAGTAGCGTCATCATCAACGAGAAGCAAGATAGTTGGAATACTGGCTATAGTATTGTTGTGTACTATCTTCTTCGACGTGTCTCGTGCGAATTTCAGTTGCCGTTCAAAGGCCTGTGCATGGTGGTTGATCACGTTGGTAGTGGCGCAGATGACAATTACTACTGCTCCACTGGCTGGCAGAAAGTCGACATGCATTTCTGTCATGCCGTAGTCGAAGCGGTATGGAACGTGTCGTACTTGTCGTGGCAGGGCTCGGCCCAGAGGCTCGAAAGGATCTACGTCCTTCGCCAGTGTTGTCGATGGGGAATGAGGTACAAATGGGGTGAAGAGTGTGATGATTTCTGCTTCGTTCAGGTGTCGCAGCCGCTCAATAGTTTCCGTGGGACAGCGTACGATCCTGGCGGCGTTGGTAGATGAGATTTGTGTTGCCTTCGATGCGCAAGAGGTGGATGAGGCCATTTTGAGCGATGTGTTCTGGTTTTCGCCAATGACTGTTCGACTGTCTCCAGGCTGATTGAAGACAAGAAGACGATACTGAGAGTTGTAGGTGGTCTGGGCGAGACAGAAGACGGCGGGTTATGCAAGCATGCTCTACGACAGCTTAGACCTGAACTTTTGTCTACTCAGCCTTTAGCTCTCATGGTGAATCAAATATTGTCCTGAGTGGGAAAAAGCACCGCAATGACGCTTACCCGTTGACGTACCAGTCCGAAGCGAGCAGCCAACATGCGTTGGGTGCTATACTTGATAGCGAACTTGAACGCTCAGGACGTAAAACCCAGGGGTACAACAAAGCAGCTATCCAAGGTTGCATGTAGCCATATCAGAAGCCCTCTGATGAAGTGGCAATGTTGTGTGGTCATCGATCGCCAAGTGGTCTGCAACCTTGCTGATTGTGCCTGACGATGCAAACACCCTGTCTAACTAAGGACAAGCTTCTGATGGTGGATATCAGCACTATTGGCAGTAACAGTGGGGTGTACCAGAAAGAAGATGAAGAATGTAGTACAAGACCTCGGACATGCTGTCTCCGCGTGTAGATAGAGCAGTGCATCCTCAACCATGATAAGTGCGAATCTTGCTGATTGGATTACGTTATCGAGTTCGTAGCCTTGAACGGAACGACAGAAGCGTTGCCGAGGCGTGTTGGTGTATATCAGTAACGAGCACAACAGACGTATGATTGCATGGCGACGGTTGCGTCGGGTAGTAGCGGAATCGTGTGTGCTGAGAATAGAAGACGCCACATCTGAACGTCGGCCCAGGATCCAGCAACAGTAGTGCTGTGAGTTTAATGACCTGGAGAGGACGAAGGGCGATTCTAGAGGCCAATTGGCCGGCCTGATAAAGAATGACAAAGATCCAAGGGAAGCCATTCCACTCAACATGGAGCGAGCGCCATCAACCGGGTCGACAACGTAGTTCAACATCTGTTGCACGTAGACCACAGGTCAAGGGGAGTATAGCATGCGGGGGCAGTACGATTCGCGTCAAGGTTGCAGAAGGCGTGCTTGGGTCGATCGTTGACCTGCAAGGCGACCATTCTTTTTTGACCAGTAGGAGCCGCGCGAGCCGCTTCCATTGCACCCAATGCTTCTCGTGTAACACAAAAGGTCGGTTCTGATGTGGCAGCGGGCGACAACTGCGATGCATGCTCCAGTGATGGCTCGGACATGCGGGTGATATCTGCATGATTGATTGAATCAAGCACAAGTAGCGTGAACAAGCTACGGATAGCTAGACCGGCTTCCGCGCTGCTGTGTGCCCAGACTAGAATACTAGCGATGAACACCAGATCTGCAATACACCAGCTGGAGGTTTGAGTCCATGATGATGATGGAAGAAATGTGGGTGAAAGACGCGTGAGTTGCGCGGCGGTGGTTAGTGGGGCTTGCTCGCTTGATCGGAAGTGGGAAGGCGCGAGTAGGGTGTCAACAACCATCGCGACAACGCGCCCACGTAATCACCAAAGGCGCATACAGCAGGCTGACCACTGTCTTAGCATATGCATGTTGCACTGACAATGTAATGCTATCCGTCACCTGTAACTTCACATCGACTTCGCTCCAGGCCCGCTATTGATGGACTCTGCAGAAGAGCAGCCGACGCTGCATGAGACGCTAAACCTACTGCATCAAGGTAAGTGTCGCTATGCGGCTATGAATTCCATTCAGGAACAGTGCTTACACAGGCCTGCAGCATCTAGAACGACTGCAAAACAACGGACAATCAAGGTATCTAGTATAGTCGATGTCATCTGCCGTTACGCCTCAGAGAATGGTCTTGACCAGGATGCTCTCCGAGACATTGTTCAGCTCGCGTCGGTGAAGACATCACTAGACCAAACAACCATCACGACCTTGATCAAGAACCTGTATCCATCTCAAAAGGTTCCAAGCGATGTTGTCATCACCATCATTGGTGCTCTTGGGCAGGGCAAGGGCAAACCATCGCCAGGTACACAAGACAGCCTTGTAAAGTGGCTCATTATCATACACGAGATTATCGAAAGCTCGACAGTGCTGTCTCGCTTGTACGGCGTGCTGTTTGGCATGCTTGATATGATCAGCATAAGGTGTGTCGCTCCAAGCAGATACTACACTGATCCGTGCTAATTTAGAAGGACTTCCGTGTGCCATCTACTCTCCCTCATCACTCGTAGAAAGCACGTAAAGCCATTCCGGATACAGCAACTGTATGCATGACACCACTAGCAGGAAGAGAATTTTGACAGCGACGACTAACGCTACTGTAGGCTCGAGCTATCTCGCGGCCTCGGCAATGAACCAGCGCTCCAAGGTCTTCTCCGTGTTTACAAGGATTACTATCCAGATATCATTCTGGGCAGCACATCTACGAGCCGAAAGTCGTTCGCTCCGGTGAGTACCCGTCCCTCGTGTCACCATAGGTGTTACCTTAGATCCTCCACACCATTTCCCCGCAATGCACCGTCACACTGCTGAACGCGGGCTAACTTAACAGCGACCGGATTCCGAATGGCAAGCCAGAATTCTCGCAATTCAAGAGGCTAGTGTGGCGGAAGATGACTCCAACGCGGATAGGCAGCACGGGTTCAAGGTGCTGCGAAGGAGACTCAAAGGTAGAAAAGAATCGATGATTCCAGACGTGCATACCTATCATGCGACAGAGGTACGTGAAAACGTGCTCTTTTCACTATGAAAGCATTGACGTTGTATGACAGAACTCGGTAACCCTCGAGGGTATTGATGGTGTGGACGATTTCGTCGAAAAGCTCGACAGGATCGAGCCACCAGGTCAGCTGGTAGCGGTCCTCACGGACCCACTACTACAGAAATACATCGCCCTCAAGCCATCGCCGATCAACACCGCTCGACTGCGAACGTGGCTCGCAGCATGTCTAGAAGAACAATTCGATGAATACCGACAAGGCACTGGGAACGCTCAACACCTATCTGAGATCCTCGATGGGCTACTGAGGTACGCTCGATTCACGAAGAAACTACATCGCCCAGCACGAGCCTTTCTCCTCAAATATCTGCCGGTATGGAACGGACAGCAAGACCGTGCTACTGTGTTGGGGCTTGTCTCCTACCTCCAGGTTTATGACTTCAATGCCGACTATAGATCCTATTTCAAACATATTGAATCTGCCCTAGCAACCCAGGGAATCTCAGCATACACCACGCTAGTCGACTTCTATACAGCCCTACTGATGAATCAGATCAACATGACTTCCACGGGTTCCGAAGACATACGAGAAGCGGGCCAGGAAGTATTGGAAGACATGATGGAGCATGTGAGGGACTTGTTCACCTCGGCTCTTCTGTCCGTCCCACCAGGTTCTGGCATCGACCTCACATCTTCCATCCTTTCCTTCTACGAACACCTCAGCGCCTCCTCGAACCCACACGTCATCCCGATCCATTTACCGCCTATGCATCTCGTCTACCTGCTCGCCCAAGACACGTCCGCGACGACTCTGTCCCGCATATGCGGCATCATCGGGGCGTACAAGTCAGCCTTTGACGCGCATCCCAAGCCAGTCAAAGTATATTACCCACCAGAAGTTACCGATACGTTCAACCAGTGTCTGCGCGACTTGTATAACCTCGTATGGGTATCTCGCGGCCTTGTTGCGCAAAAGGACAAGTCAAAGGGCTTGTACTGCCGTGACGGACTTCGCTCCACACTCGACAACTACCTCAAAACTGTGGACCGAAACTATGCTATTGCGGGTGCGTTTACCTTGTCATTCAATCCGTGCTTGACGTCGCTATCTGCTGCGGCGTGGCGTGCGATGGAGAGGCGGGAAATTGACAAGGTGGGCGAGGGAATGATCAACAAGTATCACACTGGACCTGTTGGTGAGAAGAGCCTGGCATTGCTTAAGAAGCAGGGTGGTGTGAGCGTGGACTGGGAGGGTGCACATGGGTACAAGGTCTTTGTGTTGCAGTGGTTGAATGAGAGAGGGTTGGGTGGGATTAAGGATTTGATGTTTGCCACTGTTACTAACTTGAAGAACACGGGTATTGAGTAGTCGTCGAAAATCTATCGAAAAGTTGCAGAGTGCAGTCTTGTTACGTATGCTCTTGTATCTGCGTAATGAAGGGTATGGTCAAGGAGAGGGAAAGATCCAAAGTCATTTTTCGCTACAATTTTGTGCAAGGTGACTTGCAGGAGGGCTGTAATGCTTGGATGGAGACAGAGGGTGGTGTCAGTGTTGAGGGCGGACTGAGGCTCAGCTGTGTTTCGGGCCGTAAGGAAGAGGATCGCGCCAGTGGCTGCTAGAGCATGAGTGGTTTTCATGCCTATGCTGTTCTCGGCAGGGCGCTTGACTAACATAACATGTTTACCTAACGTTATGTAAAGCGGCGTCCGTTAAAGACCTGCAACTAGCATAGATGACATTTTCTCCTATTCTAGCCTAGTGCGTCTCAACTGCAGGGCTTCCCTAATTATACTTAGAGGTGGCTCGACAACAAGCCGCTGATGAACGTCACGAAGCGAAGAAAGCGCGCAGAGCTGGCTGCGCAACGGGGGCTTAAGAAGCAGCAATGCGACGCTGCGACTGCACCAAGAAGTCACGATACACACGATAAGAACAAGCGGGAGGCCTTCCATCCACATGGCTAGTTGAAATCCGAGAAAGCGTCGTTTTGTTGTTGTTACAACAAATGGTGTCAACGCTGGTCTTCTGGCTGCGTCTCCCCTACCTAGAGTTACCAAAAGCGGCCGTACAAGCAAGACACCAACGAGGTTAAGATAGTGCAAAAGCTGCGCAAGCTTCTGAATAGTAATGCACTAGTGATTCTCGCCATAATAGGCTTTGCGTAGTCCTATACAGCACCATCTTTCCAGTTGTCCCACATCCGTGGGATGACTTACATCGCGTACGGGCACTGTAGCGCCAAGTTCATCTCAAGGCGACTGGGACCCCGATTCGCGCCTCATATTGAGCAGGGCGGTCATAAGGGCTGCGAGGGGTGTGATTCTGGCTCAGGACTCAGTTGTGCGCGCTTCATCTCAATTCACGCAGTCAGCTCTGGAATGATATGGTCGACTGTGTTCGAGAGAAGGCTACAATCGAGCGTATGGCGGTCCGTGATGAATGCAGTGTCAAGCAGTTCAAGACACCGATCTCGTCGAAAGTGTTGGACAAGGAACGAACACACACTCGCCAGGAAAATAACTCAGGAAAGAAGCAGAGGATCATAACGAACACGAACTATTCTAGAGAACCAGTAAAAATTAACGTTCACAAGTCAAGGCTCGTGTCGTTGAGTGAAAATCAACGGAGAATCCATCAAGCATAATCCGAGTGTGAAGGCGAGGTCAGAATAGCCACTTCAAGAATCTGGGAATCCGTTCCAGCTTGGAGAAAAACGGGTGGGTCCAAAGACCCATGTTGCGCAGTTAGACGTTAGCTTCGGTGCATTACCTGTTCGATTATTCATCGTCCAAGGGATTTATAGATCAGTGCACAGACATGGATGGACTAGACACGCAAATCTGACGATGTGTACAGGGCAATGACTATTGAACAAACTTCAATCCGTGTGCCAAAATGATTCGCTCGTACCATATCAGGCCCTGTAAGAGACGATCTCGGACACTTAACATTGCGGGACGCACCGTACGATTGCTTGGGTTCTAGGATAGCTTCCAACGCTCCGGACGGATTCCCAGAGGTACGTATGTGTGACAATCATATGATTATACTCCTTGAAAGTACATGTGGACGCTAGAGCAGCTGTTACGGTGTCTATTTTGCACCGAAACCAAAGTACATGACAAGGAAACACACGATGGCAGACATGAATGTTTTGTTTTGATGTAGTGGATCGAGGACAAGATTTCTTCTTCAGATATCGACTACCATGTCTCGTTGAGAGATTGCCATTCCGTTCTGCGTAGTCGTCATTCACGACATGCGGTACTGAGCCTTGGCTGCGTCTGTGTTTCTGATATACCCTGTCAAGACTTGCTTGGGCAATCCATGATCTCCCGGGTACATTCGAAAACAGCAAAAGGTTTTACACTTGGCAATCTACGCTACAGGGTCAACTGCATGGTGACGCAAAAGATTCTCTCTTGTATCACCGAGCTAAATCCCTGCGGGTTCTTGACTATAAGAAGCGCCAGACTCTTGCTATCTAGGGAGCACTTTCATCAACGTTTTGATCAACACCTCTATTCGCCGTTATGACGAACCCCAAGCCCTCATTTGTTCCTATATTGGAATCGCCATCCTTGGATATGACCACGATGTCGATGCCAATCATTACTACAATATCACTTGCTGTTGTAGCTCTGATTTCGCTCGCCATCATCACCTCTAACAAATCCAAGATTCCTCTTGCAAATCCCCCAGACCGCTTCCACACAGCGTTTTCTCGTCAAGTTGAATTCATAACACACGGGCTTGAGGTCGTAGAAAATGCCAGGAAGCGATACGGCAAGCAGCCTTACAGACTAATCACCAATGTTGGAGAAATGCTTGTGCTCCCGCCTTCGTACGCTCAAACGATTCGTAATGAAAAGTCTTTACACTTTAGCACAACTTTTGCACAAGTAAGGTACACAGACCTGCTTTGTGAACAATGTCATGCTTACTCCAGGGGTGGGATTTTCACGGCTATCTAACTGGCTTCGAGCCTTTTGCTACTCTTGGCGATAAGAGAGATCTTGTACAGAAAGTAATCGAGAAGCAACTCACTAAACAATTGAGTTCGTGGAGACTGTACTGAGTAAAGCGCAGCACTAACTATACCGCAGATTTTACATCGAAGCCACTTTCTGATGAAACCTCTTTCGCCCTCGATGTTGTCTTTGGCGATTCTTCAGGTATGGGTGAAATTACATACGTTTCACGCAGACTAACAGTTTGCTAGAGTAGAAAAAGACTAACATCACGAACGATATACTTAGCGTTGTGTCCCGCCTGTCATCAAAGATATTCCTTGGAGAAAAACTTTGCCGCAATGAAAACTGGATCAGGTTATCAAAAGAATACGTCGTCACTGCTGTCGAATCCACGAAAAGTTTTCTTGCATGGCCTAGGTACTTGCACTTCATGATCCCATGGGTTTCAAAAGATGCCAAACTAGTCATTCGCCAGCTCGATGGCATCCGCGCTATCCTTAGACCGATTCTGGAGGAGAGGGAGCTGATGAAGGCTGAAGCCAGAAAAATGGGTACGCCAGTTCCGGTCTTCGAAGACACGTTGGAGTGGCTTCAGGAAGAGAGCCAAGGAGCTGCGTATGACCCTGCTGCATACCAAATGCTCCTTACAGTCGCCGCCATCCACACGACCTCTGACTTGCTTAGTCAGGTTATTATGCGTCTTGGAAACGAGCCGCATCTTATCGACGATTTGAGGGCGGAGATTGTATCAGTTCTCGGCGCTGAGGGGTTTTCCAAAGCCTCAATCGCTAATCTGAGGCTCATGGATAGTGCGCTCCAGGAAACACAGCGAATGAAGCCGTTACAAATGCGTAAGTGATCTTTGATCTTCAATCTTCGTAGAACATTAATGCACAGTTTACTAACTGTTGCAAACTAGTCGCCATGAGAAGGATTGCAGAGAAGAAGATTGTTCTCTCGGACGGTCTTACTATCAACAAGGGCGATCGTCTTGCGGTGGATGCACACGCAATGCTTGATCCAGAGGTTTACCCAAATCCAGACAAGTTCGACATTTATCGATACCTTCGCATGCGCGAAGATGGTAGTAACTCTACAAAAGCGCTCTTTGTCACTACTAGCCCCGAAAACCTCACCTTTGGCCACGGAATTCACGCATGCCCTGGACGTTTCTTTGCTGCTCTTGAGGTAAAGATTGCGCTTTGCCACATTCTAACAAAGTACGACTGGGAGCTTCTACCGGGATCAAACTTGGAGCCGTTTGTTTAGACTGGGGACCAGACGTGCCTTGATCCTAGGAATATGTTGCGCTTTAGACGTCGCAAAGAGGAGATTGACTTTGATTCTCTATCCTACAAATAAGCGTTATATACTTGCAACCATTAGGTATCGCTTTTTAGGGTCTAGGTACTGTTAGAAACATCTAGTGTTCCGAAAACTTACCTGTACAGAAATGTTATATTAGGTTGCTCAATCGCATTGGAATGTCCTGCATTGGCATCACCACTCCTTCACTGTGATCGAGATTGTTAAGATAGTCCATCTGTAAAGACTGCGCTATCCCGATGACTTACCTGTCGATCAAAAAGAAAACCTAGAACATCTCCAAGACATGTTGGTTTTTAGAGACTACCCGCACCCCAGAGACCAAGACACACCTGATGGAGCAGTCGCGACGGGAATGCGGGAGTACGCGAAGGCGCGACGCTCAGTCCACAGAACCACGTGAGATGGACCAGGTAACGTGATCCGGTAGCTTCCGGTGTCCAGACCTACAATGACATTATCGACATTCTGATCTCACGAGTACGTATTCAAGTCTTGGTATCTGCCAGCGGGCACGTATATTGCGTCATTTCAGCAGCCGGCTCTCCAATGCCCTTGCTTACATCGTGTACGCTGAGATTGTTGGCCAATTCGACACGACGTCTTACCACGCACTGCGTACGTGCCTGCAGCCTGCTTCTGCTGACAGGTCGCCTCGCCGTCTATTTTCGGCGGCATTCAAATGCAATACCCATGCAGGGCGAACCTGGCGCCTGCATGACATCATCTCACAACGTGTGGTAATCAAAGGGACGCCAACAAACTGCTTTTGCGAGAACCATGTCCACCATGAAACAAGATCCTGCAGCACCCCCATTGTTGACAACTCAAACAGGAATGGCATGTCTAGCGGGGTCAGTGATGCAGGGACTGGTGCCCTGTTGTGTAGTGTGGAACTTGCGAAGATGGGGCAGCAAGTCATCTGGTCGCATTGTCCTATCGGTTCGCAGTCGGCTGACCAGATTTGGGAGGGCAGCGCTGGGATGCGCAGATCTACCCGCACGGCGCAGAAGCGCACATGGCCAGACCTTCTAGACTGATGAGACGTATGTGACGGTGTTCGATCATGGCGTGGTTTCGCATCGCCATCGATACGCTTTCATTCGCACGGGCAAAGTATATCGAGTCAGTTGTCGATTAGCATTGTATTTGCTTTGGCCGCGGAACCTACTCGGCATCGGTCTGGGCCGTGCAGTTGTCCGGCGGGACTATACAGATGAGTGAGGGGTATGGCGGAAGCGATGTTCCTTGAATGTCGATATGGAGCGAGGGCTTTCAAGGCAAAAGACGGTATCAGGCGGCTGAGGTCAGATGGCAATTTGGGCGGTAACAGCGCTGGGCGGGGAGAATACAAAGAGAGGTTGAGGGGTATGCTTGAACCCCCTCCCCCACAGACACGATAACGACGATAAGACACCCCGGAATGTTCTAAAGGATGACCTTTGACGAACCGGGAGATGGTGTGTGGACTGGTTGCCCCGTGAGCTGCTGTGTGCGGAGTTGTGTGGGAGGTGTTCAGATGATTGAGGCGTCATGGTGTAGATGACCTACTAGCTATTATGTCCTGCTGAGCTCCGGGACTTTCACATGCAAGAAGAGCGACATGAGCAATCGATAACACCTGGGCGGGAACGTACCGCAGTTGGTGCTAACGATGCAGACATCGCCTGTCTACCCGCTGCGAGACATTGGCGTGCCCTGAGTGAACCTTCTAGTCGGCGCTGGTGCAATTGTGCAGCGCCTGCGCCAGTGGCGTTGGCACTACGGCCGCTTGAGAGAGAGGCCATGTCACAAGACCATGAACGGGTACCGCTATTCCACAGAACTCGGTGAGCAAGTCTTCGGTAACCGCCGCTGACGGAGAAGGGGGGTCAGATCCATGCAGAGACAGACCCAATCAGTGCGCCACTCGCCTTGAAAGGCAGTTGCAGTGAATTGGGTTTCTCTGGCAGGTCAAGCGCAGGGTCAGCTAGGATGTGGAGCATGCGGAATAGTCATGTTTGCATTATTGACGGCGGTCAGACTGCGCATAGCGTATGAGGCGAAGATCGAAGATGACGGAAGCGGTGACTGTCCACCGGAAGCGATGTGTAGAGTGGTATGGGATTGGGCGCTGCTGTGACACGCTGGCTGGGAATTGGGCGCCCAATCGTACGGCAACGGTGGACAATGGTATGCAATTCGGTACCATATACATGCAATGGAAAGAGGCCAGTCACAAAGCTCGTCAATGGCAGCAGGAAACGTGTATAGTCTACTCATGACGAGACAATGCAAATGTCGGGGATGCATTGGTTCGGCCCCGACTCGTGCGGGCTAGCCGGGTTTGCATAGACGGAGCGACAAGTAATTGCTCAGCAACTGTGCAGCAACAGTGACTCAACTCTGACTGCGACGAGCCCATTGCTCGCTCCATGTCCGCACAAGCTCCGCCTCAGGCGTCGCCCTGCAATTGGCCGCTCTAATTGGAGCCCCCTTCGTCTTCCTTCTATTCACTTCTTGGCCGCCCGCATTCGTCAGCTGCCGGCCGCGCGCAACGGGCGCTCCTCATATGGATGATGCCTGGCCTGGGGGAGGAGGAGAGCCTGGCACGCGCCAACCGCACACCCTCTTTGTCTGGTTCGCTAGCACATGGGCCGCAGTGTCTCAAAGGCAGAGTCACACTGGCCTTGTTCGCAATCCTGTAGCCTGCTGAAACCCCGACGACCTTGGGTGGTGCTTCTTATAACTCCGCCGCCCACCCCGTCTGTTTCGGGACGACTAACCTACCATCCAATTCAACTCGTCCTATCTCCGCACTGTCAGTTCGCAGCTAGGGTTACTAATTCATCACTGAACAAGCTGGTCTAAGCAGTCGGTCGGACCATTCTGCCGGATTCCACGGTCACGTTTGCGCCCGCTCGCACCTGACGATATAACTGTGGCGAAGCCGTTTACTCAACCAAGGCTGCCTGCCACAGCTTCCACTCACATACCTCGTACCCATTGAAGCATCCCCCCCTCAACCATTGTTCGCATTACCAACGCAGCATTTCCTTGTGGCTGCCTGGACGCAACCAAGTAGTCAAATACCGCTACCGCCCCCGACGTTGCGCTCTTACCAAGGACAAACTTTCAGCACCCACACCCACCCACGCAATGGCAAACTCGCCCTACAAGACGCCCCCGAGCAATCGACTCACCGTTTCCTCGCTCCTCTCGCCCCCTGAGATGAAGCGATCAGAGTCGTTTGGCACATCAATTCCGCCTGCATTTATTCAATCGCCCTTTTCCTCGTTCAATTCAGGAGCTTCCAAGTCTGCCAGCAGCCCAGACATGACCCTCCAGGCAGCAGCCGCGCACCGCATCGCCTACGCCTCTCCGCCAATCTCGCCATACGACACACAGGCACAAAAGGAGAACATGGAGAGCGCCGACGAACAATGCACGCGGGACCCCCAGCTGTTCGCTCCGGCCGATGCAGCGGCTCCCATTGCTGACATGCCGCTGTTCCCCGAGGAGTCATCCGAGTCAGCCTCGCAAGAGGCCATCACCGCGCACATGAACTCCAAGGATTACGCACAGCTAGAGAGCAAGCCGAGTCGCGCAGACTACGAATTGACCGCCACATTCGTCTCCAATGTCTTCGCCTTGGCCAAGAAGGACCCGAAAGCGTGGTGGGCTCAGGAGCGACGCTTCGACAGCTACTACGGCAAGCCAACCGGCGTGCAAAAACGCTCACCCTTGAAGAAGCTTGCACCTGCCCCATCGTCGCGGTCCCGCCAGCCCAAGGTTGCTGTTCCCCGGCTGCCTCCTCGCACTCCTCGCGCCGCACCCAAGGCCAAGCGCACGCCTCTCACACAAATCCACGACTCTTTCGACACGACCATGACCATGACCACCACCTCACCAAAGTCAGCCTCTCCTAAGCCTTCCCGACCAGCCACCAATCGCGACGACTCCGACTACAACGCGATTCCAGATTACTCGCCACCACTTGATACGCTGCCCAAGGGCAACACCAAGATCCTCAAGGCTGAGTGGAAAGGGCAAGCGCTGTCACTGGCCGACGATCCCGATCGTGATCTTCTGCACGAGGCTGAGCTGAACCTCGCTGGCACCCTCCGCCTCAACTGCGCCACGTATCTTACGAGCAAGCGACGCATCTTCCAGGCTCGCATCGAGGCACTCAAGATTGGCAAGGAGTTCCGCAAGACGGATGCGCAGCAGGCGTGCAAGATTGACGTCAACAAAGCTAGTAAGTTGTGGCAGTCGTATGATCGTGTGGGCTGGTTCAATCCGGAGTACTTTCGTCAGTATCTCTGAACGATTCGCATCGCAAACATGGGATATATAGCACACGGCACCCTTTTTCTTTTCATTCCCATTCCACGTTTTCCTTGGTTACGATGCATCAATTTGTTCATCGCATCTTCGCGGCTCAATGTTCGAGTCCGCTTTTCTTGGATAAGACTGATATGAACAACACGGAGGGGACTCAGGGCTGTCTTCCTCTGGCATGATTTACGATGGGCGTTATGGATATCACTGTTGGCATGGATAGGTGTTTGGGACTGGGCATTGCTCTCCCACGGCGTTTTTGGGCTTCTCGACTACTAGTTTGGTTTTATTCTACGGCATGCGATACCCCTCAGCTCACACCCGTTGTCGCCGCAAATGCAGGCTTTGTTATGAATTGGTAGCGATAGATCAGAATACAATCATGTTAGCGTTATGAAGATGAACATGCGCCGTGCATTGAAAGTTATTACTGCAATCTCTGCGTGGAAAAGCCAATTGGGCAGAGTAGTGCGCATTTGCTCCGGGTCTGTAATGACGACGAGTCCGTGATATGTCCGTGAGAGCGGTTCATGTTCAGGGTCCCCGGAAGCGGGGACGTGTAAGCTCCGCAGGCGTGCAGGCGTGGCGCGGCCGCTCGCTCTGTCACTAATTTGGGACAACGGCTTGGCCGACCTCAAACCCGCGCGTTCTCACCAACTCTCTCCGGTGACGACCGCACAATCACTCCCTCCACCAGTCGACCGCCGAGTCGCGCGGATACACCACCATGTCGCGAACAGACCAGGTCGAGCACACCGACTCGATAAGCAGTCAGGACCCTAACCGCGAAGAGCCGAAGAAGACGAAGAGCAGGAGGCCGCCGAGTAAGAACAGTCCTGGGCGCGCACACGTGTGCGCATAGTGTGCCGGACGAGAATGTACTGACGAGAGGAATAGATACTGCGTTCAGGCAGCAGCGTTTGAAAGCATGGCAGTAGGTGCAAGGCACGGAGACGCATTACCATCACGACTGACCACGCAACAGGCCCATCTTAACGCCCAAGACCGTCCTTCCTCTCTTCTTCATCGTCGGAGTAATCTTTGCGCCCATCGGCGGGCTGCTGTTGTATGCTAGTGCGCAGGTACGAAGAGCCAAACGGTATACGTGAGCATAAGGGCGTTGATGCTGACAACCTATCTCCCCTCCAGGTCCAGGAGATCTCAATCGACTACACAAACTGCAACACCACCGCACCCCGCCAAGACTCGACCAACTTCGATCCCACGGCCGAAAACCAGCTCGAAACCATTCCGTCCGGCCGAGTCTCGTCCACGTTCAAATCGAATGCCGACCCAGCGGCCATGTGGGGATGGGGACGCGAGAACTACACGTTTGAGTCTGGCGTCTCGCTCGAAACAAACGTGTGCATCCTGAGCTTCACGATTCCCGAAACCATCAAGCCGCCCATTCTCTTCTACTACCGCCTCACAAACTTTTACCAGAACCATCGCCGATACGTCAAGAGTGTTGATATCGACCAGCTCAAGGGTGACGTCCGTAGCGCGAGCGATCTCAGCTCAGGCGACTGCTCCCCACTCGATAACGACCCGGAAACAGGCTTGCCATACTACCCTTGCGGCCTCATTGCAAACTCCATGTTCAACGACACGTTTTCCAACCTGACGCTCGCCAATCCCGCGGGTGGATCTGATTCTGCTAGTGGCCAGAACTACACCATGACGGTGGAGGGAACGAGTTGGTCGCACGAAGGGGATTTGTATGGCAAGACGAAATATAAGCCCGAGGATGTGGTGCCGCCGCCAAATTGGCAGCAACAGTATCCGAATGGGAGGTATAATGGGTCCTTGCCGGATTTGCACACGTGGGAGCAGTTTCAGGTTTGGATGCGGACGGCGGGGTTGCCGACGTTTAGTAAGTTGTATCAGAGGAATGATAATGACGAGCTGAGTGCGGGAACGTATCGGTTGAAGATTTATGATCGTAAGTTCTTGGATCTACTTAATCCCTTTTCTTTTCCTTTCTTTGGAAGACAAGACACTAATTTTCATGTGTGTATAGGCTTCCCCGTCGACAAGTACAGCGGTACCAAATCCATCCTCATCTCTACGCGCACTGTCATGGGCGGCAAGAACCCGTTCCTCGGTATCGCATACCTTGTTGTGGGCGGTATCTGCATCTTATTGGGCGCGGTGTTTTTGGCTACGCATCTCATTAAGCCGAGGAAACTTGGTGATCATACGTACCTTACCTGGAACAACGATCAGCCTAGTACTGCTACCACGACGGGTAGGCAGGGTGGTGCTTGAGAGGGATCTGGAATCGTTGAGATGCCGTATGTATACCATAGGTGGTTTTCTTTCTTTCCTCGAGAGACTTGGGAGTTTGGGTGTTTAGTGAGCGCGAGGACTAGAGTATAGTCTGTTTTTTTCTATGGATATCATGCAACTTCATCATATCATGTTTCGTGGCTAGTTTCTGCTGTTGTGAACTGCGCGGACTTCTTCGACGTCAATGGCTGCGATAAGTGAATCTTATAATGACTCTTGCATTCCCAGCGCTCAGTGAAAATGTGGCATAAATCCGCTGCGGACAGTATACCCTTGCGCGGACGTCATGGTAGTATAGAGACCTGCCAAGACTAGCCATATGGCAGGAGCTCAACTTATCTACGGGCGAATGCGAACCATGAACTTGCTGACACAACTCAAAGTCACTAACAAATTATAGATCGCGCTGTCATACTACCTTGTCGCACTTTCAAGCTCTCAGCTCATCGAGTGGTGCTCTCACCATTATGTTTTCTCAGCTTTGCACCGCCTTCCCTGGTGGATGCCACAGCGCAGGGGCTGTGCCTTCTGCCTTGGGTGTTGAAGATGCAGCGCTAACATCCAGCCCCCAAAGGCCACTTCTCCGCTCCTTACCTCTAACTTAGCAAACCGCTGTTGGCGTTCGCAATAAGCCCGATAGCTACGTGTTCCACACGCTGCACGTGAAAGTCGTTGTGAACTATACGTCTGCTTCAGCCTTTTCGAGGTTCCGGTTACCGCCCGCGCATATGAGAAAGAGCAAGCGCTTCCAGATCGCTCTATACACACGACAAGATGCGGCTACTACACATTACGGACGACGGAAAGCTCAAGTTTACCAAGGACATCATCCTCAAGGACGAAGTTCCCCCCTATGCGATCCTTTCGCACACTTGGGGGGACCAAGAGGTGGTTTTCAACGACATGAAGAGTTTAGATGACTTGAACGATGTCGACGCCAAGAAGAAAGACGGCTGGAAGAAGATTGATTTCTGCGCACAACAAGCAAAGCGTGACGGCCTGAAGTATTTCTGGATAGACACATGCTGCATCGATAAGGCTAATCACACGGAGCTTTCGGAGGCGATCAACTCGATGTTTCGCTGGTACCAGAAAGCCGAAAGGTGCTATGCCTTTCTCTCGGACATTCAGGGGAAGTCATCAGAAGGTGAATGCAGATCGTCCTCGAGATGGAAAGCGGCTTTCAGGGCGAGCAGGTGGTTCAGCCGAGGCTGGACGCTTCAAGAGCTTCTAGCTCCGCGATCCGTCGAGTTCTTTTCTAGAGACGAAGCGTGGCTGGGCGATAAAGAATCGCTTAAGCAAACGATACACGAAATCACAAAGATACCTATTGACGCCCTGACAGGGAGTGATCTGTCCAAGTTTGATATCGATGAACGATTCTCTTGGGCACAAAGTCGACAAACGACGCGGGAAGAAGACGGTGCATACTGTTTGTTAGGCATATTCGGCTGCCACCTTCCACTGATCTATGGCGAAGGCAAAGAAAAAGCTTTGGAGCGACTACGGAAGGAGATGCCAGAGGCATCCGAGAGGCTTAGCAAAATCCGCTGCTGGCTTTCGGCGCCCGACCCGTCTACGAACTATCACAAAGCGCAGAAGCAGCGACAGGCTGATACTGGCCTATGGCTACTGAACAGCGCACAGTTCGAAAATTGGAAGACAGCCGCGGCATCGCGGCTTTGGCTGCATGGAATTCCAGGATGCGGAAAGACCATCCTGAGCTCTACTATCATCGAGCATATGCTGCTGCACTGCGAGAACGATATCCAAAAAGTGACAGTCTACTTCTACTTTGATTTCAACGATTCGCAGAAACAGAATCCAGAGCCAATGCTCCGCTCGTTGCTCCGCCAACTCCTGCAGTGCTTGGCTGTGACACACAAGGACGTTGACGCTTTGTTCTTGTCCTGCAAGAACGGAGAAAAACAGCCGTCACTGCATGAACTTCTGGACGTAATGCCGAAGGTAATGCGGCAGTTCACACATGTTTATATCGTTCTTGACGCGCTCGATGAGTGTACACAACGATCGGAACTGATGAGCATGCTTGAATCAGTGATTGGGTGGAAGCTTGACATGGTACATCTGCTCCTGACTAGCCGAAAAGAGAGGGATATCGAGATGTCCTTGGAGGGTCACATCGAAGAAGACAATGTTGTCAGTCTTCAGAGGGACATAGTGAACGAAGATATATCACGATACGTTCGAAACAGGCTGCATGAAGACAAGGCCTTGGCGAAATGGAACAAGGACGCTGATATTAGACAAGAGATTGAGACAGCCTTGATGAGCCGAGCTGGCGGGATGTATGTGTACTTCTCCAATTATTGAGTGGGTTAGGCCTAACCATAGTCTAGGTTTCGATGGGCTGCATGTCAACTTGATATGCTAGCTAAGAGCCGTAACCTAGCCGCGCTGCGCAAGTCGCTCGCTAGTCTGCCACAAACTTTGGACCAGACATACGATCGCATTCTCACTGCTATACGCGAAGAAGACCGCGTGTACGCAATACGCATCTTGCAGTGGTTGACCTTCTCTGAAAGGCCGCTCACTATCGAGGAAGTTGCCGAAGTGGCTGCAATCGATATCCAGGGCGAACCGGTATTCGATCGCGATGAAGTGCTGATAGATCCGCTAGAAGCGTTAGACATTTGTTCCAGTCTGATCACTGTCACCGGTTCAGCAGAAAAGAGAAAAAATGAAGACGGACGACTGGCTGACTCACGAATTCTCTCTCTAGCACACTACTCAGTTCAAGAGTACCTTGTTTCAGACAGAATCAAGCAAGGACCAGCAAAGCAATATCATATGCAAGAAGTTGAGAGCCATGAAGCGATACTGAAAGGTTGTATTGGATACCTCAACCAGTTTCAAGGACCGATTACCGACGCACAATTCGACATCTCCGCGCTCGCAATGTATTCAGCGGAGTTCTGGATTTCGCATTTTGAAAAGGCAGGAGGTGAGACGGAAAACGTATGCCGGATAGCGCTGAGTATCTTTTCGATGGACAGCCCTGCATATCAAAGTTGGTTACGGTTGTGGGATCCAGAACAGGCTGAGATGGGTGATGATCCTCTAATTTTGAATCGAGGACTAGATGACATGGCAACACCCCTTTACCACGCAGCAAGATTAGGCTTGGGTAAGATTACGAAACTTTTGCTGGATCAGGGTGCCGATGTCAACGCGCAGGGCGGGGAGTTTGGGAATGCGCTTATGGCAGCTTCAAATGGAGGCCACACAGCAGTGGCTGAGCTGTTGATCAATGCTGGCGCAAATGTCAACAGCATTCAAGGATTCTGGGGCAGTCCGCTATGCTTAGCTGCAGGAAGCGGTAGCGAGGCAATGGTCAAATTGTTGATTGATGCAGGCGCTGACATCAATGCGCCTATGCCCAAATCATGTGCTTGGGGCAACGCGCTTCAGGCTGCTCTCGAATGGGAAAAAGAAGCCATGGTCAAGTTGTTGCTTGAAGAAGGTGCCGACTGTGGTTTGGACGAGTATTTGAGAGGCCCTATTCATTATGCCCTTATCAGTGATATGCGCACACCATCGCTCATCAGTATCTTACAGCAACACGGCGCTTCGATAGATGCGATCGATATCGAGAATATGACGCCACTCCATTATTGTGCTCGTAATGGCGATCAGAAGGCCGCAGAAAAACTCCTTGATGCAGGGGTACCGATTGATATAGGAGTTCGACGAAAGTCGTGGCCCAGGGATGGCGACACATCGAGTCCTATTGATCAAGTGGACACAGTATATCCGATTCCAGAATCCATCGCAGTTGGTCTGGCCCCTTTACACTTCGCAGCCTTGACCGGTAATCTTACGATGACGAAATTCTTTCTCGATCACGGCGCAGATCCCAATGCTCTTTCCGAGTATGGCGAGACCCCCCTACATCTTAACCAGCGCCTCACACTCTACGGAACGCGATATAAAGACAGCTGGACTCGCAGGGATTACAGGTTAGAAAGCCGTTCAAGGTCACGGTATCGGTATGAAATGGATCCAAACTTTTCATCTATCGCGTCTACGCGTGAAAGGATACTTGACGCGTTATTGGACCATCCTAATATTTCCACTGCAACACAAGACTACCAAGGCGAAAACCTCTTACACTGCATCAAATATGGGAAACCAGAAAGCGTGACCTTAGTCCAGAAGCTCCTTTCACGGGGAGCCGACCCCTCGTGTGTCAACTCTAGTCAAAAAAGTCCATTGCGCCTTGCCAGTGAAGCTGGTGATACTGCATCGGTTGTTGCTTTGCTGAGCACAGGTACGAAAGCGGTATGGACTGAAGAATGCCTCCTCCATGCACTTGATCACGCAACTCGAAACGGAGACCATGAGGCTATAGTCGCCATTCTGGAGTTGAAGGAGGCACGAGCACTTAAGCTTGTAGCTACGAAGAATGAGCATGGACAGAATTTGCTTCACCGCTTGTTCTGTGCACGATACATTCGGATTGATACGGTACAGTGGTTATTGGACGAAGGAGCGGACAGTTCAGAGCTTGATGATTTCGGCTTATCCCCGCTGGCAAGACTCATCCAAAATTACACGTGGCAATCCAATATTGAGGAGATCTGCAGGTTGCTCCTCAAGATCACAGGAAACGAGTCATTTGTCGACTGTTATGGGCGAAACCTCGGACACCTGTGTGCTGCAACACCCAACTTTGAGACCTACATGTTGAAAGCTTTCAATGATCACGGTGTGGATCTAGCAAGAAGAGACTGTGGTGGAGGAACTGTCCTCCATAGCGCTGCTATGTCTGGCTTCCTTACTGCAGGATCGCTGGAGTATCTTGTCAACAGTATCGGCATCCAGGCGAATGAAGAAGACGCACATGGTCGTACTGCCCTGCAATACGCTATCGAGGAAGCTTGGAAAGAACGCGGCTCGGACACTATGAATCCTGAACGCTGGAAAAGGACCAGGAACATATTGGCAAAGCATCATGCCACGGTGTCAAAGGAAGAAATCGGACTCCCGCCTGGGTGGCTTCGGGCGCAGGATTTCGATTTTTCCATTTGACACCGTGATGCCAATCACAAGAGCTGATCATCTTCATCATTTGCTCGGCTCTCTTGAGTATCTGTAGGATCTAGCAATCTGGCGCTTCCTCACCTGGAATCACCCAGGTGATAATCCCGCATCCCTTAGCCAAGTACCTTGTGCGACTTACTTCGTATGCTCATTGGGTGTTCAATCCTGTCAACATTAGGCCCCCATTAGGCCCCCATAGCACCTTGCAGCTTCAGCACCCCGCGCAACTGATAGGACTGCAGGCCACAGCCTTGCAGCCATGCTGCAGCACACTCAGAGTCTGGCCAGCACCAAGAAGTCCTTTCAGATGCAGTTTGTCTTTGAATGCATATGTGCCGCCGACAGCGTAAGGTCCGATAGTGATCAGAACCTTCGTTGGCAGCGTCAACAGCGATGCTCCATTTGGTGTACTCTCTCTTACCCCAGCCTACTACAGTGATGTAGCTTAAGTTATAATATAGACAAATAGAATCTAAAATCATACAATGCGTGTGATCTCTACAGAGTCTTCACTCAGAAATCAATGTAGACTCTATGGTAAGGCGTAGTTCTTGAGTATGTTCTACTTTTCCCTACTACAACAATGTCTATCAAGATTTGTAGTATACCTATGCATGATCTAGAAGCTTACAATGGTTTCAGTCCATATGAGGTTTTGTATTAGAAGTCAATGTATGCAGCAGCTACCGTTCTGTCGGATGGGGGTGTCAACGTATGTATTAGGTCTAATGAGCTAACTGAGATGTGGAGCACCTCCTATATACCTTGGTATTCGGCTTACAATACCTGCGACCGACAATTCCCCTTGTTATCACTCTACCAAAAGATCCGGTGCTCTGATCTAGTCGTGATCAGACCAAGAGCTCATAGCACTGGTTTGTACTGCTCGAATGACTTGCGCTCAATGGAAGTGAGCCGGTAGACATGGCCTCGCTTGTGGAGTTGGTAAAACATCTCTCGCAACGGGTGCTTGCTCGGGATGGCTTTCGTCGGACTGATGAATTCGGAGAGTGGTCCGAAGAACTGCATGGACACCTTTGCGCGAGTTGTAGCAACGACGGTACGGGGTAACTTCCAGAGATGACCAAGAGCGCGGGTCATATCGAGACTGACCGAGTTCCTGTCCTTGCCCATGAATGAGTCGACGGTGACGATATCGATGTCTGCAAGGCGTTGGGCTAGCACTGGCTGTCGTCGTGACAAGGCTTGTGCAACAGTGTCGCGCTCCCGCCGAAGTATCTCAACCTGCGCGGTGTACGGTGTGATGATGACGTGATCCTTGCCTTCCATGTGAGCCATGCGATCGACGGCATCCCTCATCACTGCGCAAGCAGTCTCTAGTGAGTATGAGGAGCCAGTCACGCCTTTGACTGTCTTGGCGTCCACGACGTTGACAAAGATCAGGTTGCTGTCGGTATGCCAGATCTTCTTGTTGATGTCGGAGTAGAATGTGGAGAGATCGTCGTCAAAGGAACCTTCTACTGCCTGCAGATCGGGTAGCTCATTCACCAGAGCGCATAGGTCCAACAGAGGTTTGTTCTTGAAGCGTGATGTCTGCTTGAGCTCGTACATGTGGAATCCGGTAACATGTAGACGCACGAGTGGTGACAGAGTGAGCTGTTTCTGGAAAGGATTCTCTAGGCTGTTACCGAATACCATAGGAGGGAGCTGATTGATGGACCCGATAAACATGCGCAGCTGAGCATTCCAGTAGTGAGAGAAGTATCCCGCGAACTCGGCGTCGTTTGCTCGACCGGCCTCTTCCAAGAACACTGCGTGCGTCTGACGGACAGCGTTGAAGGTCATCTCTGTAGCCACTGACGACGTGGTGCATACAATTGCTGCCTTCTCCAGCAGAGCGTCGTATCCGGCCTCTGCCGCATCTTTGACAGCACGCTTGATATCGTCGTCCATCACATCTCCGTTGGTCAAGAGTACTTGATGAGCATGGAGGATCGGTTTCAACTTGTTCTCCAGGTGTGTAAGTTCGCCTTTCGTGAAGGTTTCGAGCACTTCCGGAGAACGCCGAAACCCTGGGACATTGGCTAGCTCTAGGATATAGCTCGCAGCAGACCCGTCAACTTCCTTCATGCGACGATCTTGGATAGAAGCGTCTCCAGTGCCGCGGTAGTGAGCCAGATACGCGTTCAGAAGGCTACGAGGTAGAGAGTCGGTCACCTTGGTGTTCGGGTCGTGGTTGAGAGGCAGCTTCTTTTGACGCGGCTTGTGAAGTGGGCGTGACATGGCAACGACGGCATCAATCTCTGAGCTTGGAGAATGTAAGCGGAGGACGAGCTTGGCAGGCATCTTCATCTCGCTCATGAACCTGGAAGTTATCAGACGAAGGACTCGGTACACCTCATCGACCGTATCGTTCTGGATGCCGCAAAATGTGACGCGGCCTGGCTGTGTGGTATGCATTTCGGGGTTGCCATCCTGAAAGTCTGGGATATTGATGTCGAGAGTGTATGCCGCCGCGATAACGAAAGCCAAGTAAGACTTCCCTGATCCTGAGGGCCCAGTCACACACCCAGTGTTCTCGTAAAGACCATTGTCTTCCATCTCCATGAAGGCGTTTAACTGGTAGTCACGGAGGTATGACATAAGGATCTGTCGAGCTTGATCCCACTGGCCTGCGTCGATATCCTTGAACAGTCCAGACCTCTTGAGTTGTGTAAAGTTCTTCATGAGCAACAGCTCGGTCTGCGCCTTGAGCGCCTCTGCCTTGGCGGGGTATGTGTCACGAAGGTCGTGGGAGACCTTGAGCATAGTAATGTTGTTCATCAAGCGCTTGCATTCCTCCTCGCCTTTTTTGGTGAAGATAGCGACAGACTTCTTCGAGTTGTCGCGTGACCAAGTACGGAGGACTGACGAATTCTTCATGTTCGCCAGGTCGTCGACTGTCAAAACCGAATACTCTTCAGTATCCAACGGCAGGTATTTATCCTCCTGTCGGGGATCCTTCTCCCGGGGACGGTCAACGATGACGTTGAGCTGTCCACGCGAAGTAGCGTCAATAGCTTCAGTGATCCTGCCTTTCCATGCATTCATAGAGGCGAGCTCGTCACCTGGATGGAAATCGATGAAGACTGAATCTCCGATTACCAATGTGGGCGACTCTCGGTTCTTGTTGACAGAAAGCTGGAGATGATACGACATCCAGAGTCTGTATGTCTTGTTGTAAGTCCCCGGGACCGGTACAACAGCGACTCGGCCGGTGTATTTATGATTGCCCATAGAAGCTCGCTGCTCAAGAAGCGTACCGAGGCCGACTGATCGCTCGTACTCTTCGAAAGTCTCAAACGCATATCGGGCGGAAGTGGTAAATTTGGGAAGTTCAGATGTCGGCTTGATGCCTGAGTTGCACATCTGCGGGTTGTTCAGGTCCTTGTAGATGACCGACATGGGATCATACTCCGTGAGCTGTTTCCATGCTTCAACCACGGATTCGACGTCTGAGTCTACGCGGGAGCTACGAATGAGCATGAAGATGTACGGTGAGTTCTGCACAACGATGCGCAAGTCGTCGTACAACTCGGGCATATTCTGACGATGGGTGAGAACATTGCTCGTGCATGGAAGCTCGTTGTGTCGGAAGCAGATGAGGAAGAGCTTGGCTCCAGACCTGAGGCTACCATACATATACTTGAAATAGTTCTTCTGTCCAACGGTCTGGGGAAACAACTTGCGCAGGGTCGATTCCCAAAGGCGGTCGGAGACGTCAAGGACTTTGTGCGATGGTTTGTATACGTCCAAATCCCAGGCTTCGGCACTGTCATTAGAGAGCTTTGGAACGCGAGCGTTTCGGTGGGTGAGCTCAACATAGGCAGATTCCTTCGGTTGCACGTCGGGTGTGTTGGAGTCCTCGTAATTGATTGTGTGTGCAATCTTCACGAGTGACTTGAAGTTGGGGTCCAGACGAAGAGTGACACGTACCGTATTGCTGGTGTCTTGCTTGAAGCTCTTGACCGGCTCGAATTCGTCTTCATAGTTTGGTTTGCGCGGCTTGAGCCTATGGCGAGCCAAGAGCTTCTCTGCGCGTTCTGCCTTACGCATGGCGTCACGCTCCTCCTCTGACATGCGCTCGGACTTGACCTTGCGCTTTTGTGTCGGAAGTGGTGGAAGGGCTTGGTCGTCATCGCCACCCAGCCATGGCGATGTATCGACAACAGGTATAAGTCCAGTCGTGACGAGCTTGAGCTTTCTACGTACGACACGATAGATGCGAGCCATCGATACCGACCAGAGACACTTATACCGGAGGTACATGCCGAAGTCCTTGAGCTTCTTCTTGGACATAGCACCGGTGACTCCCGCGTAGTATGGTCGAGACCGTAGAAGCTTGTAGTATTCCGTGAGGATCTCGTTGTCGGTCGGCTCATAGGCGGGCTCGCCCTTGTATTGTGCTCGAAACGTCTCAGCCAAGCGACCTAATGCCGCATCTCGCAACTCTTTGGTCAGTGAGCCGTGCTGAACGTTGATGAGGTCTGGACGGTATGCAGGCTGGGAGTGAGCGCGAGGGCGAGAGTTGCTCTGGGAGTCGTGGATGCGCGGGGTGCCGCGTCCACGCTCGTATCCACGCTCGTAGTACTCTTCGCGCAGAGGATCGATGGCGGGTGCGGAAAAGTCTGGAGTCTCGCCGGGAACGCGCGCTGGAGCATCCCAGGAGCTGGTACCGTTGAGCAAGAAGACGCAGTGATCTGATCGAGTAGAAAAAAGTCAGCTTTTGTTTCCCAAACTGTCGTGAAGAGGCACTCACCATCCTTGGGAAAGGTCTCGGTCTCGCATACTGAGTTGGGCAACAGACTAACAAACTCCAGACGTGGTGAGAACCAAGCATGGTCATCGGAGTACGCGCCAGGCTTAGACGACATGTAGGGTACGTCATCTGCTTCTTGCAAAACAGGCAGACACAAGTACTCTTCATAGGCCTCGCGCGACATGACGGCATGAGGTGGATTGACGTCAAGGGCCGTGATCTTGTATGCAGTTCGAAGACCTTCGACATCCATTTCGACACCGTATGAAACCATAGCGTCGTAATGGGGAGCCTATGGAGACGCAAAGTCAGCGTGAGTCCTACATTCATTCCAAGCAGCCCCAACTAACCTTGTACCGTGAGTATGTATTCATCATGAGTGGTTGTGGTGTGAGTGAAGTGGTAGAACAGGTGGATGAAGTGGTAGAATAGGTAGAGAAACTGCAGCTTGTAACAGCGGCGATTTGAAGGGGAGTTTGTGGATGGGTAGAGAGTAAGAGTTTGAACTTGTCGTGAGGATATGGCCCAGTAGGTGAGTGACTGCCAAGGCTGCACTTATCCTAGTTGACGAGGCGCTTGCGAAGACGCAAAAAAGCTTGTCGTGAAGGTGAAGGTGAAGGTGAAGGTGAGCTTCGTCTTTTTCCTGCTGCTGTTGGAAAGCTATTCCTTTCGGCCTGCTGTATACATCGGTCTACGTACTTGGTACTAAACAAGAGAAGGGAAGGCAAGTACTTCCCGGGTATTGTACAATACAATATCTATTAGCGACAGCAGACAATGTCTTCTCCAGCTTTGACTATGCTGGCGGGTTGTGCCCGCCTATAATACCCAGCATTCTAGGACCCAGATTCTCCTGAAGTCATGAAAGCGTAACAAGAATCGATTGAGCAATGATTCGACCCGAACGATCGCTACACGAGGTTAGAATTAGTTTCTCAGGACAAGTGTGATAGTTCTCTATCCAAATCGGGGGATCAGTTTCTAATTCTTTCCAATTACATTACCAACCCTGGAGACGATGAATTAGTAACAACAGTAGGGCCAAGGAGCTAACTTGTAGTTGAAACAAATGATATTGGGAGAAGACTAGACGGGTAAAGATCTACCCAAAGCAGCTGTCCGTAGACAAAAAAGCTGCCAACTCCAAACACCATGCCATCGAGAAAAAAAAATACCCCCTAATCCTGTAGCTGAGGAATATCTCAAGAGCGATAAGCCTGCTAACCCATATCACCCATGATGACACCACACGCCTCGTCCCAAAAAAGGAACAAGGCAAACCCATATCAAATGAATCCAGCGCCGACTCCCCCCTCACCCAATGACCGTCCCATACCCTATTGAATCCTCACCGCCAGATGCGCGTATTCGTAGCTCAAGCAGACCTATAACACCCTAAGTACTCCATCCCCTCAAAAGACATCACACCTCTACCCTCTTCCCATTCAGTCTCAAGGGGGGGTGAAACTTACCGACTACCAGCCCCCCTCCTCCCCGGCAGCGGCGGCGGCACAAGTGGATTCCCATACGCATCTGTTCCCAGCTGTGCCCTGCAATCCGGACAATACCATTTCGCGCGGCGGGAAGGTATGTCGTCTTCTGTCATATTCATACAGGGGAGGTGAAACCACTCTTTGTCGCACTGTGGGATCGTTAGCCCATTGTCCACCATCTACCATCTACCATCTACTTCGCCCTCGCTGCTGTCATAAAAGTGGTAGGGATACAAAACTTACGTTATTGTCACAACTGATCATCTGCCCATAAGACACATCATCACAGATGCAATACCGCGGCTCATCCGGATCAATCTCATCCGCCGCCTCCACCTCTTCGGAAGCCTCTGCCCTTCCCTCCGTACGTCTGTTGGTCTTCTTTTTATTCTTACTCCCTTGTGCGCGCTTGACGTTCGTGACCGTCTTTTGACCATCCTCCGCAACAGTAACTTCGCCTTTCGGAGGCGGTTTCCTTCGCGAACTAGTGCGTGTCGTGGGCATGGCTGATTGTTGTTGTTGTTGCTGTGATTGTTGGTGTTGGGCAGAGGGGAGAACTGCAGGTGGTACTGCTGTAGAGGTAGACGCGGGTTGGCTAAAGACACTATGACGACGAGTTTCTCGTGTTATCCTACCTTCTTCGCTGCCAGGCTTGGGCTCTTCGCTTTGCGCTTTGGGCGTCGGCACGTGACCGCGTGCGGATCTTGGACGTAAAGTTGGCGCTGCAGGTGTTTCTGGAGCGGGTTCAGGTACTGGCGTCGGTGTCTTTGAGAATTTTGCGGGGGGAAGAGAAGCCACAGGCGGAGTGGGTGCTCTTGGGGCGACGGACCCACGTGTTGACCTTGTCGAAACTGTAGTTGGTGCTGTTGGGACTGCGGCTGGAACTGGACTGGGTGCTCGGGCTGGTGCTGGCGATTGCAAAGCTTCTGACATAGCGGGGGACTCTTCGGGCGCTAGTGGTGAAATTGTGATGGGTGTGAGCTCTGGGCTCTGCTCTTTTGGTACAACTCTGTTAACTTTCGGTGTGCTTGGACCTGCCGGGGCGAGAGGCACTTGTACAGGGTTTCCATTTGTCGATGGCTTCAGAGAGTCTGGGAGGGGCACAGGCGTGTTAGTTGCCGGTGAAGCTACGGCAGAGGCAGGGATCTCTCGAGGGGTGGAGGCGGTAGAGGCGGGAGTTGGTATTGGGGAGGAGATAGTGTTGGTCGCTGGCGCAATGAGCTGCAATCGTGTGCGCTTGGGCTCTGGAGGCCTTGATGAACTGTCTTGAGTGGCTACCGACGCTTCTCTCGTGGCTTCGGTGGCGCCGTCGGTGGTGGGTGCGGGTGACGTATCGCGCTTGCGTTTGTTGGAAGGATTGACGACAGTTTTCTTCTTTTGGCTTGCGGGCGTTGCAACAGTCGAGTTGAAGTTGAGTTCTTTGAGGCTGTTGGCAGCTTCTCTGATCTTCTCAGAAGCACCTATGAGCTCCTGAGCGTCCTGCATAGCCTTTTGGCGCTGAGATGTGCGATCGAGCTTCCTACCTTCTTTGGTCGCGACAGGCTTGAGACGGATGCTGACTGGACCAGTCTCGTCCTTGGCGTCTTCATCGACAGGCTCGGTCGGCGGGGGTGGATTGGCTGCCTGTGGACCATGCGGTGCCAACAGGCCCAGGCCCGATGCTGTCATGATCTGCTGTAGCGTCTCAGGCTCCTCATCGAGGAAGTCTTCGCCCGTGGCCTCGCAACGAGCCTTTTCCCTTTCGTAGTCTGCCTCTGTACGGTGCTTCTTTTCAAGCTCGCGAATCATCATGGTCTGGCTAGGCGTCCAGACAGCATTCTTCTTCATCTGCTTGCGCAATACAGCCATTTCATACTCGGTCAGCTTCTTCCACGGCGCCCATTTGCTACCAGGCTTCGCGTCGGCTGGAGGTGGGGCGAGTTGGGCAAGCGCGTTGCTAGTAGAAATGCCCGCAATCGAACTGTGTACGTTGGTGCCGAGTACGCCAGCAGCGCGCGATCTGCCGCCAGTTGTCCTTGAATGTCTGTCCCGGTTGTCCTTGCGCTTCTTGGGCGATATTACGTCGATACCTGAGCCAATTTCCGAGTCTGACGAGTCAGAGTCACGGCGCATTCGTCCGCGTCCTCTGGGGAGAGAAATGGCTGTCTTCCTGTGCCGATCTCGGGGCCGCGAAGTGTTGGCGCCATGGCGGCCGCCATCAAAGGTCAAGCGCAGATGGGGGGCTCGTTCGTAGTTGCGGTTTATGGGTCGGTGGGCACTTGGAGAGACTGGCGGGGGCGTAGGATCGCGTGACGGCGGCTGTGGCTGGGCCTGAAGTTTCCTCTTGATGACAGACGAGCGCTGGCAGTGGCGCACAGTGACCTCGTATAGCCGCGAGGCCTCTGTGTAGGCAAACTCTCTCTGGCTGATGGCTTTTTGGAGATGCTGGGCAATCTGTTTGCGCAGCAACACGGGGTCGGGGCGCTCTCGCTCGGCAAGGGCGGGCAGCTTGCCATACTGCACCGTCAGCGCGTGCACATGCTGGACGGCCTCGGAGTAGGTCGAGTCGAGGTCGGCAATCAGCGTCAACGAGCGCACCAGGTCCGAGGGAAAGAACTCGGTATAGTCGAGGAAGTCATTCACCGTCGTCTGAGCATCCGGGTTCGGGGCGGGTTGAGCCATCTCAGGCGCATCGTCGGCTTCAGACATGGCGCATCGCGGGGAGGCAGAGTGGATGGAGGCTTGCGACGCACGCGTCAGACTCTCCAGCCACGCGTCAACCAAACTATTGAGGAGAATCAGCGCGATAGTGAGGGCGCGAGTTGCGACATGCGCTGATAGCAATGGGGGTGCCTGCTGGGAGCTTGTCGCAACGTTGAACCACTGAGGTTCGCGCTAGTCCGCCTTGGGAAATATCGCTGCACATCACTCAGGAACGCCTGGGAGAGCCGGGAGCCGCCGCCCCACACTCCGCCTACACCACTACAGTACATGATGCATTCATAGTCGGACTTTTGGTGTTATGAATTAGGCATATCTTAGTCGTGTATCACTCCCGATCGGTACGTGAGATTCAAAAGTAGCAGACGCGCTCTCCGTATCATGTCGGACAGAGATTCATACACGCTGTCGCGCTCCGACAACATCATACTGTGTGCCCTTTAGTTGGTTGGCATGAAGAAGCCTACCCTGTGTGCTCCTACATTGCAAGGCGTGTCCTCTTATCGTCTCTCTTTCACTCTCTCAGTTTTCTAGTTGAGGCTCTCCCCACTGTCGTTTCCTGTTTGCTCTTGCCTCGTTTGTTTATCCAAGCGCGGCTACCGTATATCCTCTATCACACTTCCCTCGCAAACACATTATACTCTATCAAACACTCACCATGGCCTCAGCACGGTTACAGCGTCTCCAAAGGTTTGTCCAAGTAGACCTCGATACCCTGCCAGACCGCCCTACCTCTCCACGACGTGAGTCCAAGCCAGAGCCCGAACCTAATCATGCCAACAGCAACTCCTCTGGCGGTGTATCGCTCAGAAACATGCCTCCAGATTCGCCTGCCAGCAAACAGATCTCACCCAATTGGACTGTTGCAGCTATAAAGACACCGCCTACCGAGAACACAGAACGCCGATTCGTTTGGATTAAAGACGCTTACAGCTCCTTCAACCCAAACCTGGACTCGATGCGGCCAGCCACCTCTCAAGCTCCAGCACCTCGTACTGATGCTGCTGGGCTTCCAGTGTCCGATCTCCAACGTGGCGACCTAGCCTCACCTCGCCATCACTTCACCCCAATCCAGGCACTGGCAAAGTATCCCTACAAGTACTGCAACAAGATCCATATGCAGGACATTGCTTCTGCTTTCTTCGACCAAGGAAAATTCTGGCAGCGAGAGTGGGATCTGTAAGTCTACTTCACCTCACCACTCACCCGTCATCATGGCAGAAGGGAGAAGACATACACTAACCTCACCAGATACTACATCTGGGACATTGAAGAGACTTCCAGGCCTTTCGTTCTCGTTCGCGAAAGCCAAGTTCAAGCATTACTTGCTGAGATCAATAAGCACTTAAAGCTTGCTTTGAGAATCACCGACCAACAGCGAGAGGAGGCAAGGCTGCATCATTGTGCTACCAGCTGAACACTAAGGCTAACTGTTACTGACAGGGCCTACTCGTGCATTTTCCTGACCACCCACGCTGCCTGCCTCGTTATCTCGGCCGCTCCCAGTCGCGCGAGGACGTTGACAGCATGGCCGAAAACGCCCCCAATAATACTTTCCGTGCAGCGGGAGAAGCTTCCCATCCACCACTGGAATCACAAACTCTGGAACGGTTCAGGCAACTGATGGCGAATTTGGCAGAAGCACAAAAGGCGAAGAGCAAGGCAAACAAGCAAAAGAAGCAAGAGGACCGCATGGCTAAAAACAAGTCAATGCAAGATCAGTTCAAGCGTGCCGGGAGGTATCTCGGTGTTCGTGGCTCAATCCAGGCTTCGTCTTCATCTTCCTCCTATCCGGCGATCGACCCCTCCATGCCAGTTCCTTTCCCTTTTGATCAGGATGTCGTTTTTGTGTGCGTCGATGTTGAATCGTACGAAAGAGCCCATCACAAGATCACCGAAGTAGGAGTAGCTACACTGGATACTCGGGAGCTCATCGGTGTTCCACCCGGTGAAAACGGTGCGGCATGGAGGAACAAGATCCGAGCCCGTCACTTCCGCATCAACGAATACAAGCACCTACGCAACACCGAATTCGTCACTGGCTACCCCGACGGTTTCGATTTCGGTGAGTCAACCTTCATTCCCCTCAGAGAAGCTGCAGACCACGTCGCAGCCTGCTTCCATGCCCCCTTCGGAGCCCAAGACGGAGATGGCTTCCCCAGTCGGCATGATCCGACTGAGAAGCGCAACATCATCTTCCTCGGGCATGATACTCTTGGAGACGTCCGCTACCTCCAACAGCTCGGCTACGACCCCATGAAGGTAGAACATATTCTTGAAGCTATGGACACCGCAACTATGTACAAAGTCTGGACCCGAGACCCACAGCCCACTAGCCTGGGCAGAATCCTCTTAGCATTCGATATTCCAGGCTGGAAGCTACATAATGCGGGTAACGATGCCGTGTATACCGTGCAGGCCATGTTAGGTATCTGTGTTAAAGAGGCGACTCTCCGTGGCTCTCCCGAATTGGACGATATGCGCAAGCAAGAGAAGGAGAACAGACTCAGAGCTAGGATCGAGGAGGCTGAGCAGAAAGCCAAGGATGAAGCGGAAGGCTGGAGCGATCATGAGGCCGTTGGAGATGGCGGCTCACCGATTCCTCTTGCTTCTGCCATTCCGCCAGTATCAAAGCCAGTACAAACTAAGGCTAAACCTGTTCCGCAGTATGATGGCGCTGGAGAGGATCATATTGGTCCGTCTCGTAGCCGTGGGGCGCTTAGTGAGGGGCACGGGCAGCGTGAGAGGGGAGACCGTGGCAGTGATAAACAGGGAACCTCGAGCGAACATGGTCAGGTAGACAGTGGCGGTCGTGGCCAGTCTAGTGGAAGTGAAAGATTGAGAGGACGGGCTCGTAATCTGGTCCCTGGCCGTGGTCGTGGTCGTGGGCGCTCGGAGTTGCCAAAGGAGGAGGCTGTTCCAAATGTGCAGTATCATTGGTGAGCAAGGGGATGAATACAAGGAGCTGCACGCGCTGAGGCCTTATCGGGCTATGCGGCGTGTCTTCCCGTCACTAGGGTTTCAAGGCCGGAGGATACGATTTAATACTGGAGATTGCTGAGCATGCTTCCTATACCTGAATTCGAACACGACCATAACTTCTGACTTTGTCATCCCTTCCCGATCCTTTGCTTTACGAGGGCGTCTTCACCCACCCGTCAGACACTAAACCCGTCAACTTAGCAGCCGCTCTCTTTAGCTCAGACACATCCTTGCAAGTAGCGAAAATAAAGCGATCAGGCCGCAGGATAACAAATTGCTTGCTATCCGACTCCCGCCAAATACGATCTGGCTCATAGTACTGCGGCTCCGGACGCCCTTGGCAAAGTGGCGAAGCTGCAAATTCTTGGCCTGTTGCTAGACGGTAGACATTCGGGTGTTGCGTAGGGAAAGTCCAGCTCGTTTGGATTATCTTGGTAGTCTTCAAGAAGAATGTCGTTTCAGCTGCTCCCAACATACCACCTGAGACGGATTCAATATCATGGAGCAGTGGCTGAATGCGATGGAGGTCCGTTGCACCATCGATGAAGACAACAAGTTGGAACAACCCCTTTTTCCCTTGTTCGAAGATGACATCGTCGGTGAACCGGACCCCCTTCTTCTCCTCCTTTTCGGTTACTCCCACGCAATACACTTGCGGGAAGTTCTTCCCTCCTCCACTCTCACCCGGCAAGAAGGCCATATTTTCCCTCTCCTGCCATTCATACCTGGTCAGCCCCTCCTTTCGATTTCCTTGTTCCAGCCATCTCTTCCAACTCGGCACCAACTGCATTCCCCAGAGATACCAGTCCCTCACAAAGATCTTGAGCGGATCCGTTTCGCAGACATACGCTCCATTTTCAATGGTAGATGCGAGCGAGTGGTCGAGTTGTTGTTTGCGTTCTGTGTACCAACCTTGCAGCAATCTTTGGTGGTTGACATTGCAAGTAGGTTGTTTGGAATCGGCATGGTGAGGATACGACTGAGGCGGTTGGGTCAAAAGAGCAAGACGCCAGGCAAGTCCCATTGCATCCCGAAACCCGCTCGCGATGCCCTGTCCCCCGAATGGCGGGAAAACATGCGCCGCATCTCCAACGAGCGCCACGCGACCCAATGCCCACTTATTACAGCTCCGTGCTGAGAAGCTAAATGGGCGGCAACGAAGAACCTCGATACAATCCAATGGATACCTTACGTACCCATCAACACCATATTTGCTTCCAGAATGCGTGATGTACGGATATACCACTTGCTGTATCCTTTCCCGACCAGCCATGTCCACCCCATCCTCACCCTCCAAAACCACGAATTCAAACCGCCAGAGCCGATCGGTAGGCAGTCCGAAACGCCCACACACAGCCGCTCGCTGCGGGTTGCACAGGAATCTGAAATCGTTGGGGAAGAAGAAGTCGTAGACTTGTTGGGGCGTGTATCCCTTGGCCCACAACGGAAAGTCAGGATGCGTGTCCGAGTTGGGCAGCGAGATCTTCCAGTTTAGGGCGACCCAGGTTTGCGAGTAGGCTGACGAAGTCACTTGGTCTAGGGTGATGCCGCGGGGTTCGAGATAGTGTTTTCGTGTGAAGCCTGTTTTTCCGTCTGCGCCTACGAGAAATTTACTGCGGATCTGCCGTTCCTGTCCAGTGGGCGAGGAGGCATAAGTGATGTAGGTCCATTCTGCATCTTCTCGAATCGACGTTACTGTTGCCCCTAGTCGTAGCTGGGAGTGCTGTGCTTGCTCCATCTTGCATCGAAGATGTTTCTCTATAGCTGGTTGCTTGTGACATAGGAAACCTGGATGCCCTGTTCCTCCTTCAGTCTAGATGCAGTCAGCATGGCCACCATCTCCTAAATCTTGTCATGGTAAAAGACAAACCGTATTGTAGTCCATAACCATGAAAGGCTCTCTACCAAGCTCATTATGAATACCACTGATAAATTCGAACTTGCCCATACCTGTGCGGGTCATCACAATGTTAACACTCTCTCCCTTTCCCACGCACACATCAGAACAGCAGAGAAGGGAGCACACAACATACATTTTCCGATATCTGTGAATACCTTGTCATAGACACCACAAGCCTGCAGACAGCGTATGCCGTCTTCGTCTAGAGCGATTCCACGTGGATCTGTATTAACACTTTTTTCCTGTTCAAGGACTATGTTGCGCACGCCGTGTTTAGCGAGGAGGACTGATAGCATGGCGCCTGTTGGCCCACAGCCACATACCACGACATCTACGGTTTCAATCTCCATTGTGGATAACATGGCGGGTGCTGTATGGAGCAGAAGGATCTGGTTTTAGAAGTTTGTGTATCGTTGCTTCTTTTCGTTGCTGCAGGAACGGAAAGGCAATCACTTTGTGTTCGTTATACATGAGCGAGACAATTGTAGAGTTGGCTTGAGCGAATGGAAAAGCGGAAATGTGCGAGTAGCCGGAAGCTTGGTCTTGCGATACGAATGCGAATAGCGTGGATGTATTAATGTAGCAGACCGCCTAGGTAGGAGAAGGAGGGCATGACGTACATCGTCCCGAGTTTTCTTGGCTCTGCTTATGTTGCGTTACCAACCCCGCATGTCGCCTGTACATGCGCGGAAGAACGACTGAATGCGAGGCATGAGTCGAGCATGCATAATCATTCAATGGAACGTGGACGCCTCCACATTGCGATATACCACGATTATGAGGAAATCGTTGTCTCTAGAATGATTCGAAAGTCTATCACCACGTAGCACACTTTCAACCACTAGTAATAAACACCCAAGATACTCTGATACTAAAAGTCCGCATCATCGATAATTCTCTTGGGTATTTCCAGAGACCAGCACCCTGTCGTTGCTTGTTGGATAAGCAATGAGGAAAAAGAGATACCTTGGAGACTGCCGTCTGGCTAGTCTCCCAACACGCCCTCAACAATCTTCATAACCTCCACCAACTCCTCGTCCATCATACTCTTTCCTACGACCTGCACGTGTGTCGGCAAACCCTCACAGTCATTCGCGTCATCTGTAGCAAGACACATTAGCCCGGATCATTTCTTTCACCGTCAACAACAACTTACAAGGTGGTTCAAACTTCACTCCTTCTTTCATAAACTCCGCATCCTTTTCCTTCTCCGCCTTACCCACGCGCAATATCCCACTCGGCCAATTCAACAGATTCACCACCACCGTATAAATCGGTAGACCATACGTATCGTGTTTGGGCGCCACACCCTGGTACCCAGGCATTAAAATGGCGTCGAGTCCCTTCTCCCCTCCCTCCTCCTTCACACTAACATCCCCAATTACCAATTGATGAAACTTTTTGACAATCTTGGCTTTCTCAACATTCGTATCCCACAACTCGTCCAACGTCGCCTGCCACCCTTCCAATTCCGGAAACGACATTGTAGATAGACTGGGTACCATTGGTTCCCCGCTATCTTTGATGAATTGGAAGGGAGTTTTCTTTGGATCAAGCATAAAGAACTTCCACGCTAGCATCGCTGTACGGTACAGATCTGGTATCTTGTCGTCTAGCAAAACAATTTCATGACCTGCTGCTTTGAGTTTCATAGCAGTGGTATGAAGACCGCGCGCAACAGGGGGATGAAGCGGCCGTTCTTTACAGCCACGGATCAGGCCGAAGCGGAGGGGTTTGTTGCCACCCAAAGGCGAGACAACACTCCGCCATGGCACATTGAGGCAGTTCTCGTCGAAACGGTACGGTCGTGCGCTCACCACGCTCTTCATGAACAATTCGTAATCACGCGTGGAACGACCACAAGGACCAATCACCACGGGGATTGACCCGGGGCTCCCGAGTCTCCCTACTGCCACGCCACCGGCGAAGGGAACGCGACCCGCAGTTGGCTTCAATGAGGACCCGCCACAGCATATAGCGGGGATGCGGTTCGAGCCCGCGATATCGGTAGCGACGCCCAAGACGCTTCCTTTCATGGCGAGCAGGGCGCCTTCACCGCCCGTGGAGCCGCCGGCTGTGTGGGAGAGGTTGTTGGGGTTCAGAGTGCGGCCGAAGATGTTGTTGTGCGAGTCTGCTGTCATCATTGTTTGAGGGAGGTTTGTCTTCACGTAGAATACTGCACCCAGTTCATGGAGAACGTCGACCAAGGCTGAGTTGGTTGCTGATGGGGGCCGTGGAATGAATGAGACGTAGCCGAGGGTTGCTTGGACGCCGCGGACGTTGAAGGAGTCCTAGATAGGGGTTAGTATGGATGGGGGTGAGATTGCACTACTAGAGGAGATGACGGAGAGGTAGGAGTAGAAAAGGGAGATGATCAGGTGTAGTAGAGGTAGAAAAAAAAAGAGAAAGAGACGTCCACCATCCTCCCCTCCACCCGGATTGAGATGAGACTAGATACCTTTAAACTTATTGGAAGCCCATGCAAAGGACCCATGACCTTGCCCTCCTTGTTCAAAAAATCATCACACTCCTTCGCCCGCGCAATCGCTTCTCCAAACATAATCTCAGTCAAACAACTCACGCACTGCTGTGCGACAGCCGCTCTCTTACAAAACGCCGTCACCACTTCCGTACTCGTCAAGCGTCGCTCTGCCATCATGCCGACTAAATCTGTGGCATCGTAGTTTTCAGTAATGTCCAACTCTTTCTCCGTCAAGATGCCGCATGTCCGTGGTACGTCCAACACGGAGATGGACGAGGTTTCTGTATATTGTGATGTTTGAGAGGGAGGAAGGAGCCAGTCTTTTGGAATCGCTGCGAAGACTGATTCGCGCTTTGATTGTGCGAGGGTCTGCCAGTCGGCTATGAGTGGTGCCGTGGTCGTGGCCATGGCTGTTGGTGATGAGTTGCAGTCTGGCTTGGACTTCTGGTACCGAGCTAGTTCGCGTCGGGACTTGGAAGGATGAGTAGAAGAGTGTATTTTTGATCCGAGAAGAGCAGAAAGCAATAGTGATGGTGTAATACTGAAGACACACCCTAGTACTACACGCTGTTGATGAGGGGCTCTGGGGAGCCGGCCGAGGTTCCCGTGTCGGAAATACGATCGGAACTGGCCACGTGGGGAATGTGGGTATAGACTGGGGCAATGCAACTGCTGTATGGAGTTGCTTTTTCCAGCATAGGGAGCGGACCGTTACTCATGGAGAATCCGTTACTTCAATTCCATCAATATCTGGAGTCGAAAGGTACTGCTAAACCTACATAAGCTCCACAATGCACAAGTGAACATGATCATGTAATGTCCGTCTACGACTCAATGATGCCCGCAGTTGAGCAAAGGCTGCGCTGCAAGGTTTGGTCCTTGTGCAGCCCATGTTCAATCTCTCCTCCTCTCGCTCCTCTTGTGCGGTGACCTGCTCCTTGTATCTCTCCGACGTCTACGGTCTCTGGAGAGTGATCTTGATCGCTTCGCATCGGCGTCAGGTTCGCGCTTGCGCTCTGTATAATCTTCCCTTCGCTTATGGTCGCGGCTTCGCGATCTATGTCTGCGTCTGTCATCGCGACCATCGTCTCTCCGCCTGTCGCGCGACCGTGAGCGATCTCGGTGTCTATGTCGTCGCTCTCTGTCGCGTGAGCGACTCCGTGATCGATGCCGCCGCCTTCGCTCTCCGTCATCGTCCCTGTGTCTCCGCGAACGTTCCTTCTTCTCCCTCTTCTTCGCCTTGTCGTCATCCTCTTCCGCCTTGGCCTTCTCGTCCAATGTGTCTTTGACATCTGCCTGGTGTGCCTTCTCGCCCAGCGGCGTCAGGTTTGCGTTGTTGCGTACCGGAACGGGCAAGCCCATAGCAGCCAGCATCGCGTCCTCCTCAGCCTCCTTCAGCTTGCGCTTCTCTTCTTTGATGCGCGCCGCCTCGGCTTCTTTGGATTCTTCGTCGCCTTTTGCATACCAGTTCAGGTCGCGTCCTTGTTGCCAGCGACCAACGGGCGCCATGAGCGAGTGGCCGAGATAGTTTTCGCGTTGTGCATCGTTCTTGACGTCTTCCCATTTGAAGTCGGCGCGACCGCCGCTGCGCAATGTTAGTCACAAGCCCCGAATCAGTTGTAATGAGCTTACCGGCTTCCTTCTTTGCGCACCGTTTGTACGAGATCCATGGTGTTGGTGTGTCGTGGTTATGCGATGGAGAAGATGGCGCAAGTGAGTTGCGGCCAACACGCGGAGGTGAGAGGCCCGTGCCCACAATGGCTTCATTACCAGCCTCAAAGAGCTTCCAAACACAATCACTCTCCAATCACGACTAGCGCCAACATGCCTCCGATACTTCCACCACCCGACGAGCAAGAGTACGATCAGCCCTTGACAATCGATGGCCTACCAGGGCGCGACCTGGCCGCTGGGAACAACCTCTTCTTCTATTTCACCTCGTCGCCATGGTTCGATCCGGAAGACTGTATCAACATAGCCATCTTCACCAATCTCAATCTCCAGGATCCAGCCAATGCCCAGACTATTATGAACGATCCAAAACTATGGAATCAGCGAATCAAAGAGACACCTAAAGGAATACAATATGTCATAGCAGGCGAAGGGCAGGGCGACGGTCACCCATGGCTACTCCAGCGGCAACACAAGGCCGAAGTCACAAAGGATGATGGCAGCAAGGAAATCGGCATGTTTGTCGAGGGCAACTGGTACACGCACGGAACAAAGGTCCTCATGGCGCCGAGCTTGCTGGACGTGGTGCAGAGTCGATTGCTCACTGTTGCGACGCGCATGGAGCAGATGGCTGAGATATCAAAGAACATGACGCACTGGACACCTGCAACGGGGTACTCGTACTTTCCTCCCTCGCATGAAACTTCAAAGGCTGCGACGACGGCCAGTCGAATCGGTAGTCCGACACTGGCGCCAACGGACCCAGATGTTGCAGGCTCGCAGTCACAAGGCGCCGGAGCGGGTGCAACTTCACAGACGACAGATCCACTGGCATCCACCACCGAGTTCTCTGATGCCTTGTTCATGCATTCCCTCAATCTCACAAACGCGTATGGAGACGAATACATGGACGAGAATCCACTCAAGGGCGAGCCGGGCGCGTTTGTTTTCGAGGGCACCAAGACTGCTGTGAGCGCGAGGAACAAGGCACAGGAACAAGCAGCGCAAGCATCTCTGTCTGCACCGCCCGCGGGACTGAAGATCGAGACTCAGCCGCCGAGCGTGGCACCGTCTGCTGTGGGTACACCAAGAGGGGTAGCGACGCCGACTACTGCGGAGACACAGGGGAAGAAGGGGGCTATTGGTGCTGCGCCGAAGAAGAAGAAGGATAGAAGGAAGAGCCAGGGTGGGCTGACGAGTCCGACTACGCCGAGTGTGTCGTAAGATGGTCGCAAGAACCAGATGTCGTCCGTTTCCTTGTAATGATACCCCGACTGTACACAGGTCGAAATCCAATCATCACTAAAAGCCGTGTCTATCGTATTTGCCATGCGCTTGACCCTGTTCAGTGACGCATGAATCTTGATCCTGATAAGCTCACGTCTAGCCAACCGGAATAGAATGTGCTTGCCATATCCAACGCCTCTCGCTTCATCCCGAACACCGAAGCTGCAAAGTCAGCAACGTTAGGCCACCAAACGAACGCTCTATCGACATTGCCTTTGGTATGTAAACAGGTGGTATCCCCAGGATCCCTCTCCAGACATCTCGCCCCTGGTCTCCAAGAAAAGATGGTTCTTAGAAAGGTTGTCACAACATGCTCTCAGCCCAACACCAGTCACCACGAAGCACAAGGTACCGTCATCGACAATCCAAACCATGAGGTAAACCCCAGGAAACAACCCCAAGACTTCCTCCCCGTCCCCAACCCAATGACCAGCTACTGGCTCAAACAACCCCATCCCTACGCCAAACTCCGCACAACACCGCACCTCCCCGTCTCCTGCGACATCGCCATCATTGGCTCCGGAATGGCTGGCATTCTGGCCGCCTACCATATCCTACAGACCTCGCATACCAATTTCCTCCAGACTGGTACACCCATGCCTCGCATTGTCCTCCTAGACGCACGGGATCTCTGCAGTGGCGCCACAGCCCGTAACGGCGGGCACTCCAAAGTCAAAACAGCCACGCTCACCAGTCTCGCGGATGGCGTTGCCAGAACAGCCTTGCAAGACTACGTCCACCGCACCCACGTAGAGCTGAAAGCACTCGTCGACGCCGAAGGTCTCGCAGCAAAGTGTGAATTCGAGTTACGTCGCAGTTTTGATGTGTTTCAAGATAAGGAGGAGTTTGAGGGCGTGAAGATGGCATATGATGAAGATGCGAGGGTAGGGCAAGGTTGGACCAAGAGGACGAGCGTGGTGCCTGGGGAGTGGGTGGAGAGGATCACAGGGGTGAGGGGGTCCGTCGGGGCGTTTAGCGTTGAAAGTGCGAGTTTCTGGCCGTACAAGCTTGTGTGTGGGGTGCTTGAAAGAATGGTGGAGAAATTTGGAGAGGTATTAAATGTACAGATGAATACGGTCGTGACTCGACTTGCCTCTTCCCCATCGACAGCCAGTGTTGAGAGGACGTCCCGCGAAGTCAGTACCACCACCACCACCCGAGTGGTGAACATATTGGAAACACCCCGAGGTACTCTCACGGCGAAAAAAGTGGTCCTCGCAACAAACGCGTACACAGCCTCTCTCCTCCCTTCCTTCAGCAAGACGATTATACCATACAAAGGCATGAATAGTCACCACGCGCCTTCTCCATCCGCATCATCTTCCTCGCCCCATTCAAACCACACCAGCCACGCCACACAATCTCACTTGAACAACACCTACAACATCCACTTCTCCCCGCTGTCCCCGAAACACCCCACCGGATGCGACTACCTAAATCCCCGCCCGGACGGCTCCATCGTCGTCGGAGGCGGCAGCTGGTTCTACCAGAACAAGCACAACGAGAAACACGATAGTGATGATGATGATCCATATGCCTGGCTCAACACGGTAGACGACAGCACAGAAACTGGACATTTCCCAGCAGACGTGTATGCGCACTGGACACACTACATGTCCAACACTTTCTTCAGCCATCCTCCTCCATCATCTTCTTCGTCTCATTTCGAACCAGATAGTATCTGGACAGGTATCCAGGGTAAGACGAACAATGGCATGCCGCACATCGGACGGGTTCCTCCTCCTGCTGAGAAAAGAGACAAGCAGCAGCAGCAGCAACAGCAGTGGATGTTGGCCGGTTTCAACGGCGGAGGCATGGCACTGATTCCCCTAGCAGCCAAAGCAGTGGCGAAGATGGTGCTACGGGATTTGGACTTTGAACATGTGCAAGACGAGTTTGGACTGCTTGAGGGCATGGGCACAGGGGATGCGAGGATGGTGTCGTGATATTACACACACACACATCAAGGGGAAGAGGTAGGCATACATGGGTGGGCAGTAAGTGGCGTTAGAATATATATATATACACACACATATATACACATTAGGAAGGGTGGTTGGTATGACAGCAGCAGCAGCACCTTCCATTCCAGCTGGCTAGACACAAGCTTATCGGGACTGAGACGTTAGTCTGCGGGAGGACAATGGATGGTAGGGAAACAATGGTCATGGCAAGACCAAATTCAGCATGGAATTTAGCCTCTACATGCACACCATGTACGTCCTACAGGTTGATATCTAATTACAAATACGTAAGCTATTAAATCTATAGGTGTATTATACACAATTTATCGACTGAAATAAGAAAGTTGTTTAGTTTAATGGTGATAATCACCCTCTTGATTGATTCAAAGAGAAACATGCGATCGTCACTGATTTGCAGGAGGACGTAGAAATGAGTGGGTAAATCCCGGATTCCTTTGACTGAGGGAATCTCCGACGGATACGAGTCTTGACTAACTAATTTTCATCCCTAAGAAGCGAAAAAAGGAAAAAAAAACATAAACTCCATCCCATATGCCGCTTGCTTGTCCCCTTTCATATTTATGAGAGCCCATCTGCAAGTAAATGAGTTTGACGAAAGCCTTCATCAGAACAAGTTTCTTTGTTTCAGCCGCCCACCATCGCCAACAAATGCAAGAGTCCCAGACAATGCTCAACACCCAAGAAGTAACAAAGGAGAGATACCAAGACGACAAGGTAGAAGTAGTGCTCGAAAATGATGAGTGATGTTCCGTCGTCGGTGAAGTTGCGAGTAGTGAGGTGTACAGCGTACAGGTTATAAGGTTAGAGAGGAGAGAGAGATAGGAAATGGTATCTCTAAACAGCTACAATTTGAACGTGGAGGGTTGAGGATTGGGGGATGCGCATCGTAGGACTCTCGCTACAACGTATTTCCTCAAAAAGCAAAAGCAAAGAAAAAAAGGGATAAGAAAAGTTGTCAAGACTACAAGTGGCAGGTCATAGTGCCTTACCACACCCACTCAAGGTCGCCCAAGTCGTCCGTGACCTGGGCGTGATGATCGGCATGAGAGCGCCAATCTTTGCTCTTGTACCAGTTGTCCACCTTTTGCTCCCAAGACCCGACGGAGTTTTTGTTCTCGTTGTGGCTGGGACCCCAGTTGATCTGACGCATGCCAGTGCCAGTCCGGCTCCGCTTCCGGGCGGAGGTCGGGGGTTGAGCCGACTTGGGAGACCTCATAGGCTTCGATGGGGTCTGCTGCTGGACTTGTTGCTGAGCCTGCACGGCAGGACTACGACGACGGTCGCCGAGAGCAGCCCACTTGTCGGCAGCGGAGCGCTTGTTGGCCGGCGCAGGGGTGCGGTGCTCCTCAAAAACAAATCCAGTTGCAGCGCTGACATGGTCGACCGCATTGCGAATATTCTTGGGGGAGCGATCCCTGCTGTTGTGAACGGTGGCAGGGTTCTTGACCTCCGACAAACCGCCGCGAGGGGTCGACACACCTGACCCGGCTTCAGAAACAACAGCCTTGGCCTTGGACGACTTCTCAGCTCCAAAGGAGTGGCAGTTGTTCTCAAGCTCGGCAAGGAACTGTGCGTCATCGTCCTCCTCGTCCCAAAGGTCACTCCAGCTCTTTGAAAACACGTCACGCTTCTTACCGAAGACGGAAGACATGCTGTTGAAAGCCTTGGCAGGGAGTGAGCCAGAGATAGGAACGGGCCGAGATCGGGTAAAGTTCATCGACTTTGGCTCGCTGACGTCAACCGACTTGAAAGATAAGCCTAATCCAGAGTCCACAAAAGATACGGCAGACGCAGTATCTGGCTTGACGTCGTAAGGAGGACCACCGAACATCTCATCCTCGTAGATCTCGTCGTCAGGAATGGCTGAGAGCTGACGGAACTGCTGAGGTGGAGACATTGCCAAGGCCTTCGCCCAGGGAAATGATCCACCGTTATCGAGCTGAGGCGTTGAGATGGAAGGTGTACGGAGGGGTTCGCGGTTGGCTCCAACAGCGACAACGTCACGCTCCTCAGTGCAGAAGTCATCGAGGCTCTCGTCATCGGTGGTGAAGCTGATGACGCGGTCGAGAGCGTCCTTGACAGCGTTGAGGTCACGCTTCTCGGGGTCGATGGCCAAGCACTGTCGGATGACCTCGAAGGTATCCTGCGACATGTTGGGGAACACATCGAAGAGACTCTGACGGTCGAGAGCGAAGTCGGCGTACAGAGGATCCGAAGAGGCAGGGACAGCGAAGGGGTTGCGCTGGAAGAGAATGTTGAGAAGAACGATGCCAATAGCCCAGATGTCTGCCTTGGCGGTAGAGTAGCCAGTGTTGCCAGGATCGTACTGCTCGGGAGCCATGTAGCGGTCGCTGCCTACGGCAATCTCGTAGGACCAAGTGTCTGAAGTGGCGAGACCAAAGTCACCAAGCTTCATCGAGCCATCTTGAGTAAGGAAGATGTTCTCGGGCTTGATGTCGCGGTGGTAGATACCCTTGGAATGGATAAACTCGACAGCACCGACAAGCTGCATCATGAAGTCTCGCACGTGCTCAGTCTCGAGAGGACCCTTGCCAACACGAATGGCCTCGTACAGGTCGCCATTGGAGCAGAACTCGAGGACCAGGTAGATGTGATTCTGGGTCTCGAAAGACTGAAGCATGTTGACAACGTTGGAGTGGTCACCAAGGTGGAGGTGAACGCCAAGCTCCTCGGAGCGCTCATCGACAGCGAAAGCGGAAGGGCAGTTGATGGCGGCGGAGCTCTTGGTGATGACCTTGATGGCAACGTTATCGCCGGTTACAAGGTCCTTGGCCTGGAAGACCATGCCGAAGGAGCCATTGTTGAGAGGGGAGATTGTCTCGTATCGTCCATTGAGCACAACGCCGTCGTGAAGCTGATCGCGCATGCACTCCATTGGGAAGATGTGTAGTGGAGATGGGGGGTGGCTTGAAAAGTGAAGCCGAACAAACAAAGGAACAGGAAAGCTCGATATGCGAATCAAACAATGGGCAGACAGCCGGAAGCCCAAAAGCGATGCTCTATCAGACTTTTGGTGACACGGAGTCTTGGGAAGATATCAATAAATGGTTGTAATGGTGGCCGATGGTTGTTGGATAGTTTGGACCGGAATATGTCGTGAAGCAACAGCGATGGCTGTCAAAGAAACGGAAAACAAAGTCGTCGGTGATATATGCACAGGAGTCCGTCGACGGAAACAGCAAGGAAATGCTCAAGAGAGTGTGGTTCTCATTTGTCGGTATTAATTGCGTATGGATGGCTCGAGTCAACGAACAATCGGGATGTGAGAGAGAGGAGGGATGGAGTCGTCGACGTCCAGAAAGTAAGAGGTATCGCTGCGTAAAAGAGAAGAGAGTCGTAACACGTGGAAGTGGAGGGTGTCGTCGGTAGGCAGACAGTAGGGGGGTGTCTGGATGACGCGATTGACGGCGTGAGTCAGGTGGCACGGGCTCACGCGGAAGGCAGCTAGCTTGTCGACAAAAAGGGTCTCGAAGATGCCAGTTGTTGTGTTGGCTAAGACGGATTCGGTCGATAGAGCATCAAATGTCTGCGTGAGCAAGCTATTGCAGCGCAGGTGGTCCGGCTGAAGTGAGGTGAGGTGAGAGATGAGGACGAGTGGGTTACTCGGGCTAGCTGTCGGGCGGATATCGGGATGGCCAGCAGCGAGCTCTCAGTATCACATCAAATCAGAACGCGGCAACGGCAGCTATGCGATGGAGTATATGAGTGTATAGCGTGGTTGTCGTGTGGTGGTGGTGGAGGGCCAGGAGTCGGAGGTCGGAGGGAGGGCGGAAGGCGGAAGGGATGATGTTGTTGACGTTGTTGACGTCTGAGCTGCGAGCAGTTGCGGGCTGCGGAAGAAGGAACGATGGTGAGGCGGTGGTTATTAAGGCAGCAGCGGATGTTATGATGAGGATGGTGATGAGGAAGCAACGCTAGAGCTTGCGAACAACGACGAGAGCAAAGTGGGTACGTGTTATGGAGGCATCGGGGGTGAGTGAGGTGATAGCGGGTAAAAGACGGCCATGCTGGGTATTAGAGGGCACACCTGGGCAGCGCCAGGAGCTGAGCCCTCGGGACCCGCTCACAGCAAAGCGGCGGTGACCAGACAGGGGTGCGGCTTCGGGACTAGCGCCAGTTGACTAGCTAGGAAGCTACGTGGCTTGCATCGTAAAGCAGCACTACTCGGCCGGCCAATCGTGTGCGCTGCTCGTCTGCCAACTTTCCATGCCCTTCGACGGCTTTCCACCATACTCGTCACTGTCTTGACCTGCTCCCCCAGCCTTTGTCCCTGCTTTGGCAGCAGCAGCGGGTCTCTCGGCATCGCATCATCGCTTTTGCATCACTCATTGCGGGTAACCCCACCTGTCGGCCTTCTGACGGCCTTCTGACGGCCACTGTGCTGGCGGACGAATGCTCAGAAATTAGCTATGACGAGTGCTGAAACATCGTCCTTGCTTCACAAAGACGGACGGCGGACAAGGCGCGCATCCAGACCACGACCAACCTGACTACTTGTCGTACGCCAATGCTGGCCTAGCCCCAAGCGCCGCCGTGTGCTGATCGTAGCCCATCGCAATGTAGCACACAGCTGCCACCTGGCCTGTAATTGGACTCGGCCACCCTCCATGCCCTGCTCCAACCAGACTGTTATCTCTTGTTTCGTGATGCTTGCCACTTTATCTGCAGCTATCTTTGCATGAGCCTTGCGGTACTCTGCCGACTACAGAGTCGCTGCTGTCGTGTGCTCTTGTGTAGCCAGCTGTGCCATCCAGGGGCTGGATCTACGCCCCAATACAGCATGACAAGTGTTTCGTGTGCTAGCGGCGAGGCCATTATGGTACACTATTCGGCTGACTATTGACCCTCAACTTCGGCCTCGCAGTGTTGGGCGGGTCGCGGCAAACATTAGAAATCCGGGGAAAGCTTGCGCTGCCTTGTGTTGTAACTGTCTGCGCCCATTGCTGTGCTGCACATCAGCGTCGCAAGCATCGCGCGGCTTCAGTCATCCAAGTCGCTACAACGCGCGCTTTAGATGAGACAGAACATATGCATGCCTCGCGGCTCATTCAACCAGCGCATGTTATCGCGATCCTTCCTCGTCCTTCTGTTTGTTGTCTTTGGGGCTGCCCAGATTCCCGAGTAAGCTTCCCACTGCACTCTAAAGGAGGACACGCAGTAGCTTGCAGCAAACTTGCAGCGTCCTGCATCCATAGCCACCCAGAGGGCGTGTTGGACAGGCACTCGACGGGCTACTGCAGGTAACATGCACCGGGCTATTTCTTTGTATCCACTCGCTGTGCCTGTCCCTGGGCTACCCTGGAGCGGTGTAGAGCAACAGCGACAACACATTCTATACCAGCGAATAGTATATCCAACTTTTCTTGCGTTGGGCGGATTTTTGGCACGTTGAGCCGACCTGATCTCCATGACAGGCGGAGTGCAAGTGGGGGCCTGCGGAAGCTATCTGGAAATCTTGCGACATCGAGCATCAATTATGCTCGAGTTAGCCAGGAACACCCGTCCATCTCACCATGGTCGACCGCACATACTCCCGAATACACGTGAAGAGTGTGGATATTCTGGGGCTCTTATGACGGTGTGCGCCTCAACGACCAGCCTCATCTGCGATTGTTGCAAGGAAGTCAAGCCAGTCGTTGGGGAAAGGTCATCGTGACTGTACGCATGGCTTCAACCTCCGATGCCCGATGACTCCTAGAAAATTTTCTTCTTGACAGCACGTTCACGGCTGTCAGGCCTCATCTGGCAGTCGCCCTCTAGTCGTCCGGAACCTGTTTACAATTCACAATAGTCCACAACTTGCCGTGGTAACACATCTCACCGCCATGTTTTGATGTTCCCATCTCAAGCCTCGCACCACTTAGCTGCCAGCCCAGACACACAAAACTGCAGTTCGCAGGATAGAGGCGCTACAGCAGAGATTCCCCCCCCTCACCGCTGTTCACCGCCCTGTACTCAACAACAACAAGGAAAGCAATGTCTACCGCGTCCCTCGATGACGCGCGCTGGAAGCAAGCAGAGGTAGTGTTGCTCGATATTGGTAAGTCGCATCGCTTGCTTCTCGGGTCCCGCATGGAACGACTGCGCCAGACTGCAGCCAGCCTTCACCAACCTTGTGAGGCATGCGTCTAGTCAGCAACTTTCCGATGGCCAGCGACAAAGAACCTTGCGCTCGCCTGTCATCCCATAATGTCTGTGTTGCTGCGCTCCCGGGCGCTACCCCAGGTTTTGCTTGCGCCACTACAACTTCAGCCGCCTTGTCCAACTCCAACGCGCGTGCTGACATGAATTTCTAGAGGGCACTATTTCGAGCATCTCATTCGTCAAGGATGTCATGGTAAGCTTTTCCAACCTCGAATGTCATTTCCCTCGCGCGTCCACTTTCCTCTACTGTTCGTCTCGAGGCGCATCTTCCCCGCAGCCGTCGAATGATCAACACCACCAAACATCCGTCGAGAATCACGCCGGCCCGCCCTCCCATGCCATTCTCGTGTCACAGTAAACTGTCACTCGGCAAATGGAGCAAAGCCACTCGTCGCCTCCATTTCTCGCCTCCCCTGTTCTAGATTGCACTACCGGTGCTGCACCTGCCACTCCAACGATGATCCAACTTCCGTCATCTGTCACGCGACGCCTGGCCTGTGGGGTGCGGTTTTCCCCTTTTGCGCTGTCTTGCTCACAATAGCCGCAGTATCCGTACGCACTAGATAGTCTCACACGACTAGCACATAATTCGTGGAGCGATGCCGGCTTCCAAAACCTCATTGCGTCGTTCCCAGAGGACAGCAGAACAAGTGCCGATGCGCTGATCGCACATGTGGAAGACCTTACGCGGCGCGATATCAAGGCTGTGTACTTGAAGCAACTACAAGGTAGGTTAAACAAATGAGTTTGTTTCATCGAGGTCAAAGTGCCGGGATTGCATCTTGTGCCAAATCACTGCCAACACCAAGCGCCGACACCGCGCCGCTCTAAAGTCGGCTAGCGGGATCGATGGTGGGTTGTTGATTCGATCGGCCAGTCACCACCGGGAGTATTATCGCGATAGTCGCCGCTCTGTTGCAGCGACGCGTAGTGGTGCCAAACCCTCTCCTTGTCAGCTCGACGCCGCTCCAAGAACGATTTTGTCTATCGCACCGCAAGCGTACGGATCTGCTCATCCTAAACGCTACTTGCGTGCTAGAACCATCACATTCATATGCACATTGCCCTTATCATATCATTGGCATTTAATCAATACTGTGGGCTTCGCCGAAACTAACAACGTGTCGCAGGCACTCTATGGACAACTGGCTTCCGCAACGGTGATCTGAAGACCCCGCTCTTCGACGACGTCGTGCCTACACTCGAGCAATGGAAAACTACTCAGGGCAAAACACTGGCCATCTTCTCCTCGGGCAGTGTGGCAGCACAGCTGCAGTTCTTCTCCTACGTCAGAGACGGTCCGAATGAAACTCGGGACATTAAACCCTTGTTCTCTGCGCACTACGATACCGTGAATGCGGGGCCTAAGCTGGAAAAGGAGTCTTATCAAAAGATATGCTCTGAGTTGGCAAAGGACGTGAGCAAAGTCACATTCTTGACTGACAATGTCAAAGGTACGTTTTGGGGGGAGGTTTTCTTGTCACGCCTTACTTTGAATTTGTGAAACAACACACCACCTGCTCTCACCGCCCTAGACCCCCACCCCACCTCTTGTCTCGCACTTACTTTCTGTCTACCTACCAACACACACCACCATAAGGTGACTTCACCTACATACCCCACATATGTCTTTCATCGTCATGCCGCATATCTCGTCTCTCGTTTAATCCGCTTGTATGCCGGCTGTCTTGTACATGTTCCACGTATCTTTCTGTCACGCGACCCCACCATACGAGTACCCGCAGGTGTTTCATATCCTCACTGCACGTGGCTAGCTCGAAGACTTCTGCAGTACAGCGATACAGTGACTAACACGTCTGAATAGAGGCTGAAGCAGCCACGGCAGCGGGCGTCTATGCTGTGGTCGTGGACAGACCGGGTAATGCGCCGCTGTCGGATGAATCGAGGAAGAGGTTTGCTGTGATTGAGAGGTTGACTGACTTGCCGTAAGTTCTTTTTTTTCCGAAGCGCTGTAAGCAGTAGAAATAGAGTAGGGAGATGGCGGTGAAGATAGTTGCTGCTCTACTGTTTGTTGGAGTATTATAGATCAACCTCGAGAGATGAGTATTAGATGCGTAATCACAATACTACATTCTTGTATTCCTTTGGATGATGTTCCAGTCGCAAAGATCATTTGTCCTCGTTACTGTACTTGCGGGTCTCTAGAAAATATGTGGGAATGTAAGTGTATAAAGTCGCATTATCATACATTGAGAAAAAGGCTTTCGGTCTGAAAACGCATTTTCCCCCTACATTATTGTCGGTCGACTGCGAGATCTGACTACCTCTTTAAAAACTCCACAGCCCCCCAAATTATCAAAAGACTTTCTTTCTTGACTGACCTCTGATAGCTTGGCCTGGCCTGAGGATTGTGTAAAGATAGGAGAATATCGAGGCTCAAGTAGAACTTCAATCTGCATAGGACGTCCATCACGGCAAGTCGTGGGAAAAAAAAACATACGGCAGCTCTAACAAACACCATTCCAAATCGGGGGACGGGTGAATGAGCGGGAGATTAACACCAAACAAATCCTAGCTCGGTGCCTCCGCTGATGAATGAAGGGGAAGAGGAGCTGAGAACCAAGCTTATCTAGTGCTTACAATTCGCCAGCCATCGAGATTATGGCAGTTTTTCGGTCCTTTCTTCCTCTTTCTTAGTTCCCCGTTCAGTTGGCGGCCCCCAGGCGTTCGTCTCGTCTCGTTTCGTTCGTTCATTCGTTCGTTCGTTGGGTAAAGTTTCCCCAGTATCGGAACCGCAAGCAAGCAAGCATTTCACGTTCTAGATTTCGATTTCAAAGTATTCTTTTGCCGCGAGTCAGACATGTGATAAATATAACACATGTTTTTGTGCAAGTTAAAGTTTCCTAGGCGTCGGAATAGCAATATTGGATGGCCAGGTTATCCGTTTCACAATCTTGTCTGTTGGGAATATTCGTGGTATTGCAGAATACGATTAAAGCAGTGAGAATGCGTGGGTTACGTGGAAGTGGCGTGATGGAGAATTTTCCTTTGTCGTGCTGTCTCTTGATAATATTGCGCGAGATTGCGTTACTTGGTCAACCGCTGACGTATACGTTGTGTGTTGGTTACATGTCTATACGTTATCTTGGTACGCAAACATTTGGCTCGAAGAGACTTGGACTTGATCTCGCTTTCCATAGTAGTCGTTACATTCGCCCCCGGTTTGTCCCTCTTTTTCATCATATTGTCAAGAACCGAACGAGAATCGCGTACCGAACCGTCTTGTTTCGTGCCAATCTGGGGGTGATGTTGGTCTCGGTCCGCAGAAAAGGAGGTCTTGTCCGTATGGCACCAAAGTCGACAGCATCTCAGCACTCTCATCGCCATCTTCATGCCCATTCATCTCCCTCGTCCTTTTTTTTTCTCCCAACTAAACAGCATCACCAGCGACCCTCTGAACCCAGACCACTGTCTCCTCAACCCGACTCAAAAACGGACTATGTCCACTCTTCAGCCTCGTGACCTCGATCTCTCCAGCCGCCTCTTTCACCCCATTAACCATGCCCTCCTGAACCTGCGGCGGAACACACTCGTCGTCTTCGCATAGTAGGTAGCTAGTCGGTATCTGCTTCCAAGCCGCACCCGTAGCAGGCGCATAGAACGAAGCTACAGCCTGTGACTTGATTTGCTCGAACCAGTATTGTCCCTCGTCCTCGGGCAGGTCACCATAGAAGATCTTTGCAACTTTTGCATATACATATGGCTCCTGGACATCCACCCACTCGGGAATAAAGTGGTGAATGGCATCCTGCAAACAGATCCCCTCGTCCAGAATATACGCTGCCATATACCCCGTTCTCACCACTCCACCGCTTAGCCCTTGTGCTTCCCGCTCTTTCTTGCCTAGCCCGACTAACGCACACCCGGCGATGATACCACCCCAACTGTGTGCTAGGACGACGACGTCGTTTCCTGAATTGCCAATGGCATTGAGTACGAGTGCGCGTACAATGGTGATGTCTTCTGTGAGGTCGGCTGGGGGGTCGGGATTGCCAACGGATGCTAGTTGAGCAGAGTGCGTTGTGTAACCTAGAGCGTGTAGTTTGGTGATCAGGTGGTTAAAGTGGGAGGGTGTGTGCCAGGCGCCTGGAATAAGTACGAGTTGAGGCTTCTTAGACATGGTGCGGATAGGTAGGAGTATTGCGGCGAGGTTGAGAGGTGGGATAGGTAGGGTATGTCGGTCGAGGAGAGATGCGTGAGTCGTACTCGATGATTCTCGTGGAAGGGTTGTTGGTTATCTTGAAACTTATAACGGGTGACTGGTCTGAGCGTTGGTCCACTCGTATCTCACCGTGACTGATCAAACCTTTTCGGGTAGGGTATGCGCAGTTCAAGCTCAACATTGTCTGGATGGTTACTGTGAGTTGGGAAGGAGGCAAGCGGTCAGTAATTACTAAGCATGGTGTTGTGGGAGCCAGTCAGCATAGCGACTGCGGTGTCGTGCTGGACGCCTAGATACGCCCGGGCTGACATGGTCTTGATGTGTATGTTGGAGGTATAGCGCTTACGTGTCCTCACCGTATTGTTGTCGAGTCCGAATCGAAATCTAGGCGGAACAGACGATGGTAAGACGTGTTTGTGAAGGTGAGCACAGTCAGGGCCATGGCTCTGTGCTGACGGGTACTACAGCAATCTTCCCAATCTTCCCCACAAGGGCTGAGCATGTGTTTCCTGGGACGCTGCCCTCAATTTTATCCTTGAAATCCATATACCTTCGAATGGATGGCATGTTTCTGCTAGCAGAAGTTGTGTTCACATGTCTTTGCTTCCGATTCCTCCATGAAACTGGTGTTGACCGTCGCCATGCGGCATGGCATGAATGGCGTTACGATATCAGAAAAGCTGGCTCTGGTCTTGACAGACGAAAGCTGAAAGCGTCGAGCTGGATGCTCCATTGAGGACACTGTCGGATCTCCATGGCTCAATCTTCTCCCTTGGTCCTCACATAGGATGTGCTTCGGTTGTTGATGCTCGGCTGGTTGTAGTATGGATATCGGCACGTGCGTGCACGAGGATCGGTTCGTCACATGGTGTAAATTGGTTGGTTCATTGCGGAGTTCTCGTTCGTTCACGTCCCATAAAAAATACTTCCACTGAGGTCGATATCGGATTGTTGGAGTTCCAAGGTCTCGATCGAAATTGATAGTGTGGAGTGGGGCGGACATGAACTAAAGCGTTAGCGAGGGGTGGTATTCACGATGAGTCTACAGCCAATCACGATTCGCAAACGCCAGGGGTCACTGGAAGGGTATCCTTGTCCACCCAATAGGGGAGATAGTCACGGTAGGACCAAATGTGATGCATGTGTAGAGTTGTACACGAAAAGCTGAAGCTTGGGTATTGTTGTATGTCTGTCGCCGTCCCCGGGCGATGTTTGCGCCTCCAACGCCGACAGTACCCAGAGTCATGCCCCTGGATACAAACTGAAAGCACCGACTCGCTGCATGCATACCCCTAGAAGAATCTCCACCAGATGAAGACGATGATTATGAAAGCCAATCCGCCGATGGGTCCGTACTGCGCGTTGTTAGCATTCCACAATCTTCACGTGTCTGTATTGCTGTCCACGACTGACCTGTTTTAGCAGCAGCTCCCAATTGATGCGCACAGCAGCCTTCTTGTACTTCCTACTATCTTCGCGCAACCGACTCGAAATATCACCCATCCTCTCCAGACTGTCCCCACGGTACAGCAGATCCTCAATGTTCTTGGTCATGACCTTTGTGACGTCCTTGAGCTCGTCGTTCAGCTTGTCTAGATTCTGTGTCGCTCTTGCGTCTTGGTATGTCTTCTTTGAGCGCTGGATAAAGGTGTCGAACTCGACAAATGCGTAGGGCCGGCATGTTGGCGAGAGGTACTGATGCGGTTGGTATGTAGTGGTGAATTCGCGGTGGAGATCGGAGAGGTATGTGAAGGCGAGTTTGCGTGGGTAGGACCTGTCGCATATGCAGAGGAAGCAGAGGTCGCCTTCGATTATGTAGTGGTATGTGTAGTTTCCACTCTCTATGCTCGCTTGTTGCTCAGCGTTACGGCTTAGACGGCGCTGGACAAGCTTGACCTTGGCCTTGACCTCATTGAACTCGGCGTCGTTCTGAGACTTGTAAGTTTCTTGGAGCAGAATACGCGCATTCTTGGAGGCAGCAGTACCTGTTCATCATCGACCGAGGCTGTGAGTAGTAGGCCTGGACCTCTGTCAGCGCTTCTGGACCCTGGAATACTGCAGAGTTACTGACCATCAAGCCGGGATATCATCGTGTGCTTGATCATGGTGGCGCTTGTGGGGGTGAAATGATGCCCGGTAGTTGTAAAGTACCGCCGATTTGGGCCAATATTATCAACTTGGGCCTGCAGTTGTGGGATTGCGCAGGAAAGGCTACGTGTTGGTGTTGATGATACCAGATCGCAGAAGATGACGATGCGGAAAGGGTCGCGGAAGAGCGCACGGACTCACCAACGGCATTCACACAGCGACCAAGCATGCCGTGACCTCCAAGGCTCTGTCATCCATGACTCTGAATGACTCTCTAACCCGAGTCACGGATCCAGAGAGACAGCACAAGTTGATGTTAGCATCGTCAATACAGAACGTTTGGTACAACCTCAACTCAACGCCCCAGCCACCATGCCGAATCGCGCCACTGCGCTCGCGTACTCTTCTCGCACCTTCACCCCAATCATTGAGTGGCGGGCGCACTTTCACCCCTGATGCAAGCAGCTCGCTGTCCTCGGATCTGCGCCTGCCATTCACGACAATCTAATCGTACGCGCTAGCGATGCTTTCTGAGACAATACCTGCTCAAGTCCAACACCAAGCCTCTCTATCTGAACCGAATCACAATCATGTCGTTACCGGTGAGGTACGTACCGTTTCTTCACAATGTCCTGAACCGTCTCTTCCAATTCCTAATACAACCTTCACTTTCACTACCCCCACAATCGAAGATCCAGCAAGATTTGGCAGCCTGAATGTCGTCTGTCACGAACCTGATTAACAAGAACAGACCGTCGTCCGCTACTCAATTCGACTTTTCACACGACTCGCAATCAACAAGTACTTCACACATTAAAAACACGTCCGAGTCGAGGCAAGAGCGAACTACCGTACCACCAGATCCCAAAACACCAAACAAAAGAGCAAAGATGTCTCATTCTAGACCAAACTCATCATCTCTCTCTTCAGCTCACTTATATCCTTCTGAGCAGACCTCACCTGTTGCTCCGAATCTGCCAAGCCAGACCGCAGACACTGCCATTCCGAGCATAGAGAACAGCTCGTCCAACATAGCAACCAATGACTTTCCACCTCAGACTCAGCAGGCGCTGGCACCTATGTCTGCACCTGAATCAATGGTCGCGCCAACATCCAACATGGGCGCTAAACGCGAACCCAAGCAGAGCCCAAAGCGAGCACGCGAAGAGGAGGATGACGAAGAAGAAGAGGAAGCCTTCGACACACCACCACCCAAGAGATCGGCCAGAAAAGCAAAGAGACCAACAAGTAGCAAGAGTGCTACAAAGAAAGCTGCCGCTCCCAAGACGTCTGCTTCCAACAAACCGGCAAATTTGAAGAACACCCCCGCGAAGAAGCCTATAGCCGCACTTCCACCATTACCCAGCTCGCGTCCATCACGGACCCGCAAAGCACCAGAGCGCTTCGAGGATCTTGAGGAGAAGACTACCCCCAAAGCTCTTCCTGCCAAAAAGGGGGCCAGTAAGGTTTTTGATCCTGTCTATATAACCACCAATTCCTCCAGCCGCCTCGTCAAAGCCGATGTTTACGTAAGTCTGCCCTCAATCTGCCATCTTCTCACACAACATATCTCTGACACATCCCAGCACATGCTTCTTGAAAGCCCAGCCTGGAACTCTCTTACCGCATCCCAACAATCCACTCTCATCTCCATGCTCCCCGAATCTCCCGACAACGTCGACCTCCTCGCCAAAACCTCTGCTGGGGAAACGGTAGATACGCGACCAGCCGCGTTTACACTAGCAAACAACTGCTTCCGGACAGACGTCGCCAAGTTCCAGGAGGATCTCAAGAATGGTCATTTGGCGAAGACGTGGCAAGCTGCTGCTGAGCAGGCGGTTGTGGAGAGGGCGGCGGGGGAGTATGATGGGTGGAAGGCGGAGGAGGCGGAGGCTTGGTGGGGGCAGAAGGGTATGTGAGGTTACTCGTGTCAAGTCGGTGGGCACATTCACTGGTGATTCCCCATCTGAGAGATAGTATTAGCTAACATCGGTTAGAAATGGGGAAGTCGTACTTGGCTCAGCTGCTCTACATCACTACGGTACTAAGGGATGGAGTGAAATGAACATGTAGGGGTGATTTCTCAAAAGATTCACACAATTTGCTGTTGTCCATTCACGAGACGCAGCGGAAGCTGCGCCAATCAACAGAGTTGGTGCACACTTGTTTCTAAATGCCCTATTTCAACTCCAAACTCCAATTCCCAACTTTCGCTTTCCATAACCCAGTTTCTCCTAGGCAACCAACATCGGCTCACTCTTCTACACTCAAATACCAATCCACCTGGACGGTCACACGATCAACAGCGACGTCTTTACCCAATTCGATATCTCTAACAGGAACTATGACCTCTAGATTTCGGCTAATGGACCTTCCGGGGGAGCTGTTTGACAATGTCATTGCGCATTACGTACAGAGTGTTCCCGTTAGTGATGCCTATGCTACTCGTGCAGTGTCCAGTAAGTTAACCACGAGAAATACAATCGTTGTTTGCTAATATCTTGTAGGAATATTTGGCCAAGCTATAAGCTACCAGATCATTCACCATTTACCCGAGGAGAGTTTCAACGGATACGGTAGCCGTGGAAGAGATGTCTGGAACTACATATCAGCCGACTGGCTCGGAAGCCCAGTTCGGAAGAGGAAGAATGAACCCTTGGTCACTTTTATCGATAAATGTGCTGATACTGTCCTCGAGATCGAGGGTAAATCCTCTGACGACGAGAGGAAGACTCGATACCTCCAGGATATCATCCGGTACACGACTCGAGGGGAAAGCCCCGCGACGTTTGCACTGGTGATTTACCCAGTAGACCCCCCTGATTACATAGAGCGTCCTTCTCAGAGAGTGGCCAATTTGACAAGCGCCGCTGCAGTAGGCAGCCTTGTAGCGGTCAAGCATCTACTGAAAAAGTATCCAAAGAGCTGGCCTTCGTCCGAATATCTCAAGTGGAACTACGACCAGGGTGGCCTCTTTGACCCTGTCGGAGCAGCAGCATCTAACGGACATGTTAAAGTCCTGCAGCATTTACTGTATAGACTTCGGCCTTTGGTGGACCAAAAATCTGGACTACCTCGAGGCGCTCCGCAACATGAGCTCCAGCAGTTGAACCGTCGACTCTACTCCATCTTCTGTCTGGCCATCCGCTCAAAACACTGTCCGACGATCCAAACTCTTGCAGATTTCGCTCAAAAGTACAGGATGTCTTTCGGCTTCTACTATGACAGCTATAGCCCAGAACAGGGTGACAAGTGGATCAAGCATGCTGTCAAGACTGGTTGTTTCAAGACTTTTCAGACTACCGTGTCTGCGATGATGAACATCAACCCCAAGGCTTACCATTCACTAAAAGATCACTATCTAAAATCAGCCTTTTGGTATTCTTGCATTTTAGGCCAGGGAGAGGTTCTTCAGTGTCTCATTGCTCAAGACCGCGTCTTACTGCACAGACATGGCAGATATGGTATGAAGTTGGCTGCTAGACACCTCTGCCGGAACATCATTACCATCCTCCTCGAAAATGGCGTCTCAATCAATGATGGCAAGCCCGTCCAGGAAGCAATCAAGTACGAAAATACCTCTATAGTTGAGTTCATGATTGCCCACGGCGCAAAGGTAGATGCAAAGGTAGATGCAAAGGTAGTTGCAAAGGTGGATGCAAAGGTGGATGCACAGGTGAATGCAGCAACCTACGATTCTTGTTTGTGTAGTTAAATTAGCGGAGGGGTTACCGTAGTATCTGGACGGCAAAGTAGACTGCTCTACGGGGCTCGTTAATAACGTAGATCGTAGCGAGTTTTGGAGGAGTAGATTTGAGACGGTACTTCATGTGTAGACTGCCGAAACTGTTGCCTTTCTTTTCTTAAAAAAAAACCCCCCTTGGTCCGCTTCCACGTGTAATTTTTCTGCTGCGTATTCGCGGGGTCTGAGCTGCGTGTGCATTTAGCCTGTGTCTGTGGCTTAAATACCAGGGTCTAATATGCGCTATAGGCTTTTCGGGTTTGTTCCTCTGTGATTACGGGTAAGTACAGAGCAAGTGTGGTGCGGATGCAAGGCTCATGTACTTCGCTATCCGCTTTGATTAGAAGGTCGTCTTGATATACTCCGCTACCTAGGTATTCTTGGAAGCTGCACAGGCGTAAATTGTGTAAAGAATGCAGTTAGTGATAGCTTAATTGCTTAGCACTTTGTTATACGTACGATTATTCTTATACTATCTGCATTACTTGCAGCAAAGAGTTACTTGGACAGTGATGCCTTGATCGTTAGGCGTGTGAGGAGGCTGGGGGATTGCGGCACGGCATGATGTGATTGGCTGTGATGCGGGAATGCGGCACACGCAGGAACCGTTTTGTTGCTTTACATCTTTTTGTGATAACGACTTTGGAAGCTGCTGCCTGGCAGGATTTCACCGTATTGATGTCGTGGTTCAAGACCGTGTCTTCTTTGTTCTTCTTCACTCACCTTCACTCACATCTTTAAGACTCAGGGTTGGACATTACGACAAACCTACGTATTCTACAACTACGAAACAAAGGATCTCCGCGTCGTTCTCGCTCGCAAAAGTCCCTAAACATGAGCACCATCAAAATTGAAGGCCCGGTCCTCATACTTGGCGGTTGCGGCTTCTTAGGACACCATCTCGTCCGAGAATTTGCTCGCGCAAGCCCAACCCCCCAGATTATCGTCGTCGACGCAAACACTGAGCGCAATCGAAACGCATCGGCGACCTATTTCACAGCCGACATCCTACAACGCGACAAGTTGGCCCAAATATTCCAAGACGTGCAACCCCAAGTGGTGCTGCACACGATCTCGCCCTACCCCTTCGAAGTCAATCATGCACTGCTAGAACAAGTCAACGTAGTCGGGACGCAAAACATACTCGAATGCACTAAAGCTGTCGGCACCGTTCGCGCACTAGTATACACATCTAGCTCCTCCGTGGTGCACAACCAGCGCTCGCCCATGGTCGAAGCAACCGAGGACCAGCCCGTTCTCTTGTATCCCAACCAACCCGAATACTACTCGCACACTAAAGCTCTTGCAGAGAAGATGGTGCTAGCTGCGAACCGCGAGAATGGCCTGCTGACTGCTGTAGTCCGACCGGCTGCACTGTACGGTGCTGGTGACAGCACCATGACTACCAACATCACGCAGCAAGCGCTCAGTGGTCGCGCTAACATCCAGTTCGGACACCAGTCCTACCTCTACGATACGTGCTACGTAGAGAACTGCACTTATGCGCAACAGCTACTTGTGAAAGCGCTGCTTGATGCTTCTTCTTCGGCGCCATTGTCCGCAGACAAGAAGATCGAAGGGGAAGCCTTCTTCGTCACAAACGACGAACACATTCCGTTTTGGAACATCGCTAGAATGGTTTCTGAACTCCTTGGGACACCCGTCAAGGATGAGCAAGTAAAGTGTATCCCGATTTGGCTTGTTAGTATGCTGGCGTGGATGGCCTCTTGGCTCTATTGGGTCTTCTCGCTTGGCCACAGGCAGCCCAAGCTTACTCCATGGGTAATTCGTCTTTTGACGATGGAGCGAACGCTTTGTATAGATAAGATTAAAACGAGGTTGGGATACAGGCCACTGTTCACAAATAGACAGGGGTGGAAGAAGTCGCTCGAGTGGGCTGTGGAGTATGTAAAGGCTAACAAGGGGGGAAAGACGGCGTAGGTTTGGTGAAGAGTAGGCCGTCGAGAAAATCTTTTCTCGGTTTGTGTTAGAACATAAGTCCTGGGAAATATCAATCATAATACATTTTCCACATATATTAAGAAGGCCAGCAATGTCGATTAGGTGACTCCGTCGAACTCGTTGATACGCGAAAAACCTTGGTTCGCTTCCCTGTGAATCTCTTCTGCGTCAATTTTCGTGCTTCGAGAGAGGTTCAAAAGGCTGAAATCGCGACCATGTGCTTACTACGCTCACTCAGACGACATATAAAAGGTGTCTGTTTCCTATCATAACCATTCTCTCTTTCAACAATGAACTTACCATCTCCTTTTCACCAAAAGCGAATGGAAAAAGTTCCATGATTTCCGCCAACGAATTACAAAATTACGAATGCGGTAGACATGTCTTCTTCCTCGTCTCTAAAATCAACCCAAGGACTATCATGAGAGACAGATGAGCGCGTTGTATGTATGATGGTTGCTCCCTCTCTCGCTCAAAAGCTCCGGCGTATGTTATCCATGCAAGAGATCAAATTCTTAACATCGAAGATTTTGGCGGGCCAAAATCCGGGATATAGTACCAAGAGTTCCTGATATTCGCGGCGAGCTACGCAAGCTGAGGCTATTTAAGAAACTCCTCCTGTGCTACGCCTCTCTCCATCATAAACTCACTGCCTTATTCTATATTCAAAATTCTCGTACAAGGAATCGATATGGCCTTCGTCTCTGCCTCAAAACATGGAAAGGACGAGCACATGTGCGAGGCACGAAAGAATGTTCCTTCGCCATCATACCGAGCAAGTCTCGAAAAACATGAGTCCTCTCAATTCACCATGAATGTCCGCTCTGACGCCAGCCACTCGCGCAGTGTGTAAAACTACTCCTTCCGACCGGTTCCTCTTTCCTTCCAACAAACTCTCTTCTTATCGGAAAACCAAAAGGCTCATACCGGAGTATATATGTGTCTCCTCTACCTCGAAAACGATCATCTTTGAACAAATGTGCGAGACGCGATCAAAAAAGCTTGATTCAAGTATTTGATGCCGAGCCGTTCTCCAAAATCAAAACAACCGATATATGTCCACCTTTCGGCACTTGGATCTCATAGCATATAATATTTCCACGGTCTCCAATGTTCCCTCTGTCCTTGTACAACCACTTCTCCTTTACAAAAACCTTTAGATTCTACGTATATGTTCTTCTTTGCTCCTCAAAGATCCAAACACATATCGCATATGCGAAAGACACCAGAATAGAGGCTCGCAGATATCGATGCCGAGCACTTCTCTCAAAAGTATTTGCAAGATGTCTATGTTCACTGCCAAACGCATCACACAAGCGACATATAAAACCTCCTCTTCCGCCTCCATTTCTCCTCGTCCACACTCCTTCACTGTGAGTACCAAAAATACCAGCGCGCAACTGGATGGTGTGGTTCTTTTCTCCAAAACCTTAGGATACCTGTACCATGTGGGAGAGACTCTGTCCCGTTTTTCAAAAACCACAATATCGACTGGAGCGTGTCTGGTACGAACTGTCGCAACTCCTTAGCTACTATCATGAATTTTCCAGTATAAACTGCAATGTCTAGCTCGTCGCCCAAAATTCAAGGCCAAAAGAAGTCGCGAATGTAAACATGTTTGCGGGGATGTGTCGAAATCTCAAACCGGCAAGAAACGGATCATGATCGAGACTGGGGTTGCAGAGACCATCGTTCCTAAACATCACACATCCTGCCCACCCCAGCTACCTGACGTCTGCTCTTCTCTTCTCAAAAATGGCCTTTACGACGCTATGTCTAGCAACGGTCCGTCACCACGGTATAGCAATCGCAAGAACATCATCTATGCGCAATATCGGGTTGAGATACCTCAAACTCCACCACAACTTCATCACAACAACTTTGACCAGAGAAGAAATACCATGATCAAATCATAGGTGTATTTTAATGATGCACCACTGATGTCTGGTGTCTAACAAGCTATATACCACACTCACTATTACCCTCTTGCCCAATCAGTACACATTAATCCCTAATGCAAACAAAGACGACCTTATTTCTTTTGAGATCCAGGCGCCATAAACTCCACGCTTGGTTAAGAGAGAAATAGAGAAAAGAGACAATCGAATCATGACTACCTTTGTAGTGACAAGACCACGCTTACGGCTCCATGAACCCATTTCCCTTGAGCCCACACTTGGTCTCCAAACTGAAAGTCTTCTCAAACGCCTTGACCCTCCTCATCGCCTCCACCTTCGCGACCTTGACCCTCGCAACAGGCGGGCTTAGCTTCGTCGTAACCTTGCTGATCTTGGGGATAACAGCACGCTTCCCATCACCGCCGTAACGGCTGCTACCAATGCACTTGCCGCTGTTCTTCCATTGAGCATCAGCAGCCGACTTCCACAGCGCCGTGATATCAACTGTCATCTCCGGTGTGTAGTAGAGACGGCAGTCAGCCTCCTCGTACTGAAACTGCAGTGCCACACCTGAAGTATCGTTCGCACGAAGACCGTCTCGGGTGTTGACGCCTCCGGCTCCACTGATGGCACGGGAGAAGACGATGTCGCTGTAGTAGTCGTCTACCAAGATGGATTCGTTGAGCGAAGGGTCGAACTTGACGGCGTATTGTACGGTCTGCTGGATAAAGCCGAATGCATAGTTGTTGACGCCCTTGACGCCACCGATGGCCTGGATGGGATTCCTGTTGCTGCGACCGCCCATAGCAATGGTCTTCACGCCCGCCTGCTGCTTCATCAACTCGCTGAAGATGGTGCAAGTGGACGCACAGTAGCCGTCGGTTACGATGACAATGTTCTCTGCTGCAAACTTTGGCGGTCCTGTAACGTTGGCCAGGGGACCATAGCCAGTAACGTTGATGCCGCCAGACACGTAAGGAACGTAGACGTCAGAGAGGTTCCATTGAGCTGGCGTAGTGTATAGCTCACCATTAACCTCGTGAGGACCGAACTTCTCGTCCCAAGAAGAAAATGGTGTACCGTCAGCCTTCATATCCATATGGTAATCAAAGTAAGAGGACTGAGCGAAAGCAATGGTACGGTTGCTGCTGTACTCCCGAGGAAACTGACTCGAAAACTTGCTTGTGGCCTGTCCGACAAGGTCCAAAGCTTCAAACGCCCTCCAGCGATTGGTACCTTGGGGCTTGATATCGGGGAACAGTTGCTTGAACATGTCATAGCCTTGAAGAATAGTGCCACCACCGTTGGCTTGTAGATCGATGATGAGTTTGGTCTTTCCGTCAGCAAGGGCCTTGGGGATGAAATTTTGGGTGAGCTGCTGGAACGGAATCTCGGCAGAACTAGATCCGACAAAGTTGGGCACTTGCAATACCGCAACGTCTTCATAACCAGTAGCGTCGATGTAGAAGCCGTTAATAAGGTTCATAGGGCCAGCGGCTTGGGGGGTGGGAAAACCAGGAGCTGCAGCGCCAGCAGCAAGAGTGGAGGCCTCCTCTTCGTCTGACTGGGCACGTGTATCGGCGAACGAAGGACCTGCGGAGCCGTAGCTGAACCATTTCTTTGCCAAGTCTTCACCATTAGCTATCCCACGGAACGGAATACTAGGACGAGCGTAATTCTCCATAGTATAGGAAGAGCCGTTGGCGAAGTGCAGGGTTGTGGTGGCACCAGGGTAGACCCAGCGTCCACGGCCACCTCCAGTGAACATACCGGTTCCGCTACCTTGAGTACCAAGGCTGACCTGGGCGAGCTCGTAGAAGACGTTGTTGTAGAGAGCATCGCGATCCTGGAGAGAGCCAAGCTGGCTGAGATCCTCAAGAAACTCGCTCGCGTCCTTGTCGTCGATACGAACAACAGGAGACGGTGTGTAGGAGATGTTGTTGTATTGCATACCGAGAACATCAGCGAAGACAAAGACTGCGGGCAGCTGCTCTCCGTCCTCGGAGACTGAGACTAGAGGAATAGGGCGGCCCCAGGCGAAGATTGAACCAACCGAGTCGGGAATGTAGGAGAAATGTCCATCGTGAGCGGATTGGATCAGGGTGTAGAGACTCCAGCCAAAGTCATACTCGTTCTTGTAGTAACCAGCATCGATGTAACGGTCCATGGTGTCGAGTCCGCCAAAGATGTCGACGGGAGGCTGTACCTTCTCAGCGTACTCGGCAGGTGGGTCCTTCAGCTCAGCAAGAGTGCTCTGCCACTCAATGTAAGGTCGGAGTGCTTTAAGAAGTCGCTTTCCTGATGAAGCGTTGAAAGGAACGTCGTTGATGCAATCCCAAGCCATCTGAGCAGGAATAGTCAGTTGGGCGGGTTGAGTGCCATCACCGTAGACGTAGTTGGAGACTTGGGCACATGGTGGAGTGGTACCATTGGCCTGGCGAGCTTCGACCTGGGGTTGAGTCCGCGAGGGCAGGAGGGGAGAGGCGACAGCCAGTGATGCAGCGCCGATGGCGGCGAGCAGGGCGGAGCTTTTCATGCTGGGTTGAGGTTGTTTACTGGGCAAGATATGGAGATAACTTGAAGCGAATGGAATTGCCAGACCAGCAATAGCGAGTGTGATGGGTGTGGATGAGGTGTGAAGATGGAAGGAGGGGTCGAGCAAGTGTTGTTTGGCGGGGGGTCGAGCGCGCCTGCTCTTTACGCCGTGAGGTGAGAGGTGAGCACGAGGCTGACAGTCACGTGCAGCACCAAGTCCGGAAACGTGCAGATGCAAACGGCCGGCAAATAAGTCCAGGCTGTACTTTCCCTCTGTCCTGGATAAAGTACTCCTAAAGGTCGTGGGAGTGTGGCCTAGCAGGAGTTGGATGACAGCGGAACGGAACAGCCCACAGCCCTCTCTTAAGAAAAGGGAAAATCGACACGCGCCACTAGGAGGTTGGTGGTATACTGGAGTGACGCACCAAGGATCCGCTCGCGTACGAATACTGACAGACCGGTCCGCATCGTTTGAACACTAACCCACAAACCGAGCACAAACGTGCTTTCGACGCCGTGACACCAATTACATTCACGTCCTTTTCCGCTTCAATATGCGGGGCTTTTCCCGGGATCCATAGAGCAATCATGGTTAGATGGTGTGCAGCAGAGAGCCGCACTTGAGCTAGGGCCGTAGCCTATATGCAACAAAAAGTATAGCGATTTTTGACACAGGGTCTGTCCGGCGATCGATCCTCATCATCGAGCCGTCTCGAAGACATGCTTCGCTATCATCAAGTATTCTGTAAATGCCATGATGCCGGATAAGAGAGATAAGAGATGCGCAATCCCTCTTGACTCGTCGGTGTCGTTTTTACAATGTCATGGTAAGCGGGACGACGGGTGGTTGTTGTCAAAAGCGGAAGCCTTGGCAGTCTGTGCCTGCAGATCGTCAAGGCGCATCCTAGCCACTCGCTCCACTCCTTCGACGCCCCAATGCATGACCACCTCATCGTCCGCTCAACGACGCGCTGTCGAGACCGGTCACCGCAACATTATTCATCGCGGGAAACCCTGTCGGCGACTCCTGCCGTGTTACGCGGTTCCTTCAGATCTTGTATAGTATTGAAGCTGTACGCGTCCTTACATCCCGTGTAAATTGGGACCGACTGGCAAATATCCAGTTTATTACAAAAGTCATGCGCCCCTTGGACACCTGGGTACGATCAACATCCTTGTGGAGCTTTCTGCCTTGCCACATCCGCTTTAAGCGGTGCCGGTAGACTTGTGTCTCGTAGGGTGACACCTTGAGCTATGGCTCTCGCGCGAAGTTCAAGCCTACAGCTAGATTACCACTGCATGACAACAAGCCTAGCTCTGTACCTACAGACATAGCAGCGTACGAGAACTAACATTACCAAAACCGTTCGGCGCCCGGTCTGTGGGCCTCCCATGCCTGCAAGGTCGGCTCACGTTTCACGTTCCCTTCGGTAGCCTCAGCAACTTGCTTTTTCCGTTGCCGTCCGAGGTCTGTGCTACGCCAGATCAAGAACGTCACATTTCCTTCCGGCTAATCATGGGAACTAGGAGCTGTCAAATCTTGGTTCAACTACAGCACGATGTCGTCGTTGGACGCCTGTTTTTACGATCCTAGGCGAGAACGATCTGGAATATGGGGCCGGTGGCAAGAGCAAGAAATGTTTAACGAGTTTGAGAGGAGCATAGCCATATGCACACCACCGAGAATGCAGATGGTGTTCTGGATCAAGCACCATCCACAAAGCTTGAGCGTGCGAAACGAAACGCAAAACTAATGCATCCGCCAACCACCTGCCCTGTCACCGCTGCACCAGCCACTGCACTAGTGGTACCTGAGGCTGGTACCCTTTTTGTCCATTAATGTTTCTTCTCTCCGATATTTATAGTCGACGACACACCTGCTGCACAAAACGATAGAGAAATGCGGAGAACTCGTCTTACGATGCAACTGTCGCATGACCGTTGCATATGTTTTTGTGATGATGGGAAGGTGATCAGCTGTGGAAAGTACGTACCACCAAGGGGGTTCCTATTTCCAAGACATCTCTTTATGTTGCGTTTGAGTTGATCGTCGCGTCCACCGATACTACGACAGGAACAGAACCTGCCAGATCTGCGTCTCCAGGCTTCTTGTCATGGAGATTCCTAATGGATGCGGATCTCAGATGAACAAACCGTTTATTCAATCAAGAACGGATACTGCGGCGCTTTCATCCCACTAGCTCTCGCTCTGAAGACTCCTGATTGATGTGATACCTCCAGGCCGGAAGAGGACGCGACGACGGCCATCGCTATCGACCCAACGCCATCATTGCCCCTGGAATGACTAATTTGTACTCTCATTCGTGACCTTCTCCAAACAGATTAACACAAGCAGTCTTCCAATCTATCGATCGATCATTACACACCACAATGTAAGCCACCCTATGAAGCGCAAGACCGTGTACGAGGGGACAAACACACAAGCCGCCCATGGCTAAATCCTTTGATAGGCTGAAGAAGAAATCTAATATGCCTGCGGCGACCAACAAGCGAATAGATCACTGGATTCAATATCACACCTAGCGTGATTGTCATCTGTATAAAACAGGTCGCACGTCACGAACCATGACTTCCCTCTGTGCGATCTTGTGTGAAGCTACCCCCGGAACACAGCAATGTGAACTATTCCGTCATAGCGCTGACATGTACACTTCATTCTGCCATTAGTTCACTATTTTACACGTACAACACCTACTCCAAAGTACATAAACATCGAGACCAACAGTGGCTCCTTTTCCAAGTCAGTTTGCGTAAGAAAACAGCGTCTAACAGCATCAGCCCTGGTACAGAAAAACAATCCACTCATCCCTCTACCTTTTCACCCAGCACACACACACAAAGCCTTCATGATCCCAAACTCAAGCAAGAATCCTGTCGTCTTATTTAGACTTTAAGCTCCATCTGCTCCCCAAAGCTAGCATTCGCTGCACCATGATGATGATGCAAATGATGCTGCCTCTCCTTGACCAAAGCATCATACTTGAAACCAAAGTTCAAGCACAACGCCACAGCCAAGCCCACACACACCACAAGCGGCCCAGTGACAGCATCAAAGTCCTTCCCACTCCTCTCCCTAATGAGCTTCGCGCGGTAGATATACATCGCGTACCCCCATGCGAGAGTGAATGCTGCGATACACGTATACACAACCGCCAACGCGCGCGCAATATCATTACCCTCACCTGCCGCATTGTACAGGCCAAGAGAGAGTGATGCCAAGAGGACGGAGACGTGCTGCCACTTGATAAATGTACGTTGATTCGCGAGCCAGACTTTTGCTTCTACGCGCACGGGGCCCTGGTCTTTGATCCAGACACCCGGGTCCCGGATACCAGGGGGGAGCTGAATCTTACGGGCTGAAGCTTGTTTGCGGGCATATTTGGAGGTGGAGAAGGATGGGAAGAGGGAGGCTAGACCACTTGCTTTGGAGGCTTTGCCATTTTGATTGCCAGCAAGGAGGAGGGTGTCTTCGTCGTCTGAGTCGGCTTCCTCGTCTATGCGGGCGTTGGTGTTGTTACTGTTGTCTTGGGTATCTCCGTTGCGTTGACTGCGCTGGGAAAGGTGACTCCCAATCGTCGGAAAGGGGGGTTTAACAACGGGCATGGAGTGCGCCGCCGCAGACGCGCTCTTGGGTACGGACCGTGTTGCAGCTGGCGAGCCGACGGGGGAAGCGATGGAAGCACGGTAGCTAGGACTAGCCTTTGCGCCAAATAGAGATCCGACTGCAAACTCGTCCTCGGCCGCCTTGCGCTTCTTCTCCTGCTCATCGTCAAACGCCTTCTCAGGCTCCTTCCTGATATCGTTGTCGACTTCGCTGAGCCAGAAGGGGAATGTATGAACATTATCTTCAAACAGCTTCGCGACACCATGGACGAACTTTGAGAAGCGGGGGGATTCCTTGACGAGATGACTGTGCATCAAGTCTTCGATCCACTCGTACTTCTTCATACCCTTGACCTTGATTTCAAGCAAGGCGTAGGGGAACTTGTGCAGCTCGCCCTTCTTAAGCGTCTTGAAGGGGAACTCCAGCTGTCCGTTGTCAATGTCGCGGCGGTGCCAGTCGTCAGGCTCGCGGCAGGGTCTGTCATCGTCGAGTGCGTCTTCGCGTATGAGGGCAAGGTTGGTATCGAGAGAGATGCGGACACGGTCGTCGCCAGGAATTTGGAACGCAGTGCGGGTGTAGTTGGCGCGCAACATGGGCTGTAGCTTTTGTTCCTTGACGAAGCCCTGGATATCTCCAACGGCCTTCTTGAACTTGTCAATCTCCTCCTGGTTCTTGTTGGGGCGATAGGTCATCTTGTCGATGCTCTTCTCCATGTGGTACCTATCCTCGAGGAAAGCCTGCACGTATTTGGCCTTGATGGGGAAGCGCACCTCCTCGGCGGCGTTACCTTCCTTGATGACCTTCTTCTCGAACATGATCTCAGGTTTCTCGCCAAGTTGACCGTACCACCTGAGGCGTAACGAAGAGGCATCGGGCTTGCCGTTGACCTTGTCCGAATAGAGGGAGAAGTTGGGGTTGTCGAAGTAGATGGATGTGATTGTAGGGTCGCGCTGAGTGCCTTCAGCAACCTTGGCTGATTGGGGGTTGTAGACGAGGACGGGAAGACGGCGGAGGATGACGGTCTTGACTTCAAAGAGGTTGTCCATGTGGACCCAGACTGTTTCATGTCAGCAGGTGGTCGTAAATGATAGGGCTCATGTCGTACACTTGTGTGAGGTGAAGCCCTCGTTGTCGGTGCTGTTCTCGCCAAAGGAGAGAGCCTCTTTGGACTTGCCCTCCAGGCTCTGTCGGACGAAAGAGTACAGCGCCGACAGCCTGTACAGCAGCGGCGAGGCATCCTCGGTATGGAGAGGGTGGCGAGCAATGCGCGCATCGATGAAGGGCCGCAGGCGGTAGGAGCTGCCGCGGAGCTTGTCGTGCTTCTTGGTAGCCTTGATGACAGCCGTGAAGTTGACCCTGCTGAAGCTCTCCAGCTCCTTGGTCTCTTTCGTGATGTTGTCCAGCTCGCGCAAAACTTCCTTCAGCATCTTCTCCCTCTCCTGCTGGCTGGGCTCCGGCTTCTTGGACGCATCGCCCGACGCGTCGCCCAGCAAGCCCTCGCCCTTGCCGTCCTTATTCTCCTTGTCTCCCTTGCCATCCTCCTTGCTGTCCGCCTGGATCCCTATGGCCAATGGTTCAAGCTTCTTCTCGCATGCCGTGGTCCGGTCGCGCAGCTTCTGCGAGATGTCGGTGATGAAGTTGTGCACCTTCTCCAATTGCACGTTGGCCAACTCATCAACAAACGCGCTCTCGTCGTCGGCAGTCCAAGAATCGTCGTCCTCATTGTCTTTTAACAGCTTCTTGAGCTTGTCGTAGTCAATGTATTTGTCCTTCCATGGCGCATACACGCTCTTGCGCAGTGTCGTACCGAACTTCATGGCTTAGAAAAGTTGAAGCACCAAGCAATTGCAACCTGCAGTAGCAATAGCTAAGATATAGAAACTGCCGGTGCCTGAAAGCTCTGCATGCAGGATTGCAGATTATGGAGAATGAAGCAATGAAGCTGGGTCTAGCTGGTGGGGAGCGTCGCGCAGCCAATGCCCAGGAATCTTGGGCGCACGTGTTTCGCGTGCCGCGAGCGTCATAGCTGCGCAACCCTACCCCCAGTCCTGCATCCTTCAAGCACTTCTTTTTCTCGACATGTTTACGGCAAACTACCATTGTATCAAGCCTCACACCCCAGGATCCCAAGCCAGCTCTCAAGCTCGTCTGAAGGGCGATAGTCGTCTTGTGAGGGTGTTGCTCTCACAACAACGTCTGTTGACGCGAGTCATTCCCGCTGGGAAGACCCACGCATGTCACTGCCACTGCATCGTCCCGACATTAGTTTCCGAGGCCTGAGTCTGGCCCAAACCTGTTGTCTGCGCGACTCCAAAGTTCGGTCAATCTCGCGGCCTTTCGCTCTACAGACACGGCAATGACCTTGTCATGCCCTGTGTTGTTGTTGTTGAGGATAGCTTGGTGCTGTGCTCACACGTGATGCTGAGCCCGCTTGAGCTTCCAGGTACTTCCCAACGACTGTGTTTATCATCAGCGTTGTCCGACCAACCCCCCATGTTGTACGCCTCCGAATCTGGCTGACAGATTCCGTAAATCTACAAACAAGGGCTTGACACCAAAGAATATGCCTCGAACCGTCCTCAGTTTCTAACGACAACGTTGGACCAAGGCTTCCTCAAACATGCCGCATACGAATACTAGCGGACGCTAATTGACAACTCTTCCCGGCTAGTCGCAAGTGTTGGTTCCAAGCGAACACTTCTCGCGTCTGCATTGGAACCTGCTAGGAGTGATAGATTGGGGGCAAAACATCAAAATATAAAGCCCCTAAGAGCCCACTTAGTCATCAAGTTCTCACAGATCTCCCAAAGAGGAAAATCGGGCTTGTGGTTTAGTGGTATAATACTCCCTTAGCATGGGAGTGGTCCAGGGTTCGATTCCCTGCAAGTCCAGCTTTTTGCATTCGTCAAGATCTGGTTGCCGTGGTTGGGGGTGGACGGCGTCGTGCGTGGATTTCTCGTTTTTTTGTCGGATGTGGAGTCGTTCCCGGCCATCGCCCCGGCAGCGACTCACGTCCAACCCAAAGTTGTTACAAGCACAAACAAGACGAAAAGATGAACAAGGTGCAGCTGAGGTTGACAACGTCGCAACCCCACATTCCACTTGCCTTGTAGTGCCCGCCCACGATGTGTCTCATTGGTGCATTCCACCCGGTCCGAGTTCGTGCCACGACCACCTCACTCATCAATACTGCTCAGCCACCTACGCCCTGATGGTCATGCCGTATCTGCCGCAACGCCGTTGTCCCGACGCATCATGGATTGCGACGATTGGTACGCAGCCCTCCCGTGCCTGGACACCGGTTGATGACGGATGGACGGAAAATGTCAGCTTCTGTTCCCACGTTTGCGCATTCGCGCAGTGCATCTGAAAGCTTGTGACAGCCTTTCAGGCATCCTTCAAGAACGCCGTCATGTCCCCGAACCCGTTGCCGTGTTCTCTTGCCCACAGAACATCTTACTCTCTGTACTGCGAATACGAGCACTTACCGTAGACTTCTTTTACCAATTTGCGCAATGTTCGCCATGGCTTCAAATGGCCATGCGCAAGCCGGCTTACCAAGACTGAGCACGACCAAGCGGACATGTAGAAGGGATTCGCTGTCTTCCTCCAGGACGCGTGATTCGGGTTATAACAGCGATCCTGATTCCCTCTCGCCCTTGGAAGCGGGGACGTTGGATCAGGGTACATCCTACTACAAGTCCTGGCAGAAGCTCAGATCGCTAACAATGCAGCAGGCATTCTTTTCGCACCCCTTCCATCTGTGCCGAGCATTCTTGTCAACAACAAAGCTACCTTTTCTAAGAAATGCTACGTCGATAGGCCTTGGTTGACTAGCCAGAACTGCGTCACTAGCAACCCTGCAGAACTCATCACCAGTCAGGCATTCCTCCAATCCGCATCTCCAGAAGCTCCAAAAATAGGATCTGTCGGGACTTTGCTTGACTTTCCACGTAAGGATATCCCTAAAGATAGGCCTGCGTCGGACGATGAAGATATAGAGCGGTGGATCAACGATAATCTCCCATCCAGCAAGCGCCCTAGGGAACGAGTAACATCTATCGTTTCCATCTCATCCACGAGCAGTTGCGACATGCATACCAACACCGACTTTAGTGACGACGAGATGGATCATAATGTAATGGCTGTACGGCGTTTTCCGACTTCCACCCAGAAGATTATTGATCTTATCTTACGCAAAGTCGAGATCAACCTCCGCAATGCGGCTTACAAGCAATGTGCGGGAAGTAAAGCCGCGCACACCCAAGGTAGAGGCACACTCTCCTCAAGCCAGAGCAGTCGTAAAACATCAGTAAGCTCAGGAACCAAACGCAAGTCCCGTTCAGAAGGCAGTCCGCCACCAGAGGACGATGACGACGATGGTTCAAACAAGCGACGCCGGGGCTCCACGGCAACTACTACAGACGATTCTGAGACTGGAGCAAAGTTTGCGTGTCCGTTCTACAAACATGAACCGGACAGGTATCGCAACAGGCGCACTTGTCCTGGACCTGGTTGGCCATCCGTCCATCGGATGAAAGAACACCTCTACCGATCACATTCCCAGCCAATATTTTGTCCAATCTGCTACGAGACCTTCACTTCAGACAAGGCGCAATCAACTCACGTACGTCTGCGAGAGTGCGAGAATTCACCGCCTCGGGAAATTGAAGGAATTGACCGTGAGACTATTCGGACCCTGAAGAAGCGCACCCCTGCGTATATGCTAGAGGAGGACAAGTGGAGAGACGTATATCAGGTCCTCTTTCCAGATGTGGCTGACGCTGAGATACCCAGTCCGTGTATGTCGTCTTACTGTGACGTGTAGCCGTAATCCGCTAATGTGTATCAGTCTACGATTGCGATTCACCAAGCGAAACATCCCGACGCTTCCGCAGAGATCTTCTGCATCGCGTACATCAAGAACTGCTTGTCGAGGCCGGACAAGTACCTAGTCCTGTCGAGCGAGAGATTATGCAGCGCGTGGCCCAAATCGTGCGCCGTTGCGAGCAAGATCTGCTGAATCAGGCGCAACCGACATCTTTCAACCCGACGCGACGTAGTAGCGTCATTTCTACAAGTAGTGCGCCCTATGCCCCGCCTCTACCCGAGCCTACTCCGATTGTCGAGACAGATGCTCCGTCGTTCATTCCCGAGCCTACGATCAATTGGGGTTCCTGGAGCTACCCGTCATACAATCCATTCGGTCTAGGAATCGACTGGGAAGCTGCGTTCCCATCTGAACCTGAGATGCAGTGTACAGGTAGCGACGAGACTGCTGCAAGCTTTTTGGTGCCAATGCGGACGTAGGCGGATGATTGTCGTGGGTGCGACCTCGCAGTGCACACGTAACCTTGTGCAACCATCTTGAAACCAATGTAGAAATAGTGATAAAGCAGTCAGGCTCCTTGCATGAGTGTTCTTGCCCTAAATGCCAAGTGATGGTTACTCCGAACCATCTGTTTCGCTACGCGACGTCATGGGTGCAAGGATAAGTGGGCAGCCTGAGTCAAGATCGGAACTTTCAGTCTCGCACAGGGTCCACGCTTCCTTGCATCGCGCCACCATGCCACCAAAGATACAGATACCGACTGTTGAATTTCGATCGCTCCTTCTACCACCAGTACGAGTACCCATACGCGCTCTACAGACATTATACCGCCCGCAATGCGCCTCTCACGTCCCGCGCCCTGCATGTCCCACCCAACGCCTTGAGCAACGCCGTGCGCTCAACCTGTACAAGACGGCCAAGGCCAAGACAGTCCTCGGTCAGCACAAGGTGCTAACGTTTACTCCATATGAATATCCGCGGTTGGAAGACCTGTCACACAAGGTCAGACTCTGGGAGACGACGAAGCAGGGCGCAAAGGAGGGCTTGATAGCGGACAACATCTCATTGCAAGAACTGTACGACAACCATGTCAAAGACGGAGAAATGCTCTGGTGTATGGATGCGCTGAAGAAAGGAATGGCACAAGGATCTTTGGACAATGAGGACCAGGGCGAGGCGAGCATGGGTGTACCGGAAAACTTGAGGGACTTCTCCATCACCAAAGCACACACGTTCTCGATCCCCAAAACTAAGAAGGGCAAGCAAATTGGAGGGCTCAAAAACATCATCTTTAACGAGTCCAGTCCAATCGAATTCTACAGGCTATCATTGGATCGCGCATACCAATTCCTCGAGCATGGCTGTCCTGTAGAGTTTCGCCTCCGCTTACAAGGCAGACCGCTGCTAAAAGAGGAAAGGATCACGGCAGCAGATCCTCGCCGCTGGCAATGGATGCATTCGCATTTCCCACATCTGCGACCAGACTTTATCATGAAGGGAATGCCTAAGGGCACAGCCTATGTAATTGAACCTGTGAGTGACGGACGCTCCGTGCAATGGGTGGCTGGAAACCCAGACCAACCTGGTCATGAAGGGCTCAACAAGCGGATATTCAAAATCAAGGGTGCGGTTGCGCGCTCTGTCAAGCAAGGCAAACAAGCCATGCTGCCAAAGATAATGCGTGGGAAGTTGAGAGAATCCGGGATGGATGCTTACTCGACCAACACGGGCTTGCCGAAAGAGCAGGCTCGGGCAAAATTTGCAAGGGGTGGAAAGGTCACGTACGGTGGCGAAGAGAGGAAGTATCTCAAGAGGGATGCGGAGACGGACGGGTTCATGACGCCCGATCCGGCGTTACAACAAAGTAGGGCTAGAGTTACAAGAGAGTTGCACGATGAGCCGCAACGCAAGATGCACTGGAGAGGTCGCGGGCACATAGGCAGCGTTCTGAATGAGCAAAAGAAGGCTGCCAGAGAGAAGCAAAAGGCCGAGTTTGAGGGCAAGTCCAAGTAAATGTAGCATAGAAGCAATATGGCGGTTTCACCAAACCGCGGCTATGTTTTGGTGTTGTTGGGGCTTGGCGGGTGACGTTGGGCAGTGACCACATCTCTGGGTCGTCGGACATGGATACGGCCGAACATGTTTATCCACACCCAGACCCTAGACTAACTTACTCTCCTTTCTCCGCGACCGTCCGTTTGCACATGCATGCACCTGTGCTAGTCAAGGAAGCGAAGCCCGAATAATGCAGCGACCCTGAATCTCCCGCCCACTCCATCTCCCTGCTATCCCAAAAACCCACGACTCACCCTCCCCCACTGTTCGTCATCGCATCACCGCCGCCGCCGCCGCCGCCGCGCAACGCTTACCTCTTCTCGAATCCGCAACGTCACCGCTCTGAGCTTCAATGAACGCAGCGCGCCAGGCGTGTCGCCCCAAGCACCAGGTCCTGGTCCTCAAATGCTACCCAAAAGTCCAGAAGAGCGATGCCGAAGCAAAGGCCAATTCGAGCGAGCTAAGCTATCTGCTCTTCTACGCGAGCACTCGCCGCAGTAAGCTGCAAAAGGTGGTCGACTTCCTAGACAAGAGGGCGACCAAGGATGTGTGGAAAGTCAGGACAGGCAATGTGCAGGTTACGCTGCAGATTGTCAGGGCGCTGATTGAGAAATGCCCGCGCGATCTTCCCCTCTATGCGAGTGCCGTACTGCACATCCTGCGAACCATTCTCAACTCAAACGACTTTACCATGGTGGAGGAATCCGTGCCGACATTCGAAGCTCTATGCGCGCATCAGGATCCCGCCGCCCTCGCAGCCGACCAGGACTATATCAAGAAGTACGAGGAGATTGTGCAGTTGTACGCTCAGTTCGCGTCCAAGGAGACTGTCAAGACGGGCAAGGCACCAGTCAGCTGGCCTGTTGCAGTCAGATACCGCAAGGCTGGGCTCCAGGCCCTGAAGGCCATTGCCTCGTCTGAGTCATTAGGGTCCGAGACAGGGCGTCAATTGGGCGCCGTCATACCAGTCATACTCGTCAACATACATTCAGAGAGTGGCGCATACCTCAAGAGGTTGGAAGCACGGGAAGCCACCAAGGGCGAACACGACAAGGAGCTGGCATTACGGCGGCGGCAGAGTGTATCTACTGCACGGACCGACGATGAAGACGGCGACCCGATCGCAGCATCCGGAACGACCGAGGATGCGGATAAGCTTGCAGAAGAGGAGGTTGGAGTACTTGCACTTCAGGCGCTGAGGAGCATATTCCAGGGTGTGAATCGAGGGCAACTTCGGCTTGCGACCTCAGCAGTGCTCAAGTTTATCGCATCACATGTCAAGAGCTCACAGGAGGCTACCCCAAGCGAAAGCAGCCATTGGGCGACTACTCTGATGGCTTTGATCTGCGCATGGGTCCCTGTGCAGGACCGATACACAATCCTGGTGGGCGCAGTTGAAGCCCTGGTTCGTAGTCCAATCGTGGAAGATGACCTCGAACAACAGTTGGTTCTGGCGACTATCATCGACTATCTTCTAGCCTCGACAATCAACTTCATCGGACTCAGTGTCATGGATGTTCTGGTCGGACTCATCTCTCACTCATTGCTACTCCTTCAGCTTGGTGGGCCAGGATCGAACATTGTACCGCATCATCAGCAGACAGCATCTGTTGTGGGAGAAAAAGACCCTAGCAGCCAATCTCCGACGACTAATTTGGACGCTGTGGTCACGGAGGTCGTTAAGAAGCCCTCTAACGTGAGGCTACAACTTCTGGATACCGTACAGAGATGCATGGCGGATCTCGCAACACATGTGTACTATACAGACCAGATTTCTGACATGTTGGAAGCGATCCTGAGCCGCCTCAAGCCATCACGTCTTTCGAGCGTTTCCTCCACCACTGAAGCAATACAGAACCCCGAAGGCGCTATAGACGCCGTTGCGGATTCGATCAGCATGCAAGAAAAGACGCATGTAGACCGCTTCTTCTCCTTCGAAACCGCACGTATCACTGCTCTCGATGCGGTCAAAGCCATTATCAAGACAGCAAACGCACGGAGACCGGACGGCTCAACTGCATCTGTGTCGCGAAGCAAAGTCGGTGTGAGTGTCTGGGAAGGCACCCAGTGGCTTCTGCGCGATCCAAGTGGCCAGGTCAGGAAAGCCTACGTCGACGCGCTGATTACGTGGCTTAATACGGAGAAGAACAAGGAAGATCTGAAGATTGTGGATAACTACAGGCGGAAGGAGAAGGAGAACGATAAGAATGCGTTGGCTAGACGTGCAGTCTCGAATGCATCGAACAGGGAGAGAGTATCGAAACGTGGTAGGGACACGTTCTTGCCCCTGCTTCATCTAGCTGTCTATGAGAACGCGCTTCACTACGTCGATTCTGAGGCCGACTACCTGCTTCTGCACTTGCTGCTCACCACTCTAGTCAATAGACTCGGAGTAAACGCAGCGAGGAGTGGACTGCCAATGATCATGCGACTACAAGAAGATATCGTAACTATCAAAGACCCAGGTGCTAAACTGCGCTTGGGCAGCTTGGTACATGGCTACTTCTGGGCGCTCAGCATAGCCCTGGACTTCGAGGTCTCCTCTGTCGGACGTGCCCTGCACAACGAAATCTCGCGTAGAAGCAGCAAGGGTCTGTGGATGAAGAGCATACGCGTTCCGCCCATGCCCATTGAGCTCATAGAAACACCTCATGCGACACCTGTCGCTGTACCAGCAGAGATTGTCGAGAACGAAGCTCTGAAACCATTTGACAACAGGGAAGCTTTGGTCGAAAAGATATCGGAAGGTTACTCGACTTCCCTATATTCGCCGCCTTCTTCGCCGCCTGGCTCACCTGGCCGCGGAGCCAATGCGTCTATCCCTACTATCCATCAACCTGTGCAGCAACCTTCAAGCCACCAGGGCCCACCTGAACTCCCATTCAAAGTCCGAGAAGATCTCCTCTCGGACTGGACGAGAGACGGCTGTCTATCATCCCACACCAAAGACTCGTCATCTGCTTCCATATCAGGATCGAAGACAGGAACGCATTACACCGCGGCGACACAGAAGAACAACTTCCTCGGCGTCAACGTACAAAATGAGAATCTGGATAGTAGTGGTGGTAGCTCGCCTGCTCAATCGCCAAGACGTGCGCATAGTCGTCCGCCGTCCGCAGCATACGGGCTTGTAGGTCGATTGTCGAGTCCGAATCGGAGCAGAAGTCCGGGCGGCAACACACCGAATTCTTCGTCGAGTCTGCGGTCTACAGTCAGGGTTGATGATTTGCGACGGGCGTTGAGTACAAGTCACGGCGGGGCACCGAGGACGGGATATTCTCACCGCGCACCGAGCCATCGAGCAAGAAAGAGTCTGAGTGACCACGACGCTTCCTCAACAAGTGATTCGATGGTCAGTGTGCATTCTCTGTCCGACGCGTCGTTTATTACTACGGGTCCGGTCAAGGAGGAGCAGCAGAGTAGTGGTGTCCAGAATCCAGAATCGCCTACTACGCCGGCTGCTACTTCTACGCCCAGACCGACAACAGCTACTTCCATAAACTTTGGGACAGCAGCAGCGGGAGGAGGAGGGGGAAGGGAAAGTACGTATACAATGGATAACTTGCCGCCTGTGCCGCCTATTCCTGAGGGTCTGCTCAACGGGCAGAGCGAGGCTAGGGATTTTGCGAGACCGAAGACGGCGCCTAATGGTGCGGTGAAGAAGAGTAGGAGTGTCAAGAGTGGAGTGAGCAGAGGTAGGAGTGGGGATCGTAGAAGGGGGACTGGCTTGTCGAGTAGTAAACCGGATTTTACGGGCTTCTTGGATAGTATTGGGGTTGAGGATGATGAAGATGATTTGGAGAGTGTTGGAAGTGGTATTTCGAAGGCGCCGTATTGAAATGGTTGTTTTGGTGGGTAATTGGAGATGTTGGTTGGTGTGTGTGTGTGTGTGTGTGTGTGATTTAGCGACGTTCGCAGGCACAACGGAGATTTGAGATTGGAGGTGTGTGTGTGTGTATGTGTGTTGGATCTATTCTTCCGTCTTCCTTATTTTTGCTGTTGCTGTGCATAGTCCCTTCTTAGCTTCGGCTTTTTGCTCCTATGTTCGAGAAAAGTCTTTTTGGTAATACAAAGATCCCATTTGTCCACTTGCGGATGTACTTCTTCTCATACCAAGCTATGCGTTGAGCAATGCTGTCAAAGGGGGATTGAAGCGTGCCATCAGACGTCGACTATGGCTTCACAATGTCTCTACATCACGGCAAACCGAAGCATATTCATACAATTTTTTCTTTCCGTGCAGCCATGTATACATACCACATTGCTGTACATCATATGCAACATTACATCCGCATAAATTGCTCATCCGTATTGTTGCCCTCCTCCTTACTCTACTACCCATCGCGCAACAACAAGTCTAGCTTACCGCATTGACACGTATTTATCACAGTACACCCCTCCAAATGATACTACTCACCCTCCTTGCCCTCACCCTCTCAGCTCTACCCACCGCCCTCGCCACTGCCCTCCCCCACGCCACAAGCCCATACAGTCCCCAAAACTGCTAATCCACCATCACAGAAAACGGCGGCGGCGGTGGAGATTTAGAACGGGATAGGTGATAAGAGGTTGCAGTGTCCGGGTATCAGTGATTCGGGAACGCCTGAGTGGTGGGTTAGTATGAAGTGTCGGTTGAAAAGACGGCGTAGTGGAACATGGTGTTTTATTTTACGAATGGGGGTTCTGGTATTGACGTGCGATGTGAATGACGTTTGCCGCTCAAATGTAAGTCATGCACAAGCTTTTTTCCCCCTTGTTTCTTATCCACTACAATACAAATCACACATGGGGACTGCTCTGGCACATCAAGTCTCCCACCATCACGTAATATATCTCCTTACTATATTCACTCTGAAGTGAAGATAATGAGCAAATGGATGCGCGTGATGTATATTGGAGTATGGGATAAAAAGCATCGCAAACATGTGTGACTCTTGGCTGTGTTTCATCCATGCCTTTCGTAGTTGCCTCCGTGTGATTAGTGAAGTGCGTGGGTCGCACTAAGCTTTCCTTTGTCTTCACATTGAAGGCGGTTACGATCAAACGATCCGGGTAGTCGAACAAATCACATTGAACATGGTCTCCCAACGCCATGCGTTGATCCAACGATACTTGATGTGGACTCGCTGCGCAATCCAAACGACGCGGTATATATTTAAAGATAGCTCCACATTCGTTCCTTCCTTCTCACTCGCTGCAATCTCAATCCAATAAGAACACGAGTAACAAGACAAACAGATTCCAACACTACATTACCATAGGATCTGCATCATAATCCCGGCAGTAGCCACGAGTAAATCTAAAACACGACTCCATAATGCACCCTCCCATCATTCTCACCTTGTTCGCCAGTCTCGTCACAGCCAAGTCCTTTACAAGCCCTCCTTTCGCACTAAGCCCATACATTCCAATCACCGAAAGCCCAAACTGCAAAGGCAGAGTGATTGACAACAACAGCGGCGTCAAATACTGTCTCGGTACATGGTTCCTCGGCAATTGCAAATACAAGGCCTACACCGAAGGGAAATCGTGTATTGACTTTGCCGACATTGTCCAACGGCCCCGTTCTATTGGTCCCGATCCAGGCGGCTACTGTATGTTGTTCGCAGAGAATAACTGCAAGGGAGAGCCATTGAAGATTTGGGAGAAGAGGGTATTTCAAACGTTTATGTGTCCGGGTATCTCGGAGATGGGTGGGAAGAACGAGTGGTGGAAGAGCATGAAATGTGTGAAGAATGAAAACTGATGATGGCGGGTAGAGCAAGGTTTGTAAGAAAGAAAGGGTTGGATAGAAACAGGAAAATGAGGTGATTTGTACATATCTAATGAGGAGTTCAAGTTTTGAGTAAAGATTAACAGGTGTTTGGATAACCTTTTCCGGGAGAAATGTTATGAGAATGAGACTATCTTAGCGATGAGTGGACTTGGATTGAAACTCAGCCAGTGGTGACTGGTAAAGCGGTGACTAGGCTCTGGCTTAGATGTAGCCATCAAATATTGGATTATTAATACACAAGATTGCCTTGTAGGGAAGTGATTACAGAAAGAAGTCCTTAGCTGTGACTCTGTTGCGATCTCGTGAAGAAGGATGCAAGATGGCTCAGTGGTAAGTCATCACACTATACGATGGTTCTTTAACAGCTGACAAGTTGCATACAGGTCTAAAAGACTTCAAAGCCGCTTTCGCGTCCACCTCTGTGATAGTGATGTGTATAGACAGAAGAAATGTATCATAGTATTCAAATTACTCTAGTCGATGATGTAGAGACTCTGACACCTTCTACTTCCATCACGACTGTCGCACAGGAATGGCGTATATCAGGGTTCGCCGACTGCATGAGTTTCCTCTACCATTTCCTACCACTACGCCAGCCAAAACGGAAAGCCAACTACCAAATAGATAACAAAGCCCGTTTCTGGTTGTCTGGGCTTACATCTATACATGTGATCCAATGCTAATACTGCTGCTCACCGTATTCTTCGCGATCGCGACTACTACTCCCATCGACACGCCCCCTATCAACAACCTTACCCTTTCCGAAGCTACTGGAAACTTGGTGTTCACACGCGCAAAGGTCGAATTAGTTACTTACGAAAACCCACAGTCTCCCCTATGCAACGCCAAGGTTGGTCGGCCAGGCGGCGTGTATACGTGTCCAGGCCCAGACTTCACTCCTACCGCCACAGAGCAATGCGAGTGGCACTCACCTCCTGATCCTGGCTTGTCGTCATGCATCACTTTTGCTCCACCTAGGGCCCTTCTTCAGTCGATCGGTCCTGATCCAGGTGGCTATTGCATCCTTTTCTCGGGAAACGAATGTAAGGGTGGGCAGTTTGTTTTGAGTGTCGGGAACAAGTTCTATAAGTAATTCTGTCATTTTCTAGATACTTTAAGTATGTGCTAACGTCGGTAGTACGCTTGGATGTCCTGGTCTGACCCATGGTGTCAAGGATAGGGCGATTGCGAGTTTAGAGTGTTGGCCGCTTTCGCAGCGATGGTAGTGTCAACAGCAGATTGGCAGATGAGTAGTATACTTGTAATCGTGAATCATCGTATTAGCCCACCATTGCTCAACTTCTGTTGTCGCAATGCAGTTGTAGAAATGTTAGATGTTTGGAGACGTTCCGACGCTAATAGGCATTCTGTGACTGCTCGCAATTTTCTCACTCCGCGCTACCACCACTTCCCCTCGTCACTGCCTCTTTTAACACCACACCGCCAGCTCACTACAGCACTGATAAGAGTATACTATTGAAGCATCTGCCTAGACTATCAGAAACACCACACTTCCACGTCAACCGTCGTAAGCACTTGTTTTGTTAGCAATCAGCTGAGCTGTCATCATTACAAGCTTGCTGGCTGCTTGATTATACAAGACTTTAGGTCAGCCATACACCCGCGTTATCGCGTTCTGTATCTTCCAACTGACTACCGACTAGAGTGTGTCTGAGACGCATCAGTCACTGAGTCGCTGAGTGCTTCAGTTCTCTAGAAGCAACCACCATAGACACCATCAGACTCACCGGCACTGCGCCCCCAACTATCATAGTCACTCAATCAATGTTATTCACTGCTCGAAAGATGGCGAGGACTGCTGCGCGTTTTGTCAGACAGGAGTCACAGGACTGTAGTCAAGGAAGTGACTGGTAAATGAGTCAAGCTTCATAATCCCCTACACGACCGAAGTGACCATGAGCATGCACATCAAAGTAGTTAAGTAACTCAAGTTTCTATCGGCGAGCTTCCATGAGCAGATAGCAGCGTAAATGGTCATCATGAGCCACGAAATTTGCTAGCGCAATGAGTCGAGGACTTGCGGGCGACGTCCAGTTGACCGCACGCGAAGATGGTGATTCAATGAGGTCCACTCTTCAAGTAGCGCGATCACACATATACCTTCAAGTATGTATACACGTCAATGAACTAAGTGTAACTCTTGCCGAAATTTCATGGCTTCACGCTTGATAGCAGTCAATGTTTTGGCTAATTGTCAACTGCCAGATCGTTGACCAAGGGCAAGTCACATACGCAAATTCGCTAACCTTCAGTTTCTACGTTCCCAAAGGACATATAAGTGTCTGGATTTGTCCAACACTCTCCTCTATAGAATAGCGACAACGATAACAAGAGTACCTCATTTGAACCGATTATTATACTATTACTGCTACCATCTACTGCTGGCCAGTACCTCTGCTAAACCAAACCATCTCACGTGTATAGTTGAACACTCAGCACTCGAATCCTTGGATACAAGGGACAACGGAGAGATCGTTCGTCAAACAACCGTACCAGCCTCGAACCAACAAACCAATAATCATCTAAGGTCTCTTCTCCCGATATCAGTACGTCACAATAATATGTGCCACAAACAGTTCTACATATGCCCAAACGGACATGATCTTGATTTCAAATCGTTCGTATCTCCCTGTGGTAGCCCCCATATTTGCTTGAACCTAAATAAGATCGAAGAACTGCCGTCTATAATATCACCGGAAAGGGAATGTAAACAATGCTTGGACGTGCCAACAACAACAAAAGAACACTACAGGAAGACTGCACGTACAGTCGCCTCTGAATATAAATGGGATCATGAAAATGATGCGGAATGGTTTATGGCCTTGTTCATACGACGAGCACTTGAAAGTTGGAAATCGAGGCACCTAGAATGGGAACAGGGTGGAAAGACGACTCTGATACCGAGAAGATGGACGCAAGAAGAAAAGGAAGATGCGAAGATCTCTGCTATGAAAGAAATGAACCTAGAACATCAACCAATTGTAGCTCCGCAAGAGTCCTCGACCAGGCAGGATCGCACGGCGGCACAAAAAAAGAAAGACAGCAGGCAACAAGCCGTGACTGCTGCCAATATATACACATGGGAAAACGTCAAAGCCCGAGGCGCCTTTGAAGCAGCGTATGAGAAGCATGCCATGGAGGTTAATGAGCGTAGGCATCGTGAAAACCCAAGTGGAAGATGGACAGGAATGAAAGCAGACGACCAGCGTGATCTAGTGGAACACGCCGCGAAATATCTACAAAAACTATTCAAGGATGATCAAATACCCCCAGGTCTTAAACGTCGTCCGACCCAAGGTGTGTCTCTTGGTGGTGCAGGTGGGTCTGATAATTCACATGTTCAGGGTTCGACCGCCAAGCAAACTTTTCAAACAACGATCAAATCCAAGGAGGTCAGAAGACTCGGAGACATACCATACCGTTATCCTCCGGGTTATGACAGTGAAGGCGGGTCTAGTTTCTCTGGCATGAGTAGCCCCAATACAAAAAGTCCCAGTGCTTCGGAACTAGAAAGTCATAGGCCAAAAGGGAAGGGAAAAGCCAAGGCTACTGATCCAAACCCGCATGATCGTGCACATGAAGCTTCTTTTTCAGACGATGAATACCATGAAGGTGACTTTCTCACGAGAGAGTGGAGACGTGATCAGCGACACGAGCAAGCCCGGATTGCAGAAAGGAATCAAGAAGCACTACGCATGCACATGGAAGCGAATCAAACTCAGGTGGAAGCTGCACGACCACAGTCGTACATACAAAGCAACGTGCAGCCTCAACAAGCACGTGTAGCTACCAAGCCAATTTCTTCTACCACTTCAAAGTCACCTGCTACTAGAGACATAAGGGTGGCTGCAGGGAAGCAACAGGCAGCAAAACTCATCAATCCTAACGATTATCCGACTGTAGCAGAATATCCACCGGGATATAATAGCTCAGGCAGTTCCAATCCTCCAAACACTCCACCTATTACGAATGAACAAGCATACTATGATATGATGAACCAAGATTTCACTACTCACCACTGGGCAGTCAATCGCTCTGGGGACGATGAGATTCATGCTGAATCTCAACCCCGAGACACTAGGGAGCAGTCTCCAATACACCGTTCTGGCAAAACGGCGGCTGCAGGAAAGCAACGGGCAGTAGAGGCTCATCAAACGCAACCAAAAAAATCTACGGCCTCTGGTGCAGCTAAAGCTACATCAAATGTGTCTACAACCGGTGCCGCAAAGCAAAAACTCCGAGGTCAACCACGACAACTCGCGCAGACTACTTCGGATACCACTAGACAGACCACAAATGTTCCAGCAGCCGGAATTCCAAGATTCTCTACTGAAGCACACACTACCGCAAGCAACCCCGCCGCAGGCTCTTCTACCGGTGGTCCAACAAGACGTGGTACTGAAGATTCGGCCTCGAGTTCCAAAACAAAGAACAGTAAGCAGGACTCGAAAAAGAAGACGACCAAGAAACCTAGTTCTGGGACGTAGGAAGAACATGCAAGATATTTCAGACATGTAGTTGCATTGGGGTCGACGGACTGCTAGGTGTACTTTTTCTACTTCTTTCAGCAATGAACTTTTCCAGATCTACATGTATTACTCAGTTCTAATGTGATCTACATAAGGGGTTTAGCACCCTTTTATTTTCTCTCGTTATTGTAGTTGCTATGTAAATAATGCTTCTTTACAAACTCCGTAAGCTCGAAAATCTGAAAAGAAAGCCTTATCAAATCTATAAACTCTATCCATAGTAAATAATCAAAACAATCATCTCTACGATGTCGTTGTATAATGTAGTTCAAACTTCTAACGTGATAGTCTCGTGTTAAGGCGACTTGTGCCAATAGTCGTACTAGCGAGCCTTATCTCATCATAGGACCTTCTTGTGCTATGCGATATTCATAGTTCATGAGAAGAGACTTGAATCGAGTTTGATTTTCTGTAACATGAGTAAAAGACTTCATGTCTTAGTAACATAAAAGTGATTGCAAATTTCTAGTGAAGAACGATGACATTGCAAACAGTGGCGATTGATGCACTGGCTCAAAGTAGTTTGTCGGGCCTTCAAGCGCAGACCTTAATACATATCGAGTCACATATACAGAGTCACGTCTACAGATTTACGTCTATCGAGTCACACTCAAAGATTGACGACAGCTCGATCTGTTCGTCATGACCGAGTATATATACTTTGACCTGCTGTACCCTTTCTTGTGTACACGACAACGAGAACAACCACAAACTTCCTCATTTACTAACACATTGGTACTTAATTCAGTTACTGCTGGTTAGTAGCCTAACCGTACAAATCCGACCTAATTTGGCCCTTGAATATCCAAACACGAAGACTCCGCTACAGGTCCCTCAACAGACGGCTATACTCATTCATCATTTGATTGCCCCCGGCTTAGATCTGTTCCCTTGAACTCTTGTGTTGATCAACAACTAAGATGTGCTATATGCAGCAGTATCGGTGCCCCCGCAATCACGTAGAGGAAAGAAGAATGTGTGACTATGGTAAGAAAGGATGCCCCGAAAGAACAAAACCCAACAGTTCACTTGACGTCAGGCCTGGCACCACCGATATAGTGTCTGGTTGTGAACAATGCAAACCAACCGATAGAGCTGGAAGTTCTAAGAAGGTAGACAAAGCTCCGGAGTGGGCTAAAAAAACTCGGTATCGGAAATTAGCCAATGATATTGCCGATCAGAATCCATGGTCGGACGCAGAAGACAGAGCAAGATTTATAGAATCTTTCGCGGCGCACGGATTGAAAGAGGACGACAATGTCAAGGGGATCTCAGCTGACGGCAGGAGGTTGCCTTGGAAGCAAGAAAACTACGATGAGATCCTGCGTCGAACCAGGAAAGAACTTGGACCAAAGTTAATTCCGGAGAACTTTAAATCTCTCACAGTCGGTGAGAGCGGTTATCGGAAAGGTTTTTCAATTCGTCCAGTCAAAGTCATTAACCCCAACAATTATCCGACGTTAACAACATATCCACCAGGTTACGACAGCCCGGGTAGTTCTAATCCCCCAAACACTCCACCCATCACCAGGAGCCCGGGTGATTCCAACCACCCAAGGACTCCACCCATCATGAATAGCCCATCATTATCAGAAAGCAGACTATCTCTAAATGACGATCAACATTATTATGCTTTAAATCCCACCACCCACGGTTGGGTACTTGGTCGTCAGGACAACGATGATCTGTACGCAGACCCTAGCCCTATGCCTTCTAGGGGGCAGTCTCCAGCACCCCGTTCTGACGGCAGTTCACCTCATGTTGCAAATCAGTCCCCCACCAGTCGCGGCACGAGAAACGCACGGCGTAGTCGTGCCACATCGGGAACAAGCTCCAAGGGATCCAGTGACAGCAACACCTTTGAGAATAGTCTTTTTGACTTTGCAGCGGCATCAACGCATACGCCACCTCGTTCAACTGGTGCGCCTCAGCCCGTCCCAGCCTCGCATGCCCAGCATGTAAGCCCCTCAACGTATACCACTGTAGGAAAGGCTCCAGCTACTGCAGGAAAGACTCCTGCAAGCTGGAAGACGGTTGGTGCGTCGAAGCGTCCAACTGAAAGTTCTGCATCGAGCTCCAAGGCAAAGGGAGACAAGGATAAAAACTCTCTCAAAAGTTCTGCGTCAAGCTCCGGCCGAAAGGAAGATAAGGGTAAGGGACCCACCAAGAAGAGTTAAAGAGTAAGACGCGCGATGCCTGACACATGAATCCGGAGTTTGTCAGCAAGTTGTTGCACACAATTGACGGTGCCTGTATTGGCAATGCAAAGGTATTGTCGGTTTTTGGATAATTTGTGAATGTTCTTCGAGCGAACACGGCAGGCCGTTATCTCTTCATTTTTTCTTTGTGGTGTTTACTCTGGTTCAGTCTCAATTCGCTAGCGGGTCTTGTTAGTTCATAGCGTGTTTCTGATATCGAGTCGATGTTTTGCGATGGTTATAGATGTGAATTCTTTTACGGTAGAAGTATTTACAGAAGCAAGGTTAATGGCAAGATTGGTTATAGCGTAAGTGTACATAGCCGAATAGAAAAATTGAATCTACAAATGAAAACCAAACGTGCATGTGCAGGCGTGACAGAGTGCTGGGGCTGTGTATGGAAAGTGGACGAGAGCTGGTGGAAGCGTGCTTCGAGATGGATGACGAGTCAAAGAGCGTGGAGCTTCGTGTTGTTGTATGTACCGAGGTGTTGCTCGATGTCATCGAAACCGTGACAAACATTGGAAAGGTATCAACCTGTATCAAGACGCACAATGTGTCGGAAGATGCTCGCGGCGACAATGGATGAGAGAACAACGATCGATACGCGTCACTTCCACGCTAAGAGTTTTACGTCATCAGATTTGACATCATGGCGTCGATCATCACCACACCAGGCGCGTGCCTTACGCGTACAGAACAATCACGGCAGAGCATCACATCAGTGGTCAACAAATCTTTTTGTTAATCAAACATATGTATCCGTCAATTCGTGATATAGATAGCGGTGTGCGGGCACGAACTTGAAGTAATTTGAAGCCGCCCTGCAATCAAATCACGAGGCAGCAATAGCCACTACACCGAACCATCAAACACGATCTCATAGACTGGCTTCTTAACAGGCACGCGCCGACTCCACCATAGCATCGTCATATCACTTTTTTTTTTTTTTGGAAATGCGCGAGAATAGCGACGAGTGTGCAAAACCATACGGTATTTGTGTTCAGCTTTTGAGCCACGACATACCATCACGGCAAAGTCCATTTTGGTCAGCTGCAGCTGCGGCATGAGTATGAGGAAGCAAGAGCGCGTACAGCTTGAGGATTCTTAAACAAGCGTTCACACTTTACAAGCGAGGGTCGTCTTCTCTTGTCGTCGCGTTTAGGTACGACTCGGTCGCAACGCGCAAGGGAACATAGGCCGACACGTCTGGGTTCTCGCATCGATATCACTGCTAAGACTTGGTCGGCGTACGCGTTTCGGGTTCTCCCATCTTTTTGGAACCAACCTCGAGTGGCACGACTACTGTTTTGAGCCAAGAGAGACACGCCATGATGCAAAGTTGATCTGATTTTGGATTCAGACATGTCACAACGTCGTGGTAGTTTTAGTGAAAGAGAAGAGAAAACGTTTTATGATGATATACTTCTTACACGCCTGAGCGAAGTTTTATACATCCAGCATGCGCACTAGAGCCAGCCACAGAGTCAGCACAGTCGATGAACCCTATGATAGTCTCTTCTTTCAAGTTTTGTTACTTGCATTCCAGCAAACGCACAACCAAAGCCGCACAGAATGATAAGTCTGTGATTCTCTTTTACACAAAGACATCGCAAAGTAAAGTCTTAGTTTTGACGCCGCGGAACAGGAGAGAGTGCTCGTCATATAGGCGCTGCTTAGGATTTTTGGTGGCCTAGGCCAGCAAGGCATATATCCGTTGCGAGCATCTTTCGGTATGTGAGTCTGGCATAGAAGGAAGAAAGATGATGAGGACAGTCGCAATCCCGAGGTATGAGAAGGTTGGAGAGGGCCGAGGGACGACATGGCTAGTTTCTCGCGTGTTTTGGTCATTACGGGATATGCCCGCGGCCAGTCTGGTTTTTTACTGTTTGTTCGATCGGATTCAAGTCTCTCTATCGTGCCCGCTTTGGCATGCGTGTTCTGCGGATGGAGTTTGTGCTCTTCACATGTACTCTTCCATCAATCTTCTTAGAGAAAAAGAAAAGGACTCGGAGACATGTAAGAGTTCCAGGCTCATTTTTAGAAAAAATACATAGCAGGCAAATATATAATGGAGAACATGGTAGAGTATGGAAGAGGAGCTTATATATGTTGTCTTGGGCTTGAGTATCACGTGTTCCGCGCCGTTGTAAGGATTGATGATGACGCATGGAAGTCGGAGGTACATGAATAGGGGAAAGAAGATTTGTTTGATTTGGCTATGGGTGTCAAAGTCATCGGGAAGAGTTCGAAAGACAGTATATGTGGAAGGCAGTATACTCCGTGCTTCCACAGTCTCGAATTCAGTCCCGCAAGTGACTCAAGTGCTTCATACTAATTTGTAAACCGGACTTTTGAAAGAGAAAAGAGACACAAAGTGGCAGAGCCAAACAAAAATCGCTCAAAAGCATGTCCATGCCGTTGTCTTGCCTAGAAAGCAAACTCCATAGGATATGTCTCACCTAGACTTTCAACTTTTCTTGTCGTAGAGGCGACGCCAAGGGTGTTTTGGCGTTCGGTTGAGTCGAGCTCTCTATTGGACCGCGAAGGAGACAGTCTTGCCAGGAGAGCTGGGTCTCAAATGGAACTTGACGTTCTTGAATGATTGTGAGGCTTTAGCTGACCTCACCATAGTACTGTGCACTCGCTCGGGAAACCCCAATGCGCAGATAAGCTCGTACAACTTATCGGCAAAGAGTGTCTTCTCGAGAATGGACCTCAACCGTTCCTGCAGATGCAAAAGCACTCTTGTCGTTTCTGATGCAAGGTGTACAAGCGCATTTAATTCCTTCATCGAACGATCATAGCTCTTAACTCGTTGCGAGAGTAAGATGATACGATCGCCAAGCTCACGATCCAATAGCCGGTCTTTGTATTCGTAATCATCGATGCCAAACATCCTCGTCACGAGGTCGTTGAATGTTTCCTGGTAATCATCCAAGGTCTTCTGCAGCCTTTGAATGATAGTTTCGATCTTGCTGCGGTTGAAGATTAGAACCACGTCCCAAAGTTCGTCGCACGCAATTTGGAGTACATGCTGCGGACCTGAACGTGTTAGTGACGAATGCAAGAAATTGTGTCCAACATACCATCAGCGTTTTTCGCAATCGATGCGAATGCAGCTTCCATGGCTCGGAAGAACTTGCGGAGTTTGTCGTCCCGTACTCGATTTGCTAGTCGGCTGCGCGTAAGATAGATATCCATCGTGTTGTCGTTTTCTGCCTGTTGTATATACGTTTCCGCGCCCAACATCTTCGAAAGTCGCCTCGCAAAACGATCTTTAAGGCTAAGTTCGGTCTTTAGCCCTCTCATCGGAATAACGCCGGTCGAGTCGTCGATGAGATCTTCTTTTCCGAGAACACTAAATACTTTCTCTTCCACACGTTGATGCTGAGAAGATGGCATGGTGGCGTCTATAAATGCTTTCGTGGGATGGCCGAGAGTGTCGACCAATACTGGGTAAGTAGACTCTCGAGGGTTGCTCGTGAATATTCTCGTATGCTGTTCGGCAGTGATATCCTGCTCTGCAATACTTTCGAAGTGTGGTGGAAGAGAGATGGAGATCAAGCTGAGAAGAGACTATTAATATAGCAGGAGAGGCCGGAACCGGCTGCTTTACCTTTACCTTGTGCTGCTGCGATACCGCTACGTGTGACATGAGAGAACCTAGGCAGCAACACAATGCCAATAGGATAGCAAGGAGTAAGAGGTGAGAGACCAACGCAGAGCTGGGCCAATCTTGACTGATCAGGTCCGTTTGAGCCCGGCACGTACCAGTCATGGATGTAAACGACGTGCATCAAGACAAGAACTACAACAATCAGAGATGGAGTTTAGAAAACCACAGAGAACGAAGCCACAAAATCTGATTTTAGACGTGCTTCTTGACTTCCGACACAAGGAGATAAAAGAAGACGCTATATGCAATGCAAAATTTACAACCACCTACGCCACCTCTCTTTCTCCTCGATCCAACTTCCAACCACTCCCAACTATTCTTCCCCAACCAATCATCCACCAAAACCAAAGACCTCAGCCGTACTCAACATACTCATCCTAGTCCCCCACAACGCGATAACAATAGACACAACATCCACCGTCAGCAGCACCGCAGCCCCAACCATGAACCTCGGGCAGAAGATCCTATAAAGCATCAAATGCCTTCTCAAATGGCCCGCCCACATGGTCGTCGCAAGCTGCGTCGTCGCATAAAACAAAATGTGAGTCGCCACAGCTTTTGTGACGACGGACAAAACGCCCTTCTTCTGCGGCTTGACCTTCCAAAGCACGCACGCTGGGACAGCAATGGCGCACAGGATCTGGGCACCAAATGTATTCAGCAGAACGATGATGGGTGTCCAAGGGTAACGAATCTTGGCCAAGGGGATGAAAGCGGATTCCCACTGGATGCTAGACAAGGTAGCCTGGTGTCCTGTTTTGAAAAAGTGGAAGGAACCCAACAGACCCAAGATGACAGGGCCAATGGCAGATTGACGGAGATTGTTAGTATCGATGATTTCGAAAAGCGAAAACAGCTGCCAGACCAGTATTCCGATTGCGCCAGCGCCCATTGGCTTTTGGAGCACAGTGATGGCGAGATACCAGATGGTGATCAACAGTGCGTATCGACTCCCGTGTACATTTGCGAAACCAAGAATGGTGATGGCTTCTTTGGGTTGACCGTTTTCGTCGACGCCGCTACCATCTTTATCGATGATGACGTTCAGGAGAGGTTTCGACCAATTATAGATGGAATAGCCAAATCCGAGAGCAATTGCTAGCACAATCTGTGCAATGAAGCGCTTCGTGATACCGATGATGTTTGACCAAGCGGGCGCCCACTCGCCGTCGTCAGCAGCATCGAGTGTCCAGTATGCGGCGGACAGCATCAAGCCGAAGCGCAATGCGAGGCCGATCCAGAGAGTGGCGTTGTGCTGATAGGATTTCGTGCCGTCGTAGTAGCTCTTGATGAATGTGGGGATGAGGATGGCAGCTGTGGCGGGAATGGCAAGTTGCCAGGGTGCGGAAGTTGTTGAGAGAGCAGAGCCGTAGTATGTGGATTTGCAGTAGGGCATCTGTTCTTCTCGGCATAGGCGAGAGAAGCTGGCAATCCTAAGCAACACGGTGAAAAGGATGGAGTGGTAAGCACCAAGGGTTCGATCTGCGATTCTCCTCTGACGGAAAGAAGAGATGAGTGCAAGGACTCCAAATGTAGTTAGGAAATGTAGGAGGATCTCATCTTCCCAGATAGTAAATGAATTTGCTGCAAAGCCCCCGGAGAGGGCGAGAGTGAAGATGGCGCTCGTCCAGCCCCAGATGTTGTTTGGCATTGGGGGCATCATACGGTAGCTCAGGGCGTAGAAAGTTGAGGCGCAGCCGATGATCCCGGTGAGGGCAGAGGAGAGGACAAGAATATGCGATCTGGAGTCTTCAGGCATGAAGATGGTAATAGGAAGACCGACGATACCTCCAAGGACCAAGCCAATGGCACCTCGGGTGAAGAAGACGGGGGTGACGTCTGCACGGTCCCCGTGAAGGATCCTGGCGTAAAGAGCGACTACAATCAGACTTGCGGCCAAGATCACGACACCACTGACCATCCTGGGAATGTCAAACCGAGCCCAAAGATCACGACAAAGACGGAGCGTGTCGCGCTGATAAGCACCGAAAGCCTCATATGCCTGGCGCATCTCGGCGCTATCGGTCTTGGACTTTCCTAGCAGGTTCCACGCGTCATTTGCGTTCTTCCACAGCGAAAGCGAAGAAGCCCTGGCGCTGTCTACGATACCACGAACCTTGGCATATTCGTGCTGGTAGTTGTGTATCTGCGCGGCTGTTAGACGGTTGACGGCCGCCAAGTTTTTGTAATCATCGCCGTTCTTGCCAATGAATGCTTCTTCGATGGGCTTTCCGAGGTTGTTGAAGGGTATCGGCAAGCCGAGGAGAAGCGACAGAGTAGGAACAAGATCGATCTGCCCAACTGGTCGGGTCTTTGCGTTAGAAGGAGGTGTGATATAAGCAGAATCGCTGCGCCCAAACACACCCTTCTTCGAGTACATCCATAGCGCCGCCTGTATCTCGTCATCCGACTCTCCTCCATGGTCGCCCTTTCCATCCATGCCGTGATCTCCCATAACAACTAGCAGTGTGTCGTCGTCAATCTCCTCGATCATGCGGCGGAAAACGTCGTCCATCTGGTTGAGCTTCGCAGTCATAGCAGGATGATCAGGCCCATAGCGGTGTCCTGCATGGTCCACGCCCAGGTAGTGGCCGAAGATCACATCCCACTTGGTGGCATTCTCAGCCTTCAGAAGTGGGAAAATGTGCTCCGTGACGCCATTGTCAACAGTGTGTAGGTCCCAAACATTAAACGAATCGTATGCATGCGTGAGGTTTGGCTCAAAGTAGTTGGGGAAGAGAGCGTGCCATGTGTCGTCCCCAAGATGAACCATCCTCTTGCTTGCGTTCTTCATTTGTCCGACCAGATTGTCTTCCTCAATCTCCTGGCCAGCGAAGTTGCTGCCCACGTCGATGAAGGTGGGCAATGTGCCCGTTGTGAGCCCCTTCAGCCTCTGCATCGTGGCCGTCGGCGGGTCGGCGATAAAGGGTAGGAGGAAGGCATTTTGGGGCTGGTTCTTTGCCGTCTCGTAAAGTATCGGGAATGCATTGTGGAAATGGCGCGGAGCGACTGGGGGCGCTTGAGACGGGTTTTCGGCGGCGGCGGCGAGGTCGATGGGCTCGAACTGCTCTGGAAAGGGGACAGTGAAATCGTATCGTAGCGCATCAACGATGATGACGACGGCTTTGTTGAACGTCTTGGGGTGCCAGCACCCCTTTTCAGCATCGCCCGCTGTGTACGCGTTGGCAGAGTCGATTGGGGGCAGGGCGCATTCTGACTTGTGGTCGAGGACCAATCGCGTAAGGAGGAAGCCGCTGGTGAAAAGGTAGATACCGAGGACGTGAAGAATTCTGGCCAGGTCAGCTTTACGCGTCTGTACGCGGAGCCGGAAGATGGGCTCTGATGAAAGAGCCTACAGTATAAAGGTAAAGAAGGCGATGATGATGCCATGCTGCGCTTTGAAGTGCACCTGTCCAACCTTCTTTGCTTTGTCGGGGTCGTGAACCTGTCTCCGGGGAGCTCGCACTGTCTCCCGTGGCTCTGGCGTATCGGCCGCAAACTTGACAGCTTTGCGTGCGCTACTCTGGCCGGTGATGTCGGACAGCGGCGTAAAGACCTCGTTCTCCATGGCGGGTGGAGAAGGCGGACCAATTGGCTCTCAGTAGATGCCAATCAGATGTCTATTGGTATTCGGATGGCTTAGGGGGCCTCAAGGAGCGACAGAATCCATGGGGACAAAGTTGATGCGTGGTTTAAGCAAAAGTGAGGATGTGTCGCAAGCATCCACTGTGGATCTCCCATTTCGCCGAGCCGCCGATGACATGCATCCGCCATCGAGGTACGCGCCGTAATTACGAGCGGTGCTTACGATCTGCTATCGATGGATACGAAGCTTGACATCATGTTCCAGACGCGACTTGGAAACTGCCTTAAGGTATATCGCGCACAGCATTCACTCGGTTTTGGTAAATTGAGCACACATTTCAGTCTTGACAAAGGATTGTATTGGCTCTCGTGCTGCTCTGCACAGTCGCTAGAGAGTGAGTTGGATATCATACATTAATGAATAAGAGTTATGTAAGAGGTATGAAAACCTCGTTGAAGAGATGGCCAGTCGTCAGAGTGGGTATACAGCAAAATGGCCAGTCAACTCCGAGAATATACATAAGTGGTGTGGCGCCCTGCCGGCTATTCCACAGCTTCGGCAGGGAACGGAGAAGCTGACAGTCAGCGCGGTATAGCCGTCATCAAGGTGTAAAGTCGGTCGTAGCCAAATGGCTGAGGGGTGCCCGAGGGGTGCTCGACCGGAAGTATCAGCGGTCTCGCCGGGCTTTGACGTGTGGTGTCGTGAGGTTTATGAGTAGTATTTGTCGTCCTTCTCCTTCAGTCCGCCCATACGATCCAGGTCGAGCGAGTCGAAGCGGTCCGATGCGTCTTGCTGGTATGGCGGGAGGTCCTCTTGCACAGGCTCGAGTCCAACGCTGTGGTCTCCGACGCGGACAACCACAACACGACCCGATTGTTGCTTGCCAGACTCGTCAATCTCGTCAGGGAAAGTGATGCGGATCTCGGGTACCGGGCTGGTAGGGCTGTCCATGAGGTTCTGCTTTTCCGAGTAGGTGATGACGGACTCGCGGCCCTTGTAAGGCATCGCAGTGATGGTCAGACGGTTGATGTTTGATTGACGCTTCTCGTAGACTGGGAGTTCTGGGTCTGTCTCGGCTTGTTTCCTGGCTCTACGGATGCTGCGAAGGAACATAAGGCCTCCTACGCATAGCATGCCAACGAGAACCAGCATCATAAGGGTTACGAGGAGTGCGAGGTGGGTAGTGCTGAGGCTGCCATCCTCATTGCGCTTGCTAAGGCCGATGTTCATCATTATGATATTGGTGGTATTGTGTGTCGTCAGGGCGTGTCGAGGGCGTGCAGATAACTCTGGGGCGTGTGGTAGTGATTAAGGAGTGTAATTGCTGTTTGTATGTTAGTCCCCATTGTGTAGCGAGCACGTTGCTTCTGCGTGGTGTTGTGGTTGTTGGTTCGCGGATGCTTGGCGCAGTGCGACGGACGGGGACGGGAAGTAGCGGATACGCACCTGTAGAGCACCGTCGTTTCGCAAGCGGATGGACAAGTATAGGTAACGAGAGACACAAGTTTGGAAAGAGCGTAAGGCGAGATACCGCTGAAAGAGTGAAGCGATAAGTCGGCAGAGAAGAGGAGTTGGAGGGAGGCGAGACCGTAGAGGAGGTGGGCAAGGAGGTCGAGGTATGAAGGGAAACCTACGTATTTTGATGGATGCGCAGGGAAGCCGCCTTGCAGTCACCAATGCAGGAACGATACAACCAGAGCGAATCAGCGATCGACACTAGACCGCTCAACTTCGTGCCTATCTAGTTTAGGAGAAGAAGCCGCCTGCGCTAAGCCGAGTCGGTGGAGCGCAATAAGATGACGGTAGGACGCTCATCCTCTCGATCTTATTTTTGGCTTTGTTGGCGCCAGTGATCTGCTCAACACTGCCGCACGAGACCACAACAGACAAAGCCGTTCGCGCGCGATGGTTCCCAAGACCGAGACAAAGAAAGTATCGAGGGTGCTGCAAACAGATCAAAACAAACAACAGTCAAGAGTACCTAGTGCGGTGTGGAGAGCCTCGCAAAATGCAAGGGGCGGTAATAACGAATGACGGGGGGTGGGATTTAGCCAAAAGGTCGAGACTCGACGGTGTGGATCGTGAGTGGATCGTGAGCCAGCACGTACTCCTCCTGATGCTTCGCTTGAGCGACAGCCCCAGAATATGTACTCTCTACATCAAGACGCCAATCTGGAAGTCGTGTTAAGCTCAACCCGTGCGAGACGCGCATTGTTTTGGACTGATTGTGACAACAGCGTGGAGAGAGCTGACAGCGAGGGCTGAGACGAACGTCTTGCCAGACTGTGGAGCGATAAAGGATGATGCCGGTCGATAGCACATACCACAGCAACGCGCGTAATGAACGATGGATTTGTGGACCGCTGCGCGCAGGGAGCGCCATGTGGTGATGGAACTCGAGCCTCCTCAGGCATGTCTCTCTTGCGTTCGACAAAGCCTTTAAGCAGCCCTTCATCTTCGCAGAGTTCCACAGGTTTGACATAAGGCTTCCACTCGACCTGCAATGTCGCAGTCGTCAAGACGCGTTACAACGCCCAAGTGACTGCGGCAAATTCGTCATGGTCTCACGGATGCACTCTGGCCGGTACTTGGCTACTCCACCGTCCCCGCCGTTAAACATCTCATCGACAGGCCCTGTGTTTGAGCCTTCGGGACGTTTGATGCCTCTCGCTTGCCTGACGCCAAGTGACTCCTGAATCCTGGGGCCGTCGCTGGGCTGTCGCTGGCACTGTCGCAAATGGCCTTCTAGAAGCGCTAGGAGGTCGGTATTTGAGGTAAAATGCTGTCACCAGCTCACTATGTCACTCGGAGTTGCTTCATCGCCATATTTGCGGCGGTTCGTCGGTGACTTGTCTTGCGTAACACCTCAACCATTCAGAGCGGTGTAGATGTGAAGCAGTTATGACAACCATGGCCAGAGCTAGCGGGTGAATAACTTTCCCAACATGCCTGACGTATCCGGCAGTCGCAGCCAGTTTGCTCTGCTTGTTAGAACGCCAGCGCAGCACAGCTACCACATACAGGATGCGCACAGAGTGGAGAGACGGGTGGCTCACTGGACGCCTCGCATCCGACTTGCAGCCTCGCAGCGCAAACCCGCAGCTAGGAGGCGTTATAATTGCAGGGAGTATTCTGAGCGAGAGCAATCCATGGATGATGCAGGTCACGAGCCTGAAAGGCTTTTCTGCGTCCATTGAGTGATGACTGAACCCACAGCGTGTGCGACCATGGTTTCCGTGAGTCTTCTGCTGTGCCTCCAAGCAATCACGTTGGACACTTTTGAAGATGGATGCAAGCTCCGAGCTGCATCGAGCTCGATAGTGCTGCAGCTCGCTCCAAGTACGCAGAGAGGTCAATTGGCCGTCATGGACAAGTTGGACACCATTGCCTAAAAGTCTTGTGCCGAGGGCAAACATGCAAAGGTGAAGGCGTAGCAGAGAGAGAGCTTGGACATGGCGGCAGGGTGGTGGTGAAACATGGCGGCCCTGTAGATAATGCCTCTGGCCTCCTATCCATGCCCGTCGTGTCTCAGGCTGCCATAACGACAGCTCGCATCACAGAGGATCGTCCGGATTCCGTTGCCGCATCGTCCCTGACTCGTGCTTGGCACACGCGAGCGCATTGCAGCCGGTGGCCACAGTGAGAGAAGAAAACGGCGACCACGTTTGTTCTTAGGGAGATCATATCTCGTCCCGTAATCGTCGATTTCATCTTTCTCACGAGCCTCGCCTGCACCAAGCACCCGAAGACATCTAGGCGACGCTTTCGGTACAACCTTGAGCCTTAGCGTGCCTTTCCCCAGCGGACGCCAAACTTAGTTGCCGATCCTATCTTCGCCAGGGCCCAGCAGTCGCATCTCCATCGCCAAAAAGACATCTTGCCAACCCACACAACTGGCGCAACCCTCGCCCTCTGAAGCTGCGCCCGGTCTCCTCGACGCCCGCTACCAAACTTGTGCTCCTCCCGCCTATCCACACGCACACCACAGCCCCCGAACCAGCGCAGATATATTTCCCCCCTCGAGTCTATTCCTGCCCTGCTGCTCCACCGTCCCGCGCCCTTGCATCATCCCCGCCGCTGCATTTGGTCGTCGAACCCTTAATGCGACCCCCGCCTGGTGCGCGACATAATTGCTTCGAGATTAGCATGTACTGTGGCTAGAGAGAGACATTACCACATCTCGCTCCTACACCCAAACGCGACCACGGGCCTGCACTTCCCAACCCACACTCCTCACGCGGACCTCCGGTAGTACCTCTTTGTTCCAAGCCGCGTTCGTGCGCACATTCTTCGTACATTATTTCCATTGTCCCCAACTATATCAGCTGTAATACATCGTCAGTATTCTGCCTCCCCCCGCACCTGCCCTGCCTGCGCTGACGCCTGAGCTTAGTCCCACCAAAGCGCACGCATAAGCCACCCCGCGCCGCAGCACCCACCGGTGTGCTATATTCTCCGCATACTAATAACCTCACGCCCGACCTGTGTAAATGAACACCTCTCCTGCCGGCTCAAGTCGTAGCATGGCAGTCATGGCGGGCAATGTGAGTAGCGGCTGTTCTAGCCATACAGTATGGCGTGCTAACACATATGCTCCAGACTCGAGCGCGCGACTACTCCAGTGGAGCCTCGCTCAACAACAACGGCACCGACACTGAACTCTCACGCGCATCTCCATGGGGGAAGAACATCTGGAATGCCCCAATCGGCACCTTTCCGCTTGGCTCCAAAGGCCGAGACAACTCGCGCCCTCGAGGTATGTCGTGGATGGCGACAAAGCATGTTCCTGTAATACTGACACGCATAAAGAGAACGGCGCCGCCATGGGCACCCCTGCCGATCATGTTGAGGGCAAGACTGGCTCTGGCTCCCTGCTCACCAACTCCGAGACGGAATGGAGGTCTACTGCCCGGCCAGCTTGGGGAGAGACCCCATCTGGCAGCATACCTCATGCAAGAAGCTCCGGAGTGTCGCCGGCACGGAAGCGGTCTATCGCCCAAGCACAACCTGTCCAGCAGTATAGCGACAACTCCCCATCCGCCTTCTCGTCCTACACTACAAGAAACTCACTCGCGGGCCAAGGCTCGCAAGCAAAACCGGTCAAGCCATTCCTTGACCCTACCATATCCAACTTCACATCGCGCCAGATCGAATCACTCAACACCGGCTTCACCAACTTTGGATTCGGCCAAGCAGACGTCAATTCTCAGCGCCCCGATACTGGTGTCACCTCGTGGCCAGACACAGGCTCCGTCCACTCTCCGAACGACGACCGCCGCAGCGTAGCAAACTCGGATTACCTTGCGTCTTCGAGCGGAGCCCCCTCACAGAACGGAAGCTTGCCTCCATCCCGACATGGTGCCGAGCCAGCACCGTTCAGCCAGGCTCCGGATGCATTCTCCAGATTTACTCAGCCTTCCCGCCAAACATCGTCCTTCTCCATGGCAAGCGGTCGTGCCTTTAACGAGCGAAGCGGTTCAATACAAAGCGAGTCTTTCCATACTCTGGGAAGGCTGAACAGCGAACAGGACCAAGATGCGCGCATGGCACCAAACAGGTCTTTCAGTATCAACGCTTTCACCCCAGCACACACACCCGGACAAGACACCAACGATGCGCCTACAGGCTTATACACCCCAGATGGCTACTCCAGTGCCCAACTCAACGGCCAATATTCTCAGCTGCGATCCTACCAGCTCGACAACAGTCGAAGCGCGCCGAACGGCACTGGGGCTCGTCAAAGTCCATTTTACTCCTCCATGAACACACCGCCTGTGTACGACCGTCTCAATCCGTACACCAGTGAGCAGATGCTCGCCCACCCCAATAGTGTTACGCAGCTGCAGAACAAACTGGCCGGATTCCAGATGTCACAACAACGTAATTTCATCTCTCCGGGCCAGCTTCATCAGCAGCAGTATCAAAACATCTTTCCCGCAGCTCAAGTCCAGAACCCGTACCAATACCAGCTGTATGGTCTACCCAACGGCTTTTCTCTATCCGCGATACCGCAACACATGAACATGACTCCAGCAGCACCAATCTTGTCTTACGGAGGGCCACCTAAAGGTCCTCGCGAGCAGCAGGTCGGCGATGGTCTCGGTGCCATGAGTCTTGAGTTGGCCAACTTCAAGAGAGAGCAGAAGCAGAGCAAGCGCTGGGAGCTTACCGACATCAAGGGTCACGTGGTCGAGTTTGCCGGAGACCAGCATGGCTCCCGTTTCATTCAGCAGAAGCTTGAATCAGCCAACAGCGAAGTCAAGGACAGCGTCTTCAGAGAGCTCGAAGAGGATGCGCTACAGCTGATGCAAGATGTTTTCGGCAACTACGTTATCCAGAAGTTCTTTGAGCACGGAGACCAGGTCCAGAAAAAGATCCTTGTCGGGAAAATGAAGGGTCATGTACTTGAGCTTGCGAATCAGATGTACGCGTGCCGAGTTGTACAAAAGGTATAGTTCTCTTTCATGCGCCCCGAGTAAACACACTGACCGCAGTAGGCACTTGAGCATGCGCTCACTGAGCAACAAGCCGAGATGGTCAAGGAGCTCGAAAAGGATGTTCTCAAAACCGTCAAGGACCAGAACGGCAACCACGTCATTCAAAAGGTTATCGACCGAGTCCCGATGCAGTACATTCAGAGGATCGTCGAGGCTTTCAGGGGCAACGTCGGCGTGCTATCGGTCAACTCCTACGGATGCCGTGTTATCCAGCGACTGCTTGAGAAGGTTCCGGAGCCACAACGAAGGTTCATCATGACCGAACTCCACGCTGAAGGACCCAAACTCATCACCGATCAATACGGCAACTACGTCACTCAGCATGTCATTGAGCACGGCTTGCCTGAGGATAGGGCTAAGATTGTCGCTCTGATCAAGGCACAGTTCCTCGCTTTCTCAAAACACAAGTTCGCCAGCAACGTTGTTGAGCAGTGCCTCAAGTGTAGCGACGACGCTCAACGCCGTGAACTCGTATCGGTCATCCTTGCAAAGAACGAGCGAGGCGAGTCAAACGTCATGAACCTTCTCAGGGATGGGTACGGTAACTACGTCATCCAGAAGATGCTGGACACCCTCAACCGAGATGACTACGAGGACTTTGTCCAAGCACTTAAGCCTGAGCTTGAAAAGGCCAAAAAGGTCATTCCTGGCAAGCAATGCGTCTCAGTAAGTGGTCTCGTGAAACTGAAGACATACTTGAAGAAACCCAACTAACAAAATCTTAGGTTGAGAAGAAGATGTTCCGTTACGATCGCATTGACTCGCCGACTATGCTTACACCAGCTCTCAGCAGTTCCGCTCAATCGCCACAGAGTAGCTCCCACCCCAGCACGAACAACTCCACCATTGACGAACCCGTACATAGCGCGCCTGCCAACGGCAAGCACAGAGCTGTCAACTTTATGGGTGGTGTCAGCATCGCAGATACTGCTTGATTGCGTAACACGTCCATCAGATTCTTTCCATCCATCGCACATAGGTCTCCTAATATCTGCCGCACATTCTGTTCTATTCAGCCAATGCATCTTACCGTTTGCATGGCTCGGGCGGCACATCTGCATTCTATTGTTCATATACCATTACTTATCACTTCGCTTTCATCGTTACATATCACTACGATTCGCTTGTGTGGCTATACGGATGACCCGCCTTTTCATACATCTTGTCAAACAAAAACAGGCTGGAGTCTTAATTGGAAGGTTGTGGGTTTTTTACTATCATTGGGTATTTTCTTAGGCATGGTATCGTTATTCATCATTGTATTACCTGGATTACCTCATGAATGGCATGGCGTACATGGGAAAATCACTCGTTGGGATACCATGGGCACGGAAACAGGAAGAGCGTCACGTGAAAGATGCGTTAGATGGTCGATGTATTGAATACCTATGAATACACGTTCGATATCTGACTTTTTGCTGTTTGTTTTGTCTGTTTGTTCGGATGTGGCTTGAGGTGTATGTATTATGTGTGGATTTACGACTAGCAGCATAGGCGTCGGGTGTGGCTGTCGCCCGGCTGCTGCACCCGACCCGGCCCACGCCATCTTACCACTCCCGCCTAGCATACCCGTAGGCTGATGCAGGGTGTACTGACTAGTCGATCTAGCTCTCCAAGGTTTACCAAGAGAGCAGCTCTTCTGTTTACTTCTTTCATTTATTTTTCTTTGGTAGATCATGGAACTATCTGTCTTCTTTTCTTCTTTTTGTTTCACCATAAATGGACATTCGTGATATTTCAATGGTGTGTTTCAAAAATTCGCATGCTAACGACGACCACGTGGTTCTTCTTCTTCTTCTTCTTCTTCTCTTCCTCCTCGGGATCACCTGCGAAAAACAAAACTGGAGCGAGTACTGGAATAGATCGATTGTGAGAGTTCTCGTCTTTCGGTTCATGCGACGATCAAGAAGGGGTGGGTGGGTTGGTGAGTGGAGCGTTGAAAGACTTGCAAAAGATTAGCCTCATGTGCGCGCAGGGGATTTACGCAATCGACGTCTATATAAAGGATAATCTCCGCGGGCTACAAATAGCGTCTCCAGACCTGAAAAGCACCCGATAAACTGGTCAAGAGACTCTACCAGCTCATCGTCGTCGTCAACATCGGTCAGATTGAATGACTTCAGGGCAGACTCGCTTGAGGTCGTGTATTTGCTGGTTAGATACCGAAATAAAACCGGGACACAATCGCAATGGATTATGTCCAGAGTCCTGAGAGAAGGCAGATGGAGAATGTCTCCAAGACGATGAAATCCGTCCAATATCATTTGAAATAGAGAAAGGCGTCGAAGTCTCAGGGGTACGAAACCAACAGCGGGTGTCCTTATATAAAAAGGAACTGGGGTTGCGTGGCGAGAAGAATGTCCAAACCCAGATCCAAGACTTAAGACTTCAAGAGCTGGTGTGTTCACGAGCCAAGCGCCATAGTCGTTGTAATTGTTGCGGGATGCGATCTTCAGCTTTCGAAGCTTCTGCAAGCTATGCGCGAGGGAGCGAGGATTGGGAAAGCGTTGGCTGTGTCCAACGTATGAGTGTTGCCGGAAGGTGAGCTCCTCGATTGAATGTTGAGAGCAGAGTAGCGACTCCCAGACTTCAGTATACGCGCTTGTGAGCTCTACAGTTCTCAAACTATCCCGAGTAATACCCGATACTACCTGCATCACGATCTTGAAGTTTTCGGGAGAAGCACGAATCTTCAAGTTCTTGACGTTGTCGAAAAGGCCATCAGGTAAAGACAAGACAAGGGCATCGAAGTCGCGATCTCTAGCTGCGAGGCTAGACTCGAAACTTTTCCAGAGCACAGATGAGCTAGACTTTCGCCATTGTTTGCTGGCTAGACTAAGATTCTTGAGCGCTGGGATGGGCAACTACGTAGGCATTAGTGCCGCAAAGGTGACTGGTATCATATATAACTTACCAATTCGCATACCTCAAGCCGCAGCTCCTCTGATAATCTTCCAATGTAATCTTGCGTGTGAGGTGATGAGGTCATACTGAGCCTGCTGGGTTTGCTTAAGATGTTGTGGTTCAAGTGAATTGCAACCATAGTTTAGCTTGCACGGTTGATCGATGGGTCATTGAGAAGCAGAGCCGATGTGAGTAAGACTTATATCCATTGGAGGTGCGCATTGGTTCCTGCCTCAAAGTGAGTGTAGACCAAGTGAAGTCGAAGTTAGGATATAAGCAATGGAAAATGCTTATTACGTTCTTGCACGAGGTACGCATGATCAACCGTGGTTTCGGACGAACTTGCGCTTGATGGTTGTACCACCAAAAGCGCCAGGCAACAAGCGACAACGTGACGAAATGGATACTCATTCACAAGCAACACAGCTGCTCGTTCTTACAATGGATCGGTGTCTTCGTTATGATAGTAAAGGAAGCTGGTTCAAATGACTGGTATCGTTGCAGTGGGGCCTCAGAGAAGGATGACGAACGGACCGCGTTTATGGGCGATGTGTGGTAATCAGCCGCGCTGCATCATCTATTTCGCACGAATACATTCGTTTTAAAACTTCGTGTTATGCTTACAAGGTCGCAGATCATACACTTGAGCTCAGGCGGCAGAGCTACCTGAGGATCGAGTCTGGAAAGCATGGACATGGCAGCGGCTAAACGCACAAGGTGAGAAAGTAGTTCTGTGCTCGCAGACGGGGTCTACCGTATGCTGCCCCGTGATCGCGGAGCATTGACCAGAGGTTCAGTGCCTAGATAGATTCGCGCATTGGCTGTCGATACTTGCGCAGGCAGTAGAAAATGTCTCTGTATAGTGAAAGTTGCTGCACTAGCAGCGCGATCCGAGGTCTTTTTGTCGAAGGTGCTGTTCAGCGCGGTGGGTTGAAGACGCCTATTCGAGTTTTTAGTAACGAGAGAATTATGTTCTATCGTCTCTATTTTCGATCTATGCCCTGATATGTGTGTAGGTAGTTTGGTTTCTGCGTAGTCCTGATATGCAGTAGAAAGGAAAATCAATGGAGGCGATAGTGGTTAAAAGAGGTTGGAAAGCGCGACGCGTGTGATATTCACGCGTCGCTAGCGGCGAACAATCGCGCGCAAACGTCACCCACCCTTGTTCACGGCTGCTACATTCGCCGGTACCAGCGTCGAATGAGGCCTCCTCGTGACGATTGCATATGACGTCTCAAGCTCTAGCATCTTCACGCAGCAAACATAGTTGAACTTTGGCATCTCGAGCCATGATCATTTGATGTAAGTTCCATCTAAAACTACGTTGATGCTGCTGCTGCATGCATGCAAGTATGCGCAGCTGGAATGACGACTAGTCCGCCCAGCCGACGAGTTTGGCAGAGGGGACAGGGGGCTCGACATTTGCCGCATACTTGCCGCCAAAGTTACCCGCTGGAGCGTAGTTACAGACTGTATACTTGTTCATGGTCGAACCCTGTCCGTTGACGATCATGGCTGTACCTAGAGATCGGTGTATGAGGTCAGTAATTATTTCACACGCGATTCATACAAACATTACTCACCGCAGTCAAGTGAGACGCATCCGACCTTCGTAGTTTCCTTCCAAACCAGCTGTGTAAGGTGACCGACTTGCTCGAAGACTTCGTGTGGAAGGTTGTCTTTGCCGAACCAAGGCTTCATTGGATCAAGTTCGCCATGGTACCAGCTCTTCGAGATGCCTGCAGTGGCGTTGAAGGCATCTCCAGACACAACAAATAGGTTTTGGCCTTGACCGGCGCCCTTGGGGATGTAGTGCTCGAAGTTACACCTGCTAGCAGCGATACGAGCATTGGCTTCGCAGTCGGGGTCCCAGATCAGGGGATCAGCGTTGTGATTTGCACGGGCAGCGTTGTGATGGAATAGCACCGCAGCTTTGTAATCGGGTCCGGACGAGAGGTAGGCCTGATCGGTGCCCGAGGGATGGGGAATCCAGGACAGCGAGGGCTCTGGCACGGGGGCAGGTTCCGGCTCCGGCTCGGGTGTCGGAATGGCCACACTAGGAGGGATAGAAGGGGAGACCGAAGACGTAGACGTGGGTGGAGCATAGCCTCTGGTGAGAGTGACCACGACGGTCTGGATGACTATCTTGGTCTCAATGATCATGTTTGGCTGCCTTCCGTGGAGCTGAGGTCGTGCAAGGACGCCGGCAACCAGAGATGCGGCGACAAGACTTGAGCAACGCATTTCCGATCAGATCAAAGAGGTCGGATATGTTTTGTTAGCGAGTGGTAAGGAAAGCAGATGACCTGAGGAAGAGATTGGACCGAGACGGAAGAAGTGAGTGTAGTTGAGTGGAAAGCAAAAAGAGTGTTTCTTTTCAGACAGGCTGCCCAGAGAATAGATGAAGAGAGCGACAGATGAAGGAATGTGGGGTGAGAGAACAAAGTGGTGGTGGAGATAAGTTAGAGAGGAGGAGGTGATTGTTTATCAACTCCAGATTAGGCAAACGCAGCTAGTGCGAGGCAAGAGCGACTGCCACGGGGTGAGATACCATGCAAAGTCAGCTGCTATCACTGCCATCGCGATGGTCTTCCAATATCAGAGACAATACGGGCAAGGGTGATTCAATCGTGCTCGCCGTTGATGAGGCAGTCACAAGTAGGTTGAGTGCCCCTTGGTGTTGAGGGTCAAGTCAGGCCGTAATGAGTGTCATGCTTTCTCTCTAGTGTTTCATCAGTCAACAGGCTCTCACCTTTGGGCCTGTTATTGTCCACAGACCCACCATGGAATACTTAGTAGCAGCACGAGGAGGCACAAGTTATACGACCTGGGCTGCCGGCCGGGTAGATGAACTCTTCGTTTGTAGAAGTCGAAGAGGGAAGTTATCGTTAGAAAACCTTGGAATGAGTGAGGGATCTTTGCGATTCGTGATAAGGCAGGTACGACATTTCAGAGCGCTTGGCAGGAACCACTATCCTTCCCCGGTTGCTAGATTCACGCAGCCACGCATATTTGCTGTTAGTCCTCATAGCCATCTGACGTCTGGTGACTCCGTGTTCTTCGCCAGCTCTGTCGCCGCTTCGCGATGTCTTGCAAAAACTTATCCCCATCTACATGCTCCCGACCGAATCATGCGCCAACAATAGGAGCCTATTGAATAGGCCATTGGAGATTATTTATCCATCGCGCCCATGATTGAAGTGTAAGTCTTGCTCAGTGATGTGGATTCCCTACCTTAATTGAGTGCCATCTCCCCTCCAAAGTCCACTTCGTTTCGGTATATATATACGCGGTACCAAGACGCCAAATTGCAATCGTGCGACGTTGTGTCTCAATCCAGGTAGCATATATGTAAGGGCACATCGTGCCACATCGGTGTCTTCTTGGAGATGTACTGGATATGCTATCTCAAGCGGATGTAGCCGTCTCATGTTTGCAGATCGTCTCTAACGGGTCATGGTATCGTGGTGATCGCGACTGGCAAACTTTCGCAAGGGGCTTCGCTACTGGAAAAAACTGCAGATGTGATCGTCGAGAAATGGCGTACCACGCACGTCATGATATAGCGCCCTACCTTGGTGTGATGCATAGTCTGCAAAATCGATGCAGGTCAGAAGGATGCAGATTGCTTCGAACCAAAGCCCCGCGCCGTTCCCCAGCCACTTAGGGTTCTGGAGATTACGTCGTTGGCGGGGTTGCGAATCGGCAGGGTTGCCGGAGCTATGGACTGATAACGTCCAATAGCCTCGGAGCCGCGCGCCACCGTATCTCACGATAGTTCTTTTTTCTTTGCTGTATGCCTCCTGTGAAATTCAATCTAAGAGGATCTTGTCGCCCTGCACGCACACCCGTCGCGACCGCGCCATCCCGCCGTATACCAGCTCCAACTACTGTGACCCCGCCATCCACATCTCGAGCGCAACAGCGCAACTTCCGTACTTCTATCCTGAAAATGGATGCGCACAATTCTTCCGGCGCATCCGCCACCCCAGGCGATACTTTGAAGCTGAAGAACCGCCTGAACGAGAGTCGAAGCCCCTATGTACGAGGCCATATGCACAACCCGGTCGCATGGCAAATGTGGGGACCAGAGGCTATTGATCTGGCGAAGAAGTCGAACAGGCTCATATTCATCAGCATAGGCTATGCAGCATGTCATTGGTGTCACGTCATGGAGCGCGAGTCGTTTGAGAACGAAGAGGTGGCAAAGCTGCTGAACGAGAACTTCATACCGATAAAGATTGATCGCGAAGAGCGTCCGGATGTCGATCGCATATACATGAACTATGTACAGGCAACGACTGGTTCGGGAGGATGGCCCTTGAATGCTTTCATTACACCAGACCTGGAGCCGATATTCGGTGGGACATACTGGCCTGGCCCAGGGTCCACGATGGCAATGGGCGAGCACATTGGCTTTGTTGGCATACTCAAGAAGATTCGCGATGTGTGGAAAGATCAGCATCAGAGGTGTCTAGAGTCGGCGAAGGAGATTACAGCACAACTGCGCGACTTTGCTGAGGATGGGAACATTAGTAGAAAAGACGGTGCAGCTCATGAAGGCCTAGATCTGGACCTTTTAGATGAAGCATATGAGGTGAGTCAATTGCGTTCTGTTACAATGCCCATTACTGAGGAATCCAGCACTTCAAGAAGCGATACGACAAGCAGCACGCGGGCTTCGGCAGTGCGCCCAAATTCCCTACGCCCTCGAACCTCAAATTCCTCCTCAAGCTATCGGAATATCCAAACGCGGTGAGAGAAGTGCTCGGAGCAAAGGACTGCACACACGCAAAAGATATGGTGCTAGCGACATTGGACGCGATGAACAAGGGCGGCATACACGATCAGATTGGAAACGGGTTTGCGCGATACTCTGTCACCAAGGATTGGAGCCTGCCGCATTTCGAGAAGATGCTCTACGATCAGACGCAACTCCTACCCGTATACCTGGACGCGTATCTCATGACAAAGAGCCCTGAACATCTTTCCGCGGTCCATGATATTGCGACATATCTCACCAGCCCGCCGATGCATGCCGAAAGTGGAGGCTTCTTCTCGTCCGAGGACGCCGATTCACTATACCGGCCAAATGACAAAGAGAAGCGCGAAGGCGCGTTCTACGTGTGGACGTTGAAGGAGTTCCAAGACATACTAGGTGACCGAGACGCTGAAATTCTCGCAAGATACTACAATGTTCACGACGAGGGCAATGTTGCGCCGGAACACGATGCGCACGACGAACTGATCAACCAGAACGTACTAGCAATCACCGCTACACCAGAAGACCTAGCGAAACAGTTCGGTCTGTCAGAAGACGAAGTCAACAAGACACTAACCGAAGGCCGGCAAAAGCTCCTCGAGCACCGCAACAAAGAGCGCCCGCGACCTGGTTTAGACGACAAAATCGTCGTATCCTGGAACGGCCTCGCCATCGGCGCACTAGCAAGAACCTCCGCCGCCCTCTCATCCCAAGATCCCTCACGCTCGAAAACGTACCTCACTGCAGCCGAAAAAGCAGCCACCTTCTTGCAAAAAGAGCTCTACAACCCCGACACCAAGACCCTCATCCGCGTCTACCGCGAGGGCCGCGGCGATACACCTGGTTTCGCAGACGACTACGCCTACCTGATTTCCGGACTCATCTCCCTGTACGAAGCCACCTTCAACGACAGTTACCTCCGCTGGGCCGACGACTTGCAACAAACACAGCTGAGAATGTTCTGGGATAAACAGCACCTTGGTTTCTTCTCCACGCCCGAAGACCAAAAGGATCTTATCCTGCGGTTGAAAGATGGTATGGATAATGCCGAGCCAGGTACCAACGGCGTTTCAGCACAGAACCTGGACCGTTTAGGTGCATTACTGGAAGATGAGGAGTACACTAGGAAGGCGCGCGACACGGCATCCGCTTTCGAAGCTGAGATTATGCAGCACCCTTTCCTCTTCCCTAGCATGATGGATGCGGTGGTTGTGGGGAAATTGGGTATCAGACACAGCGTTATCACGGGTGAAGGGCAGAAGGTAGAAGAGTGGTTGCAGAGGTACCGGGAGAGGCCTGCTGGTCTTGGCACAGTTAGTAGAGTGGGCAAGGGGATGGGCGATTGGTTAAGTCAAAGGAACGAGTTGGTGAAAAGTATGGACGGAGGTAAGGAGGGGGTTATGGTGTGTGAAGGTGGGGCATGCAGAGATGCGTTGAGTATGGATATGGGGAGTCTGGAGGATGCTGTGCCAAAGGTATAATTTTGGCCAAGGCCGCAATGGAATGATTGTACGGTTTAGACGACGGATGAATATCAATTATACACGACGGATTTTTTACTTCACACCGGAACGTTTTGCCCTGTCACATGTGATCGTGACGCCTGCGCCACCAACAGATTCGAGAGATGCAATGTAGAGCTCATGTTCGAATCGCCGTGACTATGTTCTGCCAGAGAAAAAAAGATTACACGACAGATGAATATCAAGATGCAGCTATGTCTTATAAAGGGAAAGCTTTTTCGGCCAACCCTATCTACCATTCGGCCCACCCCAAAAGATCCGCATTCACACAGCGCGCCCTGAAAGGAAAGCCCTTGCTGGTAGACAGTGGTGTTCATAACTACCTACAGGTTGATCCCTAGGACGAACAGGCCTCCTTTCGTTTTCTCCACTCCCACCTGCTCAGTGGAACTCAGTATGAACGGGATAACAGTCGTTGACATCTCAACCATTCGTTACCGGGTTCTCACATCCCCACATGTCTTTCTCAACATCCATCATAGCTGACATTTCCCGGCAAACTACATGCCGCGAGGCAGAGATCCGATCATATCAGAATACAGATACCAAACACAATCTCTTACTTTGGATCAGACCTCACACCGTTATCATATATACATTGCCACACAGAGAGACCATCCCAGACACACAGTAAGGTGAGAGACCGTCGAGTTAAACTCTCTCACCCTCAACGCCGGTCTCGCACCACCCTACCCTATATAAGAAGGACATCACGCCCGCCAACTGCGTCTTTCTTACACCTCAAAACACCGCTCTAGCCCGTTCTACGCGCGCCAACCCTGACGAAGATCCTCGAACACAAGCTCAGACACGCGATAATCGCCCAGCATTTGTAACTCGCACTCACGATGGACGCGAAAGCATCAGAAGAGGCCGATGCCGGGAGCAACCAAGGCAAAGGCTTCGAAACACCAACGCCGAGCTCAGCGCCCACCGAAAGTGCGATGCAAGCCCCGACAGCCGACACCGCGAAGCCTGACAGTACGACTACGAAGAAACGAGCCGCGGCACAGCTGGACGTACACCTCACTCAGCAAACCCACAACCTCATCAGTATGGTATCCGCATTTACACAGTATGCCCTAAATGGAAAGCCCTTGCCAGTAGACAGTGATGTCCGCGACTACCTACAGGATACAGCAAGCGCAATCAAAGGCCACCTCACAGAGATCCAGGCACACCTGCAAGAGGCCGCTGAGCTTGCCGGACAGCGCACCGAGATACCTCTTTATAGCCCAAAAGGCATCCGTGGATGGTCGTACAACTACAGAGCAGCTATATCAGCTAAAGACAGAGTGAAGTACCTAAAGCACGCTCAAGATTCCCAGAAGCTCAACCCAAAGGAAGCATTCGCGACCAGCGAATATGGCAGACGCGTCCAAGACTCTGTAGTAGCTGAGCCAGATATACCTTTCAAGGTAAAGAAGCACACTTTCCAGAATATCCTCAACAACCGCATGGTCGAGGCACTGCTAGCGCGCGGCTACTAGGTTATCCGCCCTAGAGAGTCTATAGAAGCTGCTATGTCGCTGATAGATGACGAAGACTGGGAGAACGCCTAGCTTTTTAACAAACTGTTTATCTACATACCTACGCTCTATTTTTCGTTATCGTTAAGCAAATACTCAGATACTTGTATACAACAACAACAGGGAAAATGGGATACAATAGCTGCAATCTTTCAACTAGAAGTAGTCGCCAAGCATACTACTAAGAACCAATGCCCGTGACATTTGTAACATTGTTGTTGCTTGATAGAATATCATGAGCCTGTGGGTTCCACAGTTTTCCCCGCTTCTTTCCATGTCCCTACGGCACCACAACAGCAAAAAGATCGTCTCTTCTATCATTATCTTACTGTTAATCGAAAGATTAACCGACAAAAAAAAACAAGAAGAATGACTTGGATGGTCACTACGAGGGTCGAACTCGCGACCTTGGCGTCGTCTCGGAAACGAGTTCCTATTAGCACCACGCTCTAACCAACTGAGCTAAGCGACCAAGTTATTGTTGTTTGATGAAAGAAAGATCAGATAGGATATTTATAGACTAAAAAATATGAGATTGATCATCAACGTGAGATGGATCGTCTACCATCGGTAATCTCACAAAAACGCCGTTGAGGGGCTTCAGTGAAGGTATCCACTCTGTCATGTTGATGCAAGCAGAAGTGCGGGGCATAGTGTGGCATGAAATTTTGGAAGCCCCAGAAGCCACAGGATTCTTGAGAAACGGTTACACAACAATCATACCGCTCGTATCTGTGGCAGCTACCCTACATGTCATTCAGTTCAACTCGCTCGTGATTGCGGGCAAAGCACATGCGCAGTCTATGCATTGACGGTCTCTACTTCATATGGCCCTGCATAACAAATACCTTTTAGGCATATTACAGCGTTATCGAACATGTGATACGAAGCAAAAACAGTCACGTAAAGAGACACCTCATCTGCGTACGTGTGCAACAAACAGAGTATTGCGACAACACCACCTGGTCAAGTGACGGACAGTTTCCACAAAGCAATGGTATTAAACTTTTTTCAAGCCCACCGCCTCACATTACGCTCGTCCGTCGTGCCCGATGTTATGGGTATACAAAGATGATATCCGCTAAAATCAAGCCCCCGTTCCCCCTCATATGCAATGATTTCTATTTATGCTGGGTGGTCCGCGCCGTGGTGTAAGACGTGACCCAAAAGTACTTTTCTCCAGTGCCGTCTGTCGAATGATTACAGACTTCACACAGGCTGCTACTGTTGCTGCATGTGTTGTTGCTGTTGTTGTTGGAGCGCAGGATTACCAAGTGACACGCTCGCAAGGGTATCAGTTGTCAGGTTCAAAGGATTGTTAGTTTTACTTGCTGCAGCGGCCGCCTCTTTGGCCTTTGTCTTCTTGTTCTTCTTCTTACTCGTAGTAGCTGCGCCGCCATTACTAGAAGAAACCTTGTTGATCAACTCGCCACCTCCAGCGTCAGCATCAGGCCAGTCGAATGTGTAACGTCCGTCTGCAGCAAAGGGCTCCTTTCTGATGAATCTTGAGACATCGGCTTGTGTTCTCAATGCCTCTAGGTAGCCTGCTACCTCACGCAGCACATCGCCTTCCATTTGCTCGGGCGTAGCTGAGAACTCTGGTATCTCCAAGAGGTTGTGTGGCTGAGCGCTCGCTTTGAGTGAAGAGTCGTCGATGAGTACCGTGTTGTGCTGGCCAAATTTACCAGTGCCAGCTTCGTAGTCAGGATGAAATGACTGGATTTGACTCCTGCTCCATACCAGTTTTAAGTTTTTGTAAACTTGTACGTTTTGCTGGTAGTTCGTCGGCGAGAGTCCGAAGCTATCACGGGCCCATTGCGCTACAAGTTTCGAACGGAGGTCGTTGTCCAGAGCTTGATTGACGAGGGCCTTGACATTGTCCGGTCTCGCACTAGACCACACCATAACTTTGAAGTTCTCAAAGAGGTAGCGCAGGAAAGGCCTCAGGAAAGGGCGTTGTATCATAGTCTTGGCGTTTCTGTTTGGGCGGAAGAGAACCGTGCCGTTGAGATCTAGAATAACTAGCATTTGACCCGGTGTGTCCGTGGTGGTGGGCTCTCCAGCAGCCTGATCTAGATACTCTTGCGTGGGCTGCGGTGCAGGGAGCATGATCTTCTCATCACCATAGCGTCCCTTTTTTTCGGCAGCAGCTTTCGGGGCCTTGGGGGTACTGTGAAGTTTGTCAATCCGAGAGCACTTGGTTTCAAACGCAGTAATGCGGTGGAGGGTACCATACTCTTTCTGCTTAGCATGCCCATTGGCAGCAAGCCCAGACTTTGACTTCTTGCCTGGAGGAGTTGGTGCCCTATGAGAAGAATTAGCCGCACGATTCTTGGACTTTAGACCCTTGAATAAGGCATCGAAAGCGTACTGTATGTCCTCGTTTCTTGCTCCATGTGGGAAATTTGCCTGCTGTTGCATCATGCCCGGGTAGGGCGGTCGGCTCGGGAACATGTGACGTTGCGGGTGAGGCATATGCGGCAGCCCACCATGATGCGACTGGTGTCCGAATGGTAGCTGGCCAAATGGCGGCCCGCGAAAGGGCGGCTGGCCATGAAGTGGCATGTGTGGAGGTGGACGCCCAGCGAAAGCATCTGGTCCTAGGGGGAATGGGGGAGGAGGCGGTGGGTGGTTCGGGTGCCCATTCTGCAACATCCAGTGGTGATATGCCAGCGCTTGTTGATAGCCTGCGAATTCAGCCTGCGCCTGCTGGTTGTTGAACATGTGCGGAGGCTGCTGAGGCGGTTGGGGAGGGGGCGGCGGAGGCGGCGCAAATTCGTGATTGAAGAAGCCATTGGGTGGCCCGTATGGTGCTGGAGGCCCTCCCGGTGGTGGTGGTGGCGGCTGGAAGGGAGGAGGAGGGGGAGGGGGAAGTTGTTGGTTCTCGAAGGTGCCGAAATTCTGCTCGCGACGGTCGAAGCCGCCCGGGCGGAAGGGCAGCGCATTCGGATTGAAGAAGTCGCTCATACTGGGGCTTGCGGAGGTAGTGAGCTTGCGCTCCGAGATTGTGCTGTCTCGACCTGTCTTGGTCTTTTGGTTGTCGGTGTTAGTGGAAGAAGTTGCGACTGGAGCGCAGTGGGGGATGCTGTACCGAGCTGATGCGACTGCAGCCATGAGGCACGTGCGATAGCGACAAACGCTCGACGACAAGAGAGAGGTGAGGGGTGAAGGGTTTGGCGAGGTGAAGATGCAGCGCACGAAGCATGTAGTCACACGGTGTGAGGCTGTCTCGAAATTTGGGCGCAGTTGCCTGCTGTCGGGCTTGTCGGCGAATCAAACCCCCGGAGGCGGGGTCCACAAAAATGTTGGAAGACCGCGGCGCACCAAGAGCGCGACAGGAATCGCATACGACGCAACACACCACCGCCACCACCTCCAACGAGCCCAGAATGGTGCTCTCAAAGAAACTCGACCGCACTCTGCGCGCGGCTGAAGACAGCTCAGATGCTGAGAGCTACTACGAGGTCACCGACCGCTCGTCCTCTGCGTCGGTCATTGAAGCAGATGAGGGTGGTAACGTCATCAGCTCAGACGACGAGCAATCAGGCGGTTCCGAAGACGAGGACATGCAGTCAGACGCCTCGGACGATGACCAAGTGAAAGCGCAAATGAGCAAAGTCTCATTTGGAGCACTAGCCAAAGCACAAGACGCTCTCTCCAAACAACAGCCGGCGGATCGAAAGCGGAAACGAGGCGATGACGCATCAAAATCACAGGAGGACAAGCTCGAGGCATTGAGGGAGAGGCTACGGCAGATCAAGGCCGAAAAGCTTGCGACCAGCGGCGCACAACCTAGCAAGAAAGCGAAGACGGCCAAGAGCAAGAGCAAAGGCCAAGACAAACAAAAACCTCAAAAAGCCAGCGACGATGAAGACTCCGACTCCGATGCAGCTCCACATGCGCGCTCGAGCAAACACGCACCTGCCGTCCAGTCAAGCAAGCGCATGGTCTCACGTAAACGAAATGTGGTCGAAGTGAAGAAGCCCGTGTTCCGTGACCCACGATTCGATAATGCTTCAGGGCCTCCGCCTGATGAGTTCGTGACAGGAAAGCGCTACTCTTTCCTCAACGACTACCGCGCATCTGAGATATCAGAACTACGTCAAACTATCAAGAAGACGAAGAACGAGGACGAGAAGGAGCGGTTGAAGAAGAAGTTACTTTCTATGGAGTCGCAGCAGAAGGCACGCGAGAACAAGGAGAAGCTACAAGAAGTGGCGCGCGAGCACAAGAAGAAGGAGAAGGAGCTTGTCAAGGAGGGCAAGCAGCCTTTCTTCCTCAAGAAGTCAGAGCAGAAGAAGATTGCCTTGGTCAACCGCTTCGAGAATATGAAATCGAAGCAGCGCGACAAGGTCATCGAACGCCGTCGCAAGAAGGTCACGGCCAAGGAGCGCAGGAACATGCCCGACGAGCGCCGTACTGCCCAATAGTATGCCCACGCAAACTGCTAACGTTTGTAACAATAGTCGTTCTCAATCAAGGATACCCATTCAATCTTTTCGACAAACACGATTGGCATCATCTTCATATCTACTTCTGTGATTCCCCTAGGCGATGCTCTTCGACTGTGCTTATAGTAATTGATGCATACGATTTAATTATCGTAAGTTAGGCGTCGACTATCGCGTTGTCCGTAGCCGAGCACGGACAAGGGGCTGCAAGTCTAGATCGAGCTTTCTCCAGATCTGCACTAGCCAGGAACACATCACGCTTCTCACCAAATATATCCGCGTGACGCATTGTCCATTCAATACGCTACAAAACGCCACATCTATCCTGTACAAATCTGCTAAGTTATCTTGGGTTAACATGTTCAGCAGTACAGCCTTCTTCTTGCAATGAGATCCATTTGGAGCAAGTGCATGCCCATGGCTTAGCGCTCCCGCAGAAAGCTTGTACCTTCGGGGATTTAGATCCAGGGTCGTTCCACTTCAGTCGTGACTAAGGACCCTCTGCTGGTGGAAATGAGGGTGAAGTTTGCCCCGGAGCCCCCGAGTGGTCTCGTCTGGCCTTGTATGGCTTCAGCCGTATTGAGCGCCACCAAGCTGGTTTGCAGCTGAGTGTCTTCGAGGACATGTATATATACAGGTACTTCCATTTGGTCGAGTACTCACCCAAGTCTCTCATTCAACTCGTGGCACAAGCAAGTCCACATTCGGCCCAGAATCGGAAATCCTCATCACCATGCGCACGTCCATAACCTCACTCCTGCTTTCTCTGGCAGTTGCCAGCTCAGCCCAGGAAGAAATTCCTGGACTCAACCAACCCAAAGATACGGAGTGCGAGCTCATTGCACCAGTCGTCGATGGACTGCTTGCCGTACCATCTGCCACAGAATTTTGTTCATCGCTGCTCAGCATTCCCACTGTGACGGTCACTTCGCTCGCTGTTGAAACATTAACCCTGACCTCAATCGTGGAGACTCTTGAGACAACCACACTGCTGTCGACCTTTACAAACACGGACGAGACTGCAGTAACTGGAACTACTACCCTGACTGCTGATGCAGTCACCGTGACAGACACTATGTAGGTTACTCCTCATCAATACCGAATTAGCATGTGCTAACAACTTCAGAACTACCACAGTCGATGCGTGCGCTCCAAAGGTTGGAACTGTGATAGTCACAGTCACGGCCGATCCCATCGTCAAACGAGACTATGCGCACACGCTCAGCCCCAGTAGCACCTCATGCACTAAAAGCAAGAAGTCTACAAGCACTGTGACGCCTTCGTCCACGTCTACAAAATGCTCAAGCACTACAAGTTTATCGCTCGCTCAGCCCTCTAGCATGGCGGCATACCCATCATCCGAAGCGTTGAGCGCGGTTCCAGCTTCGTTCTCCAAATACTCGACGACTTCTCAGATGCCTTCGTCCGATTATTCCAGTTTAGTGGAGTCAGCGTACCCAGCATCTTCGAGCGTCGTGGAAGTGTCTTCCACAGCAGTTTCGAGCCTCGTGGAGTCATCTTCTACAGCAAGTTCAAGCACTGTAGAAGATCCATCTACAACGACTTCAAGTGCTGTGGAAACGTCGTCCACCTCGTCTTCGGTCACTACAGAGCTATCTACAACCGTATCGTCAAGTGTCATGGAGTCATCTTCAACACCAGAACCTACCCCGACCCCAACACTTTGTCCATCTGCTCCCTCAGGCCTCCAACAATACGAGTGCGCACAAGTATCCGCAGCCTGCTCTTGCCTCTCTCTCGCAACCCCCACCGTCACCGAAGTGGTCAGCAGCACCGCTACGGAGGTCAGCGTGTCCACAACCACTACCATCACTGAAACTGCCCTAACGGTTACCATCACATCGACCCAAGAGATCGCTACGACGGAGACTACGACACCCACTACGACGATTACCGTAGTCGCGACCGCAACGTCAACGCCTGACCTCATGAACGACCCCAACAACTGTGGTGCCTGCGGCAACGTTTGTGCCAGCGGTTCATGCGCCAAGGGATTCTGCACAAACCCCTCTTGTGCACCGTCATCTTGTACCAAGTACGTCTACTGTGGTTCAGGTTGTATCTGTGGTGCCGTCAGTGGAGGCGGCGGTCTCTGCGTACCTGGCACTACTTCCTGCAGCAGTCCCACTTGTAAAGTAAACGAGGACTGTGCTAGTAACCAGCTGTGTGTTGTCAACACTTGCTGCAGAGGTGGAGGCGGTATCTGTGTTAATGCGGTGCAGACTTGCTCGAACGGGGCTATGCCAAAGGCGTTGTTTGTGAGGAGGCCGGCTGGAGAGACTGTCATGGGATGAGAAGTGGATGAGCATTAAAGCGGCTTTGCTTCATAACATATTTTCTAATAGTGAAAGCGAGTTCCTCCTAAATATACAGCGAACGCACATGTAATTTAGCTTCATTGAAGATACTCCAAGACATGCACAAGACCAGTAATTAATTTGAATATCGGACATGTCTTCTTCTACACGAGCCTAGAATGGAGTGCGTTGTTTCGACTCAAATGTCCCCGACCTTACCAACCATTTGTAGATAGGATCTTGGCTATCTCTCTGCATGTACGGCGATGCTTTTGAACATTTCTACACTGTAACTTCAGCCCGTGATGATGATGATGATGATGATGATGATGATGATGATGATGATGATGAGCGTAGGGCACAGTGGCTAAACAGCTGTATCGTTATTGGTATGCAGTTTCCTGGAGGAGTCAACTCACAATAGAACACACACTATTCCAAACCGCTTCTCCATATGATGCACATGCTCCCTATGTATGGCCTTAAGTCGTTTTGCTAGATTCGTTACGATAAGGCTACCAAGACGTGTTGTCAACATTACCGAACAACGTATGCACACAAGACACTAGAAAACGGGGGACAATGCGTAAGGAAAAGTAAGAAACATGGAAATAAGACAAAGATGTTGGATCAAGGAGAAATATCCAGAGTGCAGCATGAGTTAAGAGTCAGCTAGTATTAAGCACAAGCGACATACTGAGCAATGTTGTTGTTTCAATAGCGGATTTAATACAAAGACTAAAAACGTACAAAAAAAAGGTATCAAGACATTATCTTCTCTTTTTGAATAGAAAACCCAACAAGAGATGAAACGTCCAAATCCCCAAGATCCCAACGCCGGATATATCCTTCCTAACCCTACACGCGCGATGAAACCATGCAAATTGAATCCAAAAAAGGTTAAGAAGGTAATAGCGCGAAGAGACCCAGCTTACGCGCGAAGAGTGCCATAGTCGCCGTTAGTCATCTCATTCGGCATTTCCTTTAGACTGAACTTTGAAAAGTCCTTGACAAGGCCATTGTCCTTGCTCTTGAGATCATCCGCACCTTTCCCACTCTTCTGCTGTGTCGGCTTTGGGCGTTTGTTCTCGTTAGTCGGGCTCTCAACAACCGTATCATCGGTGTCGTCGGCAGTCTCCTCCAGATGCTCAGCCCTCACGTCATCATCAACCTCCTGCTCCGCCTCCTCATCCAATTTGGCAGTCTCCTGTTCCACATCGACAAGGTCCTCGGCCTCGGCGGGCTCCTCACGCGCATCAGGCACAACTTCCTCCTCGAGACGCCAGTCCTGGATCGCTTTGATAATGTCGACGGCAAGCTGTCCGTTCTTGCGGAGTGCCTTGTCCCAATGCGCTGGAATGCCCTTTTCAACGACCATCATGCGGGCGACAGCGTGCACAAGCATGTGTCGCATTGGGCTTCCGTCTTCGGTGTTTGCGTAAATGTATTGCACGCGACGCAGACCGGGGTAGCTGTCGCTGTACTTGTACCATTCCCTAACCACTTGCAGGACGTCGGAGACGAGGCCGGGGATCTCAAACTTCTCAGCCATCAGGTACAGGTCGAAGCAGACGCCTAGGTCGGCCTCCTCGCGTGGAACGGGGAGAGAGGACGAGTAGAGCCAGCCGACGAAGGTCTTGAAGGGCGCATCTTCTTCTTCGGGGAGGCCGAAGGATTGTGTGCGTGATGACGAGTTTGATTTGGAGTAGAAGATTTTGCGGAAAAAGGGCGAGTGGTGGCAGAGGAGCTTTTCGTGGAGGATCCAGTGTGTGTTTTCGGGGCCGACGTAGATGTCGACCATTGAGCGGGAGAGGAGCCTGTGGTTGGTGTGTTAGTTGATGCGCGATGTGATGTAATCCAACTCCTTCCATGGCGAATGCGACAATGCGATGCGCCAATGTCATCTCATCACCATGGGCGACGATGCGCGGCGCATTGGAAATCATCACGTACTCATTGAGCGGCTTTTCCTGTGCACCAGACATGATTTCGGTGGTTCTTCTCGGTGATCAGCGACCGTTGCGATCGACTATCCGTTCCCGTCGGGTGATATTGCGTGATGCGATAAACTTTCAACGTCCGACGTCGACAGCGCGCGACAAAGTATTAGTATGGTAGAATGAATGCAGATGCAAGTAAGTAGAAAGACCGATGCAGGACAAAGACAGACATGTGGCAGTGCCAACTTTTAAGACCACCATTCCCAAACCTGCACGGTGGTGCCATGCTCCCAGCCTCCTTGGCTCGACATATGACGTAGGTACTTTTTCCCTTCACCATGCGAAAAGAGAGACCTATGATGCAGCGTCTGCGGCACGCTTTTCCTTGAACTGCACCCCTGTTCCTCTTTCCCGCCCCGTCCCCCGCTTAGTTTTACCCGCTAGGCAGGCATTGGGGGGATCGAGAACACCTGAAATGCCACACAATGCAATTTCCAGCTAGCGATGCAGGTTTTAGGATCGGATTGGCGTTGCATGTCATCTCGCTTTTGGATTACGCGTGTGTGGGAGGCGCTGCGTTGGGAAAGGGGGGGTTGGAGGCGCGTGTTGGATTCGGACGGGATGCACAAGGGGAGGTGGATTAAGTAAGTGTGACGTTGACTTGTGGGGATGGTGCTGCCAGGCTTGTCAGTGGCCTACGGTAGGGAATAGATTAACGAACCGTAGTTCTGTGAGTCTTTGGTACGAGCTAACTCTTGCATTCCATATCTTCTTGTGTCCGTCACCGTAGAATGGTTCTGCGCAATCTGACGCTGACCATAACTCCCAGACTCCCCATACACAGCTAAGCGACGACAGAATGCGCCCGTGTCACAAAGTATTGTCTCAATGCAGGGCAACTGTGGTATTGCTTTTTGCCAGACACACGATACTCCAGCCTCACCGCTGCGACAGCCTCGGTGCTTTGTTCTCGTGCTTTTCCTGCACCCCAACAGGCACTCCCCTATCAACTTCAACATCGTGATCACTAAAACACAAAATTGCTCGTCTAGTTGCGATTTCACAACACACCGCAACTGCCAACGCACAGTCTAACTCCTCAGCTTCGCAGTGTTCGCATAGTTCAACATGCTCGTCCACTCAAGCCGCCTGTCACAGCCTCGTCGCCCTCCATACTGTAAGTACCAGAGCGGCTTCAATGCCAAGCGCTCCAACAAAGCTGGGTGCATTGGTAATGTGACTTGACATCTCGCGTCTTGACATCCGTTCTGATGCACAGTGTTAAGGGAGGGTGTCTAGACGCGTATTCGCAATGTTAAGAAAGGATCCTCTTCCAACCACCTTTACTGCCTTACCTCTTTGCTTGACTTGTGGAGCCCCGTGCTTGAGTTACTCAACTCCGTGTCTCTCAAGTTGTTGCAAAGCCTTGGTCAGCGTCTTCGGCCTCTACAGTTGGCACATCTTGCTCGGTGATGCAGAGTCGCAGCACCTCAATCACTGCCGCGGTCCCGCCACTTTCTTCTTCATCACATGGATCTCAAGATTAAGAGCACAGAAAGCACCATGGCATTTGCACAAGGCAAGACTTCCATTGTCGTTGATGATGTGACATGCAAAATACATTGTCTTTTGGCCGACAGTGCGTCCGATCTCGACGATGTGCTAGTCGAACAACGACTTCCTTTCACATAACCTATGTGCCAGATGCCTGCTACCACCGGAAGCTATGCTTCAGCTCCAGCTCGCCTGGCTCAGCCACCACCATCGTTAAAGGGACGTTGGGACATGGAAATGAAAAGTCGACTGGTTTGTCAGCATGCTGATTATTGTCCATCGACATAAACTGTGCATCTACTGCCTGTCATGACCTAGCCGCGGTGAAGCGAACTGCTAGGTCAGATGCACTGTGGAATATGTGATTGAAAAGCTCATGTATCAGAATTGGATGTTGACTATCCCATACGTATCGTCTCACACAGTCCACTTCGAATGCTCGTGTACGACGGTACACATAGTCATAAGGAGGCTTATGAAGACGTTGGCTGTTACAATTTACGCCGTTCCTCGAGAAGAGAGCTATGGAGAACTGGAAAGGGCGAGAGCTCGAAACAGGTGTGGTGACATGTATACCAAGAATTCTTCTTTGTCGGATTCAAGTCGTGAGTTCGTGGTATTAATCATCAACGTAGATCATTTGAGGTTCTCCTGATCTGTCTATTCTTCTCATTGTTGATGATACCACTAATTGCAATGCTCATACAACCATCAAATCTCTAGGTGTTCCGCAGGGAACACGAAGATAGATGACGATCTTCTGTGGTTAAAGAAGTGTTCACGCTTCATATTCTGACGCTATCATACATCGTCGTTTGAGGTTTAGCAGATGATGTTCTGATTCTCTCCAAGATAAATCGACTGCTTCTTCAGGCTTGGGGGACCCCAAACTACTGGATTGTCACGTTGTACGTGCATTGGCATTTTTCAATACACAGCAGATCAACATTATAGTTTGCCGATTGCTCACGAGTTGCTGTAAGACTAATAATCATACTCACCGCACTGTACATACCCCAAGGTCCGCGTACGATCCCAACACATCATAGAAACATCGATGCCACGTCCACAGGTAGACCATACGCGCTTATCCAGATATTTTACCGTAGTCCATTCGTTATATACTCTCTCCATTACGTATCGTCGACGAACGCTGAAGTTCTATAGGACGGGCATTAGTGCATGCAGTTTTTGTAAAGGTATATTTAACAACAGAGAAGGACCAGCCAACATGCGAAAACAGTATCTTTTGCAAAGCGAATCGTAGCGCATAGTCATGGTTGTTATCGGGTGGGAAGAGATGCCAATGCTACACAGTATTGGACAAAGGACGTGGTGATTTGGAGCGGAATGGAATAGTATGAATTAGAGAAGTACTACGCAAAGACAATGACGATTATTACGGTGTAATTGCGCATGTTGAGCCGCTCAGATCACAGAACGCTTGCGCGCTGATCTCCTGGTTGCCACAAGCTGCTGGACGCTCCGCCGAACGGCAACAACGTATTCGGGTCGGCTTCTCGGATGACGCAACTGGAGTGTTCCCGTTTATTCACTCTCAGGCTCTCTTCTCGCCGACGATGCTCGTTCCACAATGGTGTCTATCTATGTTGTGAGCGAAATTCTCATGCAGGACACGACGCCGTGACGGCGGGCGATCCTGCAAGCGATCTGTCGTGTACTATAGATTACAGACTTGATCGATTCGGACGAACTCTAGCGCTGGGTGTTGGTGGTACCACAGCTACGTTACCGTCGCACTGAAACCGTTCAGAGCAAAATCTCCGAAGTTGCATTGTGTCGTGCGTACATGCATGGCATCAAGAGGAGGACGATGATGATGATAGTTCCTTCGGGATCTGCTACGCATGAAACATCTAGCTTCATAACAAAGAGTCAGCCAAACGCCATCAGACCCTGAGAATCCTCCCCCAAGTCATTGGCAAGGCTCGCCCGTATTCCTTTTGTATGGAGGCACATGACAGAACATGATCTACGCCGCAGATCAAACGCACATCTTATCCAGCCACTAAGCCACACCGTACGCACCATGTGCTTCTGCGGTTCGATCCGAAACCGTCGAGCTGCATAGCGCTGCGCATCTTTCGGTACAACTGCGGAAGCGCGAAGGAAAGTATTGGTACAACAGTCAGATGCTCGCCGTAACGAGCGCATTCGGCTGGATGCGGGTGCTTGAACGTGAATTGGTAAATGTGGGACGGCAGATCTGCATTGACGCAATCGTCCCAGTGGAGTAGGTTGTACAGCTGTAGCTGTTGTACAGCGCTGCATCTGGGGAACGGATGTAGTCGGGAGGCGTAAGCCTAGCGGTGTATAGGAAGGGGCGAAAAGATGTGCTGCAGTTGGCTTCTATGCCGCATGCTGCAGGCTGTACACGTTGTGTGCGGGCCGCGAAGGAAGACGCTCAACAGTATCCTTGCGCGTGTCATCCACCAAAGGTATTGCTACTGACTGTCGCCTTATCTCCTCACCAGTTTCTCACTCTGCGCGAGAACTTAGAGTGTCGGACTCATTCCCGATCTTGATCCAACGACACTCAATAGCGTGCCAAGAGAGCGTCTACTTGAGACTTATCCCAACAGATGGCAGTAATTGCTCATTCCCAACAGCAGGGTAATGGCACGCGTGCTAGAGTGCTACCACGGCTAGGTGATGGGATCACTTCCCGAAATAGACTCACGGGCGATCCTTTTCTTGATTGGATGGTGGTTGGGAGACAGCCCTATCCCGGTCGCTCGGTTGGATGCAACAGTGTGTTAAGCCCCACCAGTTCCATATTGGAGAAGCGATGGTGTGATTACCGCTTTTGGATGGGCTGCCTGAGATTATCCTGGAGAGCGTGTCGAGTCGGTACCTGATCGACCCTATAGCGACTGGGGATGTGGAAGAATTGCAAAAGGCCGGCGGCTGAGCGGAGGCGGCAGACATGGGCAGTAGCGAGAGAATGGGAAGGAGTCGTCGAGTGTCAAGGGTGAAATGAGTGCACACTACCCTGCAGCCAGCTTCAGGGTTTTCCATGTGGTTGAGATGACTCTACAGTCGACCAAAACATGGTGGTAGATGGCATTGATATGCCTCTGGACAAAGAGATGATGGGCATTGCAGGAGACATTGCGGTGGTCGCCGAGGAAAAGCGACGGAGGGGTGCTAGCCGAAGCATATGGTTCATAGTATGAGGCAGTCGCGGTGGTATTGGTGCAACGGCGGAACCATGGCTGCAGAATCTACCATGGTATCAGGGCCTAGAAGATACACGGCATTGAGTCGTTTCTGCGCAACGGTCGGAGAATACTTTGCAGGATGTGACTCCGAGATGTGACTCGGAGGTGTCGGCTATGGTGTGTTTCAAGAGCTGCTCAGCCGCGGCTCTTTGTTAGAGGTGAGTGACTGAGTGAGTGCCTGAGTGAGTCAAGCAGGAAGGGGCAGCCTCCACTACACGATTGATGAGGCAGGCGTGATGTGGCAAGGAA